GCCCCCTTGTGAATATGTGTGAAAAACCAATCTCCGTTTCTGCAGCATTGTTACTCCGCAGACAACTCGACCAACGTTTAGTCAGCCCCGATATCGGTCAATGGAATGGAATGTGTATGGGGTGTACGCATTTACTCGAAAATAGAAAGAAAGAAAGAAAAGTCTTTTGTCCTGATTCCAAAGTCCTGGGAATATATCCTAACGGGCGATCCTCGTCTAAAAAAAATATTATTATTTTGCGCACACACACGCGTAGGCGTAAAAAAATAAATAAATACAGTTCTTATTCAATGACCGCGGCGTTTCCTATGAAATCAAAAGATCAGGAGTTCAGGTTCCTCAAGAACGGACGCGTTTAGGGAGCGAAAATGGTATTATAATCCAGGGTTGAATAGTATAGTATGGTGTGTGTGTGTGTGTGTATATAAACTGCGGAGTGTATAGACTAGTATGATCGACAAGGAGGAATATAAAAAAAATGATCTTCAACTGGAGTCTCTTGATAAAGAAAATAAAAAATAAAATAAAAAAAGGTATACAGGTATTGCTCTATTTCATATTCTGCTACAGTTTTCAATCACGCCTCAGGCTGATATTGGTATATCGCTGCCAAAGATCCTTGTCCTTGATCAGCTTGGCATTCTGCTGTGTGAGCTGCCGGATCATCTGCCGAAGACTCGTGTTCTCCTCCGTCAGCTGCCCAATAATCCCAGTCGCGCGAGTGAGTTGTTCGCGTTCCCACGTTAATCCGGCGCAGGGCAGGATCGATGGATTGGGAGAGGTCGATGCCGTCTCATTGTAGGAAAATTGTCGGAGCTGCTGGGCCTGCGACGGTGCCTTGGGAGCACCGTTAAGACCAGACTGATTCCTCTGGTCACGAAGTGATCTGTGTTGGCTTCGAGAGCTCTATAAACATATTCATAAACATGTAAACGTATTAGTGAAATGATGTTACGTTGTGAATAGAAAATGACATCTGCCGTTAAAAACAACCGTCAGCGACAAAATCTCACATTGATGCTTACCTGACGCTGCTGCAGACCAAGTCCAGCTCCGCGGCCTGTCGAGCGTGCGGACGAAACTGAGGAGGTCGGAGACGGGCCTGAGGTCGAGGGTGACGAGCTTGAAGAAGACGCTGACGGGGACAAACTGGTCGTGCCAGCACTGTTGCTGCCAGACTCTACCATTAGGACGTGTTCTACAATTTGATCCGCCCTCATCCAAAGGCCGCAGCGGGGTCTCGGACACATCACCATTCTAAAATGGCACTGGTCGCGGCCGTGTTGAAGAGCCTTTTGCATCTCCATGATACCGGTGCACCCCGCATCCTTATGCGGACACTCGACACGGATTTGCGAGATCAGATCCGACATCACATGGGCCTTGGGGAGTCGAGGCTGGTACCGGACCAGTGTTCGGTATTGGACATGTTCCTGCACCCCTGAGGTCAGGGCTTCATCTTCTTCTGGATGGTCGAGTGGAGAGGAGGACATACCCAACGAGAATGGGGCTGAAAACGGAGCGGGAGATGAAGTAGGCTCGACGTCAAGGCCTCCAGTTATCGAGGTCCTGCGGCTGTCACCGACGCCAATCGGCTGCACGTTCTGGTCCACGCGTTCGGTTGTAGCCGTCAAGATCGCAACGTTGGATGATTCAGAATGGAGTGTCGACCCGATATCCCGTTCTTCTACTGCTACTGGCAATGGCAGAGGCAATGGCGGAGGAGAAGACATATTCTCTCGGAATGGTCGGACGAGAGGCGTCATCAAATGAGTATCGGCGCGATCCGAATCCATAGTACCCGTACTTTCTGGTGCGGTCAAAGTCTCTTCGGGATTGGAGATTGCTGCAGACAGTGGATCCTGGATAGCAACAGCAGAGTTCTCCTGAGACATGGCAGCAGTGAACGGTACGGAGGTGTCTTCTGCTGGAAGATTTGTTGCTAGCAGATCTTCGCCTGCAACTTCCGCTGATGAACCAGTTCCATGGGATTCAGCGTGCAAGGCAGGCGGCGTATTCCCTTCGTTCTCCAAGTGCTCCCCTTCAGCTGGGACTCTTGCATTTCCTATGGGGCTGTCCTGCTCGGGATTCAAATGTGCGCCGTCCACATCGCTTGTATCCGCCAGTTCCTCCTCCTCCGTCTGTTCCTCCTCCGTCTGTTCCTCCTCTGTCTGTTCCTCCTCTGTCTGTTCCTCCTCTGTCTGTTCTCCCTCCTCTCCAGCAAGTCTGATACCAGCTGGGAAGCGGTGCCGTGGTCTTGCAGTGGAGGGCGTGGGTATCGGAGAGTCGATTGGTGAGGGATGTCCCCTCGCACTGCTCGGTAAATCATCTTCTGTCAAGGTTACAGAGCACGACCGTGCTCGTGCGAGAACTTCCGGATCGATATGCATATCTGCAATGGTAGTCATGGGCCCTTGCGCCGTCGCGACTGGGCTATGAATATGCAAATCCCGAAGCAAAGGTGATATCGGTGATGAACAGGGCTTGTGACTAGATCCAGGGGAAGTAACGAGGTTGGCGCCAAGAGCGGCACCGGAACTTGAGCCTTGGATAGAACCTGTCTGCAGCGTAGCATCCTGAGTTGCCACTGTTTCTGTTGAGTCGACTTCGAGGCCCCCTTCCTCAGCGGTGTCGCTTCCCTTCTGCAACATGGACGAGCTCGAAGAGACTACATCGCTAGTACCGAAAGTGCCCGCACAAAGACCATCGATAGAGCTTTTATGGCTGACCTCTCGATCGTCCGTCTCCACATTGTGGTCTCTCCAGGGCTGTTCTGTATAATCCTCGCGCTCGTTCATGGTCACACTGGCCGTTGTCGGCACCGAGTCCGAGACTCCGAACCCGGTGTGCCCTGCCTCCATAACGGGCATCTGTAATGAAAGCGAGTGTCGTTCCCACTGAGGCTGGCTTGATGACCGCTGAGAGAATGAAGTTCCGATCGAAGAGTTGTTTTGGATGCTCGGAGAAGACGTGGACGACGTTCCGTATGAAAGTGTAGACCCGTTGGATGGTGAGGTCGGGAGCTCGGGGGAGTGCTGTGCAGAAGGTGATTGATTCGAGTCTGAGACTGAGTCCGAGATACTCGTATTGCCCTCTGCATCATCCAAGGAGAGAGGCATAGACCTCTGATTCTCACCCAGACCGAGTCCCAGGCTCGAGGGGCGCTGCGCCCATGCACGCGTTCCCTGCTGAATAGCATTGATGATGCTGTCGTTATCATCGCTGTCATTTGCAGCTTCATCCGTGCAGCTGCTTGGCGATTCAGGATGGTGGTCTGAGTAATGGTCGACGCTGGTCCGGCGGACTCTGGCATCCTGCTCTGTCTCTCTGGCTTGTGGATGAGTGTTGCCTCGACTAAGTTGACGAGAGTGGGTGGAGGAGCTCTGGTTTGATTGAACGCTTGGCCGCGTAAGAGAAGTGTCAATTTGAAGCAGTGATTGTCGAGATTGTGTCCTTTGAACTCCACTCTCAGTGTCCTCGCTGCTTCCAGAGCTTCGCTCATCTTGGCCTCCAGGCCGATTGAGTTGTGTGGCTAGCTGCTCCGATGAGGGTTGGTCCGTGATTCCTTCAACATTGCTGGCAAACACAGAGGAACCTGAGTCTGATCCATGCCTCCTGGATTCTTCTTCTTCCTCAAGAATCGAAGCTGCACGCGCTGTCAACGACCGTAGGAGCTCTTCCTGGCTCTCCTGCTCGAGATAAAGGCGGCGAATTTGTTGCTGCTGCTCATTGTACCTGTCATCTGCAATGGCATAGGAATGAGGTGCCTCGCTTTGACCTGAAAGTCTATCGAACTGAGAGATACTTGGGGCTGAAGTTGCATTGGTCTGCAATCTATTTGCCTGCTGCCGCTCCTGGTGGGCCTGAACTTGTCGTTGTTGATATCGCATCCATTCGCTTGGACGCCGACCGATAACCGCCGTTGTGGGACTCTGCAGCTCTTCGTCGTCGTTTCCAGTAAGCACGGTCTGCCGTAACGACCGTCCGTCCGCTTGTACTGTGGGCTGGACCAGTGGTTGCGTCCTGTCGTTGCGAGCTCCATATAACGACGAAGTCGACGACGACAGTGAAGAGTGTGGAGACAGTGTGTTCACATTGGTAAAGCGACCCCTTACTGTTCTTACATGCTCCATTTCAATCTCTTCGTCCTCGCCTTCCTCTTCTTCGCCAATGGCCTCCTCGCGCCTTCTAGACAGCCCATTCGGAGCAAACCTGTCTGGTCGCACACGCCGTCGTTCCACTCCTGAAACCGGTCTCTGCCCCTGAGCGGTGTTTCCCCGCCTAAGCCAGTCCGATGAAGACGATGGAGGCGCCGTTCCGGTCGTATTGCTTGAGGGCCTGGGTCGAGGACTGATAGTGACCGGGACCTTGATCTGCTCCTCAATCCTGTCCCAGCCGTTGATATGAAGACCGGTCCGACACATAGGACACTTCGGCATCTCCCTGCTCTCCAGCAGCACTGCAATCCGTTGCTGTGTTTGTTGCTGTTGAAGAAGCTGTTGCTGAGCAGGCGAAAAGTGATTGAACGACTCGTAGAAATTGCGGTTCGAGTTTGAAGTTTCAGTGCGGGATCGAGAGCCGCCCATTCTCGCCAGCTCAAACATGAATTGTTGCTGCAGAGGTTGTTGCTGTAGCATGTCATCGTATCCAGCAAGAGCGCCCAATTCATCTCCTGGAACCACATCTCCTTCGGCAGGATATGCCCTTCGAAGTTCGCTCTGGAGCAAATCGTCACCGAAGTTCATTCCGATCCATAGCTGGATGCATTCGAGACAAAAGACGTGGCAACACGGCAAAAAGTGGACTGGGTTCTCGTAGGGCAATGTGCAAATGGCGCACAAAAGATGCGAAGGAACAGCTTCGACTGGATAGAGTGTAACTGTGGTGGGCGATGATGAGGATGACAAAGACGATGCTGCCGCTGACTTGGATGAGTCCTGAGCCATCGAAGCTGGGACAGGCGACAAGAGGAGCCGAAGGTGTTGGTCCAGCAATGGAGGTACCGGACTGGCCTCTGCAGCTGCTGGTGATCCTGTCCGTGCGTCTGACCCTCGACTGCCTATCGAGGTCCGATCCTGGGACCACATCGTCGCCATATTATCGGTGTAGGTGTGTCTCTATAATTCTGTTGAACTCTGTGTTATAAGAGGGCCACAATGTGTTACGGAGTTGACTCAGCGTTCCTGGAGTCTAAAGGTCAAGCAAACGTAGCATTATATTACCTGGACCTAGACCAAGGTGTGACAAAAAGCTTCAGGGGTCGAATGAGCTTCAGTGAAGTGAGGCTGGTGTGACAAGGAAAGAGTGGAAGCAGGGAGGAATTGTCCCTGAAGACGACGAATGGGATCGCTTAGTGTGCGGGTGATGAGAGGGATGGGAGGAGTGAATGCACAAAGGAATGAGATGTGGGTGCTGCTCAAGGGATTGCTTTAGGCAGCGGATAACAAGAACAGAACGAAATAAAGGAAAAGGAAAGAAAGTGGAGAGCAACTGAAGGAGAATAGTGAAGGAAAAAAAAAAAGAAAAAAAAAAAGGAAGGGTCAAATGAAAGTCAAAGGAGGGGAGGAGAGACACAGGATCATGGTCAGGGACGAGAAGCTCGGATGGGATGGTCTGACAGCGTGGACCAGAATCTAAAAGGCCCCGCCTGTTGTCGTCGTCGCAGTGGGAGACCCATTTGCCATGCCATCATACGGTGCGCATTAGTGTAAAAATATACCCAAACAACGGCAGTTGCTCTGGTAAGAGTTACTAGAGGAACTTGTCTTGCAATAACAGACGGGAGGAGCAGAAAAAGGGTTGATGCACTTCCAGGGCAAACAAGAGCATCCAAAGGATGTCAGAAAGTCATGTAATTCAATAGGGCGCCGATAAATATAGACTTGAGCGAGAGATGCAGTCGCTGCTGTTTGGTGTCTGAGAGCAGTAGGAAACAAGTAGGCCAGTAACTGCATCCAGCGTACATGCTGCTGCACTGCACTGCGTTGCATCTCAGGACTCCTAACTTGAAACTCGAAGGGCGACCGTCCTCCAACATTGACCGTTGGACATGAACGCAGGTGCACATTACCATGAACGGCAAACACAGGATTGCATGCAGGTTAGGTGATGGGTTCCAAACAACCTGGAAGAGGGCAAGATACACCAGTCTAGGTCGTTCTTTGTCTTTATGCATCGATCTAAAGAAGATATAGATCTATGGCGAGTTTGTTAGTTGTTGATTTCAAGAATGCTTAGGGCGCAAAACGATATGACAACGGCCGAAGCAGATATTTTTCTTCAATAGAACATTCTCACGTCCGAAGCCAAGATTACCAACCCGGATTCCGGATGACGCTGACGCATCCACGCGTTGATCTATTCTCGTAAAATAACCAAATGGGGCAGCAGGACCAGTTGACGTGGCCATCCTTAGGAACCGCCGAGAACACTGGGCATTTTTTCCCTTTTTTATTAAGTGCTTTGGAAGGTCATAAAAGGGCTGCAGCGATTCTTCTAGACCCACTACAAGCACATCTTTCTTTCACTTTTACATACGCCTCCTCACAACAGCACACCAAGCGCTTCAAGGACACTCATCAGCACTACCTAGATCATGGCCCGCTCTCGCGCTCGCGCTGCCCCCTCTCAGCAAACCCGTAAGGCCTCGACGATGCCTTCGCGCCAGGCACCTCCTCCACCTCCGCCTGCGCGCACGGCACCTCCACAGCAACACCAGCAGATGTCCCCTGCGCAACAACAACCATCATCCATGGCTCATCCTGCACCCCGGCAGCCCGGACTGTTTGGCCAAATGGCGTCTACTGCCGCTGGTGTCGCTGTCGGCTCTACTATCGGACACACCGTCGGCCATGGCATTACTGTAAGTCCTGCCGCTCTTGAAGAAGAACTATGGAGAAAAATGTTGCGCTATACTAACATATTGCTACTCCATGCTTTTTGTTCATTGCTCTTCATAGTCAATGTTCGGTGGCGGATCATCGGCACAGGCAGAAGTACCAGAAACACAGCAGCAGCAGCAGCAGTACCAGCAGCAACCGGCATACTACAGCAATGCTGCAGTCCAGAGTGCAACAACATCATGCGATGCGAGCGCCAAGGCCTTCACAAAATGTCTGGAGGTGAACGGAAACGATATGGGCGCATGTCAATTCTATCTCGAGCAACTTAAAGCATGTCAAGCATTTGCAGCCCAACAGCATTGAACCATGGAATGAGTGCAGCATTTAGTAGGATATCCGCCCATGCGGACTATTGTAGATTCCCCCAACAACATCAACAACAACTTGTAACAACAGCTGAAGAATAAAAGAATGGACTGTAGTGCATTCTGTTTGTTTTGCGGACACATACAAGAACACGACGCGCGTAGATGGGAAAAAGGAAAAAAAAGGAAAAAAAAAAAAGATCGCAGTGTGTAGTGTGCTTTGAGATCTTTGATATATCGAATGGCGTGCCAACTTCATTCATACATTCATATGGAACTGCATGGCTGAGCATGAGAAGGTTCGATGCAAAAAATCATTATGATAGCAATTGGCAAAAGAGCAGTTGGGTGAGAGAGAGACATGTTTTTGTACGAGTGTCAGGTCAGGATGGGCAAAGAAGGCTCAGTTGGAATGCTCATCCGCGGAAGTGGCGAACAGAAGCAGAGAGGTGGCCCGGGCTAAGCACTACGGTAATTAACGAAATGGTCTAGGGGGAATTGGACCAAGGCGACTCAAACATATTAGATGTAAGATAACCCCTGGGCGCGGACTTTTTTCTGTTTGGATGGCTGTTGGGATCCGACCCCAGATAAAAATACTCTCCCTGCGAGAAGAAGCCAGAGACAAACATGGATTTCCCTCCCTCCGCGCGGGAGTTGAATACACAGGGAATGTTTGTGTGCGGGTGCGTGCTAGACTAGGGTAACTACAGCGCAGAGTGGATAGTGTTTATTTATGCTCACTGTTGCGTGGGTGGAGAGACCATGCACCAGCCTGGTTAATAGTTTCCTTCATCCCGCTTGCTCACGGCCTTCACTCCTCTCCTCCTCATCCCTCCTCATTCCTCCTCCACTCCTCCCTTTCATCTTCATCATCATCTTCACCATCACCATCATGCCGCCATTACAGCACTCCTCCTCCGCCTTCGATCTCGCTGCTGCAATTCCCTTTGCTGATCAGACGCCCTCGCCCTTTGACATAATGTTCGACCCCACTCTCACCGCCTCGGCCGCAGAGGACCCTGTTCAGCAGCATCACCAGCAGCGCCAGTGTGCTCCCTCTGCTGCTGCCCCCTTGCCCTCCGAAGCCGACATATCTGCGCTCTTTGGGTTGCCACCAACCCAGACAAAGGCTCCGATGGTTCAGGTGCCTGTAGTGTCCGCGCCGACTCCTCTGGCCCCTCCTGCACACTACTCCCTGCAGCATCGCCAGCACCATTCACAGGAACAGACTCCAATCGCGCCCATCCCCGCGACTCCTGCATTCTACGGAGCCCCTTCCTCCACATCATTATCAGCATCTACAGTGCCAGCAGATCGTACCAGAAAAACAACGGCACTTCATCGGTACCCCTCATATAGCCCGACTCCTGCGACCTATAGCGTAGAGCCCCAGCAGCAACCGCAGGATCATTCATACCATCATCATAATCATCATCATCATTACCAACACCAACAGCAATATCAGCAGCAACAACAACAAGTACAGCATACCCCTTACCAGCAATACAATCCTAATCAATACAATGTCAATGGCTACAGCGTCGTCAACGCGGATTATTCCAACGAATCGACATTCTCTGCTGTGGATTTGACACCCCAGCCAAACCAGACTAAGGCGGACCCTCTGATGCTCAACGGGCCCTCTCGGTCCATCTTTTCACGGTTCGGAAGTGGGAAGGCCAGTTCCCCTGGACTGTCGACCGAGAGCCATGCGACCTTTGCCCCCAAGCTAGCCAAGGTCGCTGCGAGCTATGTGTCCAGCACGCTGGCCGTTACATCAACGTTTGCAAGCGAGAAACTCGCGACTGCCTCGACCAAGATTGCAGATCTCTGGCAGCATAACCAGCATGTCCTCCCTCAGCAGCAGCAGCAGACGCATAATCAACAGCAGCATTACCAGCAGCAAGACCAAGGCAACTTGTACGACTACAACAATTATTACACAACTGCACCAACTATTAATAACAGCAGTAGCTCGGTCGACCCCAGTACATCTTCATATGAAGGCGGCCAAGCGCTCAACACTGCAAACCATAACAGCAATTACAATTATCAATCGTCGTCCTACCATAACAACAACAACAATAACAATAACAATAACAATAGCCCGAACCAAAACAACAATTACGGCGCCAGAAACCCGTTTGCCGCGTCGGCGACCTCCACCCTCTCGAACGCTGCCTCAGTCGCGGGCTCGTACTTGCCCAGTCTGTCCAAGCTCCCAGCTCTGCCTGCTTTGCCAGCCCTTCCCGCCCTCTCTGCTTTGCCGGCGCTTCCTTGGGGCAATAGAGACAAGAGCCAGCAACTCCCACAGCAACAGCCTCACACTCAGCAACAACCGCAACAACAACAACAACAACAACAGTATCAGCAACAACAGTATTCCTCCGAAGGCTACTACAACTCGTACGAGCCATCCCAGAATCAGATGTACCAGCAGCAGCAGCAGCGACAGCAACAACCAGACCTTGCATACTACAATAATTCCACTCCTAGCGATGGTGGTATCCTCGCTGGCACAGGTGCTTGGTGGGGTGGGCTCCGGGATGAAGTGCAAAAGGGCCGGAGGATGGTTGAGACGGGGGTACAGGCCGGAGTGGCGTGGTGGTGGGATTCGGACGCGAAGAACCCTATGAGGAATGTTGTGTAAATCGCCGAGCACAAGGGGGAGGGTGGCTGGAGATACCGAGGAAACATTTTATGACATGCATGAGTTCACGACTAGGTTGTGTAGGGTCCATCTTTCTGTAACATTTATATTATTCATTTTTCTGATGCCCTACCTATCTACTATCTACTATTCTACTTCTACCTAATAATATTTACTACCGTAATAGTGATAACAATAGCAATAATCACCATTCATCGCAACATATACAACAGCACGTATTATGGCTGACATTGCACGCGACATGGGAAAGATGGCGCGTCTCTAGTCGCCCTTTTTGACCAAGGGGGTTGTATGACATGGCGTGGGCACACAAAGGCGAAGCAATTGTAATTTTGCCACCGTTTGCCTGCCGCAGTTCCCACTAGCAGGCATTTTTTTCTTGTGGCCACTGTTGCATGAGGTCCTTTGCTGATATCTGTCCCATTAACGCGTAGGGTTTTTTCTTTTTCCTTCTTGGTGTCTGCGTCGAGATGTCGTTGCCCTTGGACAATTATTTTCGAGTAAGAGGTTCAATCTCTATCTTCATAAAGCGCAAGCGACGCAAAAAGAACAAGAAGCGCATCAGATAGAAACTCATGGAACATCGATGTTGCTGATCACTTCTGTCCAGATCGTCCCTGAAGATTACTCGTGTGCCTGAAGACCCCAAATGTCCGTCTTGACATCCCAATATTAAAGAGCCAAGCATGGAGGGGAATGGATTCGCCCGCCATGCTTCAACGGGTATATCTCAATGATAAGCTACATATGTCTAATGTCTAAGAAGACGACATTGGCTTCTGTTGAGCTGACAAACAGGCCCGCCAGGGCTGGAGAAGTGGTTTGGTATGTTCGTATTTTGTTTTATTCTCTCGTGTCAATTGCTTCCTTGCATTGACGTGTTTCTCATTTCTGGTCGCGAAGAAACATTGCCCGTCGCGTCGGAAGCGTTGTGTGTACGTGTGCATGAGCTGCGTTCGAGGATCAGATCCTGTTGCTGCTGAAGAACGACTGAGTGCCGCCAATTCAAAGGAAAAAAAAAAGCATGCCCCTCACTGTTCTCAACGGGAAGAATAAGGTAGATCTTCTCCAGCCCTGAACGTAAATGGGTCGACTATCAACATTACGCTCATCATTTCTAGCCCTGCAACCCCATAGTTGAGCTGTTAGTAATATGTACAAGTACATGTACATGCATCTGAGGTCATGGCTCTGCTCTCTGTTCCCTGTCCTTCCTTCACCCTCCCCCCTTGTTGCCACCACTGCACCTCTTCTTCGTTCTGTGTCCACACCTCCTTCTCACTCCTTCACTCCTTCACTCCTTCGCTCCTCCACCCCTTCCATCCCTTCACTCCCTCATTCCCTCTCTCGCCTAGTACCTCTGCTCTCTCAGGCATAGCTCGCCTCCAAGCCCTTACCTCCTCCCCCCCCGCTCCTTACTCCTTCCCACCCTCCACGCGTCATTCCTCCATGATCAACGACGCAAACAACATTGTCCTTGCCGTGGTACGGACGATCTCCCCCCCGCTTCATGTGTGATCTCCTCCTGCCCTTCGCTTTCTTCTCCCACGCATCCATACTGACCCTGGCCTCGTTGGTCTGTGTTCAAAAACTCTATCGGCTGCTGTTCTTAGATGGGCGCCGTCGGCAATGGCAAGTCCTCAACCTTGAACTCGATCATTCAGGAACCTCTTTTCCAATCAGGACGTGCTGTCGGTGTAAGTAAACCCAGGTGGTCACCCTCCTCCCTCGCGCGCGTTCTCTTTCTCTCGCTTTCTTTCTCTCTTCCTTTCCCCTATTCTCTTTAATATATCATAGGAGCACTTTCTTCCGTATCATCCTCATCGTCATCATCATTATCATCATCAATGACTCTCAGCGTATCTTTTCTGGCACCTTCCTTGGAAGGGACCAATTGATCATCTGAGGAGGGCTGTGAAGAAAAAGAAAAAAAACGATAACAGCACCGCCATTAAGCCATTAAAAAAAAAAAAAAAAGATGCCGGGCACATCAAAGTACCTCAGTGGTACTGTTGCTCTCTGTGTTTGATCTACTCTTCTAACTCACCTCAACTATGCATTTTATGTGCGTGTGTGTGTGTGTATGTATGTTCTTCTTTGTGGCTATCCCACTCATAGCCTGTAACGCAACAAATCGGCAGTTGTGTCCGTCACTGGAGGCTGCCCGAGGTCGGACGAACGGTTCATATTGTTGATACGTAAGTCCTGCAAAGCTCTCGGAGGAAGATGTCTCGCTTCTCGCTCACAACACCGATTCATGTTTTTAAAAAACGCCTCAAGGAACATTGGGAGCAGGAAACCTTGATACAGTACTGTTCGGGATACAAAACAGGCAGACGTTTTTTTTATTTTTTATTTTTTGACTTCGCCATGGATCGCGCTGGAAAAGAAAGAAAACAAGAAAAAAAAGATACGCCTGGCTTCAAGCTGGGGCGGGGGAGGGGGGAAGACCAAAAAGGATCTTGCTCCTTTTGTGATGTTGCACGTCATCTTCCGACCCAGTCCGCACACAGACAGGTGTCATATCCGACACTGCAGGTGTCTGAACTCTGGACGGACTATTACGCATACTCAAACAGGGACATCAGCTGGATGGGCAAGGAGGCAAGGAATATTCCATAGTGCGGAAGGAGAGAACAGGAAGAATTCTGCGATAGATGTTTTGTACCACTCAGGACATCTGTCACATTAACGGTTGAATCGCGATACTAACCGCAGCAACGTCTTTGATTGAATTCGTAGGCCTGGCATGTGCGACTCGACATACAAGGATGTGGAGAATGTTCATCTGATGGTCGAGTTTTTCAAGACGCTTTCACACGGAGTGAGCGCATTCGTGCTTGTCTTTAATATCCACAACACCAGGTAACCAAGATGTTTTTTCCTTTCGCCTTTCGAACCCTCAATTGTTCAGAACTGAAGGACTAGGGCATCAAGAGAACAATGCTAATAAGAGAGAGAAGAAAAAACAACAACAACGTATATTAATACTTGTCATTGTACGTACTGGCATATAGATTGGATGAATACACAAAGAACATGCTGAGGCTGTTTGAGCGGCTGTTGGGCCCTCAATTCTGGAAGCATGTGGTGATTGTCTTTACACATGTGGACGAGGACCAGAGGGATTATCTGGAGGAGAACATTGACGCGTTGACGGACCCCGTGGACGGATTCGTGAAGGTGATCCACCAGTGGTTCCAGCTGCAATACCACCCACCACTGGTCTTTCTCTCGAACCGGGACACACGCTACAGTCAATACGCACGCGATTGCTTCATGGATCTGTACGAGGCCGTGGTGTCGGTCGAGGGAGGCGCACGTAGGGAAAAATTTACGTGCACGTTCTTCCAGGAGGTGAACAACCGCACGGGCATTGTGCAGGACAACTTTATCGTCCACAGTATCCGATCTGCAGCATCGGCGATCCCACAGATGGTGCAGTCGGGAACGAGGGCGGTTGCGAATGTCTGCAGTGTTATGTGAGCAGAGCAAAGAGGCGAAAGAGAATGCAAAAAAAAAAGGACATAGAAACCATACCATGCTGGTTCCAATAAAAAAAATATTATCTATTCCAACTATTGAAGCGAATGCATAGAGAGGAGAGGAAAGGGAGAGAAGCGAGATGTATCGATGTATTGTTAAAGAGCATTGAAGCGAGAGAAAGGAAGGAAGAAAGGGGGATATGGATTATGTGTTAGCGCCTTGAGGCTCATTCGCCTGGGAACGAAGGAAGGCGAGAGATAAGCTTCATTTTGCTTGGGGGGACCGAAGGAGAACGAAGGTATGGGGGTGAAATAAAGTTCTTTCACTTGGGAGGCCGTTGCTGTGCACTTTGAGGCGAGGCGAAGTCAAAACTGGGCGCTAGCATCCATGGCTGAAGTAGACTGGCACAAATAAACTGCGCACTGCGGATGAAGCTAGTAGAGATTAGACTCAATCTGCCAAGGCAAACTGCAAAGCGGGACCGAATCTTGCGAGATATGCCATTTAGATGAGGGGAGAGAGGGTATCCATAAAGGGGAGGAGGGATGGCACATGGATCCCATTTAGATGTGAGTGTGTGTGTGTGTGTGTGTGTGGACAAAGGCTATGTGTATGTATAGTCTAGAGGCCATGCCATTTTGGGTACGGGTGGCCCAGGTGGAGGGCGAATTAGACTTGACCTAACACACGACAGCCGCATGCACAAGCAGATAAAAGATCCACGCTAGCCTTCTTTCCCCCCTCTTTTTGCAGGGAACAGGTATGGGTCGAAAATAACCCACCAACAAGGTTCAACTTCCATCTCACACGACAACAACAACAAGCGGCGGAGGGACAGAGGGCGAGGGCAGCCCTAAGGTGGCCAAGAGGATTCTCGCTCACACGTCCTCCTACCGACGATGGCAAGGAACAGGAGAAGATGTCAGAGTGTCGACACCCAGCATATCCAGCTTCTCTCTCTCGACGCAGATCTGCACAGTGCCCATTGGTTAATGGAGCTCTATTTCTCAAAAAAAAAAAAAAAAAAAAAAAGACAGCCATAGCCCCCCTGCTGGCCTCCGACGGATAAAAGATTCACAGACGGAGGATTTGGCCCGGAAGAGACCATTGGGTATCTTTGCGAGGGTAATTACATGCCCAGGGACCACTGGGATGGCCCACGTCGTTTATTTGCTGAGAGCTAAAACGGGAATGCCTTTTCGCTCTTCGACTTCCACCCTTCCTGGCTGTTTTCTCTGTTTTCTTTCTCCCGTTCCTCTCTTCCTCCCACTTTGCTATCCTCTTCATATATACTGTATTTTCACACTTTCATTAATTTCATCCGCCCCACTCCTCGTCCTTCTTCTCGTCCCCTTTCCTCGCTCGTTCTCCCCATACCCAGTCTACCATGGAGAACGGCAGAAACCCTTCCTCGCCGCCGTCGTATAGGCCCTCTACCCCTCCATCGCCCTCACCACAACCACTCTCCTCACACTTCAGCACCCCAACTTCTGCCTCGACGGCCTACAATATCCATCAGTCGGACGAACACCTCTCCGCTTCATGGAGACGCAACCACAAGCAAAACCCAAGCCAGGAATCCAACAAATTCCAGGAACAAGACGGTTTCAGTCCATTCAATCCGCTCCTCCCCACCTCTTACAAGGACAAACAGCACAGCAGTGGCAATGCTGAGAATCCTAGTACCAGGACAGTCGTCTCAATTCGCATCTTGGCAATCGTCATCTTAATCTCGCTCTTTTCATGGTTCTATCTTGAGGCGCTTGCAGGAGGCGATATCGAATGGGTTAAAGACCATCTGTCGATGCTTGGTGTGAACCTGGTCCTATCGGTGCTCTGTCTAACGACAGCCCTCACCATGATTGTGCTGACGCCCATGTCGACGACCTTTGCAGTTTCCCTTTTCAGCGGAATCGCCGTGATCCTCTTTGCGCTCAAAAAGTGGGACGACGGAGAGTCGTTTGAGACCCATGGCGCCTACAACATGCTAGTCTTCCTGGTCATCCTGGTGCCGCTTAATGGACTGATCCAATCGATCCTGTTCTGCCGCCGAAAGATGTCGCCTCCAAAGTTCCGACGCTTCATGACCATGAACATCATGGGGACCACGGTCGTGACGACGCTCATGTTGATGTATTACCACTCGATCTGGGGGATCGGAGCCAACGGAGCACATTTGATCCATGGTACCCGTGCAGGAGCACAGCTGTGCGAATGGGATGGTCTTAATATTCCGGCTGTGGATCTTTTGCCGAATTACATCCAGAACTTTTGGACGGGCCAGCTTTCTTGCCCAGTCATAACAGGAATCGATGCGGAATGGTCCCACGACGGCATTTTGACCATCAATTGCCTCAACAAGGAATTCAAGGCGTCTGGACAGCAACCGACGTATGATGTCTTGCCGGATACAAAGTCATGGCCTGCCCCGGATAAGATCATGCACACGTACAACAAAAAGATCGTGGAACGGACACAGAGACGTGATTACACCGAACCCGTGCTCGTGAACGACGATGGTGTCGAGTCGCTCGTTGCCCACTGTGAGGCCGGTGTCTCCAAGATCTTGATTCGGGTCGTCCGCGACGAGGCTGTGCTGGAGCGAGTCAGGACAGTGGAGAAGGTGCGTCAGGAACAGGAGGAGACCACGACTGTGGAGCAGGAAATGGCGGATGTTCTGAATGACGAGACTGATGGGCATGGCCAACGGACGAGGAAGCCCAATGTCATGGTATTGTTCATGGATGCGGTAGCACGCAGACAGTTTTACCGTAAGCTGCCCAAGACCGCAGCCGTTGTCGCCAGTCTCGACAAGACTACGCAGGGAGGACCGCAGCTGCATGAATTCTTCCGTTATCATGCTGTGGGATTCAACACTGATGCCAACTCGCGTGTTGTCTATACCAACGCTTCAGACCGCCTGGACCCTGCAGCACTTCCGATTTGGAAGAATTTTCATGAGGGAGGATATATCACGTCGAGGGTGGAGGACAACTGTGAGGACTGGTCAACTCAATACACGGGAATTGCGACCTCGCAGTACTTTGACCATGAGCTGCAGTCGCCCTTTTGCTTGCCTCCGTACTACGCACTGGACAAGAACCCGTTCTCGAACTTTGAGGGGCCTTATTCGATTGTGGCCAGATGTCTCCATGGCAACAATGTTCACAAGTACGCATTGGATTACATGAACCAGTTCAGACGTGCATACCCCGATCAGCCATGGTTCCAGATGGGTTCGTTTATTGAGGGACATGAGGGTACAGGCGAGGTGCTGTTGACGCTGGACAATGATTTTGCAAAGTTCATGAAAGGTATGATGTTGTGCACATGGATGAAGAAAAAAAAAAGAAAAAAAGGGTGGTTTGTAATCAGGCAAGAGGTACAGAATACGATCATTGACGACTCTTGGTTTTTTATTCGCATCCCATAGGAATGGAGGAGGATGGCACACTTGAGAACACCATTATCTTTATGATGGCAGACCATGGTCTTCATATGGGCATTAATTTCATGTTCACTCCTAACGGACGCATCGAGCACATGTAAGTTACTGCACTTGTTTTTTTTATTCAGGCGCCTTGTATGGATGACCAACCAATACACCAATATTGAAGAACTATACACTGACAACTTACTATTCTTATTTCTTCAGGAACCCATATCTGTCAGTTATTCTGCCGCCGCTTGTCACCAAAAAGTACCCCAGTCTGAGCCGCGGTCTGATGCATAACCAACAGTCGCTCGTGACCGGATACGAGATTCATGCGACGCTGAAGATGCTGGCCTCTGGAGCGATGCCCGAGGCAGGAGACGACGATGATGTGGACGGCGGCGCGTGGAGAAGCGGAACACTGTTTGATGAGGAACTGAACCCTGGACGGACATGCGAGCAGGCCAAGGTACCGGAGGAGTACTGCAAGTGTCGCGCCGCATAGAGAAATGGAGTGTTGTGTAGGTTGTGTAGGACAAGCCTACAGGTGAGGGGGGGGGGCAAAGGAGCGTTTCTATTCTCGATAGAATAGAGTCATTTTATTACATACATTCATATACTGCGCATTGCATACTAATATTAAAATCGGCAGCGGAAGGGTCTCTCTATGTCTGGTTTCTTGAGTAATCCGGGTGCGAGAGCTGGAGGATAGTGCGTGGGCCAGTGATAGTAAGGCCCAGTTGATTGCCAAAAAAGGGTTTGTAGCGAAGCATTCGGGTGATCGCATCTGATAACGCGGAGGGGGAAAAGGATTAAAGGATTTGGGTCGAGGGATTGCGACGTGGGCGTAAAGGAAGCCAGCAGCCGATCAAAGCGTGGAGCTAGTAGCACGAGGCCCTTAGTCCCGAGTCAGAGCGAAACGAAAATCTGATAAAAATTTTGGGCGAATAGCGGGGGAAGAAAACACTCGATCTGATAACCTTACTTTGGCGGATGCAGCATGGCGTATACTTTCATCCTCAGCAACCCGCCTTCGTCCCTGACTGTGGTGGGTCATCCATATACAACTGCCGTGGAGTCACTCGCAGAGGGGGGGCAGGCGAGGGAGGATCAGGGGGGAAAAAACGATCTGATAAAGAAAGAGCCAGCTGTTGACGAACTATTCTTTCTTTCTTTCTTCTTCTCTCTCTCTCTCTCCCTCTCTATACCTTTCCATTTCAACCTCTTCTTCCGCTCCCCTCGAATACCTCACATCCTTCCCATCCACTCGTGCCTCTCAACAGATCGGCCTCACTCAGCAACTGAAACATTGTTCCAGCACCCTTTTCTTCTACATCATTGCTCAAGGTAAATCAGCTACAAACGATCTCCTTCCACCATACCATTCCCCATACAGATCGCCATTTGTGGAGTGGCGGGAAGTAAAGAGACCAACAAGTGACGGGATATGACGACAGTGGCGTACATGTATAGCGCGCAGTGGATGTATTTTCTGTCCAAACAATACATTAAAGGGAAAAACAAGGCGGGTCCACCATGGCGGCCGAAGAGATCCTCTGAGGGAGGGGGAGAGAAAGATGTGAGCAGAGAGTGCGTGCGATAGGAACCTGGAGGGATTATCTTTGATGGTCGAATGCCAGTTGACTGGCATCATGCAGAAAGATGGATAAGAGAAAAAAAAAAAAAAAAGAAGGTTTGCTCAGCTTGTAGCCTTGGCAAACAAATCGAAAACAGCAGCTCTCTCTCTTGCAGAAAAAAAAAAAAGAGGGAGCGGGGGAAGGAAAAATGTGGGGCTCAAAACGTGTACAAAAAAGTCTTTGAGGAACCAAGAGGGATAGAGATGCGTGCGGGGTAAACCTGACCTGGAAAAATACCTTGGATGTTATCAGATTTACACAGTTCGTTTTTAACTGTGTGGGACAAGGTCTGATTCGGATCAAAGACCCCAGGTGGCCGTTCGATCAGATAGAGTCCCCCTGCTGCGCAATGGGCCTCATTGCAGGCGGGGCTGCTTCGACTTTATCCACGAATACGGGTGAGATGGGGCTCCCTCTCGTTGTGTTCCGTGGGTTCCCCCCACTGTCGGCAGGGAACAAAGGAGAGGGGGGAAGTGAACGGTGAAGAGCAGTGGGAGTGGGTTCCTATTTCACCCATGTGAAATCGCTGCAGAAGAGTGCGAAACTCTGTTTTTGGTTATGCTCCCAGCAGCGAGATTGATTACGAAGATTCCCTCTGCAAAGTCCTTTGTTTGCATCCCATCGATCAGCGTGGACGGGGAGGGTGCGAGGGTGCGAGAGTGCGAGGGAAGGCGCCGCTGCAGAGGCTGCAGGACGAGAGAAAAGAGTCACTCGAGCCCCGCCCGCGCGGCTCATTCAAGAGATTGTGCGGGCCCGTCGGCGAATGACCGGACGGGGTGTACGATCGCTCCGTTCCTTATCAATCAGATAGTCTTCCACTTTCCTTATTTATGTGCCCACCACTAACCTGCTTTTCCCTTTTCCGTTTCCCCCTCTCCCTTCTCTTCCTTCTTCTTCTTCTTCACTTCTCTTCATCGACAGGATACCCCCCGACCCTTAGTCCCTCCTATTACTTGATCCACCCCCCATCCCCTCCATCATCACCTAAACTCTCCCTTCCCCACCGCAAGCTAGAAAAATGACCCAAGCCGATGTCGAATATGAATACGAGGCCCTGCCCGAGAACTCCTCCCTCGCCGCAAGTCTGATGGCCGGTGCCCTTGCTGGTGTTGCCGAGCACGCCGTCATGTACCCAGTCGACTCTATCAAGGTAAACGATCATCCTCATCCTCATTCTTTCTCTCTGCTCCTCCATCGCCTGTTTTGCTGTTACCGGGAATCAGTGCCAATACCATCATGATATGAGTGCTGCAGGACAATAGAGACTCTGCAGAGCGACCGATCCGATGTGCAGCATCAGGACTTGGTGTACATTATGGCCTAGGAAATACAGACCTCAAGAATGACGAGTACACTAGGGATCAACTGTTGTGCTGGTGGCGATAAAAAGAGGGTCAAGCGAGTCTGATCAGTGGAATCAGCAGATCGCACCTGGAGTGGATTCAACAACAGAATGAATCTTGCCTCGATCAGTCAAGCGGAATCAGAAATGAGCCACGATCTTACACATCTTGAGTGTTCGCCCACCTGTATTGAATAGCATCATTCTAACCACTCGATCCGTTTTACATACTGCACCATATAGACCCGTATGCAGATCCTCCAGCCCACACCCCAGGCAGTCTATAGCGGCGTTATCAACGCTGCTTCAAGAATCTCAACCACAGAGGGCGCCAGAACCCTGTGGAGGGGTGTCAACTCCGTGATCATGGGTGCTGGTCCCGCTCACGCTCTCTATTTTGCCACATATGAGGCTGCCAAGGAAGCCTTTGGCGGTAACGCAACTGGACACCATCTTTTTGCAGCAGGTAAGCACAATTGACAGGACCCCAAATAGACACAGCTTTAGTATGGTTTTCGAGATAATCTGTACTGGCTGGGAGGACTGTACTCTACTGCCATGCATGCAAACAAACGTAATCGATCAGTCCTGCCAGAGAGGGTGGGAGGATGGGGTGTGGGCTGGAAAGGCTCAAAGTGAACAAAACAACAACAACAGCAACAACGACAATTACCACCACCGTTTGCCTCAAGATACAGCTTGTGTTTATGTGTGTGTGTGTGTGTGTGTGTGTGTGTGTGTGTGTTTGTGGTGCTCACAATTTCACGGCCCCTCATTCATCTCTCAAAGTCATTATCAACGAGCGTGTACTAACCGCCACACTTTATTCTCTAGCTTCTGCCGGTGCATGTGCTACGATCGCCCACGATGCTCTGATGAACCCATTTGACGTGATCAAGCAGAGGATGCAGGTCCATGGATCCGTCTACAGAAGTGTTGCCGAGTGCGCAAGCAAGGTCTACCGGGCCGAGGGGCTCCGGGCCTTCTACATTTCATATCCCACCACCCTGACCATGACCATCCCCTTCCAGTCCATCCAGTTCGCCACCTACGAATATCTGCGCAAGGTGCTCAACCCTTCAGGACAGTACGATCCCATGACCCATATCATGGCTGGAGGTGTCGCTGGTGCCGCTGCCGCTGCTGCAACCACACCATTGGACGTTGCCAAGACCCTGCTTCAGACGCGTGGCGAATCTAAGGATTTGAGGATAAGGAACTGCAACGGTCTCGTTGAGGCATGGAGATTGATCTATCAGCGCCAGGGACTCGCCGGTTTTGCCAAGGGTCTTCAGCCTCGCGTCCTGAGCCATATGCCATCGACAGCCATCTGCTGGAGCGTGTACGAATATGGAAAGTTCTTGCTCACTCGCGACAGCTTGGACAAGCAGCCGATCATGACTTGAGCGTCTTTTCCCTCTTGCTCTTGCTCTTGCTCTTGCTTTCTTGTGTTTTGCTATCCCTCTCTTCGACCTTATTCCCCATCCGATCTTGTCCTTTTATCATGAAAAAAAGTGTTTTATATTGTTTTTTGTCTATACATTCTTTCTCTACTCCACTCAACTTGCTTCCTTTTCACCCCCCAAAAGTGATGCATCCCCAGCTCTTGTACGATAGGTAATAGTTTTTTTTTTTTGTTCGTGTGAATATAGTGATATCTATACATAAACGTTTCAACAACAACAACAGCATCAAACTGTCCTTTTGCTACCATGTGTATGACAGTGAAATTCATACGTCACCGCAGTACCAATCGCACGCTATGTTGTGTTGAGATTCGAGTTGTATTTTTTTGTTCGCCCAGCAACACTGGATGGATCCTGCGCTCGACTCGATTTGACTTCTGCTCTTGAATCCCTCCATCCCTTGCTCCCTCACCCGCTTCGATCATGATGGACAACTTCTCGACCCTGCACTTGGCTTTGCCAGCCGTGCACACCGTTGCCAGCGCCACTGCTCCCGTCACGACATTGGCCCAGCCTAGAGCCTTCTCCACCAGCGTCAACCCCCTGGTGTTCTTCAGCATTCTCGATCACTACCTGCGCCGCAACGCTGATCAGGACAGAGTCATCGGTACCCTTTTGGGTGTCCGTAGCGAGGATGGTGCCGAGGTCGAGATCAAGGGATGCTACCCCGTTCCCCATCTCGAGTCCCAAGACCAGGTATGACAACTTGACCTATTTTTTTTGGAGACCTCTTTGCGACTACCGCCTCACCATACCAACAGCAACAATGTAGTGGCAACAGAAGCAGTGACATGGTCGGCTATTAGCGATATTGGATTAGTTTTACAGCACATTGTCAAGGAGTCGCATACGACACTTAAAATTACTCAGGAAAGACTTCACGATCTTGGAAACGCTTTTAACACTCCTTGTCATCGCTCTGTTTCCACATCCCAGGTCGAGGTCGATATGGAGTACCACCGTACCATGTTTGATCTCCACAAGCAGGTTAACCCTAAGGAGGTCATTGTTGGATGGTAAGCGTCTTGAGCTGGAGTAGTGCCATTTATTGCGCGGAAGGACATGTCGATACAGGTCTGGATCTACATCTTTAGTAAGGATCAACCAAAATGCTGACCAAGATCAATGACAATGAACAATCAAAACAAATAGGTATGCCACTGGCGCCAATCTCAACTCGTACTCTGCCTTGATTCACGATTTCTACCAGAAGGAAGTCTCGTCCTTCCCTGCAGTTCACCTCACCATGGACACTGCCTTGACCAACGAGCGTTTGGGCGTCAAGACCTATATCTCTGCCCCTGTCGGCATCACATCCAAGGCTGTCAACTGCATGTTTATCCCCATACCTTGCGATGTCAAGTACTTCAAGGCTGAGAGAGCTGGACGTAAGTGCTGAGTGTTGCGGAGATCTTGGTTGTCGTTATTGCTCTGAAGCGGCTGAGGTTTTTCAATTGCTAACAGCTGCATGTCTATTTTCACTCCACCACCCTGCAATATTCATGGATCGTTCACATCAACGCAGTCGAACTCCTTGCCAGTGCCAAGAACAACGAGAGCGGATCGACCACATTGCTTTCGGACATGGACAACCTGGAGCGCGCAGTGATTGAGGTTCAGAGCATGTTGGAACGTGTTTCGGAATACGTTGATGCAGTACTTGCAGGAACCGTTCCCGCCAACAACACTGTTGGCCGCTATCTCATGGATACTGTCAGTGTTGTCCCCAAGGTTGATGCTGCCGAGTTTGAAAAGATGTTCAACTCTCACCTCCAGGATCTCCTCATGGTCATTTACTTGGCCAACATGACGAGGACCCAGTTGGCCGTTGCAAAGAGACTGGAGAAATTGTTGTAATAGTAGAAAGGAAGACCTCTGCCTTTTGTTGCGTGGGAGGAAGGAGGAAAGTTGGGACATTGGGAAGATAGAGTTGCAGAAAGAACGTGTAAGATCATCCAAGATAGTTAGATTGTATGTGACAAAAAAACGCTCCCCCAATACGAATGCTATCCTAAGGCTATCAATCACACCTTGTCGTCTTATTTCCCCGCATCTATCGAAGCCTGCCGAAACAAAAGGCTTCGCGTTCTTGGCAGTGCATGCATGCGTTGATACCTATAAAATCTGCACTCTTTGACAACTCTCCATCGCTCCCTACCTTGCAAATGCACCTTCATTTCACCAAAACACACCTTTGACTTTGTCACTCCTTCTCCTACGCATTCCCAATATTTCCCAACAGAACCATGCTTTAATGCAAAATATAACTTTTATCCCTGTTTTCGGTTGGCATACGACAGCCCTGAACGTCCTGCAGACCCAGGCTCGACAGGGCCAGCACGACCAGCAGAACGTCGTTCTGCGTCGACGGCTTGCAGCAGCCAAGGCCGACAGCAATGCGTCTGTCCACAAAGCTCTCGACACGCTACAGTGCTGAACATCTAATTGCGACAAGAGACTTTTGACTAGAAACGCCTATTTCATTTTCAAGTACAGCCGCTGAATCGAAGTTTGGGTCATCAAAGTGCATATTATCCTTCCCTCTACAAACCGAAGTGCACCGTTTGTCAATATAGCCTCTAGTTCAAAGGCTTTTGAGCTTCAGCGTTTTCTACGTACACTCGCGATTAGATGTCCCGCACTATAGCGCAACTCGGCCTGGTCGTCGAGGGTGTCCCCATTGCCCGACTATCCAATAGAACACTGTAATGAACAGTGCACCATATCCACACACCTCCAACATTACCTCCAGCGACTCTTCCTTCGCCCGCACCAAAGCCCATCTGTTCAGCGCTTCCAACGCCACCTGTACCATTGGGGGGGTTTTTTTGTAGTACTGACTCGTACCTCCAGACCAGTCAATATCTCTGCATTACATTGACCTATGTAGTACATACTAGCAGAAAAGAGCATCCTTAATGTAATGCAGACGGGAACTGCTTTATACGGTGCCCGTCTGCCCTAGAAATAAAGATCCCTCTCTCTCTTGTCTTGTTGACTTTCTTGTCTGTAAGTGAAAATAAGGGTAAACTATTGCAGTCTCATCCTCGTGCCCACCCAGGCAACCTCCACCTCCAAAGACCTCCCACGGCGAATTGTCGGGAGTGCCGCCACCGCTACCAGGCGGCCCGACCGAGTGGCAGCACCAAGCCCGAGGATGATCAAGGTGCAGAGATGGAAGCGATGATAGCGGTTTAACGCGTTTACTAGAGACAACGACAGCTCCACTGAAGGAAAGAGCACAGGGAAGCGCGCAGAAACTCATTTCAGAGGCGAGCGTAGATACTCTGGATAAAGCCTGGTATATATATTTGTGTAGCCTGGACTCGCGCTGGAGCACCCCGTCAGTATTGTTATTGAGTTTATTCTTATTCTTATTCTTATTTTTTTTTCTTTTTTGGTCAAATAGTCGCGAAAGACTGGTCAAAGACGTCCAGGGCGGGGTCACATCAATAGCCAATGACAACAGGTACAAGGAGGATGAAACCAGGGACGAGTTAGTGACCGAGGGTTTTGACAGAGTCAAGGCCTCCTCCCTAGCCAAGAAACGACTGCCAAGGGAAGTGCTTCAGAGCGCACTGGAATCGCTCCGAGAGTCCGGACCGGATCGATACATGCCCATAGCGAAGTTTCGAGGCATGATCAGTGCCATTAAGGACAACATAAAGCAAGCAGTAGGATGCCACGAGGCTCCTAAAGGAAATGGGGATTATGGTAGAATGAAGACGAATATGGAAAGGTTGAAGCGCTTCAATAGACGCACATAATACCAGCACAACCTTTTTTTATTATCGCTTTATACAACTGCGAACGGCGATGCTGTGCAGAGCAGTATCGACTTTGACCAATTGGGTCGTCTTTTTTTGGCCTCAGCATGTTAAGCAGAGAGGTCTTTGGGCCCTTGGCAGCAGCTCGTGTGGGGCAATGGGAGGCACACGTGATACCAGATTCCTCCAAATGAGGAACGGCGGGCCGAAATGTTCGAACCCTCTCTTTCCACGATTTTTTAAAGTTGTGAGTGCTGACTGTCATACAGTGGACATCCAACCTCGATCCATTGATGGGCCGGGCAGGAATCTATCCATCCAACATGTTATCCATCCGCCCATGCATTCAATTGGCAGCAAAAAGCTATTGCCACATCAGGACCAGGAGGAACTATCGACAAAATATCATCGACACGGCGATCAACTTGGGATTACATGCATTTCATCACCGATCGCATAATCTTTGACGGGAACGTTGTGCAAGCAACGTATTAGTGAAGCCAGAAAACACATTTTCGGACACCACTCTCCCCATGGCGCTATCATTGCTCAGTCCGTTTGCCAATACAGGGAAAAAAAAAATAGCAACAACTCGTATTGATCGAATGAACTCAGTCTGAGGCTCAGGAGTCAGAAGCTTGAAGCCGGATGCATGTGGAAGGCTTTACAAACGATCATAAAGACAAAGGATCACACCAGCATCAGAGTTTAACGCTATACTGCAGTCGACCTCTGCGGAACCTCTGATTCGCCTCACTTCAGCAGTCAACACAAACGCCGCTCAGTGACATCATCTAATCAACTCGATCCACCCTCTTTTTGCGTTCGAATCCACCCCTCTAGAAAATGGGTCGTGTCATTCGTGCTCAGCGTAAGGGTCCCGGAGGAATCTTCAAGTCGCACACTCGTCTGCGCAAGGGTGCCGCTAAGTTGCGTTCCCTCGATTTCGCCGAGCGTACCGGTTACATTCGTGGAATCGTCAAGGAGGTTATCCATGACCCCGGTCGTGGCGCCCCCCTCGCCAAGGTCCAGTTCCGTGATCCTTACAGGTAATAATCGACGACGGTTTCATCGACAACAGCTATGGGGACGCATTCGCTTGGGAAGCACTTGGCTTTTGGTATCGAACAGGAACATTGGAGGAACAGCACCGGGAGCGCCACTTATTAAATAACAGGATTGGCAGTAGCGCAGTGGCTATTTCGACAGGAAGGGTTAAATGCAGCATCGACTATATACAGAGACCGTTGCCATGGAAGGTCACTCAAGCGGTGCACGGAAGACATCAACAGCAACGACAATAGCATTTGGGGGTTTTTGTCAGTAAATGCACCACGCCCCTTCGATATCATCTATGCGGCAACATTACCTGGCGACTTTATTGGCACTACTTAAGTACCGGCATACGACGCCGACTATTTGAATGGCCATCAGGACTGACCCGGATAGTATCTGGGAACAGCCAATGCTGACATGTCTGGTATCTTTACGATCTCTTTGTGCCGTAGATACAAGATGCGCACTGAGACCTTCATCGCCACTGGTAAGTGCACACGGCCATTGCTTCAACTGCTTTATTCCGATCCAGTTCTCTTTGTCCTCTAGCTAATACTAACGGTTTATATTATTTCAATCTGAACTTATAGAGGGTACCTACACTGGCCAGTTCATCTACTGCGGTAAGAAGGCTGCCTTGAACATCGGTAACGTCCTTCCTTTGGGCTCCATGCCCGAGGGTACCGTTGTCTGCAACGTCGAGGAGACCGTCGGTGATCGTGGTGCTCTTGCCCGTACCTCCGGTGGTTACGCCACCGTCATTGGCCACAACACCGATGACGGCAAGACCCGCATCAAGCTCCCCTCCGGTGCCAAGAAGGTCGTCTTCTCGACTGCCCGTGCCACCGTTGGTATTGTTGCTGGAGGTGGTCGTATTGACAAGCCCCTGTTGAAGGCCGGTCGTGCTTACCACAAGTACCGCGTCAAGCGCAACTCGTGGCCCAAGACTCGTGGTGTTGCTATGAACCCGTACGTATTTCTTCGGTTTCCACTGTTGTGTATGTGTGTATGTGCTCAAAGTTCAGCGAGATTGAGATTGTTGCTAACCAGCTTGTGTCCATTACGGCTATCGTTCTTGTTCTTTGGATCGTCTGATAATACAGCGTCGACCATCCCCACGGTATGTTTGCGTGTTTATTATGTTTTGCGTTCACTTGCGTTCACGAAGATATCCAAAGAATGAATGCTAATATACTGGTTTTTTTTTTTTTTTTTTTTTTTTTTTTCGTTCGATCGTCTTTATATGGTGACCAACAGGAGGAGGAAACCATCAGCACATTGGTCACGCCTCGACCATCGCCCGCGATGCCGTCCCCGGTCAGAAGTCTGGTCTCATTGCTGCTCGCCGCACTGGTTTGCTCCGCGGTTCCAAGAAGCTCAAGGAGTAAAGAATTGTTGCCTCCCTGTACTCTTACCCTCAGCTTTTGCTCACAAAATAAACCTTGTGAAAAGAATCACTTTGTCTTTTTTATGTCCAATCGAAAGAAGAAAAAAAAAATGGTTTCCCATGATGGTTGTGTTATTTTTCTTTTTCAACGTGCTTTGAACGCATAAAGACCGTATCGCCTTTGTAGCTCCCAACGTTTGCGCATGCGGGAAATGTCAGCATGGGGGGGGGGGGGGGTGTGTGAAGATTGAAAACATGTTATTGGAATGGGCCTTTCCTCTTTAGGGTAATGCCTCTTGTGAGTTGAGTACAAAAGAAGGAAAGCAGCAATTCTGCCGAAGCACCCTTTCCTTTTCTCTTTTCTCATTTCCTTTTTTTCTCACTATTCCCTTCCTTATTGAAGAAGCGCTCTATCCTTAAAAAAAAAAAGAACAAAAAACATATGAGCGAGAAAACAAAGTATTCGGTCCTACCGACAACGACCGAAGAGGTCAGCAACGACCCTACGGTAGTGGCGGCGAGTACTGTCCAAGAGGATGCCACTGCGCTTCGTCGCAAGCGTCGCATCGGATTCTTCAAGCTGTGTCTGGTGGCCTTCGCAGCCTATGTCCTCTTATGGCCCTCGACCGATGCAGACGATGATGAGGGCGGCAGCAACGGCCGTAGTGGACTTGGTCGACTCGGACGCCTGCGCAGGGGATGCCATGGTCGAAAGGAGCACGAGTCCAAGTATAAGTTCGAGAGCCACATGCAGGCGGATATCGACAAACTGGTCGCTGGAAGTCTTGAGTCCAGGTACGCAGATGATTTTGTGCCGAGGTTTCTCATTACTCTAGATAGAGGCTTTCCTGACAGCTCAGCCTTTTAGACTTGAAAGGTATACAGTGTATGACTTGAATACTGACGACTGAATTCTTTTTATGAATACGCCATACGCAGCATTGTGTGGGATCGTTTGGCAGAGATGACTGACACATACGGCAACCGCATCGTTGGGTCCGAGGCCCTTGAAAAGGTATGTGCTTTCTTCTATGGCATGCCCTCCACCCCCCTGGGGCTTCCTCTTTGTCAAGTGCGCTCTGGACGGGCAACAGCGATGGTCTCATACAGGACGATCGTGGCCTAATTCGGCATGCTTCCCCACCCCCCTCTTTCTTCGCCATTGCAGTTGCACGACGCTCTCTTTGCAAACAACTCACATTGGTCTTTTCTTATCTCTCACGCTACCCATCCTACAACTCTAAATTGCAATACGGATACGGAAAACAACTAACCGTTTTGGACGACAATTTTCCCTCCTTTCTCTCTCTCTCTCTCAACCTTTGGTTTCTGGTATTGGAATTAGTCGATTGACTGGATCGTCGAGAAGGTCAAGGGCGACGGTCTCGACGTGACGACCGAGGAGGTTGTGGTCGACTACTGGCAACGCAACGAGGAATCTCTCTACTTTCTCTCCCCGACTCGCGGACCTGTCAAGCTGCACATGCTCGGCCTCGGATTCAGTGTGCCGACCCCGCCTGAGCACGACAAGAACGGCGGACTCGAGGCCGAGGTCGTTGTAGCGTCTTCAAAGGCCGAATTCGATCAACTGGCCGAGGCAGGATCGGTCAAGGGACGGATCGTGCTCTTCAATAAGCCCTTTGAGTCCTATGGTGCAGACGTCACCTACCGCGGTAACGCTGCCGTCTGGGCACAGGAATATGGTGCAGTCGCGGTCCTGGTTCGCTCGATCGGTCCGCTCTCATTGCAAACGCCTCATACGGGAAACTCGTATCCGGGTAAGATCCCAGCCGCATCCGTTTCGATCGAGGATGCAGAGCTGCTCGCGCGCGTCTATGAGAGGCATCAGAAGGATCCGGAACAGTTCCCAGATTGGCCCAAGGTCCGGTTGAGCATGAAGGCCGAGACGGCTTTGAAGTCGAAGGTGTCGAGGAATATTATTGTGGAACTCAAGGGGCGAGAGACACCCGACGAGGTCGTCGTCGTTGGAGGACATATTGATAGCTGGGACGTCGGTAGTGGTGCTGTTGACGATGGCGCGGGATGCTTCATTGCCTGGGAGACCTTGCGACAGCTGAGTCGACTGGACCGTCCACCTCGTCGTACGGTTCGTGCTGTGTTCTGGACCTCTGAAGAGAACGGATCTCCCGGTGGGCGAGTCTATGCGGCCAACCATCCCGAGACCAACACAACTCGACACGTTTTTGCGTTCGAGTCTGATAACGGCGTCTTTGATCCCTACGGCATCCAGTTCACGGCCGGTAGTCGCGCCCAAACGGATCCCGAGGCGACCAACTCGGTCGATTTCTTGACAGAGGCCGGAAAACATTTTATTGCCTCGCGTAAGGATCTGAGCTATCCTGGTGCCGGAAGCTATGTGCTGCCCAATGGCGGAGGCGCAGATATTGCGCCGCTCTGTAAGCAGGGGGTTGCCTGTGCCCAGTTCTTGCCAGCGGATCCCTTCCCGCTGCCATACTCGACTTCGCCATACTACATCAAGAAGCAACAGGCCGCCGTTGCGGATGTCCAGGAAGGTGACAATGGTGAGGATAAGGAGCATGGTGGTCGTCACCGTAAACACCATCATCATGGCCACTACCGCCACGGCCGCCACCACCAACGTGGCCATCATCATCATCATCATCATCATCATAAGCACCATCGCCATGGCGACGATAATGAAGGGATCAGTCAAGATCCTCCTCGCCGTCCAGTCGACAGCGGATACTTCTATTACCATCACACGGAAGCCGATACCATGGGTGCGTTTACACCTGACCAAGTCAAGAACTCGGCCGCGGTCATGGCGATCTGGACCTACATTACTGCAGAGAGTCCCGTGGAGTTGTAAAAAGCGAATAGATACGCGTTGTTGTTGTTTTTTTTTGGAACTGCGTAGCCATTATTATACATGCTACAAGCAATCATTCAATAGACGGTGGATCATTGCAGATTCTATTACAATTACGGGAGAGGGGGAGATATATATTCTTTTGAACATAGGATGAACAGAAAAAAAAAAAAACGAGAAAAACTTTTTGTTTCGCCGTTCGACTTCGCCTGTCCACGGGAGGAGAGGAGTGGCAGAAGTAGGCAAAGTACGAATTGAACAAAAGAGACCAAAAATAAAAATAAAAATAAAAAAAAGGCATGGACGTCTAGAAAATGGCCGTTTTGATGGTGGCCAGCAAAGTGTCGAGGTCCTATGAAGAATTAAAGATAGGAAAAAAAATAATCGAGAGGTCAGTATTTAGGTACGATTGACTATCATGATAGTTACATCCCGGTAATAAGAAGAAAAAAAAAAAAAGGAACTTACTCTCTCGACCTTGTCCAGATCTGCGTCGACTTCCTTCCAGCACTCAAACACCTCTGGATGGCATTCACTCCGGACATCCCGTAACCGCCGGTCAGTTCTGATCCACATCCTCGGTTCAAAATCAAACGCTTCAAGATCATCACCCTGTCTTGCAGCTGCAGCATCGTCGTGTGATGTCGTCGTCATTGTCGTTGTATTAGATGGATTACTCGTCAAGTGTTGCTTGTCATAAGTCGTGGTTGTGTAGCTAGTGGTGTTGCTGTCGTCAAGTTGTTGGTCATGAGCAGGGGTATCCTTTTGGTTATCAGTAGCGTTGTTGTTGTTGTTGTACAGGGAAGAGTGCGTCGATGCCGGTGAGGACGCTGACGACGAAGACTGCTGTTGCTGAGGCAGATGTTGCGACTGAAGCGAAAGCAGCCGTTGCCGAGGCGAAGACATGGAGGAGGGTAACGACGATGAAGACGATGACAAAGGCTGCAAGATCCTGTTCTCCTTGCCGAACGTAGGGCCACCAACCCTCAGGGACGAAGGAGCACTCGTGCTCACAGAGCTCGAGCGCCCTCCACGAACCAGCGTCAAAAGATCCTGCATGCCCGTGTTATAGTCCGACGCGAGCAGCCATGGGTCATGAGAAGATTTGTGCGGCGTCGTAGATGTTGCCTTCGATTCAGAAGCAGAGCTGGTGTGCAGACCCGCTGTCCTGGATGTTGGTGCAGACGACGAGTTCACCAATCCCTCCTTTTGGATCTCGGCCACGCTAGTGCTTGCAGAGCGACTTCTGCTATTGCTGCGATGCATTCCGGACGACATGCCTACGCTGGTGCTCTCAGCCGTACTGGCGGACGACGGGCCTGCGGGGGAAACTCCTGCCATGCCAGTCTGGATCGAAAGCTGGTGAGGACGAGATGCCGGCGAAGGCGTTTGCAGTGGTCGCGGTAGCGGCGAGAACGATCGAGCTTCCGTAGGATACTGATGTGGCGATGTGTTTAAAGAAGGAGACGGTGGATTGCTGCCAACACTCCTATGGTTTGGTACTGACGCAATACTTGAAAGCAGCGTTGCCCTGGTGTAACCAGAGGGCGATCCAGGCGATGACAAGCCTGGGGAAGACATTCCGATATTACGACTGACATCAGGAGCAGCAGTGGAAGAAGGCACAGGGGATTGGTCCCTGCCAGTGGCTGACCCCACCGAGGCCACAGATGCAACCTGAACCTCAGCATCACTGACCTTGCGGTGCAAAGTTGGGCTTGAAGGCGAAGACGAGTTCATGGACATGGGTGAGGGCAAGTTCCTGCCACCAGTGCTCTTTGCTGCCATGCTGGCGTCTGAGCCTGCATTGCCTGTAGGGGCAATGCGGACAGACAAGGAAGATTCGCCCACCAGAGCTCGCTCGAGTTTCAGCAGCGTCTCTCCTCCACGAGCAGAGGCGCCCAATTGCTCTAGTCGATCCCGATCTGCTGTTGAGGTACCCTTCCGACTGCGGATGCTGCTTGGTGCAGGACTCGAGTTGGCACTTGCCCTGCGGCGTTCTTTACCTGCAGCAACAACCTCCGAAGCCCTGGCCACTGCAGCAGCGATGCGTTCTTTCGGTGACATGGTCTCCAGCTCCCGGTTACCGTCCCGGCTGCGACGGGATTGCTGGTCGTCCTGTTCGTCATCGGAGTCACCGCCCAAGACATCCTCGATGATCTCTGTAATGTCGATTTCCTCGCCTCCCTCCAAGGGTACAAACGAGTACCGATATTGAGTCTGACTCGTCCCATTAGTGGTCCTGGACGAGCGGACGAGACCTGTGTTGAGGACAATGTCTACGCCCTCGGTTGCATTCTTCTTCATGTCCAGGCGCACTGGCTGGTGGGAGGCCGATAGAAGCTCATCCATGGATGTAAAAGATCCCTTTGCCTTCGCAACCGGGCTCGACTGCTCGCTCTGGGCCATAATTGCAGACAAGGATAATGGTGAGGGTCCATGGGTCAACGAAGGTGAGGTCGCACGCTGACGTTCTAGTCGATAAGGTTTTTCCGGAGTCGACGACCGAGATCCCTCCTGCTGTTCGGCATGGCTCGACAAATTCGACGGTGCTGGCGATGGAGCCTGAAGCGGGCGGGCCAAGGGCGTTGAAGAGCCCTGACTGACGCTTGGCGAACGCGCTCTGCCTTGCTGCTGGAACTGATGGCGATCCGGTGTAGGGGTTCTCGAGACCTGAGGAGGGTGGATCTGTTGCGTGGTCAATAAAGACTGAGCTGAAGGCGTCGGACTTGGCCTTCCAGAGTTATTATCGAACGAATTGGCCCGAATGGGTGGGCTTGTCGGGCTCATGATCACAGAATCTGTCCTCCGGGGGATCCGAACCGGTGGAGTCGCAGTTCCGTTGGTCCCACCAAGGCGACTTGCATTCATAAGTGCCGCGTTCGCCGCGTTGAAGTTCCGGTTCTGCGGACCCGGGGAAGAAGGACTCATCAGACCCGTGATGCTGTAAGTTGGGCTTGGTTGTGCAGACGAAGAGATGTCCGAATCCACAGAGCGTGCCGCCTGTGCATGCAAAGGTGAGGGTACGGTTTTCTTGCTTGGCTGCTGCTGTAGTTGCAGCTGCTCCTGGACAAACCTCATTTCGGCCTGCAAACTTTTTGTGGCCTTCCTGAGGAAAAACACATGGTCGGGATGCAGAGGCATGGATGCAACGTCTGCCTTGGGTGAACGACGGACAGGAACCAGCTGGTGCTCTTCAAGGCATCGGATCAAGGGAACCTGAGGTGCCAAAGGGATCTCATCGCCTTGCTTGGACTTCTTGGACGTATTGCCGTTCAGCTTAAGGCTGAGCTGGTATTCGATCACCAGTCCATTGGGAACAATGGCACGCTTAGCTGCCAAGACATGCTCCTGTACACCGTCCACAACTCCGGCTCGGATGCCGACCTTTTCGAGTGTCCTAAAGATGACATCCCCAGCGTTCGACGTGGCACGCATGGGTATCCAATGCTCGACTTTCGTGGCAACGGACTGGCCGTGTGCTCTTGGATCGGCTTTTTCTATGGCTGATCCCATACCATCGAGCAGCAACATGGAGTTTGGCAAATCCTGTGCCTGGCAAACAACTTTGACCCAGAAAAACTCCTCCTGTGGAGCTGTTGGAGTAGTTGGGGTCGATGGGAGTGACGAGAGACTGATCGATCCTGTTCGGCGGATTTTCTTGTTGAGCAAGAACCGAATGGAACGAGGCTGTAGTTCTGTCCTGCCCGATCCGCTGCGGCGGAGAGTCTGAGGCTGTCCAGGTCCTGCTGCTGACGGCAAAATGCTATTATGATTGCTACCCGAGGTCTGCGAGCCGACCGAGTTGGCAGACATCATTGACGAGACGGACGAGATCGACAGGCGATGGTTCGCAGGTAATGGCGTTGTCAGATGTGCAGTAAGAGACTGGTAGATCGTCATAGGCTTATCTGTCGCTTGCAGCACCGTTTCGTCTATGAGGAAAAAGTGCATGAGATAACGAATAGAATATTAGTCCTTGGTTCAACAACAGAATTAAAGGAGTTTACAGCCAAGGAGCGGCAAAATATGCTTACCTCCATCCACACCCTTGACAGTCAGATAAAAGTCGCCAGTAGAGGCGGAGCCATCAGGAGCCAGCCGGAACTTGACAACCGCCTGGTGAGCGACTTCGGAAGCCATCGTTGAAGGTGTAATGACTACCGTCTTGTACATCGATGCTCCAAAATCGACATTTCCAGGATATACACGCAGGGTCATGATCTCCTGTGGCGGTGGATCGGTCTTATCGACTGTTGGGGGATGTGACACGAGCGTCGATGACGAGGTGTTCGCACCAGCAGAACCAATTGATCCATTAGAATTAGAGCGCGTCCTGAAGATACTGCTGCCAATGCCGCCACTTGATGAGCTCACAGCAGACGATCCCTTGGCCATATTCTTGAGCCGCTCCTTCTCCTGCCGTTCTTTTTCCTTACGCTCCTTGTCCTTGGAACTCTTTCCAACCCCAAAAAGGCTCTTGAATTTACCAGGTTTCTTGACAGTGACAGCTTCTGGAGGCAGCCCCTCCTCATACTCCTCTTTCGTTTTGCGAACCAGAGACTGTGTACTCTTGCCAAGAAGGGAATTCAGCTTGTTGTCCTTCCTTTCTGCCATCTTCTTTTTCAACTTCTCCTTCTCTTCGTCTTCAGAGTCCGGACTCGGCGAGCGATGAGGGGCTGCAGGGTTGGCTGATCCGACGCTCGATGAACCCTGTTGTGGCTGCTGCTGTTGTTGCTGAAGTGGAGAATGTGATCGCCTCAGCGCCTCCTCTGATAATCGCAAATTCCTGGCTTTGCCTGAGGGCGTTTTAACGCGGCCCACACCAGAATCATCACGAGCAATTGCCGGTGTGAGCGAGATGACGCGCGGCTCAGCGGAAAGGAAGAGATCGTCCTCGTCGAGCAGTGGTTTCCGGTAGCGGTTCGTAGTCTGGACGTCCTCGTTTTCTTCCTCTTCATCGTCCTCTCCCTTGGAGGACTGCTGGTTATGGCGACTCGAGCCTTGACCAACACCCATCTGTTGACTTGCGGTGATGGCCTCCAACCGCTTTTGGTCGTTCAGGATCTCCTGTTGAACCCGTTCGGCTTCCAGCTGTAGGGCGGTCTTTTGACCTCCTCGAGCCGCGTTCTCGTACTGCTGGTTTGTTGCGAGATGATTGTCGCCATGATTGCTATCGTCGAGCGCCTCTTCGTCATCGTCATCGTCGACGCCCTCCAGCTCCTGGAGCTCTTCGTCGCCCTCTTGTTCTTCTTCATCGTCAACCTCCTCATCTTCTTCGCCATCCTCATACCAGTCCTCTTCCTCATCTTCTTCTTCAGTCCACTCGGTCTCGCTTGCCTCCAAGTATTCATTTTGGGCTGTGAAGACGACGGACCGACGATTCATGGCTCTTTGCTGGAGGATGGCTGGATCCAATGGTTGAATGTGTTCGTCGAAAGTTCCCCATTCGGAAGAGGGCGCTGAAAGGGTTACGTTGCGGTAGGTATTAAGTCTTGCAAGACGTTCGAATGGTGTCTATTGGGGGGAAGGGGGGCGATGCAAAGAAGGGAAAGGTTAGGAGCCGCATTCATTAGGGTTCCTTGGTTTGTGGTTGCATAACATAGCATAAAGTGCTGTGTATGAACAGTAGAACATGTCGAAGCATCTTGAGTAGCGCACACAAGAGCAAAGAACACAGAACAGAAACAATAAAAAAAACGTTCGAAGGAGAGGGAGGGGGGGTTTGAAGATGGTACAACCAAGCTGTGCACAAGCCCAGTACCTAAATCCACAACACTCACCTCGATGTTCTCGGCAGGAATATAGCCGATGACTCCCGTTTTGAGCACTCGCACCAACCACCAGTACACGTTCGTGTCCTCGAGCAGCATCAGAGAGTCATTCCGGACAACAGAGGCCTGGCCCTCTTGAGTGGCCACAAAGGTGTGGAAGGCGTACACCAGATCGAAGTTGATGTCCTCCTCTGTCAACGACATAGCCTCAGAGCCTTCCTCGTCGTCCTCGTCCATCATTTCCTCGTCAATTTGGTCCTCTTCCCCATCCTCATCGTCGTCAAAATCATCGTCATCGTCGTCATGTTGATGAAGCATATCGATGTCCATTTGATGTTGGCGATGTGGATCGTACTGAGGATTTTGTTGATAATATTCTTCCTCCTCGTGACTATCCGCACCACTCATGTCCTGATCTGGGGTTTGATCTTGACGAAGCAGTTGCTGGATATTCATGGCCTGAGATTTGTATGCGTGAAGATGCTGTTGTTGCTGTAGTTGATACTGCTGCTGTATTTGCTGGAGTTGTTGGTGCTGGTGATGGTGGGGCTGCTGCTGCTGCTGCTGTTGCTGTTGCTGATGGTATTGGTGGTATGCCGAATACTCTTCCTCCCCATGGTCATCGCCTTCTTCGTGCTCTTGGATCTCTGAGCTGTAGTGGTTTTGGGCCTGTCTTGTCATGCCTAGGTTGTGTTTTTGGAACTGAAGTTGTTCTTGTTCCTGAATATAAGAGTTGTACTCCTCGTCCTCGTCAGTGCTATCGTCGTCTGGGTCCGAGGCAGGAACGATGGCGTCTGGGTCCTGTTGAAGCCGCGCTACCTGGGAGGTCCCGTTGTTGGTGGGATGGACACCATGGTGTTGCTGCTGTTGGTCGAGGGTCAGGGCACCGTTTGTTCCCGGAGAGGAGGCCATGATTATTATGGGATTGCTGTTGATAAGTGCCTCCTGGTGCTTGCTGCTGCTGCTGCTGCCGCTGCCGCTGCTGCAGGTCGTTCTATTGAGTGTTCAGGGCAGAAGACAGTTGTGGTACCATGCGAATGGTTGCTCCTGGTTCAACTGCTGATGTTGTTGGTGCTAATGATATGGCCTAGAATGGGTTTAACAAAGGAATGCTCTCGCTGCTCTTGGTTGCTACAATGGACCAAAGAGAGAGAGGGAGAGAGGGAGAGAGGGAGAGAGGGCGAAAAGTACGAGAGCGTGCAACCGACAGTTCGAGTAGCCCGAGGGTGGGGGGAATAGGGGCGGCGAGGAGCAATCGAGCAATCGAGCAATCGAGAGAGAGAGAGAGAGAGAGAGAGAAAGAGAGAAAGGAAGAGGGGGACAGGGAGTCGAACCGCAGTCGAGGTGAGATGATAAAAAGAGGAAGGGGCGGGAAATATAAAAAGAAGTTCGGAGGCGGTTAGGTTAACGGCTCTGCGCTGGAGGGGGAGCGCTTTTTGGCTTTGTTTCGTTTGAGAAGAGGGCGGTGAAAGACACTGTCTTTGTTTCGCGTGCATTACCATCAGCCAAACCGGAGTGTCTCTTTGTTTCTTTGCTATATTGGACCCGTGGTTGGGGCTCGGGTGGAGAGTATTAGGGGGGGATGGCGGGCTGGTTTAGTCAGGATAAGAGGTGGTGTATGCGAGTGTGAGCTGTGGGTGCGCGCGCAAGCGTGTGTTCCTGAATAATTAAAGGGCCGTCGACCGGAGAGAGACAGAGGGATATGGGAGGTATGAACAAAATAGGGTAAGAGCGGAGTCGGGGAAGGGGTATGTGCCTTAATATTCCAGATGAGATGAGGGATGGAAGATGGGATAGGAGATGGGAGATGGGAGATGAGGGATGAGGGATGAGAGATGAGAGATGAGCGGGGATGGCCAAGGGACCAAAAGAAAGAAAGCGATCGACAAAGAAAAGAAGGCGAGACGAGGACGAGAGAAGAGGAGAGAGTGAAAAGGGAGGGAGAGCGAAGGAGCGGGAGGGAAAGAAAAGATGATAGGCGAGATGAAACAAAGAATGAATTGCGTTCTGCCACTCTGCCAGTTGGCCGATGTTAATCTCAGGCACACACACATGTACTCACTTACACGGTGGACTAAAGTTACCAGCAAGCTACACCTCCACCACACCCCCCCCACCGCCCATTGGACTGGGCAACAGAACGAACGACACACAGAACCTTAACCAGTACACACTTTTCGGCCTTTGCCCTCTGACTGGTCACCTTTACCTTAATGCAATATGTTGTTGTTGTTTATTGTCCTGAGGTTTATCTCCATAGACTATTCCCCTCTTCTCTGCTACTTCTGCTAGCTCAATAGGGAAAAAACCGAAACAAGATCCAATTCCATAGGCCACCGATCGCTTCTTGCGTTTTTCTCGGTGCCTTTTCTCGGTGCCTTTTCTCTTCCGCCCCGCGTAATGACAGACTACAGGAATTTGCTCCGCAGCAAAGTACACACAGTTCCCATACATTCACTGGCCAAGCAATCGAACCCTATCACTCTCTTCTTCTTTCCAGAAGCATTGGCACATTTGAGCATTTCTTTCTTTCTCCTTCTTGCTCAACTCAAAAAAAAAAAAAAAAAAAAAAAGAGAAAAAAAAAAAGTGAGAGCACCATGGCTCTCCCATCTGTTTTTCATATCCTGTGAGAACAACCTTTACTAACTAACTCCATAATGCCATCCGTGTATGGGTATGCAACGAAAATGTATGTCGTGCAAAGATGTTTGGGCTTTTTTATATGCTTTTTTGTACATGTTAAAGTCTTTGACACATGAGGTTTTAACCCAATGGGTGTCGCCGCGTTCATTCGGTTGGAGGATATTACTCCAACTTTATGAATGCTCAATTCGAACTTGAGCCTGCATCCAAACCGCTGCTGCATCTCCGGTAGGGTTGGGCCTCTCGCGGGGTTACTCCATAGCATGGACTCCAGTCGATGCATAGAAATATCGACCCTGCTCGTTGCATGAACAAAAAAAAAAATTCTCGTTTAAATCATAGGACTACCATCGCATGCCATACCAACTAACCAGCTTTACTTCGAAGGGTGTAATGTTACGAGATATGAATGGAAACGATGGCTATGAGGGATAGAAGTTCGATGGCCTGTGCATAGTTATTATAATCAACTTTATTTTATTATTTTTCAAATGAACATTTTTTTCACAGCACAAATAAACAATTTTGCGGCAGCTGCTTATTCCACAGAGCGAGGCCAGATTGGCACAAACATACTGGTCTCCTTCTTATACTTCCAGTAGGCAACAACATCCTTTAACCGTCGATCATTCTCTCTCTCCAAAAGTGGGATCCCACTCACGCGTGTGATCAGGCACGTGACGAATATTGGACTAAACAAGGCGAGGCGGGACATCCAATGTGGCAGGATCTGGTCCTCAACCGCAACAGAAAAGGCGCTTGAGCTGAGAAGATAGCTTCCGAACCACAGTACACATTCTCCAAAGTAGTTAGGATGTCTGGACAAGGACCTATAATAATGATAATAAAAAGGACGATTAGTACCGAAAGCCCTCCTGTTCTTGTCCATACTCCCCACACACACACATAGTGACCTCACTTATTTTGTCGATATACATAACGTACCATAATCCATGCGAGATAAAGCTCTGCTTGTAGTTCTTGCCGATATCCTTGCGCCACCGCTGCTTTTGATAGTTCGCCACCACCTCAAATGCGAACCCCATTCCCCAAACAACTAGTCCAAGAATGTCCTGCGCTCCAATGGCGGGATGATCTTCTGCTGGGATGGAATTTGTCAAGCAGCTGTTGACAAGTACCAAAAAAAAAAAAAAAGTCAGCATAGAAGCAGTAGCGTGTAATCAGTAAGCAAGTTATACTCCTGACAAGTTCCCCTACACTGGCAAAGCGGTAAGAGCGACCCAGACACCCTGGATTATCCAGTAGCCAAGGAATTTGCCTGGCATCTTTTTGACCTTGTCAAAGCGCCTGTCCCCATGTCTTATTGCTCTCTTGCATAGGAAGAAGCCCAAATAACATGCCCAGACAACAGTCGTGCCGGAGGCGAGGATCTGACGTGGATGGAATGATCGGCCCAGACTAGTCGTATCCTCCGCCCATGGGTTGAAAAGAGAAAAGTAAGTGCACATGAGAAAGGAAGCCGACCCTGCCAAATCGTAAAACTATTCGTAGAGGGCAAAGGTAAAACAACTCGCTCAAACGCGTTAGGTCCTCGACCCAATCTTCCACTATGATTCTGATGAACAGGTGCAAGGAGCGTCTATTGATATTGCGTATGGACATCTTCTCCTCCTCCTCCTCCTCGAATACCAATTCAACAGGCGTTCAGAAAAGTGTATCAAAGCTGGCGTACCTTCTCCGTTTGCATAAGAGCAGCAAGACTCCAACCGGCCAATTGAATGCTAAAATCGGCCAGAAGTGTGGGAAGTAGCACCCTGGTCGAGGGAAAGAAATATGTCGAGTCCATGCCGTCAGGGTTCCTTGTATCCTTGGTTGTTGCGAGTAAGGCTTGGGTTGGAGGCAGGGAGGAAGAAAGGGGAAAAGGAGGATTAAATCCCGACAAGTTCGGTCCTTTTAAATCCCGTGAACAAACCTTGTGAAAAAAAAAAAAAAAGATTTTCAGCTCGCTCAAACGCGGTAGAATTTCGTTCTTTTTTTTCTCGCACGCGCCGTTGAAAACGTCAATCCGTTCCTCCTCCATAAATGCGGATTCCATGCGTCTCCAAAATTTAGGTATATCCCTGCAGATTTTGGCATGGTTTATCAGGTGAGGTTTTATGGTATTGCTGTACAGTACAGGCATTGCAAAACGATAATACCACAAAGAATATGCACACAAGCGCAAGTTGCGCGCCCAAAGGGATTATAGGTGAACAGGATGTGAGGTCTAGTGGATCTCAAGACAGGGTCAGAATGAAGCTGAAGGCGCATGTCCAGGCTGCTGGAGCACAACGCCATATAGTGGTAAGAAGGGATGAAAAAAACAAGGCCAATTCAATAGGTCAGGGACAGGGAAGGCGAAAAAAAAAAAAAAAAAAAAAAAAAAAGCAGAAATTGTGATACGAAAACGGTTTGTTGCAAAGGCCCTAAAGGGCCTTACGTCTTAGACGCCATCGTAAACCGACACTCAATCGTAAATGGGATTAACGAAATGCCGCCGAGCTAACGCGGAATTGCCCAGCTCGATAAAAAAATAAAATAAAAAAAATGATACGATCATCATTTTTTCCCTGGTTGGGGACCCCTCGCTCAACGATCCCCCAGGAGGAGTTGCCAGGTCAAATAAAATTTACACAAAATTTCATCCAACTAATTTTTTTTACATGGGGGTTCCGTTGTGGAAAAAAAAAAAAAAAAGCCAAGCAGCTGAGATCTTTGAGGGGCCTCAGACTTCGTAGTGAAAAAAAAAAAAAAAAAAAGCTGCATCCTCACACAATAAGAATAAAGTGGTCATCAAAATGAAATCAGGGGGGAAGCAAGGAATAACGATTATTGTCCTTGCCCTGTATTTTTTTTTTTACTCTTCGTTTTTTTTAAGAAGCCGTTGGATCCAAAAAAAAAAAAAAAAAAAAAAAAAAAAAAAAGCTGTGCTACTATACAGAATGATCCTAATACGGCGTGGCTATATCACAACGTCAACGATGCGAGTTGTCACCAAGTTTCGGCGGCCAGGCGACTATAGAACTGCTCGGAGAGCCACACGAAAGGAGGAATCATCGAGGCTGTGCTGCCATGGCAGGCTCCGAAGAAGTGAGCACTTCACGATGATGAGATCAAGCAGCCGCAATGGGATGGCGGAACGAATCTCTTCCAGCTTTAAGATTCAATAACCCATAGAAAATCGCGTCAACGGTTCGACCTGACATTATTCCCCTCTCCCCCCAGAATATGCTCCATTTAGCATTTGAATATCTTGCTGACTGTGGAAAAGTATGTGGGTGATCGGGTCTTGGACTTGGGGGATCATCCCTTCTTTCACCCATCTTGATCATGCCAGTGTGGAAGAGATCACCGCTATCGTGCTTTTTTTTCGTCACCATTTTTTGCCACGAATTGGATGTATCATTTTTTTTCATCATAATAGAGTAGAACTCTTACCATAATCCCGCAAATCTCGGTAGCTATCGACATTACTATCCATCATCTTGTCGCCCAGCACGCATCTCAGGCTTCTTCTCTATCCATTTTGATCTGCAATATATCTATTGATATTCTTTGTGCAGTTCTGTTTTTTTTTTTTTTTTTTTTTTTATCGGTGGTCGTGGCTGATCGGTGTTCATTCTTCTTTTACACGCAAACAAAGGTCCTCCTGAGTAGCTGTGCAATGGTCGCACACAAAAATATCCTGCTTTTTACACAAATTGGGATTCGATTATGTTTGGTATGTGTGTGTGTAAATTTATTTATAAAAAGCGTTTTTGTATACAATTTGCTCCGCGCGTTCGAATTTTTTTCTTTTTTTTTTTTTACTTGCGCTCAGCATCTCTCTTCTCCTTTTCTTCAGCGATCGCAAGAAGTGCGTCAAACTCGGCGGATCGCTCACACATTGATCGGAACAGTCCGTCCTCCTTCTTCATCAACACCAGGGGCTTGTCAAACTCGGCGATCTCGCCTGCGTTCATCACCAGGACACGGTCAAAATCTGCAATTGTCCTGATTCGGTGCGCGATCGTGATGATAGTCGAATTGGCCATCTCCTGACGAATCGTGCCCTGGATCTTCAGATCGGTCTCAAAGTCCACACTGGCCGTCGCCTCGTCCATCACAATAATCTTTGACTGCCGAACCAATGCACGGGCCAAGGCGATCAACTGGCGTTGACCCTGAGAAAAGTTCGATCCGTTCTCTTTCACAGGAGTGTCTAATGTGATCTTGGAGGGGTCGACCGTCTCGTTCTCAGCATCCTTGACCGAACCAGCGGGCGATTTTGATGATGACGATGATAACGGCACGGATGAAGAGGTATCGTTGGCGGAAGTGACGGCGGTAATCTCGAGACTGTTGCGATAACTCGGCGCCTTGGAGTTGGGTCTCGTATCGGGAATCAGATGGCTCCGGCGAAGAGCCTCCCATAACTCTCGATCCTCGCGTTCGCCAAAGGGATCCAAGTTGGATCGAAGGGTACCCTTGAACAAGATAGGGTCTTGTGGAATAATTGTGAGATTGGAACGCAAGTCGTGGAGTCCGATCTTGCAGATATCAATGCCATCAATTGTAATAGATCCACTGGCAGGGTCCATAAAGCGGAATAGACTGATAGCAAACGTCGACTTGCCGGAGCCTGTGCGACCAACAACACCGATTTTCTCGCCGGCATTGATCCTGAACGAAATATCCTTGATGACAGCAGGGGTATCGGGAGCGTACTTCATAACCAGGTGGTCGACGACAATCTCTCCAGCATATGGCCACGAAGCTGGTGGGCGAGATCCCTCGATGATGGCTGGGGGCTCCTCCTCCAAGTTCATATATTCGGCCACACGCTCGACCGAGTTCAGGTTCATCTCGTTCTGGGCATAGTTGCGGATCAACCACACGATCGTCGTTGTGAACATGAGCGCGTAGCTCAGGCTCATAGCAGCCCAGCCCGGCTCGATGTCATCATAGTTCTGCATGATCAAGATACCTGTGACAAACGCTACCAGTGCGCCGGCAATGTCGACGCGCCAGTGAAGCCAGCGGTTGGTTGACCAGAGTAAGAAAAACGTCCTGTTGTTGTTGTCCTGGTTGATGAGGTTCTTGGAACGGAAACGTCGCTCGAAACCGTAAGCGCGAATAGTAGCAAGACCAGTCAGGGCTTCATTAAAATGGATCAGGATTGGGGATCTAGAGTTCGAGTTCAAGCGCTTCAGGTCTCGAGACACAGGAACGTAAAGAGCACCGATCACGCCGTAAATGGCCACAATAAAGACGGCCGGGATCATGAAGAGAGGCATGCTGGCAGAGATGATCGCCACAATACCGACAACAGTGACGACTGAGCCGAAGACGCCCTGGATACCGTTACTGACGTCGTCGTCGATGGTCGAGATGTCAGAACTAAAGCGGTTGATGATACGGCCCATGGGGGTCGTGTCAAAGAAGCGGACCTTGGCGCGAGAGACCTTACGGAGGAGCTGCTCGTGCAGTGAGCGAGAGGCAAGGAGACCTCCAATGATGGTGTAGTAGTTGGTCAAGGACGTGAAGATAAGCGTGAAGAGACTGATGAGAATGTAAACACCTAGGTAATAGTTGATGTCGACAGTCTCGGGTTCGCCCTTGCCAAAGACAGCCATTGTAATTACGCCATAGGACCCGCCATTTCTGGGAGCGAAAGCGGCATAAAGGGACTGTGCGACCGGTGCGGGAGTCATGTAGTCAAAGGTCTTGATAGCAAACGATCCAGTGCTCTGGGCCGCCTTGTTGGCCCAGATAGCCAGCCATGCATTTTGACTGACATTGACCAGTTCACGAGTAAAGAAGAGGATAACCAGACCGATCCAGAATGGCCAGCCTCCGGAAGCAGTAAGGTAGGTTTTGTAGACTCTCCATGTGACCGCGCCCTCGATCTTCTTCTCATCCTCAGTCAACTTGACGGCCTTCTTCTCGCTCTTCTTAGCCTTGGGTTGCTGCTCTCCCTCGCTGTTCAGAGTGCTGACCTCGCTTGAGTCGCCATCGGCTGCGGGAGCAACCAGACTGACATTATCGACCCATTCGCTGGAGATGACTTCCTGGGGGGTGCCTGAGCCAAGAATTTCGCCCTTGTTCATGACGACAACCAAGCTGGCAGACGTCATCGTCAGTTGGACCTGGTGGGTGACCATCAAAACCGTGCGACCAGCGACTAAAGGACCCGTCAGAGTTTGGAAGAGGTGCTTGCCAGTGTGGGAATCCACAGCCGAGAGACAATCGTCCAGCAGCAAGACTCTTGCGTTTGAGTAGATGGCTCTGGCCAGAGAGATACGCTGTTTCTGACCGCCTGAAAGAGTAATGCCTTGCTCGCCGATCTCGGTGGCATCGCCAGACTCCAGGATCTCAAAGTCAACCAAGAGTGCACATCCTTCAACAACGGCATCGTACCGCTCCTGGTCAAACTCCCGGCCAAACAAGATGTTGTTGCGGATGGTAGTATTTTGAAGCCAGGCAGTCTGAGCAACATAGGCAATACCGGAGCCCTCGTCCCTAGAGGCGCTGCGCCCATAGTCCAAGCGAGGCATATACTGCTGTCCCTCAAGTCGTTCCAGTTCTCCAAGTAATGCGAGTAACAACGCAGACTTGCCAGAGCCCGTAGGTCCAATGATAACAGAGAACTTTCCAACAGGGAAATCGACGTTGAGGTTCTTCAGCTTAAAGCGTTCTTGAGCAGCCTCCACCTCGGCAACAGGATCCACGGGGGTAACGACTTCAGGGGTCTTGACGAATCTGGACTTGATCTTTTGACTCCATGAACGCTTTTCAGTGGGCTTTGCGGCTACTGCTTCCTCCTTGCCACGCTCCTTGTTGGGCCAGGCGTACGAGGCGTTGACAAAGCCGATGATGGGTTGAGAGATGTTGGTTCCAGCCTTGGCATTGACCTTGGTCACAGCTGTGTCCTTGATGAGCTCCTCTTCCAACAAGAACTTGTTGATGCGTTTCAAACTGACAGCAGCTTGCATGGTGTTCTTGATTTGCCAAGGAAGGGTGTTCAAGGACTGACGCATAATATTGAAGAGGGCAAGGGTGGTGAACATCTTGGAGGCCGTGATTTCGTGGCCAAAGACCTTGGTGTAGCAGGCCAAAATGATGACGATGTTGAGCAGGGGCACAATGGTCCAGATAATGTTGGTGAAGATCATCTGGATGTACGATTCCTTGGTGCGCTGCAACTCCTTCTCGCGCGCAGCGGTAATTTTTTCCTCAAACTTGGACTCCCAGCCAAAGAACTTTACGATGCGAATAGCAGACAGCATCTCGTTGAGGGCGTCCATGCGCTCATCCTTGGTATTCATGATATGCCTGAAGACCTTCAGCATCATGGAATACAGCTTGGCGGGGATAGGGAAGGTAGCGAACATGGATGCGATGCCGACTAAGGACGCATATCCGAGCAACTGGTAAAGCTGAATACCGGCGAGAATAAACTGCAGAGGGAAGCCGTAGAGATAGTAGACGTAACTGAAAGGAATCTCCAGCTTCTTGATATCGACAGCGACTAGGTCTGTGTAGGGATTGCGGAGATGACATAAAAGTTAGGGACGCGCGTATTTTATACAATGGGATGACTGACTAAGCGATACCGCGTATGCAACTTACTGGAGATATTCAGGGTTCCATCTTTCTTCGTATCGCCAGCCTGGTCCTGTTCTGAGGACTTTTCGGCGGGCGAGGCCATGTCCTTTCGACGGAGGGTCTTGGCAAAGACCTCGGCATTGCAAATGGAGATGGTATGGACAAAGATACGTCGACCAATGTGGAGTGCCTGCTGGTTGCAGAGCGACTCGATCAGGGAGGAGAAGAGCAGGCCAAAGACATAGAGGTAGTTGATGGCCGTGGGTGGGCCGCAGGTCTTGCACTCGATATAGCCGATGATCTTGTTGAGACAGTAGGGCGAGACGTTGATCAAGATGCACCAAGGGAGAGCCCACAGGAACTGGGCAAAGAACTCCCACTTCAGGACCTTGAAGAGCGACCAGAAGAGCGAGTCCTCTCTATGAAGACGAACAAACGGCAGTAGGTGAGTCTCGATTGTCTTGTGCTCGGAGCGTGAGGCCGAGGCACGGCCATTGGAAGGCCATTGGAGGCATGTTCGTCCCCATATAAAGTAGGCATCCTCGGTATTGTTTTTCCCACGAGGGATTAGCCCACGATACGATATCGTCTATTCATCCGATATCCGACATCTGAGCACTTCCATTCCTTCTTTTTTTCTCAAGAGCACCCGACTGAAGGGCGGTCAGATCACATGGACTGCCGCCGATTGGATGTTGCAGCCGTGAGTAGCCCAATGTTGTCATAAACCTACTTTGTTTGAGTGCCAGCCAAGATATTCAGGTTGCACACGGGCAACCACATGCATGCATGCCATAACCCGCGCCGCCCACACCCAATTTCCAAGGAAACAAATATCACCCATCCCATGGGACCTTCCCCCCCCCTTTTTTTTTGGTGGTACTGCTAAGCATACACGGCTAAAATCAAAACCAGGCACAGTAAACTTACTTAACAAGGTTGTATCGCCCAACCGAGTACACAGAGCAGTCCTGGGTTTCAATGTCAGCCAGATCAATGTCCTGGAGTGGCCTCTTGAAGCCAAGGTACACCATGTAATTCACCCAGGCAAACGTCAACTGCGAGTAAAGCGACGAGGAATATTCGGGCGAGGGCAGACGCACTGATTCGCCCTCTTTGAGCTTCTTGATCGGCGTCAGCGGTTGGTAAGGACGAGTCATCAACGAGGCCCACAGCAGCAGGACGACACCGAACCAGGTCAGGATATCCAGTTGGAGCCAAAGAGGCCATTCTTTTATGGGCAAGTACATGACATCCGTGCCATAAAGGTGGACCGACCACAGGACAAGCTCGAGTGCGTAGAACAAGTCCATCTGAGGGCGAATCCAAAACTGATAGGCCATTAGAGGCTTTGTGGTGTGGATAAAGGACAGTACAAGAGCGTATGTCCAAGCCAAGATCTGAATAATGTTGCTCCAGGTATTGTTTTGGCTGCTATGATCGTCGTTGCTGTTGTTGGTCTTGAGTAGCACAATTGAAAACAGGGCGAGGGCGAGCTGAAGACCAGTGAGGCCGAGGCGGGCCAGGTTGATACTCATACCAGATGAGCGCTGTGCCTGGTACTGACCCTGGACTTGATCAATTGTCGAGACATCGCCGCTCTGCTGATCGTCTTCCTCGAGATCGTCGTCTTCATAATTATCGTTCAAGGGCGTGTACTGATCCAGACGGACAGGTATCCGAGACAGGTGAAAAATGGTCAATGCCGATACGACCGAATACACCAAGGGTAGTGCACCCTCGATAACACTAGCAAGGGAAGGGCAGGGTAAGGTGTGAGTGCATTGGTTCGTAAGCAGCTGGATAGAGTGTCGGTCTGTTTGATCCACTTGTGCCATCCTCTCTCAAGAGCAAAACCGAGCGAGGATTGTCCAGTGGAGCAGTTCCGTTGTAGTTTGAGTGGCCCTACCTGACAATGGGACTCATATTTGGATATGAGTCTGTATAGAGTGGGGAGGGATGAGGAAGAGGAAGAAAAAAAAGAGAGGTAAAAAAAAAAAAAAGGTGCTGTTCCAGGTGTGTCTGCGGGATGCAAGGAGGCCTGAGGGTGTTAGAGATGGTTGGCGGCTCTAGTCTAACCTTAAATTGCGACAACAACAAATAGCAACAACACAACAGCAACAAAAGGGTGCTGTGGGGTGGATGAGGAAATAAATATGACAGGAATGGAAATTACTTCTTCAGGGACAAAGACAATTAGGGCAAGAGGACGAAGATGGGGAGGAGTGGCATTGGCACGAAGGAGAGGGGGGAGAGGAGGGAGAGGAAGGAGGAAAGAAGGCCGCCGGTTTATCTTTTTATGCTATGCGTGGTACAGTATGGGTGAGCGTAGAGAATACGAGAATAAGAGAATAAGAGAGTATGAGAAAGAGAGAGGGAGATAGAGGAGCCGGCAAGGCAGGGGGGGATGGCAACCCAGAATGGAAGCCATTTCGGACCTGTGTACACAAGAAAAGGCGCGCATTTCCCCCCCAAGATAAGGTTGCAGCCTTCGAGGGCCAAGGGAAAAAAACACACAGAAAGAGTTCAGGCCAACTAGCGACCAAACATTAGACTAATTCCACACACCTCTGCAGACAACAGACAACAGACAGCAGACAACCAGCGCAGAGGCAAAGGCACAAACAAGACTTGCTCCATTGGTTGGCGCTGCGCCCTTCCATCTCACTGTATATGCGATGTGGACACACTACGTGTCCTTTTTTTGTCACAGCGCAATATGTAGACTGTAGTGGGCTATATGGATATGTGCACTGACTGAATGCATGTCAGTTTGAGCAATACATGGTGAGCCATGCGCGGCAGATTAGACTATTATGTGAACGCATACAAGAAAAGCTCTGCGGTCTATTCTATGCTATTTTATGCTATTCTATGCTATTCTATGTCGATGCCGATGCCGATGCCGATGTCGATGTCGATGTTGATGTCGATGCTGAGAGAGCTTTTTCTCGACATTTTAGTCATACCACATCCCTTTTTCAGCAACAAGAACCTGTTCTCCTCGCTCAGGCTACCCCAATTACCAGGCTACCGAGCAGTCAGGGTAAACTTATTTTCTAACCATCTTTCCTCTGATCTGCTTTGTCATCCCTTTGCTCCTTTGCCAAACTGCCAGCACTGATCTGCTGAATCTAATATCCGAACACGGCCATAGATTAGGTCAATGTTCCCTACCATATCTGGGCCCTATTCAGCGAGAGTATAGGGCAACATATAGCTAGCTATATGTGCATACTCATATCTATTGGCTGAAGAAGTATAGTATATTTTGCTGTATACTTGCGCGTTTACTCGGGCATATATACGGGCCGAGTATAAAGCTGTGCTTCACCAACCATTACTTTTCTGTCATCACCTCACTCATACACAGGAGCCGACGAACGCCGCGAAAGCGACTTATCCAAGTTTGTGAGGAACGTCTTGTTGAGGCTGTCAAGAATGATCTCGAGACCCTTGGAATCCGGTGGCCGGGATATCCCTACGAGGTTATATTGCTTTGCAGCATCCTTAAGTACATATAAACTCCTGGTTCTCCCGCCTCAACCCATGCCACTCTTCCTTAAACCCTTCCTTCCCATCAATGAAGTCCCGTATGCGGCGAGCCAGCATCTCCCCATAGTTCTGTGATCGCTTGTTCAGCATCTCCTCATGGTCCTGTAATCGCTTGTTCGGCGTCTCCTGGTGCTTTCTTTCAATCTCCAAAAGTTTATCGCTCAAGGCCCTCTTCCTCTCTTCGATAGCCATCTCTCGCGTCCGTACCTCCAGTCTGATGTTCCTAAACTCTCGCGACTTGGTTTCTGCCTGTTTAGCCACGTCCTTGAACTCATCGATCCAAAACTGCGTTCGCGTGCTTGCGTTTACGGCGCTTCATCAATGACCCTTCACTCCCCTCTCTCTCGGTCAGTTCAATCACATACTATTCTCTCACACATGGTCGTCTGGCGTTCTACTGGGATTATGGAAAGGGCTAGATTACACTCAAGTAATTTCGGTTAAGAACAAAAAGGGACAGCCTAAATACCATTTTGTTGTATCGCCATCCCATATAAAATCTGCAGTACCTCCGTCGATATCGTCATCAAGAATTGAAGCGGAGAGATCTTAGTTAGCCTCCTCTCCAATTGCTCCAAACTGACGCTCTGGACGCGGATTCCTCGAAAGGCTGCAGCTATCAACCTCGTGGTACTTGTCGTAGTAAGGTCAATGGAGTATCATTTGGCTTCGAAGAGTCTCGATGTCAGTGTCGCCTGCTCCAGTCAAAGTTGCTAGCGTCCTTGCCTTATCGTACTTTTTCTTTGCGTATTGTATCTTGGACTTCACGGTATCCCTACCCCAGTGGACGCTGTATTTCTTGTTGACCAAGTTGGCGAGCTCGTCGTACAAGTCAATGAGTCTTTGAGCAGCAATTGGGCGTGGGTTGCTGAGTTTCTCGTGACTACACGGATCCGTGATCCATTCAACAAAGAAGTCCACTCCAGGCTTATGCCAAAATTCCTTGGAATCGACCTCATCGCCTTTGACACGGGATCTTTTCTTCGACTTTGATTCGTATATAATGCTTCTGTAATCATTGAAGCTGTGGTCGGCGTTGTTGAAGGGGGTCGTGTTGCTGGTGAGGATGCCCCTGGTATTGGTGACAGGGATCGATTGCCCCTTCTTAAATGACATCTTGTCTTTCTGTTTATCGCCGTCGGAGCTCTCGTCATCCTCAACTGGAAGAATATCATCCGTGAATAAACGAGCACGCTTCAGCTAATAGAAACAAGAAATAAACGTAAGTTCACAGTGGAAAAGCAAGTCCACGCGAGATATGTCTTGTTCCGGACAGTGGAAATGTTACCTTGTTCACAATGAACTTGGGCAGTCTCTGGAAATGCTCCCGAACCGCGGTCCGGACCTCCACCGCCAGTTCCGCCTGGATGACGCTCAGGGGTATATCTCGGCAGTCCTTTGTCGGTGCGCAATCTGAAAGAACGCTCAGGAAATCGTCATAAATCGAGCGCGCAATTGTTTTCGCCTGAATTACCGCCGAGTCTTTAGGTGGTCTCCCGCGGGGTGCTACTGGACCATTCAGAATCAAAGAGATCAGATTTCTGATGATAGTTTCTCCATGTGCCTTGTGCAGAATGAGATCAAGTGGGTCCGCGTTCTTTTCCTCCTTGTGCTGGACTTTCGGAGCACTCGCTTGATTGACATCAGTGCCCAAGTTCTGATCTGGTGCCAGGCGCGCTTGATCTGAATTGGATATGGTGGTAGTGCTGACCTCCTTGTAGAGAAAAAGTTCGAGCGCTTTAAACACGAGAATACGAGTTTGGCTCATGATGCGGACCGCCTCGCTGATGCGTTCCGCGACGATCTGGTCTGGACTACGTTCAGCTTCGTGGCGCGGTGCAGGCATCCTGTGATCGACCCTACAGTCATTGTGGCAGCCTTGAAAGCCTTCCCGAACAGGCGCTTAGTCAGGTTAGCTCCAGCTCGCCTCTCCACTTTTTCACCATTCTCCTCGTCCTCCTTGGACTTCGTCTTAGTTTCACTCGCGGCCTTAGGATTGTCATCCATGCTTCCGTCCTTCTTCTTCCGCGGGCGCGGTTCCTCGATGGACATCTTTTCCAATGCGATCTTGTCGACCGGGCATGACTGGCTGACGTCCATGACAACATGAGGGGAATAACGAGGGTTGGCATCTCTGTTCCTGCTCTTATACTTAAGGGACAATCCCAAAATTAAAAAAAAAAAAAAAAAAATCAATAAGATGATTGTACCAAAGCGACAAAGCTGTAAAAGGTCGTAATGAATTTGAACTCGCTAACAAAGTCATACGACAATCATACCTGCTTCGTCTCCATTTTGCTTCCCGGACTTTCTTACGTCTTGCTTTGCCTTTGGGACGTCGTTTTCTCCGTTGTTGGGCGTTCCCTTTCTTGTGTCTGCGGCGACGGCGTCGGGCCTGAAGAATCGTCTGCTGTCCAGGCGTCTGCAGGCTGCGTTGGACAGGGGAAGAAAACGCCAAGCCTGCAGAAGTGTCGCTGGCGAATGTGTCGGCTGGAGGATTTGTCCGCGAGGCCCGAGTCATATTTCTCCTTTGCAGCTTGCACTTCTCGAGCTTCTGGAGTATGCCCCGTATTTCCTCGTGGGTCGCGCACGATGGCGTAGCGGAGTCAAGATAGTCCTCACGCACTTGAACGAAAGCCGAAACGGCGTGGGTGTAGTCATCCACACTCTTGGTTTGTCCTCCTCTCGCCCGTTGTAAATACTCCTGGATCAGCTCCTTGATAATGCCAGCCTCAGTCGTCTTGGATTCTGGCGCGTCCATGGTCGATCCATCGCCTGCTCTGGTCTCGGTCCTCATCTCTCGGATGATCTTGATATTTCTTTGGAAGCCGTGCCACGGGAGTACCTTGGAGTAGTCGTTCTTAGTAATGATTGATGCCAGCAACAGCTCACGGTCACATGCGAGGTCTAGAGACTCGAGCAGGTCAGCCTTCTTGTACGTGGTGAGCGCTCGGTACTTCCTGACGGGTATAGTGATTTCTCTAACACCTTGATATACCATCATATCACTGTCGGCGGTAATGATTGCGAGGTCGTCTTTGTTGTTATCAGCTTGATACAACTCAGCAATGTGCGTGTCTGCTTGGAAGGGACATTCGCAGGTGTGCCACTCCAAGGTCTCCAGCCCATTTCTTATGTCTGCCAATGCTGCCTTGGATGTCTTGTACGCGTTTCGACATTGCTTGTACAGGGGGCCCAAAGAGCCGCAGTTTTTTCCTATGGCGTTGTCAACTCGCACCTCCAGAGTCTTGATCCGGTTGCTGAGGGATATGGCCCGATCTTGTCGCTCCTGGGACTTTTGTATCGAGGCCTTTCCGTCAAAGTGTAGAACCGTGGTTGATTTGCTAAAGTGCTTTGACATGATTTTGTTGAGGTCGTGCGCTATGTGACCGTAATTCTGTGACTAGAGGTGAGGCAGGATCGAGGGATGAAACAACAGAACATGTGTCAGCACTTGGTTGCTATGCTGCGCAAGCTGATACGAAACCATTGGCGCATTTAATTACCTACTCTGTTGTTCCAGGTCGGTCTGGTGTCAATCGTCCGTTAGGGCCAATGAACAGTGCAGGATGTTGCGCGCCGGCAGCCTGTACCTCGCTCGCATAACTAGGGCATGCCTTTCCTCGCTTGGATGGAGCCTCGGAGAAACTCAGGGCGCGCTTCTTGATATTGCTTCTCCTGCTAGTGCCGGCGTCTGTAGCAGAAGGCGCGTCTTGCGCTGTTGAGGCTGTGGAGACTGCGGGGGCTGTGGGCACTGCGAGAAAGGTCGTCGTTTCTGTTAGAATGGAAGCCGCTGATGCGCTGGCAGTTGTTGTAGCCGTTGCCTCAGCTCTCGCTTCCTTGGCGACTCTTTTACACGTCACTTTGAAGGTCCTTGTTTGCAAGAATCCAAAGTATAGACTTAAGACATCGACATGAACTTTCTTGCTCTGCAGATCATAAGCTAGCGTTCCTTCGGTGTCTTTTATAGCTTTGGGTAGTCCAGTGACTCCCATCTGGTACGATAAAGGCCAAGTCAAAGTAGACAGTTAATGAGGATCAAATTTGGTACATGTATCCATTTGCAGAAGCATTCAAGACTCACGTTAAGAATATGCGGCAGTGCTTGAGGGCTGATAAGGGAGTGGATGAGGAAAGGAGTGGGGTCAAGGATGTGCGGAATGATGTTTCTTTTAAGGCCCCGAAATCTACGTCCAAAATGTTTGTATTGTTCATGCACTATGCTATCCCTTACTCTGTACGACGTGACGGGCAAATTTGCCCGGCAAAATTAAAATTTCCCTGTGCTATAGTCATGAAGTTTTTTACTCCAGGTCTGTGGATTGTGTGTGATATTCTTTGAAACAAGGTCTGGCGCCATTGCTACACAAAGGAACCTTGCATACCTGGCACCAGATATTGCTTTGGAAGGGGTTCTTCTGGCTCATGTAGATCTGCTTGGTTTGGTATTTCCAAGAACACAACATGCAGGTCCCTCGATGCTTTCGGGTCACTGGAAAGTGGTTGTCATCGGTGAATCGGTCATTGGGGAGTTCAAAGTTCTTTGTCACTCGAGGTCGTTTCCAGACAGTGTCATCCTCGTTCTCGTCTTCCTTCTCCACAGCATTGTGGCGCCGTGCCTTGCTTGAGGTATGGACCGAATCGATTAACCCCCAGATAAGAGAGCTGCGAAACTCTTTGTGCGTGAGAAGGGATCCTTTTTTTCGGGCTATGAGATAGGTGTTGATAATAGTCGTATCCAAGAGCCAGAAAAAAATTGGCATCCAGTTCCGCCGCGTTGTCTGCTGCGTGCTGTAGTAGGATCGAAGTTGATCGGCAATATCAATTCCACCCATATTGTAGTTGTAATCATCGATGACCTTCAGGATCTTGATTTCCTTCCTGGGAGAGTTGCCAAAAATTGCTCGCACCTTTGCTCCGTTTGTACTTGTTTCTCGTGGTCGGGGCCGTTCTCGAAGGACCTCCCATTCCGCACCTGCAATCTCGTGAATTGTTGTCATCATCGTCACCGGTCCATTATCCTGCCAGAAAACGACCAGTACTCCTCCAACCACAACTCCAGACCGAGTATCCCAATCCAACTTGGTGCCCTTTTCCACCTGAAGCTCCTTCGGAACTCCCCCTTGCTTCCTTGCTGTCCCACAAGCTCCAATGTTTTGGTTCCTGAGGTGCTGAAAAAGATTGACGCTGGTGAAGTAGTTGTCCATGAATACCCGATAGTGGGAAGCCTTTGGGAGCTGTTGGACGAGATGATTGACTGTGGATCCTGTCTGAGTGAGTCCTGGTATCTTCTCGACTCGAGCTGGTGTCATCCTTGAGGTTGGAACAAAAGCATAGGTGTATCCTGCATCGCATAGGGAAAAGATCTTGAATCCCTCGGGCGTTGGCTTGTTCTTCATCCGAACAGTATGTGCGCCCCGTCCTGAGAACCTAATCGTCATCTCGTCAACAGAGACGTTTGATGCAGGTATGTAGTATCGTTTTGAGGCCACGCGGATTTGAGAGAGTAGTGGCTCCAGCTTGTCACAATACTCCTCTATTACGGCGTCTGGTGCACATACATGGATATATCGCTTGATCTGCTCGTAACGGACTTGATACATGTATCTTGATATGTGATGTGTTGGCGCCTCACGGTTGGTATTCCAGATAGCGACGTATGAGCTCAATTGATAAAGCCCAATGTAGATGGTAATCGCGATCCAGGTAACGAGCTCGTTCATAGTGATGTTTTTCCAGGCGCGACCGGAAGATTCAGCTTGCTTGTTTTCTGCATAGAGATTGGTATTCGTAACGATCGTCTCCAGTGTCTTGTCTGTGAAGAAGAATCGAAAGAGGGTGATTGGGGGTGGTACTACGCCATCGAATATCCCATCTAGGTTGACGTTGGCACGACGGTATCCTTGGATCAAAGGCTCAAAATCTGGAGGTACCGGTAGCTCGATCGCCTGCTTCTTTTTCCCTTCTCCTTTTTCCGTCGCAGGCGCTGGGACAGTTTGGCACTCCTCCTCTTGATCCTGCTCCTCCTGTTCTTGGAAAGACTCGTCCGTCTGCGTTCGTATCTCTAGAATAGGTATAAACTCTTCTTCGTCCACCGTCTCGCGCCCTCCGATCACTGGCATTTGGCAGAGGTGCTCATGACCATTCATAGGTAAACAGAGGGATGATTTAATGATCTAATGCGACGATGACTTAATGCGATTGATGAGAATGAGGATGATGTTTCCGCGACATTAACGAGATAAAACGAAAAAAACGCTGTCATTTTATTTTAACCGGGCAAATTTGCCCGGTATACAGAGTAAGGGATAAAGACAGAGAGCTTTCTATTGGTGAACTTTATTAAATAAGGTTGGAGCTGTAGGCGCAGTGCATCTTTTCCCATATCCTTGCGGTTGATGTGATCATGTGATATATGTTATTGTTTGATATATGTATGTTATTGTTTGTTCCGTACTCCGCTCACCTTCATCAACATTGCATTCCTCCTGGCTCTTCTTCATCGACCTCTTTTTATTCCAGTCTGCGCAATCATACACAATGTCTTCGGCTGAGCAGTACATCAGGACAGAATACCCTGTTATCGACTCGGACCCTCATTTCTCCAGGGTGGTTCGCTATATGCGAGGCTCCGACCTCGCTGCCTGGGGAGGCTTGACCGCCGGTGGCCCTGCTATCTTACTTGCCCTTGGTAATAGACCAAAACTAGATCATTATATTAATGCAGGAGACGAAAGTGCCGATAAACGAGGGCAGCAATTATATCAGGTTCAAGGCAGGAGTATCAGTCCGGAAAATGCAGGAACTCCCGCAAGGTGATCTTTTCGGAGTATATGTCCGAGGTCACGCCGAAGATATTTAACTCAGGAGGACCAACTTCAAATATTATTTGACGGGATAGCCGCGAGCCCTTGACTCATTACCGCGCAATCAGGAGCCGTCAGGCTATCGACCTTATCCAATATGGAACAGACCACGCGCGCTGGACAAATAGGATCGATAGGTTGTTTTTAAGACAGGATGCAGGAAGCAATTGATCCTGGGTTTGCCAACCTATGACTAAATAGCGGCATGAGGAGACTTGCTCAGGACTTTAGAGCATTGACCCTACCTGCATTTCGGGACAGCATGAGATCATTGACGACACCAGCAACTTTTGATCAGGACCTACTTTAAACATTTTGCTTCTGGCTGTCGCGGACCAATTGCGTTTACTAACATTGGCGGACAACGCTTGTCGTGGCACGATATGGATAGAACGCATTCGTCCTGCTGCTGGACCAAAAGGAATCAACTTTGCTTTGGGTGTCGCCACTGCACTGGGATTCATGGGCGGCTTCCTCTTCTCGTATCAGAAATCAAGCCGTATGTCTCCTTTCCTTTCCTTGCTATTTTATACGCTGCCATGGTATTCGGACCACTTTGTTGATTTTTTTTTTTTACTCGTTCTTTTGGTTCAATGTAGTTCGCTTCTGGGGGTGGGAGGAGAACGCCAGGGAGCAGACCAGGAGCCGCGAAGAAATGGCTACGCGCGCCGCTGCTGGTCTTCCTGCGTATGGTGAACCAACTATGGACGACGCTGCTCAGGCTGCAGCCGCTAGAAACTCCAAGTATGCGGCCTTGAAGTTCTGTAGGTGTTCCTAGGAACGCGCTGTTCTCGTTTGAATGCTTAGTTCTATATATGTTTGCATCCAAAACGTATCTAACAGCATGATGGCCATGTACTTCATTTTTTACTAGCTGCCATTCCTTGGTTCAACACCACGAACCACAAATATCACCTCTCCGATACCACTGCTGCCAAAAGCGAGAACTAAATAGACCGATGTCTGGGAAGACAACCACCTCAATAGATCCTACAAGACTTATTTTAAATAAAAAAGAAAAAAAAAAAGCCGTACACGCTAGGTAGATTAGTCGATGGAGCAAGTGACTGTGTGTTCACTGAGTCTTGTTTGGTTCCTGGCTCCTTCGTCTGTTCACTCATCCCTTCTGTCTATCGCACCGCACTTACATCATTTCCTGAGGGCATATACCCATACACGCCATTACCCTGTCTTATCTGTCCCCTTCGTCCTCCTCCTCCTTCACCCATTGCATCACCCTTACAGCCTTGCTCTTGCTATATAACCTCACTTCACATTCTCAACAGGATACTTTTCCTCCCGACAATCTGCACGACCTCGCTGTAGTTTTTGTCAGTAACAACGCGTGCACTCGTCCCACCTTCAGGCCACCTACAAGCTACTCCGTTTTTTTTTTCGTGAATCTCTAGGTATGTGAAAAAAGCCTCTACTTGAAAATCATGAAGCCTTGGTACAAGTTGATAGCCAGCGCAGCAGTTTTTATGCCTGAAGCCTAAATAACAGCATGTTAACGCGCTATCATATATTATTCTATATCATGCAAAGCCGAGCCGAGCACTTCTACCCGCACGAAACTTATCATAACTACTCGACCAGCTAAATATACAGCATGATGTCAAGGTCATCGGCGGAGGGACTGACAGCAAACATGCCTCGGAGACCGCTATTTAAACTGGATATGGAATACGACTATGATAATCAGCGACAGCAGGACACATCCTCAATAACAGCATCGAGTGGGGTTCCGATAATAGCAACGGGAGGACTCTCCTCTATCGCGCCGTCGAAAAATAATAATCAGACGACAGCGCTGCAGACGAATGGGCATGCCTCGAAATCGACGTCTTCGCTTTTATCCAATACAACGAAGGCGATGACAATAGCCACATCTACGACTTCTTCCCCAGCATCAAGTAATACCGCAAAGGAGACAAAACCAACAACAACAGCAGCCGTCCCCCCGAGTTCAATACCAGGGATCTTTAGCAAACTGATCAACAGCGTCGGCTCAGGGAATCCCATCGGTGGAAGTCGACATGCAAAGCTGGGAGGAATGATGCCTCCTTCCTCTGTAGCAGCTCATGTTGTCGGTCTTGGTGGTGTAGTCGGTGGCTCAAAAACAAACCCTGGAGGCAATGCCAGCAATAATACGATCGACAGCAGCAACACGAATGCAAATGACAACACTTCATCGAGCCGAAAGATGCTCCCACCTGTCGGTGGCTCGCTGCGTCACAACCCTTATGGTCGATCGTTAGTGTTGTCAGGATCAGGACGGCAACCTAGAACATCGTCCAACAACAACGATACAGCGCAAATGTTCCAAATTGGGTACGGATAGATCGGACATTATTTCCGACTCGAAAAATACTCGACTGCCTATTGACAATATTCTAACTGTCTATCGTATATAAAATCAATAGGCGTGCCCTGACGCCTCGAGAATGGTGTCTGGACGACTTTGAGCTCGCACGACCCTTGGGCAAAGGACAGTTTGGTCGCGTATATCTGATGCGGGAGCGGCAGTCTGGATTTGTGGTCGCCATGAAGGTGATGCTGAAATCGGAGCTGCTGAAGGCAAACATGGAACATCAACTTCGTCGTGAGATTGATATTCAGTCAAACCTCAAGTACGTGTCGACAACGTAGTAGAACTTGATTATCTACATACAGACGCCTATATGCGGCTTTGGCGTCCGATATACTGATAGTTTCTGTGATATGCGTTCACTCTCATAGACACAAACATATTCTGCGTCTGGATACGTTCTTTCACGACAAGACACGGGTGTGCCTTGTACTAGAGTATGCGCCGCAAGGAGAGCTCTACAAGAAACTGAAGAAAATGACAAAGTTCCCAGAGTGGCAGGCATCCAAGGTAATGTCCAGTAGATGGCGACGGGGTGCGCAAATCTGGAGTACGGCTGTGCTCGACAACGAGACTGACATTGGATCCGACTTTGTATCCGGCAGTACATCTACGAATTAGCAACGGCTCTTGCATACCTTCATCGCAAGCATGTAATCCATCGCGATATTAAGCCGGAGAATCTGTTGCTTGGCACCCATGGCGAACTTAAGATTTCCGACTTTGGTTGGTCTGTACATGCGCCATCATCTCGACGATCGACCTTCTGTGGAACTCTGGACTATTTGGCGCCGGAGATGGTGGAAGGTCGCGACCATTCCAATCAGGTGGATCTCTGGTCTCTGGGTGTTTTGTGCTACGAGTTCCTGGTAGGACGACCACCATTTGAAGTACTAGACGGGGGCCGGACTTCGACCTATTTGAAGATTGTCAAGGTGGACCTGTATATCCCTGAGTCTGTCAGCAATGAAGCCAAGGATTTGATACTCAAGGTAAAAGCGCAGCGGCATGGGTGTGGACTCACTGGACTTTTCTAAAAGGCGCTATTGCTGCTGTTGTACGATCTAACGTGTATTATTTATATTTAATAACAGCTACTGCGATACAGACCGGATCAGCGTCTGGCCCTTGACCGTGTACTGCTTCATCCATGGATCACTCGACATAATGGTACTCGCAGCAGCAGCAGCAGCAGCAGCCGAGGCTTTTAGAAGCGATTCAGCCAGGCTACGTTGTTAACCATATCCGGCATCGAATAAAAAGGACTCTTGGCACAATTATGACCGCGGCAGTTTTAGGCCATGATGAACAGGGCGGTCTCATTCATTTGCCCATTACTTCATTCCCTTTTTCAGGTTTCTTCATTCCAGCTCGCACTCGACGTCAATTCCTTCTCTTTCTCCTTCCCTTTCCTATTCTTTCTCCTGTGATACACACCATCAATACCGCTGCCACTCTCGCTTCCCTTATTTTTTTTTCTTATTTTTTTTTATTTCTGGTTCTCGCGCCGCTTCAGCAAGCTGGATCTGGTTAACCATACATATTCCTTGCCATGCGAGACTTCAGCAAACCTGCCAGGGCACTTTTTGCCCTCGCAATAACCATGTTATGGTTCGCTGCCCTCTTTGCGCCTTTTGCCCATGCCTATGTAGACAACGTGCAGGATGAACCCCTATCGGATTCATCACTCCTCGCCTTGGATACACTCCCCAGCAGAGGCGGCAGCAGTAGCGGAGATGCAATTTCCTTGGTACCAGGCGCCATGTTCATGTCCTCACCCATGTCGCCCGCAAACCCATTCTTGGCATCGATCATCGCAGGAGCAGACCCTCGCCGGCCCGAGGATTGCCCACCCTGTTTCAACTGTCTTTTGGATGCATTTCCATGCTCACATTTCGCACCCTGCAACAGATATGATGGTCGATGCAACTGTCCTCCTGGATTTGCGGGTGATAATTGTTCTGTGCCAGGTAACGAAAGAGGACCCACGGTCATTGTTCTAGACATACTACGCGCTCGATCCCCCTAACAGCCCTGCTCAGCTTCAACAAGAACAGTTCATGATGAGATCGAAGGAGATGCTTCGAGAACGCGGTGAAGGGGAGCGAGGAAAGGAGCCAGCCCCCCTGTTGCAAATTAAGATCATCATCTCTATCGTCATCCTGATCGCAACGCCCTCTCCTCCTATTAACCTCCTGACCGAATTTAATATTACATGTGTATGATAGTCTGCGGTGCCCTTTCGGATGGCAAAGATCGACCCCAGCGCGAGAAGGACCAGAAATGTCAGTGCAAGGATGGATGGGCGGGCATTAACTGCAATGGTAATACTGAGGGACACATTGTGGATCAATAGGGCGTCGAGATATGAACACAGAAGGACAAGCATTTGTATTAATGCCGCAGCTATTTATCATGGATGTAGTCTGCACAGCCGATCATGTCTGCGATTCGCTTGTCCCTTCTGGCAAGAACGGAACCTGCTACGATGGTGGACTCACAGTCTTTGAGAACTTTCAACAGTGCGACGTTACAAGTAAGAAAACAAAAATCTTGTTTTTTTGAGTTCAAGGAGTTGTTTGCCACCAATTTAGCGACTTTGTTATTTACCATAATTGCATGACGACCTCCTGCAGATCGAAAGATCCTAGATACACTGGGACCAGATCAACCTCCAGCCATCACTTTCTCTTGTAATCAACAGAACAAGACCTGTGATTTTCAGTTCTGGGTTGACCAGGTCGAGTCCTTCTACTGCCACCTGGACGAATGCACATTTGGGCAAGACATCCAGTACGACAAGACCGTGACAACCTACAAATGTCCCAAGATCAAATGCTCCTGTATCCCCGACCGCATGCTCTGTGGGAAAGACGGCAGTGTTAACATTGACGATTTTCTCGCAGAGGAAATTCAAGGGCCTGCGGATTTCGTCTGTGGTCAAGATCACAAGTGCACTTTCGAGGAACCGGCCATGAATGAATTGATCATGACCATGTTTGGCGATCCAGCTATTTATCTGAAGTGCAATGGCGGCGAGTGTTTGCATTATACGCAAGTCCCTGGGTTCGAGCGTCCGCCTCGTCCGGATTATACAATGGCGATCATTTTGTCGATTGGAGGCGTGTTTGCGTTCCTGGTCGGACTGGGGCTGGCGGTGTGGTACTTGGCCAAGAGATCAGGCTCCTCAGGACAAGGATATATTGCACTTCCGGATGATGAGGCAGCGAAATTAATGGCGGAACATATCCCTGCGACTTTGATGTTCAAGAAGATGAATTATTCTGTGAATGGCAAGGACATACTGACGGATGTCAGCGGATTGGTCAAGCCAGGCCAGGTGATGGCGATCATGGGTGCTAGTGGTGCGGGCAAGACCAGCTTGCTAGACATTTTGGCCAGGAGAAATAAGTACGGGACGATTCAGGGTCAGATCTATGTGAATGGGCGGATCGTCTCTGATCAGGAATACAAACATGTCGTTGGGTAAGTACGAAATGTTCATGATCCTGTTGCTCACAGCGAAGGGTCAATAAGAGATGGTTTTAGCAAATACTGTTTGCCATCTACTTCATATATAGTTACGTCGATCAAGAAGACACGCTCATGCCGACGCTGACCGTATATGAGACGATCCTTTACTCTGCACTGCTCCGCCTGCCTCGCGATATGTCCTACGATGCCAAGCGCTACCGCGTGATGGAGACCATGTCTGAGCTGGGCATTCTTGATATCAAGGATATGCGTATCGGGGCGAGCGGACGGCGTTCCATTTCGGGTGGAGAAAAGCGTCGCGTCTCCATTGCCTGTGAACTCGTCACATCGCCGTCAATCCTCTTCTTGGACGAGCCCACCTCCGGCCTGGACTCATACAATGCCTATAATGTTGTCGAGTGTCTTGTCAATCTGGCCAGGAACTATAACCGTACAGTGATTTGTACGATCCACCAGCCACGGAGCAATATCTTTGCACTTTTTGATCACTTGGTTTTAATGGCGAAGGGACAGCTCGTTTACTCTGGTGAGACCAGGCTTTTGAATGAACATCTCAGGAAGCTGGGACATCACTGTCCAGAGGGATATAACATGGCGGACTACATGCTAGACCTGACCATGTACACCGGAAAATTGAGCACCAGCAGAAGTGACTCTGCAGTTGGAGGAGGGCTAGAGGGATATACTCAACGATACGGCTCGCCTTCAGCAGATGCAGCGGTACCAGGCACCACAAGCTCGATTTCTCCAGCTGTCGGATCCGATGGACTGCCGCTCATCGCACGGGAACTCAGTATGGCTGACGATACCCGCCATTGGGAAAGTGAATTGGCGTCCCGTGAACACGAGAATCCCAGAGCTGCCGTCGGGGCGGTAGAAAATACCTCTATTGGCATCGATCCTCCGTCCACATCAAGAGATGCCGAGAGTGCCCGACTCACCGCAGTGGAAGAGGCGGTTGCGAAGGCACATCTGGACTCGCTCGTGGAAGGATTCAGAGAGAGCGCGATCTTGGCGGAGGTGGAGCAAGGTATCGACACGGCCGTACAGGCAGCTTCAGTCTCGAACAGTGACAGTGACAGCAACGGAAGAACCACGCCAGTTCCTCAGCAGCAACAGGCACAACTACCAGGCATCTCTGAGAAGGCTGTCGCGACATATCGCCGCGCATCTTGGTGGAGTCAGTTCAAGATTTTGGCAGACAGGACGTTGAAGAACATTTATCGCGATCCCATGTTGATGCTCTCGCACTATGTGGTGTCGATCTTTCTGGGACTTCTCTGCGGTGCACTCTTTTATAAGGTGACAAACGACATCCCAGGATTTCAGAATCGAATGGGCGTGTTCTTTTTCATGTGCGCTCTGTTCGGATTCTCTTGCTTGTCGATCTTACCATCGTTTGCACATGAAAGGATCCTGTTTGTCCGGGAGCGCGCGAACGGGTATTATTCGCCGTTTACATATTTCGTGGCGAAGGTCGTGTTCGACATCATACCCTTGCGAGTGATCCCGCCCATGCTGATGGGATTGATCATTTACAACATGGTTGGATTGGTCGAGGGGTGGAACGAGTTCGGAAAGTTCTTCTTGGTCCTGGTCTTGTTCAATTTCACTGCGTCGGGGATCTGCCTGATGATTGGAATCGTTTTTGAAGCGGTCGGGGTTGCCAACTTGATGAGCAGTCTAATCATGCTGTTCTCGATGCTGTTCGGAGGACTTTTGCTGAACAAGGGTAAGGAACGAAGCTGTCGCGGCTGGTTGAGTGTATTTGGTCTGCTACGGGATCTCTTGAAGACATAAACTTAACTCGCTTTCGTGGATTGTATTTTATTTTTTTAATAGAATCCATTCCGGAACACCTGTCGTGGCTGCAAAAGCTGTCGTTCTTCAACTTTGCCTTCGAAGCATTGTTAGTCAACGAGATTACATTCCTGCAGTTGGTCCAAAAGGAATATGGACTTGAGATCGATGTAGGTCATCCTCTTTTGGTTGTTTTGATCCATCAGATAAAGAACGCGTACCGCGCTCAGATGATGCTGTAAACTAAACAATTTTTTTTTTTGCCCTGTTCAATAGGTGCCTGGTGCGGTGATTCTGTCAACGTTTGGATTTAACTCGGGCGCATTCTGGAAGGACGTCCAAAGCTTGGGTATTATGGCTGCCGTCTTCTTTACCGTCGCCTTTGTCTGGCTTCACTTTAGAGTGAATGAAAGACGATAGTCATAACTCCGTCGTTCGTTCTTTTCGTTTCGCGTTGTAACTTAAAAGTCTTGCCCAACGTAGGATTGACAGTTTCATTGATAAGTCTCAATGAAACATCACTAAAGTGTTAGTGAAAGCGGGGGGGATTTTTTTCTTCTTTTTTTATATGTATAAATTGGCAAGACTGAGGATGTGAAAGTAGAAACAATAAAAAAGCACTGAAAAGTTGAGAAAATAGTCCCGATGGACCGAAAGAAAAGAAAGGCAGAAAAAGAATTGTGGTCAAGCCTTGCGTAGTAAAAATTATCTTGTTTTTGACACAAGAAAAAAAAAAGATCTCATGCTTGGGAGACAGGGGGCTCCTGATCGTCTTCACAGTCCTTCAGATCCATGTGTCGGCGAAGGGCATCTCGGCGGGAGAAGGGCTTGTTGCACTTTTGGCAGCTGTAGATGTCGGTGATGCCGTGGATCGAGATCTGGTGACGCTGCAGATCATTCTTGCGCGTGAACGACTTTTTGCAGTCCTGTTCGGGGCATGCAAAGAGTCGGGCCTTGCTCCGGTCATGAGTCCGTTCATGAGTGTTCAAGTTGAAAAGACGGGAAAAGGCACGGCCGCACTGAGTGCAAACAAACTGACGTGGAGGGGAATCGTCGTCAGCCTGCTTGGTCTCGTCCGACTTTCGCTTCAAGGGATTGATGGTCGTCGAGATAGTCGTCGTCTGGTCAGCCTGGCAGCTGCTGGCAGGTAGCGATACTGTTGTGGACATTGCTGCTAACAAGGACAACTGTTCCTGCAATTTTTGTTGTTGTTGTTGTTGCTGCTGCTGCTGCTGACTGTACAAAGAGAGCAAGAGACCGAGATCCAACTGAGGTGAAGAAACAGCGGCAGGGAGCGTTGGGATGGACTGCATCGCGAATGTGCCGGAGGGACTGACAGTATTGCTGCTGATGCTGTCGAGGTTGTTAAAGTCGAACGAGAAGTTCTGAGGCAATTGGGGCATGGTCCAGTCTAGGGACATGGTGGGACTGGACGTGACCGTGGCGGGAGTGGACGATTCCATCGAGGGCGAGAGATCGACATCGGAGAAGAGACCTCCAAGGACATCTGGGGAATCAACCAGGAAGGGCGAGGCCTGTGTACTGACAGTCAATGGCTGACTTGTCAGTCTGGCGGCCGCTGCAGCAACGAGCTGCATCGCAAGTTCATGGGTCTCAGTCTCCTCTTTGAACTATCATCATTCAATCATTCAATCATTCAAAATACAAATCAATCGGACAGGTTAGCCGCCTTGGAAGAGCATTCTATGAACAAATCGATGCAAAGAAGAATAGAGCTGCGAACATGCCTTCAGATCGACAGAAGCTGGCGAGGAAAATGAGGTGGTCACAGGGGTCGAAAGGGTCAAGATAGGGCTCTGAAGAGCGATATCGTCAAAGAGAACAAAGTCGAGCAAGGCAGTTTCGGCTTGAAGATAGGCACTGGACAGAGTAGGATCCTGGGCCGACACGGCTCCATTCTGGCCAGACAGGGATGTCGAGGCTGGGGATGGAGGCGAGGTCAGGCCATAGTCCATGTTCAAGTCCAAGCCCTGGACAGCAGTGGAGGAGGCGGCATCGACATTGGAGGAGGCGGCAGTCCAGAGTTGCTCAAGGCTGGTCGTGTCAAAATCTTCAGAGGCCACACAGTCAAACAGGGGGGTCTGATCGGGGGTTTGGTTCGGCGTGTCAAGATAAGGTGCAAACGGCGTATTGAAGGCAGAGGCGCAAACCTCATCAACGAGCGACAGTTGGTCAAAGCCAGAGGCATCGTCGCTTCGGTGCAAGGTTGCAGGCACAGGGGAATCGGAGGCAGAGTAGGCAGGGGCAGCCTTGGATGAGCTGGGGGTGGGAAACCACTCCAGATCATCCAGACTTAAAGGCAGCTGGGACAACACAGGGCCATCGGAGATGGCGGCTGCTTGCGTCCAATCCTTGGACGAGGGTGGATGATCGAAAGGGAAGACATGGCTGAGTTCGGGTGAGGGGTGAACGGTTTGAGTGGGTTGAATAGGAATAAAAGGATTAAAAAAAGTCGGCTCGGACGACGGGTTAACAGTTAAAAAAGTACTTGGATCGGGAGGATTGTCAGTATAAGGAAAAATAGGGTTGTCAAAAATGAACATGCACAGGTGGGCAGGAAAAGCTTGGTTGTGTTGTTCAGGCGTCAAAGACAAGATGAACGGTGTGGAGAAGAACGGGAGGGGTGTTGTCGCGGAGAGATCTAGGGGAGTTGAAGATCTGTAACGATAACAGAAAAGAGATGGAGTTTGTTCTGAAGCGAAGAGGGCTTGAACAAACTAGAAAGGGCGGGTGGGTGGCGGACAGCGACTGCAAGACGGTGTCCTTAGGCGGTGTGATAACGAAAAAAAAGCGGGATGTTCGATAGCCGAGGTCGACTATTAAATTTAAGAGTGCTAGTGGAAAGGAGAGCTGCTTGCGGTATGGCAGGACAGCTGGGATCGTGCGCAATGGTTGCTGTGGCTATAGGTGTAGTTTCTGGTGTGGCTGATACCGCACTTGCGATAGTTTGCTATGTCTCTTTGGGGTTTGAATAGGCAGGGGCAAAAAAGGGAGGGGGGAGGGAGGAGGGAAAGAAGGACGGGCTGCTCTCTCTGCTCAGTGGGATAGGGCAACGGACAGGGCTAAAAAGGGTGTTTTCTCGGTGAAAGAAAAGGGAAGACCTTTGTAATCCGTATGATAGGATGAAAGGTCTATGAAGATGATATAAAAAAGAAGCTTGTCGCTGCTGAAGGGACGTGCAGCTGTTATCAACAGTGTGCTGGTGGGAGTGGCAGGTGGGGGGAGGGAGGGAGGAGGGGCGGGGGAAAGAGAGGGGGGAAAGAGGAGGAAAGAGAGAAATGAGAGGAAAGAAGAAAATTATGAGCAACTCCGTGCTGCCTTAAGGGCCTTGAAGCCGATCGCACGCCTTGATGGATGGGTTCCAAGGATAGCACTATTTATCCATGCGATATAGACTGCTGACGTTCTTTGGATTACTTTAGTCTACGCACACACATGCAACAGCATACGCACTCTGCCTCGCGTACATGCCCACTCTGTCTCGCATCTTCACTCTCACTCGCATTCTGCTTGTCTCCTTCTGCTTGCCTCAGTAGATAATTCTCCAATACTTATCCGTGTGAAATCAGTTACCATTTGTCAATTGCTCAAACTGAACTCAAAACTAAGATTTAGAATCGTCAATTGATTGGCCGGTTTGTCGCCGTGAGATGTTGAACCATGAACTCAGCCCTGCGGAGGGCGTCTGCGTTGCATGTGAGGGGCACGATATCCGAACTACTCTGTCGCTGTCGATTGCAATAATACGAAACAGGAGTACATCTCATGGGAGCAGACGCCGATTGGTTTTCTATTCACCTATCCTCCCAGTTCCGCAAAACATGAACAGAAATATAAGCATTCCGGGCTAGGATACTATCTCTTCGACACAATCACCCATAGTTTATGTCTGCTTTCTTTTTTTGCTCTCTCTCGCTCTCTCACTCACTTACTCACTCACTCACTCACTCATTCACTCACTCACCCTTGCCTGAAGCAACTCTTGAGACAGGCTGCAACAAGCCTATACCTTCGTGTTAGCCCCATCGAACCTATCATTCGAGTTTACACACAATTGAGAGCAAGACATAAATGCATCCAACACAGTGAATAGACGCGTCTGGAGCGCACCGGATCTTACATTGTGGTCAGGTCGACATGTACAGTCACATTTCTGGCGCTTTTCGGTCAAACTGACCTAACCTCATTTCCAAAAGACAATATGTCTATAGCGATGGGCGTAGTCCTACCTACTTTGGTTCAAATCAATCACAATATCGAGACGCAGATAAGAACTCATAGCATCGCCGGAGGCGATTGCATCTCTGCGTGGTTCGCATTGAGCGAAGAATTAAAGGTTGTAGCACTTTGCATGTGGTTGGAACCTAGGGATATCGTGGCTTTCTATAACCTTGTAAAGAGGAAGCCCGAATCTCTGTCGACGACGAGCGCTTTAAAACAATACAGACATTGGAACAGAACAACCCTTTATTGCTATCAATCGGAACAGGGGTATCAGGCACTTTTTTTTTTTTTTTTTTTTTTTTTTTGGCTTGCCATGTCAACACCGTGCCTGTCGCTTGGTATAGGAGGTTAATGACAGCTCCAAACCCTCAGACGAAGGTATACCGGTAATCCTAAATATCGAAAGCACATAAAGTCAGGTGACTCTTGAGTGCCATGGAAACGATACAAGGCAGATGTGGGCGTGATAGTATTCGTATGACATTAACAGGGAGAGACCATTATATTGTTCTCACTCACCGACATGGGTTCGAGCTCACTGTTTCCCGTGGTGTTGCGAATGAAATATTGAATAATGGGTGTAGAGTGGGGAGAAAGATGGTTCAGTATGGGCGGAGATATAGGTGTAGTAAAGAAGTAATCTGCTAGAGCTGAAAGAAAAAAATATATAATGGGCTGTAGCGATAAAGGGCGAGCAAGGAATAGATGTTGTGCTAATTATGTGTTAAGATACCTTTTGGAGACGAACGGATTCTGCGCGCCTAGCGCGTTTGCAAGACCTACAAGCAGCAGTCGATCCCAAAGGTGAATCAATATCTTTACTTGATATCTGGGAAGGCCAAGCATCTGCAGAAAGACGGCGTGGCGTGCATGCATGTATTCTACTGTCATATGAACTTTTTCACGCCTCGGGGCGTTGGCAAGCTGCGCATTTGAGTAATTCGAGGCTTCTTTTTGTTAGATATGTATATATACCGAAACGCAGCGCTTTTACCTTCATCTCATCACATTCCATGGTCCTTTCTAGGCAGCCTTCTACAAGCTGCTTTTCGATTCTCGTTCTCCACATAATACACCAATAGCATGAATATGTCAACATCGTAAAACGCAGCCGTGTATTTTCTCCTTTTCTATTGAGTAAAGGTGGCAGATCATTCTATTTGTGTGAGATGAGCGTCTAATGGAATGTGGACAATTTGGACTGCTCGCTCAGCTCCTGGATACGTATCATCGCGGCATGAATGCGGATCGAGAGTCTAAACTCAAACTCGTATCCAGAGTAACCAACAGCCTTGTCCCACAGTGCCTTCGCTCTCACCCACCGTCTATCTCCCTTCAGATCCTTGTCCTCGATCCAGCTACCCACTCCAGCCTCCCAGCACGCAAACGGTACGACCCATTTCTCCTCGGCAATTTTTCCTGTAGGCAAATCGATCACCCAGACCAAGCACTCTGTACCCTCCTTGTGCCGGCCAAGCTGGTGCAGAATAGCACCTTTAATTGTCTTGAGAACAGCCAGAGAATCGAGGCTGCTCTTGCCTCGGCTCTTGCTGATCTGTGCATCAACTAAGGCTAGAGAACTAGTTAAGACCTCCGGGGTCATCGATGCGAAGGCGTTCCAGATCAAAAGAATCTCGAGCGTAGGCAGGTTCGTATCGTCAAACCCAGTCTGCTCGAACAGCTTGACCTTGCGTGTCACGTACTGTTCCACGAGGATGGTTCGGCCGCCAAATTTGCGGCTGACCAGACCGGGGATCGTTTGATAGATTTCTACTGCTTCCGGCTTCCTACCACTAGCCTCTAGTGCTGCAGCCTTGAAGTAGAGGAAAAATACCCTGGACCAATAATTTTCCTTCACAAGCCTGTCAAAGTATGTGGCAGCCTCCGTCCATTGCATCGCAATCGCGCAGTTCAAGCCCAGCTCATAATCGCATAGCCTCTGAAGTTCTGAGCCCCATTCAATTGTCGCCTTGCTCGAGGCCAACTCAAACGCGGCTGTCGACTCCTTAATCGAGCCCTTTAGTCGACAATTGCGTCCCTCGAAGTACAGGAAAAAGGCCGATTCCTTATAGTCGTTGAGGGCCTCCTTAAGAATTTTGTCCGCAATGGGGATGTTGGTCTCGCCCAAGACTGAGGGTGCGAATCCTGCGAGGATGATGTAATATGACAAGAACATGAGCGACCCCAATGGGGATCGAATTCCTTTGGTGGCAATACATTTGGAGATAAGATCGAACCCAAATGCCTTGTCTCCTGTGTATCCGAATGAGGAAATGATCCGAAGAATCTTGGCGGGCATCGATGCCAGGACGATGTTGATGGTCCCCAGTCTGTTTCGCGCCGTACAACAGAGATGGGTTAGTGTGCTATTACCTGTAACGTGTTAATGGACAACATAAAAAACATGAATTCAGATGGTAATACATACCCGAAATAAACGCCTCCAAGGGTGTTGTTGTCTACGAGTGTGTTGGCCTCGTCACCCATAGTCTTGAGTTCCGCCCAGATGGTCTCGTAAGATTTGTATCCTACAATAGAAGCGTGGCGTTGGTAATTCCTTTCAATTCTAGCATTGGCGTTAAATCCATTGTGAAAGTAGCCACATGGGATCGATCAATTGGCATTAGTCTACAATACCCTTCCTTAAATTCAATCCGGCTTTTAGATAGCTCATGATGCTCTCCTGAAGCAGCAAGATCAGGGATGTCAGAAGCAAACTCTCAGCCCTGACCACCCTCGCTCGGATCTCGCCATTGGTCATATGCTTTGGCGGTGGCGGTGGCGTGCGTGAGGGGCTGCTCTGCTTGCTCTTGGCAGACGTGTCCTTGTAGCCGAAGTAACTCCATCCCGAAGAAACCAGCTTCGAGACTGAGTTCATCAACGTGGCCGACTTTTTCGGCGCAGCCTGGACCTGAGCGTTGCAGAGGGCTTCCGACTGTTGAAGGATCCGCGTGGCGTTCTGGATATCGGACTCATTGAATGTCATGCATGCTGAAAAGGAGGGAATGGGAAGTCGATGTTGGTAACACAAAAATGCAAGCTGGTCAATTGTCTGTCTCTGCTCGCACCACCTACAAAGATGGGATATGAACTTTGTATTCCCATTTAACTGGCCGCTCACACGTAGGCATTAGTGCATTCGTTCTCTTTTTTCCTGCTTTGGATACCGAGCTCACCTTTCATAAATGCCATGGCGCCGGATCCGAGGGCGTAGATTGGATCGACTTGGTCTCGGGAAGCAAAGATCCTCTGGGCTTCGATGAACTCGTTTTCGAAGAAGATCTTGACCCCATGAAGCATCCTCTGATCTTGAGGCATAAGGATAAATATGCAATTGATATTGCGAGGGGAAGGCAAGTGGCAAACATTAGACCATTAATAGCTGCGCAGGGTAATTGCGCTGTTGCGGCATTAAGGCTGAGGCAGGGTGCCATCTCAGCAATTGAACCTGATGGGATGTATGTACCTGCGATTTCTTGTTCAGCGGCAGTAAGCATATTGGCCTGCATCTTTATACCGGTTGTCTGGGAGGAGGATATGGACGAAGCACTCATGTCATCGTCGTCCTCAATGGCGGCATTCTTGAGCTCATCCTGAAGCTGCTGCATCAGCTTGGCGTCGTCGTCTGCTTCGCTTGCAAGTGTTGTTGAGGTAGTGGCTTCCTTGGATGTCATGGCGAAGGAAGGATGTTTTAGGAGAAGAGTAAGCAACAAGTGTGAGATGAAGTTGCGAAACGGTCGATGGAGAAAAACAAGCTGATGCTTTTGCCCGTTCCCATCGGGACCTGTACACCCACGGCCAGTGTAACAGCACCCCACCCAAAAAAAGAACTGCTCCCAAAAAAGATTCTCTACCGCGCAATTGGGTAAGGGTTATGAAATGTAGAATATGCAGGTAAAATGTATACTTCCAGACCACTGACGGTGTTCTAGTCTAATATACCATTCCTGCGTCGATAAGCCCTCTTCCACTCATTGCAATTACACCGCATCAGTAGAGAGAACAGTAATGACAGGGATGAAAGCGAGAATGAGAAGGAGTAGAACGAGAAAATGAAGCGTTCATGAAGATGAAGCGAACTATCGTTCATCTTTTGGTCGTTCTCCGATACCTCTATTCAATCCATCGTAAATGCGACATCTAGCTGTCTCAACAGCTTCCTAGTTCATTCTCATGATAGCAAAGAGGAAATTCTGTCACCTCTGAAGCCAGAATCATCAGAAGGGTATTCCGTCGATTTTATTGCTCTCAAACAAAATGTGGGGTAAAATACATAATTTTCAGAGAAAATAAGTCAGCAGAAGCTGTTCTACTCAACAGATGCCTTCGCCATTCCGGAATATCACCTTACCTATTTCTCCTCAGCTCTTTCCGAGCGATTAGGCTACGTGCCATGCAATAGAGACTCCGGATAGCAAAACAGAGCTCAGTCAAAGACAAAGAAGCGCTCATGTGCACACGGTGGTGCTGAAAAGAAGGAAGACACCGCAGCAATTTTTTGCTATCAGCTCAGTTGGGCTATTTTCTATGCATCCAGGTCGCCGAAATGGAACCCACGTTCAGCGGTTGGAACTTTATGATTCAATAGCATAGGCAAGATTCTCGCTCCTCATCAAACCTGGCACTTTGACAATCAATACCGATGGCAGTAATGCTTGACAACGCTCTTATATTTATTAGTATCGTCTTATTCACTAATGAAACGCGGCGTCCTGTTCCAGACAAGCATTGCTGCATTATATGAACTCTTTACGTTGGCTAGGAAGAAGAAAAAAAGGGCAAGTTCACCTCCATTCGATTTTCTCTCACTGTAGGGTCTTTAAAATCAGCCTTCCGGAGGTAGTTGTTGGCCTTTGTGTTCGGAATGAAAAAAGAGGGACATCATGTAGAAGAGAGAAGGCAGTGGAACAAAGTCCATCGGCACACAGCCGCGTGCCTGAAGACCATTGCTTGACCAATGAGAAAAATGTCTCAATGTTGGCCCCTCGCCCCCGACTGCCAACGAGCAAATGGTAGGGAACATGCTTTATTTTGTATCTTGTACCAGCTGCTGTGGCGAGCACAGCACCGAGCCTTTAAAAATTGGCGAATAAGAAGCGGGCATTCGCTCAGGATATACCCAGCACGCGTGTATTCATTCAGCTCCCACAATTGGCAGGCAGATAGGTTCACACTGCTTTGTACTCCTTGGTCTTAGCTGCTATGCACTGACTGTGAGCCGCGCATGAAAACCATGCCCTCGGCCTTCTCTTCTGAGACGTCCCCAGGCTTATCTGGAGCCATCGCATCCACCTGGACATCCATCAAACACAAGAACAGGCGTCTTTTGTTTACTCCGTCGCCGCTTTGTGCTAGGTCTCCAGCACGCCATGGATAAATTTGTTCGCTCATGGACCGCATACGAGCTCCCATGACTTTATGTTGCCTCCCTGCGCCTTCTTCGGTCTCCTCCAGCGTCCGTCTTCCTTTCCTTACCGCTTAAATACCTCGAGAATTTCCTTCGCGCGTCGGCTTTACTTCTTTCCTGTGCTTCATTCTTCCTTCTTTCTTCTCTTCATTCTCTCCTAAACGACAATCTTGCTCCATACTTCCTTCAAAACAAACGCGGTTTAATTCCAAGATGCGTATCGCTACCCTGACCCTTGCCGTCGCCATCTCGGCTGCTTTTCTGGCTTCCGCAGCACCTGCCTCTAACGCCTGTAAGTAATCCTGTATAGTCTAGTTGCATGATACTGGATGGAGGAGCTGTGTTCTTGAGGACGCGTTAAAGCGCGATTTTTATTGCAACCGAAAAAAAAAATTGCACCGTGCTCTGTCGATTGATGCGTATTTATATTATGGTTGTAATATGCGCGCGCCTTTTTCAGTCAAGATCGTTGTTGGCGCGGACAAGGTTGCATCTGAGGGCCCATTTCCCAACCATCCTGGCCCACCTGGGATTCCACCCGTGGAGGAGTACAGTGGCCCTGAGGCAGCCGCCCTTATGAATCTTGCGAATCCCCCTACTGAAGAGAAGTAGAGGGCATCTTCTTACTGAAGATCCCGATCAGAGAATTACAGACTCCAAGAGTCATATCCCAAGAGCGTTTATGTGCGATCGTTAGTTTCCGCGCGAAGGGAATGGCGGGGTAAATAAATTATTTTGAAACAAAGACGAAAAGCAACAGCGACCACTGGGAGGCAGAAGGAAAATCGAAGGGTCTAGTTCATAATGGATTTGATAATAATAAACGGACCCATAGAAAAGGGCCAATGAAAACCTGCCACTGAAATGAAAGGCGATCCATCCAGAGAGCGCAGACCATCCGTCTCGGCCTCTAAAGTTCCTTCTAGACTGCACTTTTCCTTCTTTTCCTCCTCTTCCATCATCCTGTCCTTGTTCATTCCCTTGGGCATCCTCCCATTCCCTCTGCAACCACACCGCATCCCCAACTCCACTCTACCTCCTTCTCATCGACGCATCCCTTCATTTGGCCTCCAACCCTTCCCTGATGTGAGTATCTCCCTGCAATGCTTCTCATCTCACGCCACCAAGCATGTTTTGTGTTACATGGGTATTGTGCGGATCGTTGCTGAGACACAGAATAGCACACCCAAAGAATGAGCACTCAAGGAGAAGCGGCCGTATCTTACGGCCTCCCCAGCTTTGATCAGAATGATGCGCAGGTCGACTGTGCTTCAGTTGATGCCGTCTGCTTTTCTTGGACATGTTCATCAAATATGCTCGTACTGCCACTAAGCATTATCCAGGGTCTATGAATAAAGGTTATGGTGAACAAAAGCACCATCCAGTATTAATAATGTCACCCGTTGCGTTGCTTTGGTTTAAGATGGAGAAGTTGTTTCCTGTGTTCGTTTTAAGCGATTGTCAGTTTTGGAGCGCTGAATATCGCAAGGACGGCATTACACTCCCTTCGATCGTTTATCAACTAACCCGGTTTCTCTCACCTTTTCCTTAGATCCCCAATGTCAAAAAAGACCGAGGCTGCAATTTCCTCGGATCAAGCGACGGCCAACGGCGTCGCATTCAAGGACACAGTTATCTCCAACGGCCATACCACCGCACACGATCTGATTGGCAACGACGACATGTTGGCCCACAAAAGACGAGGCGATGCCCTCTTGCGTGATGATGAACGCGAGGAGCTGATGATGGCTCAGCGTATAGAATCCAGCACAGAAAGCGACGATAACGGCAAATTCAGGACTGATCTGACAGAGGACAGTCAAAAGGAATCTTCTGGATCGTTGTCGGGCGCCGATACTTGGAATTTTGCGCTCTTGGTTGTTTTATGTATGTTTCTCAGGCATGGTTCTTGTATTTGAGAAGGAATACAGCAGAACATTAGGACTGATAAACTTGCTTTATTATTACTAAATAGATCTTCTTCAGGGTGTGCCTGTCGGCCTGACATTCGGCAGTATCCCGTTCTTGCTAAAGGCAAAGCTGAGTTATTCGCAGATCGGCATCTTTTCACTGGCACATTACCCATACAGCATGAAGTTTCTCTGGTCCCCAATTGTTGATGCCATTTATAACAAAGGTTTCGGCCGTAGAAAGTCGTGGATTGTGCCAATTCAGCTCATGACGGGGTTGATGTTTTTGTGGCTGGGAACGAAGATCGAGGGCTGGATGGCTCAGGAACACATCGCCGTTGGCACGCTCACCGTCGTGTTCTTTATGTTGATCTTTTTCTGCGCGACTCAGGATATTGCGGTCGATGGATGGGCATTGACACTGTTGTCCAAGGAGAACCTGTCTTACGCTTCGACTGCACAAACCATCGGACTCAACACAGGATACTTTTTGTCGTTCACGGTCTTTTTGGCGTTCAACTCTCCTGAATTCAGCAATAAGTATTTCAGGACAGAGCCTCAGGACTATGGTCTGGTGCCCCTGGGAGGCTACCTCAAGTTTTGGGCCGTCATGTACCTAGCCATCACTCTCTGGCTGGTCTTGATGAAAAAGGAGGAGCGAACTCACTTGGATGAGGATGATATCGGCATTAAGGCTGTCTACCAGATCATTCTCCGGATCATCAGGCTGCCCCACATGAAGTCGTTCATGGTTGTTCTTTTGACTGCCAAGATCGGATTTATTGCCAATGACGCCGTAACAGCACTGAAGCTGCTCGAGAAGGGATTCAGTAAGGAGGACTTGGCCTTGGCAGTCTTGATCGACTTCCCTTTCCAGATCATCTTTGGATACTATGCTGTTCGATGGAGCTCTGGAGCTCGTCCCTTGAAGCCGGTAAGCGTGTTTTCCGTTACGAGTTACGACTTTTTGATGTCATTCAAGGATGTTGTCACTTATCTCTCTCATATTTTTTTAGTGGCTCTGGGCATTTTTCGCGCATTTGGCCTGTTGTGTTATTGCCATGCTTCTTGTCTACGGTTTCCCAGCAGATGGCGTGGTCACACCAGCATACTTTTACATGGTCCTGATCACCACTGTTGCCACCTCCTTCACAAGGTACACGACTCACTTTTGGAACTCGGCCTCTATGCTGATGTGAAGATGTGAATGCTAATCCTCGTTTATTCATTATATACCCATAGCACCGTCGCATTCGTGAGTATGGGAGCATTTATGACCGTGATCGCTGATCCTGTCATCGGTGGAACCTATATGACTGTAAGCGCATGAAAGCACCTTGACAATGCAGTCTTAATTTGTCGGCATTATATCATGTTTATGTTATTGATTTGGACCTTTGTTTATTGCTCCGTCTTCACACAGCTTCTGAATACGCTGAGTAACTTTGGAGGCACCTGGCCTCGATTCTTTGTCCTCGAAGCAGTTGATTATTTCACTGTCTCCAGTTGCTCCGTTGTCAACAAAAAGGGCGAAGGTAAACAATGGCGTCCACCAACCATGCTTATTTCGACAAAGAAAAACGCCATTGCCCTGTGCCTGAATACTAACCTAGACGACAATGGTTTTCTATTTGCCTGTAGAATTCTCTTGCACGGCTGAGTCGGGCAAGTCGATGTGCGAGAGTCTTGGTGGCGAGTGCGTGCTCCAGCAGGACGGATACTATCTTGTCAGCTCAATGTGCGTGCTGATTGGAGGATTGATGCTTGTGTTCTACATCGCGCCTACGATCCGGTATCTCGAGTCATTGAATCCAAAGAAGTGGAAGTTGGATCAAAAATAAAGAAAGACCAGTCTGATTAATAAAAATATCCGATCATGGCGACAGAATATGTAGTCCGTCTTGGGTTTGTCTTTTCTTCGTGTGCTGTCAATTTCCCGCGCGAAACAAAAAATGAAAGAAAGGGCGTTCGGCATGTCACACCTCCGCTTCACCGGCATCACTCCTCCCCCCTCCTCACTACTCTTCAGCTCCACATTCATCGTCCTCGTCAGCATCGACAGGACGCTCTCTACGGACGACCGGGGCCCGAACAGGAATACCTTCAGAACCGCTCTACTCTTTCCTCAGGAACATACTATAGTATGGGACAGGGCGTATCACAACCTCTGGAGGAGATGGTCAGGGATTCCAACTGTAGGTCCATGAGCCAACAATCTCTGGCATTCTTTCATTCTCGCCTCGGATGGACATCGAGAAGGAGCTGTACTGATCCATGGAAATCAAAAGGCCTTGCAAGGATAGCGGTACCCAATTCATAACAGTGCCTGGAATCTGGCCACCGTTTGGAACCTCGCCTTGCCCCTTTGGGCAGTGAAGCCCGACCAAAGCCGTGTCAATAGCTTCTCCCTAATCACCTTTGCTGTTTTCCCCTCCTTAGTCACTGCTGAAGAGATCCAGAGACTATACAAGCGGTTCATGAAACTGGACAAGGACGGGTCAGGATCCATCGACAAGGAGGAGTTCCTGGCCATCCCCCAGATCGCAACCAACCCTTTGGCCTCGCGTCTGATTGCCATCATGGACGAGGACGGCGGCGGCGATGTCGACTTTAAAGAGTTCATTGCTGGACTGAGCGCCTTTAGTAACAAGGGAAAGAAAGTAGAAAAGCTACGGTGTAAGTCTCCTGTCAGTACTTGCTTGGTTTATTTTGGAAAATGGCCTTTCTCATCCCCCCCCCCACACACGCGACTAAATGTTTAACTCCATACATCTCATTTAACTTAAAGTCGCCTTCAAGGTCTATGACATGGACAGGGATGGCTTTATCTCGAATGGTGAGCTGTTCTTAGTACTCAAGATGATGGTCGGCACCAACCTGAAGGACAATCAGCTGCAACAGATCGTTGACAAGACCATCATGGAGGCTGATAAGGACATGGATGGCAAGATCTCCTTTGAGGAATTTTGCGGCGCCGTTGAAAATACCGACATTGCCAAGCAGATGACCCTCGAAAGCTTTTAATCCTCATCTGGTGCTGCAATACACACTCTTTTATTTTATAACACTTTTTTATGGTCAAATAGTTTATGAAAGGGTTCAACGATCTATCGACGCTGTAGAATACAAAAAGAAATGTCTATCGAAACATGGTGGAGGCAGAAAGATGAGAAATAAAACAAAAATGAGAAATATGGCAAAAATGAAGAATAGCAGGGGAGAGAGTGTGCTCCTTTAGCGTCGCCGATTGCTAGACCTTCGTCCACCACCATCGTCCAGTGAAATGCCTCCATCAGCCAAGGCGCCTTCCCAAAACGCCTGGACGGCCGATCGGTCCACCGTTGCGATGAAGTATTCTCCGCCATTATGAGTCCACGACACAGCATTGGTGTAATAAGGATACTTCTTCACTCTCAAAATTGACTCAACACTTCCTGCATTGCGGACGTTGATCTTGTGATCGAGCGAGACAAAGGTCTTGAGTGAGATGATCTTGCACCCCTCCTTGAGTTCCAGAAACAGCTGCAGCAGAGACTGGTTCAACGCAGAGTTGAACGCATAATTATTGACCAGAACAACGTCTGCGCGTGCCAAAATCGCAGGCAGACCTGGTGTGTCCAAAAAGTCACCCTGAAGCATCGTCACCTGTCCATGCTGAAGTCCATAAGCACTAAAAGAATAAGAGAAAGATACTGAATTTTAGCAACATGAGTAGCAATAGACGTACATTGCAGACAGCAGTAGTATATTAGCCCTTACCGAGCTCGCGCCTCAAACTCCTTGGCCTGCTTTTTCGAGAACTTGGCTGGCGTTTCCATGATCTCAACACCATAGGACTCCGCGCCAGTCTGCAGGGCCACTTGCAGAACTACATTTCCGATACCACACCCCAAATCCACAAACACTTTTGTGTGGTCCAATTTCGTCCGCTGAATGAATTCCTTGGTCAGAATCGGAAGGATTTCGCCATACACATTATTAGAGAACGCCTCGTACTGATTTAACTTCGAGGCCCTTGCGGCGACCGTTCGAGAGTAAACCTGCTGCAAAATGTGAACGACCAAATCATACGGCAGTCGGTGGCCATATTGCTGGAGGTATTCCTGCACAGTGCCAGTTGCTTTTTGCTTCTTCATGATAGCGTTGAAGTCCTCCACTGCCTTCAAAAACTGAGGGCCGTCCTTCCGCACTTTGAACTTTGTTAGATTTCGGTAGAGGCCCTCGTCAGATGTGCCAAATAGCTCCTTTGATTGTTCTGGGCGGAAAAAGTGCTCCATGATGATGCGAACAGTCTGTATAAGGTCTTCGATCGGGTTGTATTCATCCTTATCGTCCGATTCCGTCTTGGAGCGACTCAAGAAAGGCTTCATGAGAATGAATCTAGTGAAGAGTCATTGCGCAAGAGCGTATAATGTAAGTTTTCTTATCAATCCCTCATATTAGCATGCACAACTTGAATCTCGATAGCTGGTCATCCTTACTTCTCCCTTGCATCCTTCCCGGGATACTGTAGTGCTACGTGCATAGTATCGGCTCCTGTAGATGACGGATTCGATGCGACAGTAGAGTCCGAATCCTCAACTAGCATATGAAAATCTGTAGAGAGAAAGATTAGCATTCAGATCCGCATGCACAGAGAGCGGCCTCCAGTGTCCAGAAGTTTGTCAACTTACGGTTCTTGTATCGGCCGATTGCAGCCGCTACAATTTGGTCCGAATGCAGGATAGACATTCTTCGTTGTGTTATTCCGTTTGAGGGCGTAGTCGATTTTTGGCTGTCGTCCTTGATTGCCTTGGGTGTAGTCAAGACCTTTGGCTGCCGATGTTCGCTGCATGAGTTTGCTATGGCTGTGCGTGGGCAAGGAACAATAGCAGAGCTGACGGTGCCTTTCACGGTGTTGATGGTGATGATTTCCCGCGATCTGTTCAATGCTTTGGAAGGGTGCCTCTTCTGTATCCCTGAATGCCCGTTCTTCTTTGCTATCAAGTCCCGCCCCTTTAGCTCTGGCATCCTCTTTGATTCATTCGGAAGGACTTTGGATTCCTGCGCCAAAGACCCCAATGAGTTGCCGATAATACCAAAAAGTTCCATTTCCAACGACTGTTGAGAGACCGGCCCCATTGGCGGTGAATTAAGAGTGGTAATATGCATCTCGGCTGGGGTGGATGGATCGGGTGAAGAGGCGGATGAGTATGATGCCTCAGCGGGGACAACGGCTTCCAAGCGCCTCTTTTTAAACGGCGCAAGTTCTTTTTTAGGCGAAGGCGGCATTGATTGCGGAGACGGGGAGGGAGAGGAAGGCAACCAGGAGGCAGGCGATGACAAGGTCGATGCGGAGGAAGCATTATCGATGTCTGCATTAGGAGCATGAGGAGGTGTCGACGGTCGAAGATGTCGAACAACTGCGCTTCTGCTCCTGCTTCTGCTCCTGCTTCTGCTCCTGCTAGTGCTTCTGCTTCTGCTGCTGCTGCTGCTTCTGCTGCTTCTGCTAGTACTTCTGCTGGTGCTTCTGCTAGTGCTTCTGCTCGTACTCCTGCTCCTGCTGCTCCTCCTCACCCTGGTCTTGCTCATGCGTCTGCCTCTTCTCCAGCTCCTACTACGACTCCTACTCCTGCTTCTGTTTCTGCTCCTGTTCCTGTTCCTGCTTATGCTTCTGCTTCTGCTTCTACTCCTGCTCCATTTTCTCTTCTTAAAGCAAGAGTCTCTATCATGATTCCCGCTACCATTGCGATACGATGAACTCGACGACTTCGGCTTTGAAGAGGACAAGGGTCGACTTGAACTCGGATGCACTTGAGGCTTGGCTATCGAGGACGGAGAGGATTTGGTGGCCGAGGATGAGGGCGATTTATGCGTTGAGGATGGAAGGGATCTGGCTGAGGAGGATGGGAGGGATTTGGTTGTTGAGGAGAGAAGGGATTTGCTGTTGGAGGATGAGGAGGGTCTTAGCGCAGCCGTTGAGGGCTTGAGTGAGGACGAGGAATTGGTGGCGGCAGGGGAGATGGGGAGTCGCCTGGCAGTGATTGTGGTAGTTGTGGTAGTTGTGGTAGTTGTTCTAGCGGTTGAAGACGAGGTGGAAGCGAGTTTCTTTAGGGTCGAGTGGCTCCCGGTTGGGCCCCCGAGACTGGCGAGAAAGCTGAGGTAAGGGTTGGACATGAAATGGTGGCAGAGAATACACTTTGTTTGTGGATGTGATGAGGCAAACGGGAATGAAGAGAATCAAGAGAATGAAGGGATCCGAAGACGGATCGGAAGAAGGAGCAGAAGAGGAACAAAGAAAAGAGCAGGTGAGGGAATAAAAAAGCGGAATAGCAAGAAGAAGAGGTGGAATCAAAGGATGACAAAGAACAGCAGAGAAGAAAAATACAAAATGGGAAGAGAAAAGCGAGGGAAAACTGGAGGGAAAAAAAAAGAATGGGGAACCTGGTTTGCAAATATGGTGTGGGTCCCTGTGCATATGTACCCACATATCCACATATCTATACCTACACGCATAGCCTATACATACAAACACACGACAGCAACAAGCATACAGCGTCAACAATGAATAATCAAAATGAGGATGAGGATCGAGAATAATACTCAATATAATGAACGTCTAGTAAAATACTCCTATGAACCCCGATACATGTTCCCTTGTCTCCTTCATGCTGACCCGTCCGTCGTGGCCTTGGCGCTTTCGTAGCCAATCTTGCCTCCCATGACAGTGCCCTCCAGTGCATCCTTGAGCTCCTGCTCGCGCTTCAACAGGTTGACGTACGAGACCTGTCCTCCGTTCTCCATCACATCCGACACCATGTCCTGCACCCCCAGCAAATACGCCTTGTTGTATAGCGTCATTCCTGTCTCGTAAAACTCGTTCACCTTCGCGTCCAGGTTCTCCATCGTCACAAAGTCGTCTGCGGCATGGTATAACCGGATCATAGCATCCATCCTCCTTTCTGAAGCGCGCTCCTCTGCCTTCTGGTAGTTCTCCCGACGCTGGATCCGACGCTGCTTAACAAATTCCGCCACCTGGGCCTGTCGCTCCGGTCCTGAGACGGCCATCTCACCGTTTGGCTGCATCAAACGCTCGAATGACAAGCGGTGTTCATTCTCCTGTCTATCCTTTGTTTGACGCTCCTGCAGACGGCGCATGGACCCCTTGCGCTGCCTCTCGATCTCTGCCCGCTTGACGTCCTGACCTTCAAAGTGCTCGCGCTGATATGTATGACGAATCTTGGTCATCTCGAGCTTGTATTTCTGTGCTGGCGATCCATTGGCCTTCATTTGGTGCTTCCTGGACATTTTTGGAAGTGACTCGACCGTGCGGGGTGCTGGAGGAGGCATAGGCGAGGCTGAGCTGCCAGGAGGGTGAGGAATGCCTGGAGCGAATCCCTCCTTGCCAGGGCGGTAGTTAGTAGAGGGTTCCTCGACAGAGCGTGCCGAGGTGAAGGCCCTGACTTGAGTGGTTGGGCGGGGCAGTGCCCTGGCGATCTGTCGCAGCATAGTCGTTGTGATGTCGAGGTGAGCAATGGGTAGGACTGATGGGTAGCCAGGTGATCAACACTCGGAACCAGAGACCCACCGAGCTGTTGATTCCTGGCACGTGGAGTTGTTGACTCAAGCCACACTTCAAAACAAAGCACCTTGAAAAAAAGAAAAGAAAAGAAAAGTACCGAAAGTATACTTCACTCACCTCCCACTACCTCGACCACTCAAGGCATCCCGCCCGGTTATCGACCCCGGCACTCTCAACTGTATATTATTCCCTATCCATCAAAACACAAATACGAGCAATACGCCATGGGTGCGCCCTCTGAACTTTTCGCTCTTATTGAGCAGTTCCTCCAGGACCAGAGCTGCGTTGACACTTTAAAGGCTTTCCAGAAGGAGGCCAAGAACGTAAGGCTGGATACATAATTCCGTTGCGATTCTTTTCTTCATCAATTGGTTGTTTACGATTTTTCAATTGGTCTGTTTATACTGTATAGACTTTGAAGGCTACTTCGAAGCCCAAGGCTACCTTGATTGAAATCTACAGTTCATACGCAACATCGCAGAAGGACTCATCTTCCAGCAGCGATAGCGAGGACGTAACGATGGAGGAAAAGAAGGACGAATCTAGCTCCTCTGGCTCTTCCGACTCGGAATCCGAGTCATCGTCCTCATCTTCTTCAGACAGCTCAGAGAGTGGCGACGACGCCGATTCGGAGTCTTCTGGTTCCGAATCGTCTTCAAGTGACGAAGAAGAGTCGTCTTCTTCAAGCAGCGAAGACGAGTCAGACGATGAAAGCACTGTAGTCTCCAAGAAAAATAACGACGACAGCAGCAGCAGCAGTGACAGCGATTCATCCTCGTCCTCGTCTTCTTCATCTTCATCCGACTCGAGCTCGTCTTCCAGCTCGTCTTCTAGCAGCAGCTCCTCAAATTCTGACTCGGATTCCGATTCGGATTCCGACTCTGACGCTGATAAGAAGACAGTTGTTGTTACTAAGACCGAGATCACGGAAACTATTGCTGAACGACCAGTTAAAAAACAGAAGACCGAGGTACAGATCGGCTTGTGGGACCACAACCTTCTGCTATGTGCCATATTTTTCATGATATTTATTGACTCAGCTTTTCTTTTAACTTTCTACTTTGGCGACTATAGGAAAAGAAGCCTAAGGTCCAGAACGAGCCATTTAAGCGCGTAAAGGCAGAGGATGTTGTTTTCTTGGATGAAAAGCTGAAGGACAACACCTATATGAGCAAGGTAACACAACTCGGAGATATCTGAAAAGACGAACTGAGAACGAAGTACATATGAGAAACTACTTCTGACATTACTGATCTGTACTCCTAACGTATAGGGCGGTGCCGAGGCTGGATACGGATTCAAGGCTCATTTGGACATGATTGTCACACGAGGAAAGGGCTTCCGCGCAGAAAAGACGAAAAAGAAGCGGGGTTCATATAAGGGCGGCTTCATCTCGAACGAGTCGCACTCATACAAGTTCCCTGATTCGGATTAACTAGACTTTATTTTTCTTTAATCTTCACCGCATACATCTTTTTTGCATCTCACAAGCATAGAATTTTATTATCAGGTGGTTTGAAATAAAATAGCGGTATCGTAGGCAACGGCTGAGCATTGTTGGTAATGGAAGAAACAGTGGATGGGTACTCGTTCCTGGGTCATTCTATTACTCGTATTTTAGTGGCACGACTTGCCATGTCGCTTTAAGTTCCAATAATTGAATGGCAAAGGTGCTGACCAGCCCGCGAGTGCGCTCCACCCAACAGCTTGCCAGAAAACAGGGTTCCCAATATCAACATTGCCCCAGCCCATCAAGTGGTAATCCACCGCATTCTCGACGGCCTCCATGGTCAGCATCGAGATCAGCGACATGCCTGTCGCAGTCTTGAACGCCGCCTTCCAGGACATATTCGAAGCCTTTGACCATCGTAACAGGACCGTCTCGAGACTGATCGACGTCAGGATACCAGATGTCATGGCTAGGCCCATCGCAATCCCCGGGGATAAGGCCGGGTGCGCGGATTGAAGGTAAAATAGCATAGACATGTCGCCGAGCGTACAGCCGATCAGGCAGCGAAATGTGTTCGTGGAAGCTGTTCTCCATGTCGTAGGATCGGACCAGAACTGGCGCGAGAAGATCGGAAGAGAGGAGGGTTGTCTTGAGTTCGATTTGGCCGTTGACGCTTTGGAGTGACAGCAAGGCTTTTTCTCTTCGTCTTTTTCCTGGCTCGAATCACGACCATACAATAGAGACGATGTCGGCGTGGCTGTAGCCTTGGTGGAAGCGCCCGTTCCGTGCGCAGTGGATGATGATTCCCGTAGGAGCAACGACTCCTGAGCCAAAGGAATGGACCATCGTACAAAGGAGCTTGAATTCGTCTTAAGCGGCGTTCGAAAGATTGACCGATGGTTCTGGAGAAGGAGGCGGGGAGCAAGACTTATCATTTTTATCGGGAAAGGGATTGTGGAAGGAAGAGAGGAAGGAATGAGGTGACAAAAAAAAGACGGGTGTTTGTTTTATCTGCGCATTTTGTGGAGGTAAATGAGGGTTTTTGTAAATGAACTTTCTTGCTGCCGGCGCTTAACCATAAGGCAACTTTATTCAGATCATGCCAAAGATAGTGAGCATCCGCGCCAATGCTACGAACAGTGCATTTCAGCCCATTATAAATACCAACTAGAGAGATAGTGCACTTTTTTTTTATATATCTTAATTTCCATGACTATGCAAACAAGACGTGATGCCGGGGTCGGTTGGCCTATAGGCTAATTCGTTCCACAGTACAACAGTGTCATATGTACTTCCGATCCCGCTTGTAAATAAGAGTCACCTTGGAGCGCGTCTCGTTCTAGATGGATCTTCCTTTCGAATATGGACTCCGGATCAGGCGCACCCGCACATTCTCGTCTGGAGAAGGGTCGTAGCTCTGCAGCTATGGGGCTCTGCCGATCCCTACGTGTCCAACCCCCTTGTACCATACAAAGCGGTAAGCCAACAGCTCACCGCGCGTACTACTACACGTCCGTGATATGCATTGCGCACTTTTCTTTCAAGTCTTCCCATTAACACGCGTCCTGGTCGGTCAACTTGTACTGACGCACAGCCTCTGAGCGCTAAATAGTTAATTTGAGCTCCCAGTCATTGCGATATAGTGTTCGCAGTTCGAGTAGGACAGGACCTGGTTAGATCGCATAACACATACTTTGTCTCTGGCGACAAGTCTTGACGTTGCTGCCCGAGCGCACAGGTAGTGGGCAATTGGGGTCGCTGTCTGGCAGTGACTTGGGACACCGTTCACACTTGACGAGCTTGCCGGTGAGAGAGGCAGATTGATGGTCTACGATTATCAAGAGACGTAAAAGAAAAAAGATAAGTGCCTAATATTTGCAGAGCATGCAAGGCAGTTAAGCAGCATGCACTGGTATGGTGTAATTGCGAGGACAGTCCTCGCTCGTTGACATTGTTTCATGGTCCGCTGTGGATGAGGCGCACGAGTTGTTGACAGAAAAAGGAATAAAAATTGGTGGCGAAAGAATGTACCATGGAGAGGCTGTATGGGTTTATTGCGAGGGCCCAAGAGGATGTTCAGGCCCAGACGCCATATTAAACCAGTACCCAGAAGCCAGAAGCCCCGCTCTATAGAAATATTCTCATTGAACCATCTCTTTTGTATGCTTAACTCCACAGATGAGGTGACTCTACTCACTGGCGAACTGGTCGGGTAATTTGTCAGACCCTGTTCACGAGTACCCAACTCCTAGACTAGCTCAAGAGCAAGCCCAAGGATGAGACTTGCCTACGTACGCTTCAATTGCATATTCCTTTACACCGTTCATTGTTGCATGTAGTATCCGCCCACCATCGGCTCCTATCACTCTTTTGTTATAACCCTTATTCCGTCTACCGCCATCCATCGTTTCAGGATACTGTGCCTTCACTTTACCCACGTTACGCGCGCCATTCCTCTACCTTTTGTCCTCATCCCCGTTTCCATTCTCTGCACTCTCTCACTGATGATCTCTATCATGATTCACATCTTTATGCTGCCAATTTTTTTTTTATTTTTATTTTTATTTTTATTTTTGTTTCTTCTCCTTCCAGTTGGTGTCGGTGTCTTTCGGCCTCTCAATCATCGTATCGGTTAGTAACGCAACACCCTTTCACAGCATAGTCCCAGGATTAAAAGGCACAACCGATTTACCACTTTGTTTGTGATGAACCTTGATCCAGTTAAACATACATATTGAGCAGTCTACTTTGCCCAATTGATCATGTCTTTGCGCTTGGACCTTTGTTGTTTACGCGCGTTTCATCACATCCTTCACTGCTATACTACCTTCCTTATTGATATTTTGCTTTCGTGCCATTTCCGCCTTACCGCATCTCAAATCGCTTGTAACATTCTCTATTAAACTTTAGATTCTCTATTTATCCTGCCAAAATCCAACTTCAAGGTCTTCCACGCAATAAACTATGTCCATTCCTTTTAATCCACCCACAGAGCACGAGATGTTGATTGAATGGTATGAAAGACTCAAGTCAGATTCGAAAAGAAACGTCCATTGCGTTCATAACCTCCACTCCGACGTGCAGTCCTGATATGAAACAACGAAATAAAATTAGTGGCGGCAAGTTGGGCGAAAATGTTGTCTGGACTTTCTTGTTTTAATGTACATTGTTTTTCTATGATAGTGAGGGAAGGATGCTGAGATGATGCCAAGGTAAATTATAGCGATAGCCTAGTGAAAGCAAAGACAAAAAGAAACGCACTAGAGCGAATAAAACGCATGTGGCCGAATCTTTGTATGTGCGATGTCTTTTGTCCTGTCGTCGCTTTATAACTGGGTCCGCTTCTTGGCAGTGTTCTGGTATGGGCGCAGAACCCACTCTGTGTCAGCGTCTGTCAATTCCACAGTTCCCGCCTTAATCTGGAAGACTATGAAAAACAAAACAAAAAGACAGAGTAAAGAAAGACCATGTAAGCATATGCATTCCAAAGTTTTGCACTGTGTATGTCCCGATAGGTTTTTTTTTGTTCCCATAAGTGATACGTACGCTTCATTTCGAACCGTGGTCCCACTTCAGCCAGCTGTACATCCTTATGACTCGTCTTCACAAAGACATGGTGTCTGAACGAGATAAAGTCATTGTCGTTGGCGAATGTCATCACACGTTTGCTATCCTCCTTAGGGACAGGAAACAGATATTTCAAAATGTCGGCGGTGCGCCTTCCCAATTTGGACGTGAAGTTGTTGAGGATCAAATGTGGGAATGCCTCTGAGACGGTTCCGTGGTCCTTGATATCGTGACGCAGAACGACGTTGTTGAGGGTGAAGAATGCAGTGGGCCCATGTGGAAAGTGCGATACAATCATGCCGTCTACGGAAAGAATAAACAAGGCATGGTTACAAAATTGCGCCGTCGGCCCTCATTGGCAAGGATTTCCACGGTGTCGTTAAATACCTGGTTCGCCACGATGCTCGTGTAAGATGATCAGATCTGTAACGTCGTTCGCTTTACAAGCATCAACAATTTCCTTCATGACATGTCCACCACGGTTGATGCGCTGAGAGTTGGGGAAAACGAGACGCATTTCCTTTGCAAACTGCTGAAGACGGCTGCTGGGGTCACGCGAAGTTGTGACAAGAACCTTGGGGTCATAAACTCCAGCGCGGGCGTATTCGTCATCGATGTGAGTTGTTGGAGCTGGTGAAATGGAGAGAAGGAAAGTACAATGCGTCAATTCCTGTATATGGCCCTGAATGTTTGACAAACGTCTTCCCTGCATACGATCAATGCTCCGCCTGGAATTTACCATCCTGAGCCTCGTCATATTGCAAATCCTTGGTAAACGCAGCGCCTTCGTTCTTCAGTTCATTTGGCACGGGTTTTCCAGCTAAAGAACATATACAAATAGAGACCAAATCAGGACATGGCTTGCAAATGAAGAAGACAGCGCAGAGTATTTACAGAGCAACCTAGATTAGCGCCATATGACAGAACGTACTAGCGATTGCTTCCTTGACCGCCTGCTTCCGGTCAAAGATCTGTCTTTCCTTGCCCTCGAGCGACTTTTTGTAGAGGTATTCTCGACGCAAGCGGGTCTGTCGGCGAATCTATCAGGTAACAAACGAGAGCTCAGGAGGTAAGTTTCTGGACGGGATATAGTATGATTTTAATAGTGCCAAGGATAATAGAAATTGTGAAGCAGCGACTGCGCTTGGAGGGTAGAGTACCATGATGATGAGTGTAGTTGGCAAGAAGAGGAAACGAGGCGATGCGTTTAAGCGTCAAGGAGAGGGGAAAAAAAAAAAAAAAAAAAGTAAACAGGTGTGACAGCTGTACGCCCTTAACTTACTTCCCTTTTGACAGACCCCGCTCTTGACCATTGAGTTTGCACACCTTCATTCAAAAAGTACCGTTCTAACACCAATACCTTCAATGGGCAAGAACGACAGAGGAGGACGTGGACAAGGACACGGAGGCGGAAGAGGCAGAGGCCGTGGAGGGAGCAGGGGAGGGCGCGGAGGCAAGAATCATAATCACCACAGAGACAGGTACCGTTGAAGCCGACAGCACAAGGCAATTTCGCACTGCCATATGTGCTGCACTGTATCAGATCGTCTGCGAAAAGGATGTATGACTGACTGAGCCAGGGATTCGATGTTTTCGTCTGTATAACTACTTAGAGAAACCGGTGCGGAGAATGCTCGGGATATGGACCGTGGCGACGATAGTAGTGGTATGTGGCCTAATGGCAACGATTTGGACAGGCTGCATTCTCAAAGATACAGCGAGCGTAACAGAGTATGCTGACCATACTCCGCTCTGAATGGTTAGAGAAAGCCAGGAGTAATATCCCGATGCCATTAGGAATGTGGGATTTTGAGCATTGCGATCCCAAGCGCTGTTCAGGAAAAAAACTCGTCCGTATGGGCATGGTCAAAACCCTCAAGATTAACCAGCGATTTCTTGGAGTGTGTATGACGTGAGTCAACAGAAAATGGTGCACTGAAGAAGGATAAAGGCTGGGTCCTTCGGGCTCCTTTGCTTTAGCCTCTCATCGAATCCTAACTTCTACGATCCATTTTTATATTCCTGCTGTTATCACACGATAGTCCCAATGGTGAGCAGGCAGTTTCGCCATCGGATCGGGAAGTCGTCAGAGAACATGGACTTGCGGTTGTTGATTGTTCCTGGGCCAAACTCGGGGATGTACCCTTCAAAAAACTTCGAGCAGGACACGATCGCCTCTGTAAGTTTAGGCGGTTGCACGCTGGGGGCGAATGAAGGTCTACTCACAAATACAGCTGCAGTGTGAAGCTCCCGTTGATGCTAACACAGAATGAACTTTTCTTTATTTTTTTTATATCTGTCCTGTTAGTGCCCTACTTGATTGCCACGAACCCTGTCAACTATGGACGGCCATGGAAGTTGAACTGCGTCGAGGCTTTGGCGGCATGTTTTTATATCACTGGGTTCGATGAGTATGGCGATGAGCTGTTATCAAAGTTCAAATGGGGGCACGCTTTCAAGAAGGTCAATGGGTAGGTGCATGTCGCGATTGCTTTATGCGCTGCATTATTTAAATCTTTACTCAAATTTGAGTACTAATGGCGTCCTTGATACTTCATAATTGTGGACTTCACAGTGAGCTGCTAGCCAAATACTCTAACTGCACGGATTCTTCATCCGTGATTGCCGCCCAAAACGAATATCTTGCTATGATCGAGAAGGAACATAATGAACGGCACGACGGCGAGCACAGTGACGACGATCTAATGGTCCGTAACACCAACCATTCCTTGATGGACTTTGATGAGGATGGAAGCGATGAAGGCAGTGACGAGGAGGATAGCGAAGAGGAAGAAGAGGATAGCGAAGAAGAGAACAGTGACCATAGAGAGAGTGAGCAAGAATCAAGCGAAGAAGACGACAAGGAAGAGGGGGATGAAGAGAGCGAGGACGAATCTATCTCTCGATCAATGAAACAAACCCATATTAAATAAACGGTGCTGGATGTTCGACATACCTCTCACGACCTTCTCGTTAATTGCGCTTTCCGAGCATTACCAAAATTGATCGAGTCATGTTCCAGGGTTACAGAGAAAGCTCTCTGAGGGATTGCTGCTGTGCTCTCTCGAAACGCTCCACCTGCTCCTGTATCTGTCGAACGAACTGCACGACGACTTCACAAAACTTGACCTGTGAGAATTGATCCGAGATGGCGTGATCCGCGTCCGGAAGGACAATGGCTCCAGCGGAAGTAGGACAGGCTGCGGTCAGCTTCGATACAAGTTGTTCCTTGTTGACATTGTCGGGGACATACTCGTCCTTTCCCGAGTGCACCCAGATCACAGGTACTTTGACCTGTCCAAAGAGCGCTTGCATTCGCTCGAAAGGAATGTCTGAGCTGAACATATCGTCGTCGCCTCTGTCAGTATGAGCGTTAAGAAGTCCTTTTGATGTCAGTTGTCCTGTCTCAAAGCGCTGTTGGCCCAAGATCCCAACTAAAAAAAAAGATCATGGTAAAAAAAGACGTACCCTACAGATGCCAGTGAGTTGAAGCGATACGCCGTTACTGGGGCAACATCAACTTCCCTCACCATGAGCTCCTGGCCCTATAAAGCGAGCAAAAGTGTTTATTACTGCTCCAGGTTTATAGAAGGCACATCGATTAAGACATCCGGCTCGTTTGCGGAGTGGATTTATTACCTTCCCATCATTGATCATCCTTTGAGCGAGACGCAGATATTTGCCGTACATGTCCATCGAAGATGCCATGAACTCGCGATCTGAGACAGGCCCCTGCAAGACGACCCCTTGTATGGCCCCTCGATGCTGGCCGTAGCTCGCGTACGATATCGCGTCCTGGCATCCGGTCGAGTGTCCGATGATAAACAGCGCCGTTTTAGCCCGTTCTTCACGTAGGAACGTGAAGAGCACATCGAGCTCCCGCACATCTTCCTGGAGCGACGATATTCCGTATCCCTTGTGGCTACTCGAGAGCATGACCTGAATCAACGAGAATCCGAGCTGGTCCTCAACGGTTTTACTCAGTAGAGGAAGATACGGCAGAGCATTGTACCCGTCCAAGAGCCCTGCGATAAATACTACAGACCCACTCGAGTGCTCCGGACCAGACTCGAACATGGTTAGACGCGTCTGTGGGTTATAGACGGAAAGCGTTCCTGGTAAGCTGATCATGAGGGCTCCTCTGCGTGCTGTCGTCCTGTCGATGAGGATCTGAATCTGAGGTTGAGCACACGGATGCGGTGTAAAGAAAATTTAAAACTGCATTACCTTCGTGGAACCCTCATCCTCATCCTCATCCTCATCCTCATTCCCCGACTTTCTCAGCTCAAAAGTTCCCACTATCTGCCAACTGGCGAATAAAATATCTTTCACCAATTGACCTTTCTTGTTCGCATTGTAAAAGGCTACCCACTCTGGTTCTAGAGCCTCCAATGTTCCCCAACCGCCCAGGGGTCGACAAGAAGGCCGCTCTGGTTGCTCAGGCCAAGGCTGAGCGACTTGCTCGAAGCGGACAGAAAAAGATCGAGGAGCAGAATGCGTTACAGGAACGGTCTTCCTTGCGAATACAAAAGTTCTGGCGTAGGTTGCGCGCTCGCCATGTCGTCAAGGACCGACAGCGTACGGATTGGGATGTCATGGCGGCCCAGTTACCGTCCACACCCACCCTTGGTCTTGTTCGCAACCTACAGCTGACGTTCCTTTTGCTGAGGTTCTACGACCCTGTTGCATGTCCCATGGATAGTCGGCGTCTTTCGACCCTGTGCAAGTTGCTGCTGTCCAAGACTATCATTGCAGCAGACGAGGGCAGCTTTTCGACAACAGCGGCCAATATAACGTCCAACGGATCATCCTCTTCACCTTCACCTACACCACCAGCACCTTCGGCGGCAGGAGCGGCGGCGTCCGCTACAAAAGAAGATCAAAAGCCGTTGATGCAGGTTCCCTTCCAGATGATATTACTTCATGCTCGATATGCGGATCTCGCCACCACCGCCGTACAATGTCTCCTGCAGCTGTGTATTGGAGCAGTGATGGGAAACCGAGTCGACGCCAGCGGTAAACCGTCTCCGGCCATAAGCACCATCAAAAGCGCATTGGAGGACGACCTATATCTCTCTGGGCCAGAGTTGCGTTTTTTGATGGCTTTTGTGGACACCAACACGTATCGACTTCCTGAGACCGTCAGCCTCGCCATTAGGACCCAGATGTCGGACAGAGGAACCGCCCTTATTATCAGGATACTCAACAGCGGAAAGTTTTACAAGGACGTCAGACTTGGCGTTGCGCCACGAGTGAAAGCTATGCTTCTGCTTCAGGATCGTGCCAAAAAGACGTCTCTCACGTCCGCAGAGACTTCGAAACAAAAGGCTCTGTCGCTCTGGATGACGGCTATTTGGAGATGCTGCCTGTTACTTCAGTCTGTGGACAAGGACTTTAAAGAGAAGCTATCCACTCCATCCAGAGGGAACCAGCACAAGGATAATCTCATCAACCTATACAGCGACGACTCGACGGCAGTAGGAATTGCCTGTTATATCTTAACGATACCATTATTTGTCGATACCCTGGACGACCTTTGCTTGCAACTGGCGTGGAACAGTCATGTCCTGCGAGCGACATCAGATGCGATCCTGGACCTTCGTCACCAACAGTTCATGCTTACAACCATGTCTTTGAACGACACCCTGTCACTTCTCGCCAACATGACGCGGCTGTATCGAGTCAACATGACCAAGAATACTGAAGCGGTTAATGCTGAATTGAAAAACCAACTGGTCGAGGTGGCCATCGTTCTCTTGACACACTGTCAGAAGTACGTCTCTGCCACACAAACCACAGAGTTTCGACAATACCACCCCATCTTTTCTTGGACAGTTACCTCTCAAAAGAGCCAGCAATTCTCAGATACACAAGCTAAGTCGTTGATGGTGCAGCTGGAATATCTTTGGAGCCGTGAGTTTGCCCTCGACACATTCCACGCTCTGCTCAACCTTCGCCTTCCTCCCATCAGTGCTGATCCGCCTCCCGGGAGCGTATTCAACAATCGCGACACCCAGTCACCCGCGGCAGGTCGCCAGGGACGTTTCTCGTCGCCGCTAGAGAGGATCAACAACAGCCTCAGCAGCAGACCCTCGGACCCGCAGAGAACTTTACTTGCGATCGAAATCCAGCAGGCATGCTCGTTTTACATGATCCTGATGAAGACGTTCGACGCTCAAAAGACCAAGATCCTGGTCACACTCATGTATCTTCCATCGTTTCTATCTCAGCTGTGGCGATTCATGACGACCCTAGGACCCAAGGGTGGGATGTACATTTACCTTGAGGCAGCTGCGGGCAGTGGACGCAAGGGACTCCACCAGGAACCGTTGATCGCTATCCTGCAAATCTTTTGCGAGTGCTGTGCGCGATATTTCATGTAAGTCAACCCTTCAACCTGCTGACCTCATCCGGCTAAGCTATACCTGCCTATAGAACGTTACCTTTAAGCTTTGAATGGATCTTTCGACCTGTAATAGCACATTGGATGACGACGACATGTATGAGCAACAACGGACATGGGAACTATCAGAGTTGGTGTTCATGTCGGGATTCTTAAATCAGTTTTGTTTTTCGATCTTGAGCCAGCAGGAGGACATGGTAGTTAGTCTGGGTTCCAAAGAAACTGCCGCAGTGACAGCTGGATCTGCACCGCCAGAACTCCCATCTTTGCCACCTCTACCACCTATCTTTTACCATGCACGTCAGGTCCTCATGCAGCTATATGAGAGGGACTGTCGACGGGCGTACTGTCCACCAAACCACTGGCTTCTCATGCACCCTACGAAGGGTGTTTTTCACTCGCCTCTACAGCTTTTGGCCTCGCTCACGCTGTCAAATAAAGACCGGTCCAGCAGCCACGGTTCTACCAAGTCATCGACCACAAAAGGCGGTGGGCTTTTTTCCTTCTCATCCAATAAATCGCCACCCCAGTACGCGACACCCAAGGAGTTCATCAGCAAAGTCAGCCAGAAGGACAGGACCGCGCTACAGATTCTCGAAACGATGCCGCACGTTATCCCGTTTAGTGCCCGTCTCGAGATCTTTCGAGATTTCATCAAGGAGGAAAAGTTACAACGGGCCCAAAGTCTGGCGTTGGTGCGCCCAGATCTGCATCAGTCAGTCATGGTCAGGGTCCGACGTGGATATGTGCTCGAGGACGGGTACCAGAGTCTGGGTCGGATCTCAGCGAATGCATGGAAGAACACGATCCGAGTGAAATTCGTGAACGAAGGGGGCGCAGCTGAGGCTGGAATCGACCAAGGAGGACCCTTCAAGGAGTTTATGGAAAGCTTCCTCGAGACCGGGTTCTCGCCGAACCTGAATCTGTTCACGACCTCGACTGCGTCTATGAATATGTTATATCCATCACCAACATCTCACTTCACACACCCGACAACAGGACTGGAGCTATTTCGACTGTTTGGAAAGATGCTGGGCAAGGCTATGTATGAGGGGCTGCTGATCGAGGTCAAGTTTGCCAACTTTTTCCTGAGCAAGATCCTAGGTCGAACTGTTTTCTTGGACGAGATGCGATCGTACGACCAACAGGTCTTCCAGAATCTGATGTTTCTGAAGAAGTATGAAGGGGATGTGGAGGATCTGGGGCTAACGTTTTCGTTGGACGAAGAGATCTTTGGGACCCACCGAACCATCGAGTTTATGAGGGGGGGCAAGGATATTGCAGTGACCAAGGACAACAGAATCAATTACATATTCAAGATGTCCGACTATCGTCTCAACAAGCAGATCCAGGAACAATCCAAAGCGTTTATTGAAGGGTACAGTACATCCTGCAGAGACTCTTCTGGTATACTATGTTTTCGAATGCGCTTTGTTTAATAGCTAGGCCGTCTTTCCATATTTATACACAGATTCCGATCGATCATTCCGCTGCACTGGATCTCCATGTTTTCTCCGCAGGAGCTACATCGCGTTATGGCGGGCGAAGATGTCGACTTTGGTAAGCATCCTTGACACTTGCGACTATATCTCTTGCGATGATAACATGGGCTACAGGACTAATTCCAAAAAAAAAAAAAAAAAAAAAAAAAAAAAAAAAAAAGATGTACAAGATCTTCGAGCGCACACAGAGTACCAGAACGGATATTTTGATCAGCATCCAGTGATCCGTAATCTGTGGTCTGCCCTGAACGAGTTCAGTTCGGAGGAGAAGCGCGCCTTCCTCAAGTTTGTCACTAGTTGCTCCAAGGTACGGCCCGCTGGACTTCAAGAAGGTTTTTTCATGTGTTCATGCATTCATGAAACCCCCTCTTTTTTTTCTCACCAATATATTGATTTCATATCATGCGCTGGCATTAATCAACAGCCGCCGCTCGGAGGTTTTAAGTACTTGCACCCACCATTCTCTATTCGACTGGTCATGGACCCAAACACCTCGGACTCGAACCATAACGGCGCGCCAGCAAATGGGCCACGTCAGTTTGGGAGCGGCGCCCATATGCCTTCCCGCAACGGCACTACTGGCGGTGGTGGTGGAGGACTAGGATCCAGATTACGATCTGCGTTCAATGTGAACAACAGCAATAACGGTAACAATGACAGCTCAAACGGATTTTCCGTCAACGCGTCATCTATCTCTTCGTCGTCCTCTTCTTCATCATCCTTGGTATCACGATCGAACCAATCCTCATCGACTTCGGGATTATCACCGTTTGCGTTAACAACGGACGAACATGGAACGCCTGCGGCTCTGGGAGTCGTGAAATCCTTCTTTGGGGGCGTTCTTGGGAATGCGGGATCATCCAGCGAGAGCACAGGAAAGAAGGCGCGTTTGCCCACAAGGTATGTTGAAAACTTGCAAGGCAAGATCATAGCTTTACCGAGCTGCGGATTAAATTGTAAACATAAGATATGCGGTTATTGACCCTTCCTGTTTCCTACTTCCAGTTCTACTTGTTTCAATTTGCTCAAGCTACCGCCGTTTAGCTCGAAATCTGTTCTCAAGGAGAAGTTGCGCTATGCAATCACATCCAATACGGGCTTTGAGCTATCTTAGTGTCTTCTCTCTTGATTTTGGTGATTGCTCAAGAGCATAATGAAATAAAGTATAATTAGTTTGCCAACGCTGGGTGCCTGCTTCACTATCTAAGAGTCTAATACTGGTATCCATCAGCCGGCCTGGATGCGTATGCTTGCTGTTGCTGGAACTGTTGCTGTTGCTGCAGCATCTGTTGGTGCTGTTGTTGTTGCTGTTGTTGCTGTAGCTGCAGCTGCAGCTGCTCCTGCTGCGTTGCATATGGCGTTGGTTGGGGTGATGCGGACATCTCGTACGAGTTTCCGTAATGGTTGTTAATGCGGGCATCGTCCACATTACTCAGGAGCGGCGCCTGCTGGTTTGGATCCACGGCTTCGCTACTCACAAATTTGCCACCGGCCTCCAGACTGGCATCGTCGACCGCGGTCATAAAAGAGGGATCGTTATCGCTAGCTGTTGAGCCTCCTCCTGACTTGCGACTTTTGAAAACACGGTTCCTGGTGCGGACCGTGTTGGCACGTTTGACAGCCCCGCTCAAGTGTCCGTCTCGGATTGGCAGAGGTCGGCCCATGATGATAAGCACAATGTCCTTACAAGCCCATCCAACCTCCGTCACCATATCAACTGGGTTGAAACCATCGCGAAGAGATTTGCGGACAGGGGTCTTGACATTGGGGATGACATATGGAGTGTAGGAGAAGGAGAAGACGTGCATAATTGCAAAGGCCACCATTTCCACACAGATCAACAGGGCGGATATGCCGATCTCAATATTGCTAATGGACCAGTATTCTGTCGCCTCGAACACACCTATATCGAATGAAGCACATCAGGAGAGGAATAGCTATAAGTCGGTGCTGTGGGTAGAGCGCACCTTGGGAGCAGGGCATTGCTGTCGAATATACTGAAACTTACCAAAATGACCCAAAAGACTCAGGAAGCACGTTTGCCAAAAACAAAAAAAGATGACCAGTTTAACGCAAAGGAACTTTAGGAAAGGCTCTATTGGAGCACCAGACGATAGTGCGGCAGAATGAATAAGCGAGATGATTAGGCAACAGATCGAGTCGAACCCAGAAGGCGCCATGAAAAAGAAAGAAGAAATGAAAGATAAATACATACTCTTGTCCGCAATCTCGGTCTTGATGGTCATGTAGAAGATCACCAGGCAGTACATCGCAACTGTGACTGAAATGAAGTTGACAATGGTGATATAGACCTTGCCGAATTGGAAGCTGTATGTGGTATCGCAATAAAGATCCTTGTACTGCAGAATGACGGCGGCGATGGTCGTCACGGGCTTGACAACCACATACTGCAGGACTCCATACTTCATCCAGTGCAGGAACAACTCTCCATGAGGCTTGTAGTAGAAGCAATTGAGCGGGAAGATCAGTTTCCGGCGCTCAGGCCCTGCGGTGATGCGTGCCCTGCGTTCGGCCGTGTCGTCGCCCAAGTAGGTCAGCAGGAGCACAAAGAAGGAGTGGATCACAAAGGCCTCGTAACAGTCACGAATGGTTTCGTAGTAGATGGCTTGCTTGTAGAAGCGGTAGGAGAGGAAGGAAATGATCGAGTAGATAGGGATCATGAGCACGATTCGCATGATATGGCGCTGCTCTGAAGGCTGGAGTGAGAGACACAACGAGACGCAGGAGGAGATATGGCAATGTTGGTTAATATATCGTTACACCGAAGGTGGTACCAATGGTGAGGCTGATCATTGGGGGAGGGGGCTGTGTTTGTTTCTCGCGGAAAAAGTTCCCATTCATCCAGTCGCTAAGACAGTTCCCACCAAAGGGGTCGTTCACATATATATAGATGTCAAAAATAACACCGGTGTCTATGATGATATCGTACCTTGTTGTAGTTGCGCGCATGCTTGTACAGGAGACGGAAGGAGATGAGCGTCGATACCAGCGCGCAGAACCCGGCGATGCCCCAGCCGATATAATGGCCTGAAAAATATAGTCGTAAGCAGGTGGAGAGCCATTCTTCCATTGTTAGACAAGGGGTACAAATAAATAGAGCAAACAAACTGCAGCCAGGGGTCTAAACTTACGCTTCCAGGTGATACTGTGGCCGTCGAAGAACTGACTGGGGTCCGTCTCCTCAAGGTCGAAGTTTGGACAAGTAGCCATGGCTTTGAAAAGGATTCTTTTTACAACAACAGTAATAGCAACAGCAACAACAACAAGAGAGAAGGAGGGAAAAAAAAAGTTGTATGGGGTATATTGTAAAAGTGTCCCTTTTCAAAAGTGAACCCGCTGAGTGTTCTTGGCTCTTCTGCTCGGGTGTGTAGTGAGGATGAGAACGAGACAAAGACGACGGGGCGATGCAGGCGACCTGGAGGCTGAGGGAGGAGGGATGAAGCAGCGAAAAGGGATGAAGGCGAGGGAGGATGGCGGATGGAGTAAAAGGAGCGAAGGAGCGAAGAGATGGACAGCAAAAAAGGGACAAAAGAGACTAAAAATTAGCAGCGTTATTGGAAATCCTTTTATCCCGCTGACCCAAGGCTCTGTCTGGGATAGCATGCAGTTGTGGCAAAGTGGGCTATTGTTTATTTTGGGCTTTCGGTTCTCCTCTCCGCCCGCTGCAGTGCTGCAGCTTACCGACGACCCATGCATGGGCTTAGACTTCAGAGGTGTTACCGACTGCCTTGTTAGTTTACTCACAACCATTCCATATCTCTACTCGTCAATGAGAGCGCTGAACACTCTCTCCATATTCTGCAATTGCATACAGCCGTACACAGGAACAATCAAACTCCCTAAAGACACTAGCACGAATATCAAGTTAGGCAAGGAATGAATGAGTCGTAGAGTAGAGAATGGGGATACTCCGTACAGTCGACAGATGATGGGCGTATATGGGCTGTTGCAGCTGCATATACAAAGTCAGCAAACCCAAATCAAGCCGCAGTGGCGCCCACCTGGACCAGAGACTCAGAGACTGAGCGCGTGGTTTTTACTTTAACTCGCACACGCAAGGTTTCTTTTTCTTTTTCTTTTTCTTCAACAAGGTAAGCGAGCACACTTTGTTTGATTATAATAAGCAGACGCGACTGAGTAGCGGGATGACAAAGGAAGTTCTCCATGTCTTGTCTTGTTTCGCTGTCGGCTCTTTTAGAGACCGATGCAGATGTATGCGCTTGGCAAGCAGTGGCTTGCCATTCGTGGAGACCGAGAGTGTTGGGCAAAGTCAGTCTTGTCTGGAGTCAAGGCACAAGAACGGCCGCTCGAAAAGGAAGCGCGTGCAGTTGAGGAGCGGTATGCAGTATAGAGAGCGATTGCTTAAAGGGGAAGTATGTGTTCGATTTCGTTCCTCAATTGCACAGCTTGCATTCGTTTCATACACTCCACGGCTCCTCTTGTCCGTGTGCACTTCTCTTACTTCTCTTCCCTTCACCATAACAAATTCCTACGACAAAAAGTCCTCATCCCGCTAGATTGCACTCTACATCCTCGCCACTCTTTCTCTCTCACTCTCAAGCGATCGTAATCGCACCCTCATCCTCTTCTTTTTTTTTTTTTTTTTCTCAATCCCCAGACAAAGACAGCCATCCAATGTCCACAACTCAGGTCGGAGCCGGCATCGGTATCGCCAACTTGCCCAACCAGCGCCATAAGATTGTCGCCAAACGCGGTGCCAACTTCACGCTGATGGTCTGCGGTATGTGCCCGTCTGCAACAGACATCAAATAAATTAAAAGTGATGGTGTCTCTGCTAGGTCCACTACTAAACAGCGAACACTCCTGTTCTCTCTTCTAGGCGAGTCTGGGCTTGGAAAGACCACCTTCATCAACACTCTCTTCACCACAACCCTCAAGTCCCCCAAGAACCACAAGCGTCGCTTCAACAAGACAGGCGAGAAGACTGTTGAGATTGAGATCATCCGCGCTGGTAAGTTCGACACGGAGCATCAGATGAGGACTCTCTTCTGGAGGTACCAGGGCCCTGAGGCCAAAGCACTCAGCAAAGACACAGGACGGCAGGCAAAACACAGAACGAGTTACGCTGTCCCTGAGCCAGGAGCGTTCAGAGTCTGCTTGCCCTTTGTGTTGTTTTTCTTCTGGGCCATAAAGAGTTGGCTCTCTCCTTTTGTCCGTCTTTTTTTTTTTTCATTGAGCATCCGAGCCCCTTCCCTTTTCCTCCCCCTTGGGACGACAGTCTGTTTGATGTTTTCTGGGCCTTTTCTCCCGCTGCAGTCTCTGCCTACGATTAGTTGTCAGAAATCGCATTACTGTTGACTTGCAGATCCAAAAACTCCCCCTACTTTGTACTTTTTAACACGGCTCCAGTTGTGGTGGGTCCTTGGGGCTTCTTTGACAAAATCGCTTGGTGCCCATTCTGCGTAACCAATATTCTCCTATATTTGAGCACTCTCTATGGTTCTCTATAATTATGGTCCTGCAAGCATTTAGTGCTCTCAACACACGCATCAACAAAAAAGCCAACTGTAAAATGTGCCCGAAACGCTGATCTGACCAATCTGACCTTTTCTTTCTTACTTTCTCGCTTTTCTTTTCCATAGAACTCGAGGAGAAGCAGTTCAATGTCAAGTTGTCTGTCATTGACACCCCAGGATTTGGAGACTATACCAACAACCGCGACAGCTGGATGCCTATTATCGACTTTATTGATGATCAGCACGAATCTTATATGCGTCAGGAGCAGCAGCCCAAGCGTCATGAGCTGAGTGACATGCGCGTTCACTGCTGTCTGTACTTCATTCGTCCCACCGGACACACACTCAAACCCTTGGACATCGAGGTCATGAAGCGCTTGGGGACCCGTGTTAACCTGATCCCAGTGATTGCCAAGGCCGATACAATGACCCCTACGGACTTGCACAAGTTCAAGAAGCGCGTACGGTTTCCTTTACGATTTACTGCTCTTCCTCTATCGTACGGCCTTCTCCATGCCAAAGAGAAGAAAGATGAGCTATGGACTGACGCGAAATTTTTCTTGTCTATTAGATCTTGGAGGTCATCGCTGCCCAGAACATCCAGTGCTATACGTTCCCTCTGGAGAGTGATGACGAAGCCAGCACCCGTCGCAACATGAACATTATGGTAGGATGTGGTCCGTATGAGACTCATGCGTTGTTGATTTGTTCGGTACGCGGAGTTACTGACAAGGATGATAACGCTCTCGTGTTTTCTATAGTCTGCCATGCCATTCTCGATCATTGGAAGCATAGATGACGTCCTCACCGATGATGGTCGCACTGTGAAGGGCCGTCAATACTCATGGGGCGTTGCAGAAGGTATCAGCGAAGACGCGATATTTCTCCCGAAATGTCTAGCTTGGGCCATTGAATTCATATACTGATTGCCGTTATCTTATCTCATTTCCATGTCGATAGTCGAGAATGAGGACCATTGCGATTTCAAGAAGCTTCGCCAGCTTTTGATCCGCACCCACATGCTGGATCTCATCAGCTCAACCGAGGAGACCCACTACGAAAACTATCGCAACGCTCAGATGGAGACTCGCAAGATTGGCGAGGCCAAGTATGGCTCCTTTGTTTTTTGAGTCCCTCCATGTCCACTCTACGAAGCACGTTGATAACAAAGATCACTGAACTAATTGGCGCATTCTTTTAACCTCGCTAATCTTTCTACACCTTGCAGGACCAAGACTGTTACTAATCCCAAGTGGAAGGAAGAGGAAGAGGCCCTTCGTAAGCGCTTCACTGAGCAGGTCAGACTGGAGGAGAACAGATTCAGATCTTGGGAGCAACAGGTAACGATCATTTTTTCAAAGATTCATGAATTATGGGCCTATTCGTGATGGATCCACTGGATATCTGTTCCCTAACAATGTCCTTTTTTTTTCACTCAATATAGCTGATTGCTGAGCGCGACAGATTGAACAAGGACTTGGAGGCAGAGCACTCGCACATTAAGGCTCTGGAAGCCGAGCTGGAATCGATGCAGGCGGGTCTTTCTCCCAAGCGCAAGTAGAATGACAGCAGTGAGACAAGAAGAGAAGGATACCCCTTATGTTATTTGATTTTGCTTTATGTTCTTTTTTTTTTTCTTCAAAGGATCCTGTTTTCAGCTGGCGAGCAACCACAATCATAGATGTCATCCGGGATACGCTTTGATATCGACCTTTGTTTGAACGTCTGGATCATAGAATAACCCAAATAAAGACAACCAAACCATGCCATGCCGATGAGCTGGCTGAATTGTCAAAAAAACCACATTCCAAGGGCGCATGGGAGCACAAGAAACAAACAAACAAACAAATAAGCTAGCGAAACGCTTCCCGCGACGAACGCGAGACTGACCTATATTTTCAGCATGACATGTGCCTTTGGGGAGTACTTGAACATCTTTATTTCTGTTTCGGTTTTTGTCTGCTAACAGCACCAGACTTGAACAAATCGCATGGAATGAGTGTTTCTTTGCGAGTTTCTTTTTTTTTTTTTTTTTTTTTTTTTTCTGCGAGTTAGGTTTTGAGGGATATGGTATTCCAATTTCGCACGTCGTTCGTTGACAAGAGCAACGTCGGAAAGAGCGCAGCTGAAGGGAGATCGGTTCCTGATTCTTAAATGTCCATCTCTTCGCCCTCCTCACCATATTCGACATCGTCACCATCCTCAACAGTGGCATCCTGGTACTGCTGATATTCAGAGACCAAGTCGTTCATGTTGGATTCTATATAAAGCAACCAGAACAAATCAGAAAAAAGAAAGGATCAGTTTCAGTTGAACGCATTACACTTGTACAGGGAACATTGCGTTGTCAAGTAGCTCAAGCAAACAGGTCGCATACCAGCCTCAGTGAACTCCATCTCGTCCATGCCCTCGCCAGTGTACCAATGCAAGAAAGCCTTGCGACGGAACATAGCAGTGAACTGCTCAGAGATGCGCTTGAACAACTCCTGGATGGCGGTAGAGTTGCCGATAAAGGTAACGGACATCTTGAGACCGCGGGGAGGAATATCACAGACAGCCGTCTTCACGTTGTTGGGGATCCACTCCACGAAGTAGGCGCTGTTCTTTGATTGCACATTCATCATCTGCTCGTCAACCTCCTTGGTCGACATGCGTCCGCGGAACATGGCCGCAACTGTCAAGTAACGTCCGTGGCGGGGATCGGATGCTGCCATCATGTTCTTGGCGTCAAACATTTGCTGGGTCAACTCGGGCACAGTCAAGGCGCGGAAGGACGCAGAGTTGTTGGCGGTCAAGGGAGCGAAGCCGACCATGAAGAAATGAAGACGAGGGAAAGGAACTAGAAGATAGAAGAGAGCATGGTACACAAGGATGGAGAGCGAGAGGAATGTGTTTTAGCGGGCGTATACTGGTGTCCATCGTAAGATATCCAAGCGAGATAGAGTCCTGCACGTACCAAGGTTGACAGCCAACTTTCTCAAGTCAGCATTGAGCTGACCAGGGAATCGGAGCGAGGTGGTGATGCCGCTCATGACTACAGAGACCAGGTGGTTCAGGTCGCCATAGCTTGGTGCAGTAAGCTTGAGGGTGCGGAAGCAGATGTCGTACAGGGCTTCGTTATCGATACAGAAGGTCTCGTCAGAGTTCTCGACCAATTGGTGGACAGACAAAGTCGCGTTGTAGGGCTCGACAACGGTATCTGAGACCTAATGAAGGGACCATGGCCAGAAAAGGATGTACTTTGTGAATAAAAAGATCAAGCTTTCCAGCACCATCTCTGTGCCCTTGCATTCTCCCACTCGCCGCTTTTCGAGTCCGAGAAAGAGAGAGAGAAAACCTTAGAAAGACTCCTTTGTCGTCCAATTGGGCACAAGTCTACCAGGAGACATCAACAAAGGAAGGGAACAGAGGGAATACACCAGCTGATTTTTCTTTTTAAAGGAAAAATACGGGCTCCCGCACCATCGTTGTTTTACACTGATGTTGCAGCCGCTGCAGCCATGCATCCCCTCTAGATCACTCGGAAGAGACAAATCTCAAGGGAGATGCCGAGAGGAATAAACACTGAGACAAAAAGAAGAAAAAAAAAAGAGGAGCAATAAAAAGATGGAGTAAAAGAAACGGTGACGAGGGATATGAACCAGGGTATCACAAAGGGATGGATGGCGGCAATCAAAGCATCGAGCGCGGCATTCCTTTTGCTCCTTGACCCGCCTTTGCTCCCAACACAACTGTAAATACCGACGGGAGACCCAATCAGAAGGACGACTTGCCATTTTCAACCCCAACTTTAAGGTTCATCCACATTTGTACGCACTCTGCAGTTTTGTGGCATCCAGCAGCCATCAAAGGCATTGTTGACGCTGCTGCAAAGTGCCAGTCAGTAGCATGCGCGCATAATGGTCAATCGCCACATCAGTGAGCAACAGGGATGGAAGGAGAGGAAATACGACAAACCCATGTGCAGACCATAAAAGAAGAAGTAGTCGACATCTATGGCGTTGACCAGGAGATAGACAGATAGATAGAAAACGCCAGGGGTCTTTTTCCCTTTTTCCCTTTTTTCCTTTTTTTTTTTTTTTAGGAATGCTATCCAATCTCGTCTCTCGAGCAAAAAGATGGCGACAACCCGATATGCACCTACACATTGCACCCTCTCCTGCACTTATCAGACGAGAAAAAAGATGGGCCCAAGAGGGGGGAAAATAGGAGCCATGAAAGGAAGAGGAGGCATGGCCAGTTCAAAGCTGCCTCGATTCCCACACCCTCGATAACACCGTAAACTCCGCCATGCAAACACAAAGAAAAACGCGTCGTTTTCGTCAGCATTACCTTGGGCGAGGGCATGACAGAGAATGTGCACATCATGCGATCAGGGTATTCTTCGCGAATCTTTGAGATCAGCAGGGTTCCCATGCCGGAGCCGGTACCACCACCGAGCGAATGTGTGATTTGGAAGCCCTGGAGGCAGTCGCAGGATTCGGCCTCTTTGCGGACGACGTCCAGAACAGAATCGACGAGTTCGGCACCCTCGGTGTAGTGACCCTTGGCCCAGTTGTTTCCGGCACCGCTCTGGCCAAAGATGTAGTTGTCGGGGCGGAAGAGCTGGCCAAACTCTCCAGTGCGGACAGCGTCGATGGTGCCTGGCTCGAGGTCGACAAGGACAGCGCGGGGAACGTACTTGCCGCCGGTGGCCTCGTTGTAGTAGACGTTGATGCGTTCGAGCTGCAGGTCCGAGTCGCCGCGGTAGACACCGGTGCTATCGATGCCATGCTCGTCGCTGATGACCTCCCAGAATTTGCATCCAATCTGGTTACCGCACTGGCCGGTTTGCAAGTGGACGATCTCACGCATGGTGTATTATGGGGAGGAGGTGTGTATGGAAAGTGGGAAGGAAGGGGAGGTGCGGGGATGGAGAAGAAAGGAAAAGATTAGGAGGGGCAAGGGGAGGGGATGAGATGGCGGGTGTGGTTGTAGTGATGGTGGCACGGGGAGGGGGAAGGAGATGAAAGGAAGAGAGAAGAGGGAAAAGAGAGTCGCTTTGTGGAGCTTCTTTTTTAAAGGACTTGCTTTTTCTCTTGGGTCCTGGCCCCCCCCCCTGTGTCCAGCCCTGTCCAGGCGCGTCGTCTGTCCGTGTACCGTTCAGTGGAGATGCAGCACCACAACGCAGTCTGCAGCATGCAGGCATGCAGCCTGCGGTATCTTCGGTAGTGCAGAAAGGCGCCCTCTCCCGTCCCCGCCCCCATCCCCCCTCTGTCGCTAGCCCGCTGCTGTGCATACACCACGCCTCTCTTCTCTCTTCTCTCCCCTTCATCTTTCGTGCTTCTGTCTCATATCCAGCCGACCTCCAATCCACAGTAGGCAGACCAAAGACTATTGTCTGCTGCTGCTGTTGCTAAAGTGCGCGGAGCCTACGGATGGAGAACTCGGTCTCAAAAAATAAATCTCCAGTGCAAATTGTCGCGGCAGTCCCCCCCCGCCCCCCCTTCCCCTCCCTCCTTGTGGCAGGAAGGACAGCACAAGACGAGACGCGTCCTGTCCCACCTTCCTTGGGCAACTAAACAGACACGTACACGCAGCCCCAGGTACACATCCTAACTAACCCTGGACAAGTCCCTGGCTGGGCCTGTCTCGTCTTGCCTTGCCTTCTCATGCAACGCACATGCCCATCATCACATCCCTACAAGATGCTCCTAAACCCCAAACAAAACGACTGTGCATCGCCATATCCCTGCATCTCCATCTCCTCCTCACGCCTTTCGTTTATCGACCATACACAACAAGAAAGACACTGAGAAAGAAACTCTCCCCTCGCGTTCAAGGTCGTGTCACGCGTTCTACAAAAGCAGCCCCGATACATTAGGGTAGCAGGCAACACATCATGGGATAACATAACATTCCTCTGTTGTTAGATCTACACATCGCATCAGTCGATGAGCCCATCCACATTCCTGTGTTCGCCCTCCTCGTGGCTTTTTTTTTTTTTTTGATGTTCTTGAACGAAGCGATCGATCAATTGACCTGTGTATGCACTATGGACCTGAAACCCTTCAGGAGTATGGTTCACTCTAGCAGACCTTGGCCCGTAGCATGGTTAGAGGAAGAAAGTTTAGCATGGTTAAGGGAGGGAAGGCGGGGAGGGGCTTGGCAAACTGGCAAACTGGCAAACTGGCAGGTCTAGAGGCCTAGAGTGCTGTGAAGGACATGCATGACCCCGCATTTTCCCCACAGAGTTCGTCGCTGCATTTGGGGGACCACGTTTCCCCTGAAATAGAAGCGGGATTAGCCCAATCACACGTAGGACCTCCACGTGAAGGCGCTTTGTGGGGAAGGACTCCATGGACACCCAGGGAAAAAGAAGGAACATCAGAAAACCCGTTAAACCTGGATCTAACGCCAAAGACGTGGACCTCCTTCTCCCTCTTCACATTGCTCTCCCTTGCTCCATTCTGGATGAGCTTGTGGGCTGCTCTTCGCTTACTTGTCTGCAATAATAAATGTGGACGCATGCATCAGGGGAAGCAAAAATATATTCAAAAATAAATAAAAGCACGTTTTTACCAGCACACTTGTACACTTTGATGGCTCATAAAAAGACCCTGAACCGCATTTCCCCGATCCTCTATGAGGTCTTGTTGCTCAGTCGCTTTAGCCAGCACAGAACAAAGCCTTGTCCAAAGGCATGACCCAGTTTTTGGAACGTCCATGGGTAGACAACATTTATTTAGCAGTTCCATGTCTTCCTTGAGTGTTTGTCTGTCTGCCCATCTATCTACCTGTCTGTCTGAGATGTAATTGAGGTATATACCAATACTGTAGTCAGTCGAGGCGTCTATACTTTCCATCGAATCGGGAGCGAGATGGAGCTGAGATGGGGAGAGAGCACAAACAAGAGGAGCAGCACAACTGGATGGCATGTGGGCTGGTCTCTTTTGATTTGAACAATAACCCCGCACAAGAAAACAAAAAAAAAAAAAAAAAAAAAAAAACCGCACGGTGAGTAATCGATCAAATAGCCCTCCGCTTCACAATCCGTTCGTCCTCTCTCTTTCCTTCCTTTTTCTCCTCCTACCCCACCCGCTTTCATTCTCCTCTCATCCCCTCCCCATTGTCTATTTGTCCCTGGCCATTGGGATCATCTGTCTTGTTCGTTGGTAAGGATCTTTTTAATATCACTGATCGGTCAACTGGGGACATCGACCAGCTGGAAGTGCACCTCCGCAAGCTGACTTTTAAGGATCCTGGGCCATCCATTCGACTATGGCAATGAAGATTTGCTACAACAAGGAATTGAGATATCGTATTGGATCTGGATAATTTCGGAGAACATGTCGGAGAACCAGCAGTGTTCCATCTTTGGCGGAGTATAAGCCAAGTCAAAGATCACAAGAGAGAACCAGTCTTGCATGGATGGGGCGATGAGATTGGGAATGAGGAGGATGTGATGGGTATGAATGTATGGGTGTATGTGTATGCGGTATAGGGTGTGGTGATCAGAAGACGATCAGATGGATGTCAGGAACCCCCTCCGTCATCTCATAGGTCGATCCAGAACTCGCACCAGCGCGCGCGTGTGTGTTTGTGTGTGTGTGTGTGTGTGTGTGTGTGTGTGTATGTGCCTGAACAAATATGGAGTACTGACTCTTTTTGCCAGTGATACCGCATCTTTTTTTTTCTCTCTTTCTTTTCTTTTCATAGACGCATCATATCCATATTCTCCATACCATATATAATATCATCATGTCAAAGACTTTCTCATCAAGTCCTGCGAACGAGGTCGCCATCGAGCGCTACAAACGCGTCTTCCAGAAGTTCGCCTCCGTCGAGAAGAACGGCGAAAAGCTCATGACCAAGGACGACTTTGTCAACGCAATCGCACCGGGCGAGGACTACAAGCGGCTGCAGCGATCCCAGTACGGCGTCCTCTTCAACGTTGCAGATCAGTCCAAGAACGGTCTCCTGTCGCTCTCTGACTTGTAAGCTCCGTTTTGCAACGAAGAATGCTTGTTCATTACTAAGAGGGCTCCAATGCACCACTCTTGCCTTTTGCACAAGACGTTTTTCTTTGACTGACTCCCGTCATCTTGAATATGCAATGCTTTGCCTGATCATTCTTTCTGCCCATAGCGTCGTCTTCGAGAACCTGCTGACCCGTCCTGACGCAGAGTACGAGATCGCCTTCCGCCTTTTCGACACAACCGGCTCAGGCAAGATCACGAGAGAGCAGTTCAAGCAGATCCTCTCCGCCAACATCGGAACGGATGAGATCCCCTTCGATTTCGAGTGCGAGTGGCTCAAGCTGTACACCGGCGGCAAGTCTGTTACGCACGAGATGCCCTACAAAGAGTTTGCCCAGCTCCTGAAAGGCCTTCAGGCAGAGCGTCTTCGTCAGGCCTTCAAATTCTACGATACCCAGGTCAGCGGTTACATCACCCCCGATGAGTTCAAGAAGATCATCGTCGATATTGCTGGCCACAAACTCTCGGACCACGTTCTCGACAACTTGCCCACACTCAGCAACCTCTACGCGGGAAGCAAGATCTCGTTCGCCAACGTCATGGCATTCTACAACGTCATTCGCGAGATGGACATGGTCGAGCGTATCATCCGCAAGGCTATTTCTAATACCAAGGACGGTGCTATCACCAAGGCCGATTTCCTGAATACCGCTGCCAGGGAGACCCGTTTCTCACTGTTCACGCCCATGGAGGCCGACATTGTCTTCCACTTTGCTGGTCTGGAGAACTCAACGGGCAAGCTGAGCCTCGGTGATTTCGGCCGCCTACTCGAGTCCAAGTGGGAGCATGCCGCTGCCCCAGTCACGGTCGCTGTCCAGCCAGAGATCAAGCACGGCGCCATCCACGACCTCTTGAAGGGATCCTGTACGTGTTTCGTTTGACGGTATTATACTCTAACGTGGTATTACAAGAACTGCTAGCTAAACATTGTGCTTCCCCTCTCTTCTATTTCACAGACGGCTTCTTGTTGGGATCCATTAGTGGTGCCGTCGGTGCCACCGTTGTCTACCCCATTGATCTTGTCAAGACACGTATGCAGAACCAGCGTTCCAAAGTTGTCGGAGAATTGCTTTACAAGAACAGTATCGACTGCTTCAAGAAGGTCATCAAGAACGAGGGTGTCTTGGGCTTGTACCGTGGTCTCGGTCCTCAGTTAGTGGGTGTTGCTCCAGAAAAGGCCATCAAGTTGACCATGAACGACCTTGTAAGGAATATGACTACAGATAAGGATGGCAACATCTCATTTACTTCAGAGTTGCTTGCTGGTGGTATTGCCGGAGGCTCTCAGGTCGTCTTCACGAACCCCTTGGAGATTGTCAAGATCCGTCTCCAGGTCGCTGGTGAGGCAGCCAAGAGCTTGGATGCCCCCCGTCCTGGAGCTATTGCCATTGTCCGCAACTTGGGTATCCTGGGTCTTTACAAAGGAGCCAGCGCCTGCTTGCTGCGCGATATTCCCTTCTCTGCCATTTACTTCCCTGTTTACGCACACTTGAAGAAGGATTTCTTTAAGGAGGGTCCTGATCATCGTCTCACAATCGGCGAGCTCCTCATGGCCGGTGCCATTGCCGGTATGCCAGCGGCGTACTTCACCACGCCCGCTGATGTGATCAAGACTCGTCTGCAGGTCGAGGCCAAGAAGGGCCAGAGCACCTACAACGGCATTGGAGATGCCGCACGCAAGATCTATACCGAGGAGGGATTCCGTGCCTTCTTTAAGGGAGGCCCAGCCCGTATCCTCCGTTCGTCACCCCAGTTCGGTACAACCCTGATGGTGTACGAGATGTTGCAGCGTGCATTCCCCTTTGATTCCTCGCCCGAAGCTGCCAACAAGGCCATGGGAACCCATGTTGCACCCGCAGAGGACCTGAGCTACCTCCAGTCGAAGAACGCGCTCAAGATTTTGCTGGATGTGCACTACAAGTTTGGAGTTGTGCCATCGGACGTCAAGCTTCCCGGCATTGCCAACGCATAGCCCATCTAAATAGAGTAGAGAGACTTCATTGACGGGCATTACCACGACATTTATATCAGACCATTTAGCAAAAATAGAGCGCCCAATGGCACAGCATTTTCATATATATTTTTTTATTTTTCTACATGCAAAAAAAGATTTTGAATCAAGATCACCTTGCATCCTTAATGGCTGCGAAAAGAAAAAAAAAAGATGAAAGGAGTGCAAGAAGCTGATCAAACGATGAAAACCCAACACCAAAGAGCGCACGCACGCAACATGCATGCTATTAAAAGGAGCCATATCCTGTGTCTTGTCAGCGATAATGCTCCTGTGGCTGGTCTTCAGCGTGCGCTGCTCCGTCTCCGGCTGAGCACGCGACGAGGATGTCTCTGCTGAGCTCCCTGTACGTTTTAACGGTGCCTAGACCAACTACTCTGCTGTAGTCAATATCTGGACTGACGACAGACCTGGCGAACTTGAGTGCCCGAGGCGCACCAACGCTGCAGCCGCCTTCATGTCTTGCATAGTAGAATGTGTAAAGGAAATACCATTTGTTTCATCTGCTGTTTTGCTTGTCGTACATGCGTATGCACTTTGGTGCCTAGTCCGTGAAGTGTACAGGCGAAGGCTATGACAGATAGAAAAGAGCGGAGGAAAGGAAAGTCGCGTCGCATCGCAAGATATTTTTGTCAAGTATGTACTGATTGGACCTTTTACGCGCTTTTGATTGGTTAATGTATGAATTGGTGGCAACTGTCCAACTGTCTGCTGCAACATGCCCCCACTCGTCCTCGTGGACAGCAAAGTAAGGGGTGGGGTGGGAGGATGCTGTTTGAAAGACGAATCAGTGCTGCAATGTCGCACCAGCTTCGTGGCAGGACACAGCAAGGATCCACGTGTAGCCATCTTTATCAGGTCCCGTTGAGCACCGTTGAGCACCGGATGCCGATGGGCGCGAACATCTACATCCCCCTCCTCCCCGCCCCCTTTTTTATTCATAAGATCCTCGCCAGCATGGGACAGGGGCAGATGACCGATGATGCAGTGCAGACCATTGTCCTGAATAGGCTTTGCTTTATTAACCCCCCTTTTTTGTGCACCTTTTTTTTTCTTTTCTGCGCGTGCTCAATACGACCAATGCAATATGGAGGGAGGGAGGCAGCTGATGTCGAATCTCTTCCTCACACTCCTCATTTCCATCCCCATCCCACCAACGCTCTTTCTGCCGGCAACGCACCTTCTCTCTCTCTCTCTCTCTTTGCCACCAAATGTGTATCTGAACAGAACCAACCCCCAGTCCCAGATCCACCTCAGCACGCCCTGATAAAATCCCCTCGACCCACGCCCGCCACAACCGCCATTCCACTGGGTCTCACCCTGCACTCCCCCCATATCCCATATCCTCCCGCACATGTGGACCTTTCTCTGGTTCCTGGCCGGTCTCCTTACGGGCCTGGCCTTCGCCCTCTCTCCGTCTTCATCCTCAATCGCCAATACCAAAACGTACGAACATCGCTGCTGCCTCCTTGAGGCTCTACTTTTGCGCGTCAAAACAAAACAAAAACTGAGCATACCTCTCTAACACTAGTCATCGTACCGCCTTAGTGCTCCTCCTCTACTTAGCCATCAGACGCCCGCTCGGATAGACAAGAACGATACCGCCGTAGAAGCAAAGACGGAGGACGTCCTAGCTTCCGCACCCGAGCGGAGTCCAAAGACTGCTGGGAACAAAAGTCCTGCGGCTGCGCCCAATACACATCGTTGCCTGAAGGTTGCCGAGTCAGATCCTCTCTCTGCTGCTAATGTAAATCAGGAAGCCAGCAAAAAGCCCATCAAGAAAGTCGCAGAGGGACGCAGGGGGACGAGGGGAACGAGGGGCCATCAAGGCAGTCTGCGCAACAAGAGTACCCGAGCAGGACAACCAGGAATCGGGACTGTAAAATTCGCCAACAGCAGCAGCAACGGCAACGATATTCATCCCGGCACTACGGGGGCGGCGCTCCCACAACCAGACCCTATACCCATGGATGCAGAGTCGCGCTGGAGGGACCATCATCTAAAACGGCAATGGGCCCAGTCGATAATCATGGAATCCATGGAACCAGTGCTCTCGCGACACCTGCGCCACGCTATAAAATCAGTCCTTCATTTTACGAGCGTTGGACCGGAAACCATGGACTTGAAGGCGGCCAGTCAAGGGATGGGCAGTCTGGATTCTCTCATGATGCCTATCGTATTGCCATTGAGGACGCAATTTCCAGATACAGAGGGATCAAGGCAGGCTCATGGGAGCGGGCTCAGGACAACAGCGCCTTCAAAGTCAATCACCGTGGAGCATGCGAAAGCGCTGGACGCAGCATTATCTCCCAATCCCACAACCACCATTGTCCAGCCTCTGCAACCTCCAGTACCAGTGGAGTCCGCCAGCACTAGGGCACCTCGCTCCACGTCATTACGCATCGATACATCGCAGTCTGTAACCACTCAAAATGAACCTGTCCAGCCATCATCACCGGCCTCGACACCGATCATCATCCGAGGCTTCAGCTCAGCATCTAGTAGAGACCATTTCACAGCAGCATCTCCCCAGGCATCTTTAGACACAACAGAAAACAATACAGGGTCATTACACGACACACATCGATCAACCAGACCCTCACAGCTCGACCTACAGCAACATCCCAGGGCAGCGAATGTCTCTGGGCCATCACCTCCATCACCGACGCTCAAGAGACTGGAAAGCGGCAGACGAAGATTCGCGTCCGCGTCAGTTATACAGGAATCCGAAATAGTCGAATCTTTGAATGGCGAAGAGCAGTTATATCAACATCAGTCTCAGGCTCAGTCACGGTCGTCGCGCTTGTGGACAAAAGTGCGAAGGGCTGTTCAGGGAGAGTTTGTGAAGCAAGATGGCCCGCCCAAAAACACAGTTTATCTCACTGCTGGAAGTGTTGCTGGAACAGCAGTACGATCCATGTCTGATACAGATCTGTCTTCTCGACCAGTCTCCATGTCCTCGACAACATCATCCAACGCCGCCATGCCTTCCTTCAGCGGCAGCGCCCTCAGTCTATTGAGCGACGACCAGATGTCGCCGCAAAAAGGCCCCACCATCACAACATCTGGATTGAGGGGCTCTATGGCGTTTGAGACCCCTCCCGAGACAGCAGTGGACTCGCCACCACCGACATCGCCCTTAGCACCAATATCGCCTATTCGATACAGCCAAGCGCTCCAACACAACCTGCCGGGTCTCGCACGGAAATCCTCAACCAAAAGTCCCGTCGCCGCCGCGGAGTTGACAACTATACAGTCAAGAATCAGTCAGTTCATGTACTCTGACCAACAGGTGCACTCGACCAAAAACAGTGAGCAGGATAGTTCTATCAATGATATGGAGCTCTCACAGGATTTTTCTATGCCCCCCAACGCCCTGGAGAAATCCACGCTAAAGAGCACTCTGCAGAATTCGAAAGTCTCCGACGGTACTACGACTATACTTGCGGCAAGCGTGGTGACAAGCCCTCTTGGCCGCTCGCGCTCGACGTCGGATGCACAACACCGCATGTTAAGCTACAAAGATCGCAATCAAGGCAAGGACACACAGGATATTAACCAGTTCCTGACAGCACAAAAGCAGTTTCGTGGAAACGCAATATCCATTCCACAGAGCCCAGCACAAACGCGTCCATCATTGGACCAGCAGCAGGAGCGCCCGCCACCTTTGCCCTCTGTAGCCAAGAACATTAGGGCGAGACCTTCAATATCACACTATCAACCAACAGAATCGGGTCCACTCTCACCCTCTCAGCTGCTCAGCGGCGTCAACCATGATGCACTGCTTCCGAAAACAAAAGAGGAGCGCCGCAAATCCGCCATTAGCTTTGGAGGCTACTTTTCCAGCACCGGTGAAGCAGCGAGAAGATCCAGGAACCTAATGGATCATCCCTCTACAGGACTGGAAACGGATACGAAGGGCGAAGTTATCCACTTGCGGAGAACTAGCTTTTTCGAGAGGGCGTCGCCGCCAGCGCTGACATCTCTGGCTTCCCTCTTGCAGACAAGCCTGCCGTCACTGTCGCAGAGCATGGCAGGACCAGCCTCGCCTACGCTCTCACGGTCGCCCAGCAATGTCGTCATGATATCACAGGAGCATCGACCTGGACATTCACGCCGCCCCTCCGGTATGAACGGCATCGTCAACGCAGAAGGCAGTGGCGCCTCCCGGCATCTGGCAGCCATCAGTGCCAGCAACACCGCCGGAGGAAGCGCCGCTGCAACGGGCGAGTCGCGGGAAGCAAAGAAGAAGGTGACACCGCTAAAGATCACGCCTCTGTTACTGTCTGGATTACCAAGTATGCCCTCGCCTATGTTCCCGCCTATGAGTGCCTCGATTCCTCGACCTCTGACTGCCGTACTGCCTCATCCAGCAGCACCCATATTGGATCGGTACTTTTTCAGCGCGGATCAGGTCCATGAATGGAACATCCCCAGCTATGGGCGTGTCAAGTTCACAGACCATGCGCCGCTGGTCTTTCAGGCGATACGCGAGCGATTCAACTACACATTGGCCGACATGGACGAGGCTCTATCGCAGCCCATGGCTGTGATGAAGACCCCCGGCAAGTCGGATGCTATTTTCTTTGCTTCCCACAATCATGGTCGGTTCTTACTCAAGACACTTCGAGGTGCTGAGCCGGAGAACTTAAAGGGGTTCCTAGGCGATTATTTGGCACATATCCAAAAGCATCCGAACACGTTACTACCACGGTACTTGGGCATGTATACGTTCGAGAGAATCTCAGGGGCAAAGATCTTGAATGGAGGACCTGGACAACCAAATGTCTTAGATGGGGTCGGCGGGGGAGGAGGAGGAGGCGTCAGTGGTGGCGATCGGGAATACGGACTCGGATCAAAGCTATCTTTTTCCAAGGGCGATGTCTCCGCTGCTCAGCGTTTGCACCTGAATGGAACACTACTCTCTGGAAAAGATGACGGGCTGCCTTCGAAAATGGTGGTTGTCGTGCTAGCAAATGTGTTCGATACTCCGGAAGTTATTCATGAACGGTATGACTTTAAGGGCTCAAATGTTGGACGGAGAACACTTCCTGTTGATCGGCCAATGCGCGAAAAATCGATGGGACAGCAGGACATGACGCGAGTTGAATCAGGAATGGGCTTCACAGAACCCGAGCCATCACTCGTGGATATCGTCAGGAGACGTTCTCGTAGAGGCGATCCAGCCTTGCGAGAAAGCCGCCATTCTACAGCCCAGTACGAACTGGCCGGAGAGCATAGCCAGGGTACTGGAAGGCACGCAAGCGGTGAACCTGTGCCACCTGTTACGGACGATATTAGTCATCTCACACTCAAGGAAACGGATTTCCAGAGCCGAGTCTTTACGGGAGAGACGCAGCTGATCCATTTGGGACAAACAAGGCGGGCAGAGGTCCTCGCTCAGTTGGAAGACGATACTGCGCTTCTTCGTAAACATGGCTTCATGGACTACAGGTAAATGAGCTGCCTATTTATTTCCGGGTTATAGGAGGCCTTATTGTTCACGCCGCTAATCTCCATTTTACATTGCTATCTAGTATGCTCGTCGGCATCCGTATTGTTCCAAAGGCAGGGCAGAAGGAAGAGGAGATATATTCTCACTCCTCTGCTCCATCCTCTTCTGGCCCAAGCAGACGTGGATCAATCTCTTCCCGTGGCTCAGATGCAGATAACAGCAACCTTGAAAGTGACGACGACATATCGCCTGTCATCAGTATGGCGGCAGACAATGCGACACAGCCCAAAGGAGAATTCGTGGAGAACCTGGATCGATTCTGGAAGCTGATGGATATCTCAAAAGTCCTAACGGACGATCAAATCGCGTTCTTCAGAGATCTGGGCGAGAGGGCACAGGAGACGCTGCGTGAGATCTATGCCTTTGGACAAACCTCTGAGGACCCTATGGAGGACAAGGGCCAGCCGGCAGGGGTCGAGCTCAGACCTGTGCAGTCCACGCGCGAGATGACAGGAAGCAGCAATATGGAGCGGAAGACAACTATGGACGCAGACGATATCACCGAGACCTTCGATCCGAACGATTTTCAAACGGTGCGCTACAAACATCGCATCTCTGTGGCAAGAGGTCATTCTATTCGAAAGCAAGCACGTCAAGGCATGGTGGATGGTACGGAGGGTAAGGAATCGAACAAGGAGCATGAGCAACAGCAAAAGCATCACAGTAAAGTCTCAGTTCCGGATCGACCGCAGGATTCGCTGCTCGAGCATCCATTTGAGCAGCAGAAAAATCATAACCAACCTTTGCTGGCGCAGGAACATCAGCCAACGTGGTCTCAAGGTATTTCTAGCGAGGGACTTCCAGACGGCTACGAGGTTGTGTACTACTTTGGATTGATCGACGTCCTGCAAAAGTATAATCTTGTCAAGTGGCTCGAGAGGAACATCAAGGGCGCTAATGTTCGGTTGCTCGGAGGTGCTGGCGGGACTTCAACAACGTCGGCGACATCCCAAAATCCATCGGTCCCTATGGGCCCAACCCATCCCGGTCGATCGACGCCCTCGATGTCCTTCTCAGCCTCGGCGTTGTATCAGCTCCTACCACAGGCTAGTGCATCTGAGCCATCATTGCCTTCAGTATTGGACTCTATCCATCCCTCGAACCCCACGCTTTCAGTTCTCTTGGAAGACTCTGGGTCGGCGCCAGGATCAGGAAACGGATCCACAGAACGATTATCGACGTCGCCTTCAGCGGCACCCAGTGGTCTGGCAGCGCCAGCAACAGTCTATCGTGGGTCGCATCTGGGTTCTTTCTCATCATCGTCCCATTTATCGTCCTCCGAAGAAGTAACGACCACGGGAGTGGCGATCCATCATTCACATTCGCCATCTTCCTCGTTTTCCTCGAATGTGAACGCGGCGTTGAACAGGACGCGGTTGAGTACCTCTGCACCCTTCACTAAATCGATCGCTCGGTTGAGTCAGTACAGTCATTACAGTCATTCAAGCCAGCAAAGTCAGCACAGCCATCTCAGTGGGCGAAGCGGGGATTCGAGGCTCTCGTTCGACGCCCGAGATTCAGAGGCAATACCGACAGTGAGCCAGAATCAACAGAATCAGCAGGGCTCGTTTACAGGAAGCGGTGGATTCTTGTCAGCGTCGCCTCCAATGATGCTTGGCTCGCTACACTCCCAACAGCAGGAATCCAGTTCACATCCATACCAGCAACAACAGCAACAGCAACAGCAGCAACAGCAGCAACAGAGGCCGCACAATGTTCATTATCAGATGCCCCAGCATGCTGAGGTCTCGGTGGAGGAGCCAGGGCGATACGCGGAGCGCTTAGTCGAGTTTATGCGCGGGGCTATTGTTTAAAAAAAAAAAAAAAAACTAGATAATACCGTACACACTAATAGTAATAATCATTTAGTTTATCACCATTTTTGAGTGTGCACAGTTTCTGAGATGCGGAGGAACAGGGGTTTGGTAGTTTGATACATGTGTGCACGTGATCACTCTAAGTTGGCAGCCCAGGGCACTCTACCCCTTGATGACCACCTACATGCTTCGTCAAAGTGAGCAGCTCAGCTTTAGTGCAGCTTTACATTCTTTTTTTTCCACCATCACCACAAGAGCAAGAAGCACAACGCAGCACCCATCTGTCGGACAAACTTTCATCGTCATCCCACTGGACACCGCCCAAACGTCAATTCCGTCTTCCGTTTCCTCAACAAGCTAATCCACACAATTCGCCATGGCCACTAAAGGAGCCTACAAACGACTCACCAAGGAGTACATCAACATCCAGAAGAGTCCACCAGCCTATCTCTTCGCCCGGCCCTTGGAATCCAACATTCTGGAATGGTACAAGCATTGTTAGGGCTGTAGAGATTCGATGATGACCTTTCAAGCTACATCTTAGGCAGGGCTATTAGGTTTTGACTGACGTATTTTTTTTTTCTTTCTTATTCTCTCGTACAATGTAGGCACTACATACTCAAAGGACCACCAGAAACACCATATTATGGAGGCGAATACCATGGTGAGTAAAGGTCTTGGGACTGATACTTCAATCATAGTCCTCGTTATCTTATATTTCGTCCCTTGCCTGAGCCTCTGGACCGGGTCCGGCATGTTGACCCCCCTTGCCATTCAACTCAGGGTAGAATGTGGATGAATATACTCTGTGCTTCGTGCCTCTCACTGACCATCCTCCTTTGGAACTTAATAGGCAAACTGGTGTTCCCTTCAGATTATCCTTTCAAACCTCCTTCGATCCGGATGATTACTCCAAATGGGCGCTTCCAGGTGGACACTCGACTATGTTTGAGCATGTCAGATTTTCATCCAGGAACCTGGAACCCTAGCTGGAGTGTGGCGACCATTTTGAACGGACTGTTGAGTTTTATGGTACGTAGACAGCTCTGTCCGTTGAGCGGACCTACAGGGAGGCCTGAGCTTCAAACAATGTCCACCGACTTTGGCACTGATCCATTCTGCGTTGTTTTATTTTATTTTTGCTTCATACAGTCTCAGGAGGAATCAACAACAGGAAGCATTACTACCTCTTATTACGAAAAGACAGTGCTTGCGCTTCGCTCACACGCCTTCAACATCTCCAATCCAAAGTTTCGAGGTAAGCATTTGCTTTTCTGTGCTTGGCCATTGTTTTTTTTTTTCTATCGGAGGGAAATATATGGACTAGGACTGAACGACTGAACGACTGAACAACGGAACGCTCACGCATCTCAACCGGTTATAGATATCTTTCCCGAGCTCGTTGCAGCGCAACAGGTGCCGCTTCACATCGCGTTCCCTAATGCACCTGTTACCGAATCACCTGCAGCCACCACACCGATCGTCTCCATGTCAATGGGAGCCGTACAGAGAAAAACAGCAGGTGCTCAGAGGGTAGTAGGTGCAGCGGGAGCGGGCGCGACAACACGACATAACAACGCAACAGGCGCAGTGGAAGCAGAAGGGGTAGCAGGAGCAGCAGCAGGAGGAGCGGCAGGAGCGGCAGCAGCAGCAAGGAGGGCCTCGCTCTTCTCAATGAGTCACTGGCACAAATGGTTGGCCTTCTTCTTGGTTTTCGCATATCTGGTCATAGCTAAGACCATTACCCGTGCGACTGCCTCATCATCATCGCCGTCCACATCTCTTTAATGACGACCTTGCCCCCAGTCTGACCGCACCGTCCAGCCGATAAATGTGCTTGAACGTTACGATATATCCCACAGGAGCGTTCTCGAAGACCAGTATCTGCTGGAATCAGGGAAAAGGAAGCCCCCAGTAAAAGGAATGAAGTTTCGATAGTCGTTATCAAATGCTTGCCCCCGCCATATCATAAAAAAATTAAAAGAGTAAAAACAATTTCGATTATAGCAATAGTATGGAGAGTGAACGTGATTGTAACATTGCTGCGGGGGGAATGCAAAAGGAGAAGGATATCGTGCAAGGCCTACAAGGGATTGACGCGCTTTTTTTTTTTTTTTTTTTTTTGTTGACAAATATGGTGAAGCCTGTCCTTTATTATTATTAACTACTTAGTCACTGTACGCATCATCAGAGTTCTCATCGGCCCAGACGGGCTTGCCCTCTATGGCCTCGATCTCCATTCTCTTTTGCTTCCCCCTCTTGATATTGGCTCTCTTGACCTCTGGCGAGACACCGACGTTCTCGTTGTTGTATGGACAATGGCGACAGGCGTTTCCACAGCAGTATCCTCGACGCTTATGGAGGAGCTCGGTCATGACTGTGTACCCGGTCTTGGGGTCGATGTACTTTTTGCGGTTTTGCTGCAAAAAATAAATAAAATTAAAAAGAGGAGCGAGAGAGAGAGAGAGGAAGAAGATGAATCAATAAATGGGTTATCAGATCCCAGAGCTATTACCCAAACCGCGCATGGCACAGCAGAGCAAATTAACCGAACCTCCCTGGATGATAAAAATGATACGAAAAAGACAAGAGGGGGGTTTTTTTTTTTTACCTCGCAGGCCACTCGATGAGCTTCTTGCCAGATCTCCTTCTCCAGCTCTGCTTGCGTCTTTTGCTTCAGTGGCTCCTGTTGCTGCCGAGAGTGGATCTTGACCTGGCCGTCGTTTACTTCCATGTCTATGTTGCTGTTGCTGTTGGTCTGCGCTTGAGTATGTGTAGTGGTCGCGACACTGAAAGGTCGGCTGCTAGGGTATATATAGATCAGAGGTGTCAAACAGGATGGGATGGCGGGCGATGAGCGTCTGGAAATGGCAAGGTAGCGGTCTGTTTGGGTGAGAGAGGAGGCGAATGAGAATAAGCGGGACCGGGACATGAAAGTCGGGAATGGGGTGAGAGAGAGAGAGTGTGTGTGTGTGTGTTTGTGAATCTCAGGGCAGTAGCTCCCTGCCGAAAAAGAGTGGTGAATAGGGGTTGTGATTGGACGGGTGGCACGCACCATTTGTAGATCGCCAGTTGGTGGCAAATACTCGGGTTTATGTACCAAAGTGACGAACCCTTGATCGAAACTAAGACCAAAAATGTCGTCCTGAATTACCCTTGCGCCTTGTAAAGTTCATCCACTCTGACCGTGCTTGTCGCTTGACCCCACCATGTCCAGCACAAACTCTCGTGGCCTGTGTTGCTTGCTGCCCAACCGAGCGAGGACTTGGGCTCCTGCATCCATGGGAAGTTTCCCATCGATATCTTTTGGACTGGAGGTACAGGGGCTGTTGCTGGCTAATCAGATGGCCACGGACCGCATTGCTGGTGTTGTAGTCGGCCATGATGTCGCGATGCATGAATGTCATGCACGTCGAACAATAAATCTGGTGGGCAACAATGTAGCCAAGCGATCTGGGTCTAGAGAGAGAGGCAGAAACAAATCAGAGATGTCCCGCAAAGAGACATCGTCGGCCACTTACGTTCTGGAAAAAGTACGATTGGAACGACTCATGCAAAGAAGACAGTTTGGTCTTTGTAGAAAACTTCCCGAGATCCACACCACGCCGATCACGATCTTGTTGATGTCTTCTCTCTTGACGCCAATTGATCCGCCGACCAGCTTGAGAAGACGGTTGACAATCTGCTTGTACTCCTCGTCTCGCGCCCTTCTTGCATCTCACTTGTGTTTCTTGAGGACCATGTTGCTATTGTAGAGGGAGTCAAAGTGTGCCTCCACATCCTTGAGCTTGTCAACGTAGTCTTTGATGCTTGATCCAGAGTCGCGTTGGTCCTAGTCAAGGCTTTCACTTGACCCAATGCAAAGCACTCCATCATTGTGAACATGGACAGGACCCTTCTTCTTTCTCGTATGTGTCCTAATTACGTCCAGAACAAGTCTACTCGCAAGCACATGTATCTGGCACCCAGGGTCTACAGAGGCATGGAGATCAACTACGGCAGGGGGCCTGTGCTTCCTCAAGAGCCACAAGAACCGATCGGTATTGAAAACGATCTCAAAGACTATTTCGGACCCCCTCTTGAAAGCCTGCTTTCACCGCAACTCTGTCTTTAACTACAGGCAATGAGAGCTAAACAGCAAGGAGCACAGAGAAGAGCGAGAAAAGCTGAAGTTGAAGAGGCATTTCAGGAATGTGAACGCGAGCAGGAAGACGCTTTGAAGAAACTAGGTGATATCGTTCGCGATATTAAAAAAGAAAAAAGAAAAAAGAAAAAAGAAAGACGATGTACGCAGCAGTGCTTCCAAAGCGCGGAGACAGGACTGAAGAACACAATGCTAGATGTCCAGGGAACTAACGCTGTTGGGAGAGCCAGTGAACAAAATACATGGCCAATGACTATGCTTATTTCAAGTTTGGGATATGCTTATTTTCACTCTGGAACATGACCTCATTCTTCTTTCTTTCATTTTCATTTTCATTTCTTCAACCCCAGTTCGACAACTCCACAGCTCCCCAATGCCGTCAATGGCAATACACATCGCCCGGAAAGCACCACATCCACTCGTCCTGGCCTTGTGTCTGCTTGCACTCGCCACCAACACCCTCAGCGAGACCAACAACGCCCGTCCTCCACAGCATCACCACGAACCCATCCTCTCGGGCGCATTGTTTCCCGATGCACTCCCCACACAGCGAGTCACCGCCAAGGAGCCCTGTCCAACCGGATGTGTTGAACACAAATCAGGGATCTACTTGGCCGTAACGTCCATCGGCGATGGTTTCCCCCGGGTTCAATTCACATGCACAGGCCCTCAGCATTCTCAACCCACAGCACAAGCTTGCAATCAAGGACTCGAACAAGGACAGAAAAACGACTATCCAGCACAACAAAAAGGACGAGGACGGGGACTAGACGTCGCCGGCGTTGATCAACAAGACCATGTGCACGACCCAGCGGAACCAACTCCCGAACCCACTCCATTAGCACATCATGGATGCAGACAAGAACTCGAGGGCAGTGCGACAGATTACACCATAACTCCATGCAGTCAACACTCGGAAGGTTCACCCCACTCGCATACAGAAAATAAGGGATCGAGATCAGAATCAGAGTATGAACACCGTTCCGCCTTTGCTGATTATATGGACTATGGTCATACAGGAGCCGAGTACTACCAGCAGCAGCATGATGGATTCATCTTTAGCCCCCGCGAGCGAGCGTCAGCGGAAACAGAGCTGCATACAACGACGCTCACTTACAGCGATGACCCGCATCCTACGCCCAAATCGATTCATTACACAAACAAAGGTTTCCCACATCAACAGCACAGCCATCACCGCTATAATCCACATCAACAACAAAAACAACAGCATGCAGGGTCTGTGTCGGTTTCAGAAGATAGGACGCAGGCATCATCGCGCGACGAGGCCATTATGCCAGAGCCTATGGTGTCCATCCTACAGCCAACGCCCGTTGCAGACAGCGTCCGCAGCAGCGCTCACGACCCAAGCGGGAGATTGCATTTGCAAACCGAGGAGCAGAAGGCAGGACCCCCACCTCCTGTCCCAGAACCTACGCCTGAACATACCATTGCTGGGTCAGACATGCTTCATCGTCGAGACCACGATGCAGAGCAGCTTCATTCTCACAAGCAGCACCCGCCTGCAGGGCTACGTAGCGATGATGGCCATGGTCATGGCCATCCAGGCGAAGTAGATGCCCAGGAGAATCGTAGGAAAAGGACGGTTCGTCGAGTTACAACGTTGATCATCGAGACACAAACAATTATTGGACCGCCCCGCGCCACGATGCCAGCTCACCTGAAAGCAGAGTCTCGTACGAAGCCGAGCCGGAGTCTAGGTGACCATCCGATGTTTGACGCAGGTGTCGAGGGTGACATGGTGGCCTCGATTGTCCATTCCGAGCAGGGATTGCGTCAGGAGCATGATCCGCCCCGTCGTCATGTAGAAAGGAACAAAGAAAAGAAACCAGCAACGTTGAAATAAAGGAAATAAAGGCAGTTGCAGAAAAGTGTTGATGACCGGTCCATGATGGGGTCTGCTCTGCTTACTACAGCAGCGTATTGGGTCAATACATCATTCCCCGTTTAGTAAACAAGGAACTATTTTTCTTGCTCCACGAATCAGTAACGGACCCACGTCCAGCGCGTTTCTTTTTTGGTGGCCAGCATGCCTGTGGTGAAAATGACGTGCATACCAAGACTCTAGAAAAAAGAAAAGGCTTTTTACTTTCCGCCCCTCTTTCTCCTTTTTCTTCTCTCTGCCACAACCCCACCGTCCTCCTTTTTCTTTCTTCTTTTCTTAATCCTCTTCTTCTCTCAGGCCCAGAACACACATCAACGCCCCGACAATGAACATCAATCGCTATATCCCGACCGAGTATCGACAGAACCTGAGTAAATACAAGTACTCGGGCGTGGACGACTCCTTGCTCTCGAAATATGTCCTCGGCCCATACTGGACAAAGCTCGTGACATTCTTCCCGATTTCCATGGCGTATGTTCTCCCCTCCAGGGAATCTCATTCCTTTGAACGATTCAACGCGGATGAGGACAGGGACCAAAAAGAAGAAAAAAATGACCTGATCCTCTTTCTACTTTACTGTCATAAACTGTGATATAGGCCAAACACCATAACCGGGCTCGGTTTGCTCTGCGTCGTCTTCAATCTCTTGACGATGTTCTACTTTGCACCCGACATGACAGGAGTCTGCCCTTCTTGGGCCTATTACAGGTAAAAAAAAAAAAAAATCAACAGGAAGCCTATTTTTTTTTGTCTCCCTCATTTGGCATAACGAACTGCATGAAGAAATGGAAAAACATAACAAAAACTGATCACTTTTATTGCGTCCGTATCTGTTTTATCTTGTGCTTCGCGATTTTGATCTGGCGCAACAGCTTCGGTGTCGGTCTCTTTGTATACCAGTCGCTTGACGCAATTGATGGAAAGCAGGCCAGGAGAACAGGAACTTCAGGACCTTTGGGAGAGCTCTTCGATCATGGTAAGACCTCTGGGCAGAAAAAAGGAGGAGGGAGGGCAAAGGCAGAGGGGATTGCAGGCTAGGATACAATGATGGACATGTTGATTTCGCTTCGGAGGTTTTTTTTGTCCTAACAACATCCACCTCTATATTGCTTCATGTTTCTCTTATTCTGTCATGTGCAATTGACGCGGTTATGGCCATTCAGGATGCGATGCATTGAACACGTCGGTAAGTGCCAGATCAACAGAGCCAGAGGATGGTGCGAGCGCGTGCATGTGGACAAATGTGCGTGGGGGGTGTGGAAAAGCGGCATTTCGCAATTCGCCCCCCCCCCCCCCCCAAAAGAAAAAAATAAGGTTATGAAGGAGAGAAGGAGGGGGGGGGGGGGTATTGAAAAGCAAGACTGGATTCTAACCTTCCTCACTGCCCTTTCTTTTTACATTGTACATAATAACGTCTCTTCAATAGCTCGAGGTCATCCTGGCCGCGAATGCCATGCAGTTGGGCCACAGCTGGTGGACAGTCCTCTCTCACTTTTTGAGTATGTGCCGAGATGACCTCTACGGACAAAAAAAAATCGCAGAGACTCGACTCCTGACCCTTGTAACTAACGATCCTACTCTTTTTTTTTTTTCCTTCTTCGATAATAGCCCTCTCCAACTTTTACCTAAGCACATGGGAGGAATACCACACGGGAACGTTGTATCTCAGTGCTTTCTCAGGACCTGTCGAGGGCATCTTGATGATCGTTGTGCTTTACTTGGTCACTGGATTCGCTGGACCACAGCTTTGGTTGCAGACCATCCGATCCACTTTCGGTCTCTCCTCGGACTTTTTACCCTTTATCCCTGATATCCAGCTCAATCACTTCCTGGTTGCCTTCGGTGCCATTGGCTTCATCGGAAACATTGCCACTGCGTAAGCTGTCCATTTACCTCTCGCTGAGGAAGAAGGTCCAGTCTTTTTTTTTTATTGCTCTTGCTGACTGATTGCTACTTTACGCTGTATAGATTCCAGCATGTGATCAAGGCCCGCAAGGACAAGGGCTTGCCTGTGGCATCTGCCTTGGTTGGCGTGACTCCATTTGCGGCCATGTCCTTGGTCGCGTACTTTTGGTTGAATGCCTCTCCCCAGATCGTCCACCAGCATCTTGTTCCCTGGATCCTCTATATTGGTCTCTCGTTCGGATACACGGTTGGCTTAATGATCACCGCCCATGTCACCCATCAGCCCTTCCCCCTGTTCAATATTTCATTCGTCCCGCTACTCTTTGGCGCCTTCAATTCCAACCTGCCTGCCATTGGACTGTAAGCGATAATTTTATTTCTGATTGTGGTAATCACCTTTGCTTTGTTATATGAAGCAACTAACAAGACGCATTTTTTTTTTTTTTTTTTTTGAATAACTAGTGACCGACTTTTTGGATCGCACATTGAGGATATTTACCTATGGAGTTGCCTTGCGTTCTCGGCGGCCGCTTATGCACACTTTGCCATCAACGTCGTGAACGATCTGTGCGACTACTTTGACATCTGGTGCTTCACCATCAAGCACCCCAAGAAGGCCGAGTGAACAAAACCAGATATATAATCCGGTCTCTATCCTCTCTCTTTCTAAAACTCCACTCACTCTCTTCTGTATCTTATACTTTTGCTGGTAAAAGATACTTCAAACATCTTTATAGCATGCATTCATCGTTTCAAACAACAATAAAACAAAGACTAAACGGAAAGATTCGTTATTACTGTTTCTCAACAAACTACACATGCTCACCATCCTGTTCTAATCTGTCTCTGTTCCAAAATACCGGTCTCCAAAGTTACCAAGTCCTGGTTCGAGGAAGAGGGTGTTGGCATTGAGAACCGGGTCTACATAGGAAGTGACGATCTTGACTTTGGGGAACGCGTTCGAGATAGTGTACAGCCCTTGAGGTGCAGCCAGGAAACTCAAAAAAATGATCCTGTCCTCGGGGACATCATGATCCAACAGTACCCTTATCGCCATCAGTCCGGCAGCGCCTGTGCCGACCACTGCATCCATCAAGAAGATGAACGTATCGTCCTGTTTGTTCTGTAAGGAAGGGGGGAGTTTGCAGTAGTGCAATTGGGGTTCACCATTCGAGGGGTCGGTCTGGATCAGGATCTTGCCGATGATCGCGTCGCGGATGACGCGACGGAGACCAATCTCCATAGTGCCTCCGGCACGCAGGATAGAGACACCGCCAATGTGGGGTCTGAGATCGAGTCCGTGCACGGTTTTGCCAGTTGGGGTTGTCACCAGGTGATCTTCATATGGCAATTCATTCAGGGCTCTACGTGAACATGAAATAAAAAATAAAAAGATAAAAGATAGAGTGTCAGAATATGCAGGTTACAGCGCCTCTGATAACTCATAATCACTTGCTTTTCCCTCGCTTTTACCTTTCGATGACCAAGGTGGCAAGGCGATCTGCATAAAATATGAAGTCATGGCGAGATGTGCTGATATCGCGAATAATAGTGTGCAGGCCCTACAGTTTTTTTTTTTTTTTGACAATGTCAGTCGCGCGAAGACAAGAGTGCGGTCATCAAGCAAAAAAACAACATCAACAACAACAGAAAAGATTGTTTAACTTGCCATAATCTGCTTTGTCTTTTCAAGCACAATCACGTTCGATGGGAGTTCCTCTGGTGGGTTTATCCTGGCCATGTCCCAGCGCGATTGCATCTTGCGTTCCTGAAGCTGACGCTGGATGTGTTTTGTCAACAGATCGATTGCCACCAAGTTCTCTAGTCCACGAGGAATGACCTATGAATAAAAGAGGGGGAAAAAAAAGAAAAAAAGGCACAGAGATGTCGAATGGTCTTAGTGAGAGTTACCTTCCTGACCATAGGCCTTGCTCTACCTTTAAAGAAGGGATAACAAAAGAAGAAGAAGAAAAAAAAAGAGAACACTTACCACGTCTGCGCTCTTCTTGGTGGGGTATACATAGTTGTCGTATGATGGCTTGACGAATCTCTGGTACAGCTTAAGCACTCCGGAGACATCGAATCCGCGCTCTGCAACATCGCGCTTGACTAAAGAATTTGGTACGCACCGCATGGAAATCAATTAACATGGTTTCCTTTTCTTCCGTATCCTTTCCCCGTATTCTTTTCTTAGTTGTTTTTGTTGTTGTTGTTGTTGTTGTCCCTGTCTTCGTTGTTACGTACTTCGTCGCGCAAGGCAAATATCCACATCTGTGTCCACAAAGACTTTGAGATCCTATTGATGTCGAGAATGTAAAGGAAGGAAAATTAATCACCTTGAAAAAAAAAAATAATCTAGCTTTCTGCCCTGCCTCGGATTACGTACCAGCATCTCCAGCACCTTCTTGTCGTACAATCCAAAGATTCCCTCAAAGATGACCACATTGGCGCCGTAGACTGTGTTGTGCTTGTTTGGCACCCTAAAAAACGTCGTTGATTTTTTTTTTCCCACAGGGAGGAGCCGAGTCAAATTAGCCAAAAACCACACACCATCCAGGAGGTAACAGCTATCACGCGAGCTGAATTTTTTTTTTGGGGGGGGGCGAGGGGAGGGGCTATTACCTCTTGTGTGTTTCGAAATCGTAAATGGGCACATCGACCTTCTTCCCTTCCTTGAGTTTTGTGATCGTCTCCAGCAACAGGTCGTAGTCGTAAGAGTTGGGTGAATCGAAATCCCAGTCACTGTTCGTATGTGGGACGGGACATGATGGGAAAATGGCACCGTCAGTCAGTGCTTTCTTGCTCAACAACCACAAGTAGACCATAAATATGTGGATCAGCAATAAAAAAAAAAAAAAAAAAAAAAAACAGGTCCATACTTTCTGTGCGCAATCTCGAGTTCTTCGTCGTTCAAGTCCCTGTAAAACGAGTCCATGGACAAAAGTACAACCCAGGGTACGTTCAAGTTCTTGATGATCCTTTGCGCGACACTAGTCTTTCCACTAGCACTGCCGCCTAAAAACGTGAATAGGAATTGTGTCTGTGTCAATACTCCTGTACCGATTGCACTTCCAGAAGTCTGCATGGTTTCATCAATTGGGCGTGCGTGCGAGCCGAAGGCGGGTCCATTGATACATCAAATCGGTCTTTGATCAAGGAGTCTTCATGTATCCATTGGACCAAAGAACTCTGTGTTGCGGCCACAAGCGTACCTGCAATACCGACGACGTAACAATCACAGTTCTGACCATCGCTTCTATACCATGGACTAATGTTTAAAGAGAAAAAAAGAAAGAAAAAGCGGTACAGTGAGCACGATAAGCTTTCTTTTCACAACCGAGTTGGATCCAGCTTGACTTATAGCATGACATCCAGGCGTTCGCTCTCTCCTGCTCTCCAGCCTCTGTTCCTGCTTCTGGGTTCAGCTTCCTGAAAGGAACCTTAAAGTTCCTGGACGGCTCCTGGGACTATTGACACTTCCTCGCTTTCATATATTTCTTGTGAGCCTTCAGGCAGCAAACGACAGTTTCTGAACATACGGGCGACCCTCCCCTGCGAGGACATGGTGAGTGAGCTTAGACTTCATGCTTGTAGGAATGGAAGAGAAGAAGAAAAAAAAAAAAAAAGGGCACCAGGTGAAATGGAGGCAAACACAAAAACAAAAAGAGGCCTCAGCCTTTGAACCCTGCCAGTGCTCTTAAGGGCATCATCTTTAAGGTACAGAAGCTAAAAAAATCCACTACAACCCATAGTTGAACTGTTAGCAATATGTAGTATTACGAGAGTACTGAAATAGCATATTTCCTCACCATAATCCCCTCTTTACTTTGAGGGCCTCCGTGACATCGTTCTTGGATGTCGAGAGCTTGAAGATGACTCCAGTGCTTGCTGACTGGTGGTGGTAGTGGTGCTGGCGGCACTAGGGTGGGGAGCAGCTTAAAAAAAAAAAAAGCGCGAGCTGGACAGAGCATTCAAGGCTTTCATATCCCACTCGAGGTCAGGGATAAAAATTATATTTTGCGTTGAAGCATGGTTCTGTAGGGAAAGTTGGGGATGTGTAGGAGAAGGATTGATAAAGTCAAAGATGTGCTTTGGTGAAATGAAGGTGTATTGCAAAGTAGGGCGCGATGGAGAGTTGCCAAAGGCGCGGATTTTATAGGCATGCATGCACTGCTAAGAACGCGAGGTCTTTTGTTCCGGCAGGCGAGGAAACAAGAGGACAAGGTGTGATTGGTAGCCCGATATATCCCCGTCTATGATTGAGGCCGGCTTCATCAAATCTTTTTATTCATGCGCACAGAATAGACCCTGCGGAACAATCACTTTGGCGCGTCTTCTGTCTCCATCGTATTATCTTCTGAACCAAGAGAGACTAACAAAGGGATGGATTGCTCAAAATAGCCAGCCAGCCTGCTAATGTTAATTTCAAATATTGGAAGAGATAAATCCATTGCAGACGACTTTTATTGAACGGGGTATTGTAAGCAGTAGAGTAGCCTTGTTGCTACGATCTGCTGAGATTAAGCCCATTGTTCTACAGATTTGTTCATCTCTCTTTCTTTTCTTTGGCTATGAGAAGTTAAGGGGCACCCAACTCGACAGCAGGGAAAATACTGAATGTCTCTCAGATGCAACTCAAAGGTGTACGACGGGCGATCCTTCGCCCATGAAGGTAAACTATGGCCCTCACGGAGGCCGTCAAGAAAGATATCTTGCAACCAGGCACCAAACATGAAAAACGATTGACCCGCCTCTTCCAGAATATCCTTCTTTTGCGAGACAAATTTTGGCGGTGCGGATGGAGACTGACTTGATGGCTCTGGCGATGATAGGGAGGAACCTTGATGGTAGGTACGGCGGTGTGCGACAAGTGAACGAGGACGACAGAGGATGTTTGGCGGCTAACAAAGGATCTAAAATACAGATAAATCCTGGCGAAATATGGAAAGCTAACAAACTCGAATTGCCAAAAAACATCGAAGCGGAAACTTACCAAACGTCTGAAAATCTCTGGTCCAAAGCAGCCTCTCGATGCTTATACTTGGTCCTACCCAAGAACCTGCGCATCCTGTTCTCCTCCTCCTCCCCAAACCGTTCAACCCTCCTAACCCTCTCCTTCGAAGTCCATTCCATTTCCAATCTCGTACCCGTCTCACGGAAGACTTCAACCTTGCTAGCTTTCAACCGAGGCACAAGGACTGAAATCCACTCTCGCTCCAATTCCTTGTCCGGTGCAACCTTCCCGCAAGAAAAGCGGTATGCAGCGACATCGTAGTCGAATGGCCGGATGTCCTCAAAGTACTGAGGATTCGTAAGCCCTTTAGTGATTTTTTTGAGTGCGTCCTCGATCTCGTGGTGGTGATAATCCAATCGAATATATGATTTCGCAAATCAACACGGTTAGTCTTTTAATTGACAATTGAACAAACTGCCCGGCACAGTAAGAGATTCGCTGTCAAATGCGGGTCCTTTGCTGAAGGAGTGCATTGACTCATGTAGTCCAGTCATTGTGGGGGTCACCAGCGCGGGTCCTAGTAATCACGGTCCTGCACTGGCTGATGAGACAAAGACAAATCCCTTCTCATCCGAGTCCACAACAAAGAGCTCTTTATTCCATAACGAACAATCTCAACGACTGTCGGAAATGGTGAGTCCCCAACCATGAATTCCTTGCCGGCGAAAATAAATACGCGAAATGCCAACAAACGCACCTTGCTCCGTTTTGTAGAAAGTCGTGTCTGGGCTGAGATTTTGGAAAGATGAAAATTTGCATGAGGATGAGGAAGTGGTTTTTGAGAAAAACGCTCGCGGCTAGTATAAGCAAGTTGGCGCTTGAGAAGACAACGGCGCGCTCCGATGTGCAAAAAGTTGATTCCGCAGCGAGATCCAGGGGTAAAGACAAAACTTTGTAGCGATGTAAAACCCCTGCCATCTGAACTCAATGGAGTCCTCATTGACGTTGTAGAACCAGAGGGATAGCATTCGTATTGGGGGAGCATTTTTTTTTTTTTGTCACGTACAATCTAATTACCGTTGGTGGGTTTTTACATACATACATACAAGCTGTGGTGTGTGTGTGTTTGCTATGTGCTTTTTTATACAGTAAAATGGGGGAGAGAGGAAGGAAGGATGAGATCAAAGAGCTGAGGGGGAAAGAGAGCCGTTTATGCCTCAAAGACGAAGGAGAGACCGAGCTTGTGGGCAGCCTGATCCAGCTTGGTGGTGTCAAAGAGACCGGCGATCGAGACCTTGATGCCCTTGCGGAGAGCCTGAGTGTAGCCGAGACCGAGAACACCGGCGTTGTTGACCTTGGCCTTGACAAAGGCATCGCGGTCGAGGTACAACTTGGCACCGACCTCAAGAGCAACGGGGGCCTTGGCCTTGTCGCCAGCAGGGGCGGCTTTCGTGTCCCAAACGGCCTTTCCACCGGCCTCGAGGTCAGCGTTGATGCGGTGGTAGTACGAGGCAGAGAAGATCTTGAAGGAGTTGTGCGCATGGAGTGTGACGGAGTACTCGGGGGCGGTGAAGCCGGCAGCAGCGGCGAAACGGGTAACGTAGGCACCGCCAACATCGTAAGCGACATCACCTCCGACGGTGAAACCATCACGGCCAACGACGACATCACCTGTGAAGGTGGGGCCCTTGAAGAGATCGACATGGGCACGAGAGTTGAAGCCGAGCTGCTTGTACTGGACGCCGACCTTGGCGCTCTTCTTACCCTCGTGGGGGAGGAAGCCTCCAGTGACGTCCAACTTCAAGCCCTTGGCGATCTGGTTCTCAACCTCGATCTGGGTGGTAAGGAGGTTGCCGGTGGTCCAGGCCTCGGTGACGGTCAAGCCGTTTTTGAAGTCGACGTACTTGGTCTTGAGCTCACCATTGATGTGGCCAGACTTGTTATCCTGGCTACCGAGGACGTTGAAGGTCTATTGCGAACGGATATCGTGGGAAACGATTAAAAAAAGGGGGGGAAGTGATTTAGTTCTTGTTCCTGAATGTCATCAAGAGAGCGAGAGCGAGAGAGAGAGAGATCACGATGCTTCGAGGTGCCAGGTCGGCGATGACGCCTATTCGGCGCCATGAGACTGTGCAGTTGAAGGAGGGTAGTAGCGGGCAAACTTACAACGCCGTTGGGGGCAACAGTCTTGAGCTCGAACTTGGTGTGGCCGACGGGGAAGTCCTTGCCGAGCAAGTCGTTGGAGGCCTTGCCGAGATCAGCGAAGGGAACAGGGATAGTAGTGGCCATTGTTGGGGATCTGGAAGGATGAGTTGAGTAAAGAGATGAGATCATTAGTCCATCCTGCCCGAGATGAATTATAAAGACGACGACGAAAACTCGCGAGATGATGACGCGCTTCCGGTCTACCCGCCCTTTTCGCCTTTTTCGTGCTCTCATGCCGCCCGCCTCTCACCTCACACCCAGTCCTATTGTACGGCTTGCGAGCGATAGAAAACGGCGCCTCTTGTACTGTACAAATGCCCCCTTCACTGATGCTGGCTCATATTCCTCGATTCCTTTCGTTCTTCACCTGAAGGAGTTGGCTGGTGTTCATCCGGAACAGCTGCCTCTGTCGTTCAAAAGCCCCCTCCGCGTTGGTTGGCGCTGGGTACCGATGTGTCCTGCAATAAGAGCGCGTGAATGAGCCACGTTCGTAACCAAACGTGATCCCTTTGAAAAATAATAAACCCCTCTTCCCAGTCGACCCTCTTTCTCGAAGCAAAGAAGAAAAGAGAAGCATCCGAAATGGCGTTGTTCGTTCCTTTTCTCGCCTTCGCTGTCCCAAAGGTCAATGCCAAAACGTTCGTCGAGAGGAGCCATTTCGCAGAGCCCTTGGCTTGAGCGCGTCTCTGGCATTGACGCATGATAAAGCGAGAGGGAGAAGGGACATGGTCGTGTAGCTTACCTGGGGAGGGTTGGGTCTTGGGTGTGGGATAGAGAGAAAGAGGGAAGTAGAAAGAAGAGAAGAAAGGAGGAGGTTGTTCTACCCACTGTTGCCGTACACAATGACGTTCTTCTCTTCCCTATTGTGCTGCTTACCTGATCGGTAAAGCATGCCGTGTTAGTGCATGTGCCTGGACCGTATGCATGGCCCACCATCTCGCTCTCGTCTAATCTTCCACCAACACAGGCATGCTGTCTTCGTCTTCGTCTTTTAGTTACCCTTGTGTAATTCGTACTCCTCGTGCTGTACAGCCTATATGTATTTATTTCGGCTCTTTCGTGTTCACTTGCTTCAATTGAACCTCACTTTAGAGTTTGGTGGGGTAAAGTGGAAAAGTGGAAAGTGTAGTGGAAAGTGGTGAAAAGTGGAAGGTGATGAGTGAATGCTGCCCTCCGTGACAATGGTCCCAGTGATTTTATAAAAACTGTCGTACCCCACTGCACTCGTATCCATATCATGTATTCAATAGCCCCATTTCCAATTCACACACACAAAAATGGAAGTTAGGCATGCGAAGCGGGGCCCATTGGAGTAAGTAATATAGGCGCCCAAAATCATGTCTCCGCATTTCAAAGCACAAGGTGTTTCTGTTTGCCATCCAGTCGGGGTAGGGTCACACGCGCGCGTGTATTAAGGGTCTCAAGGCAGCACAAGGAGGAAGATCGTTCGTAATATAGCTGATATATGAATACAGAGTGTCAAGCTCGACTGCTGGAGAAATAAAGCAAATAGTAGTGGGCCTAAGAACTCGTGTAGGAAATCTCTTCGGTGGTGAATGCGTCCTGCTCCGCGTTGTAGCCAATGACCTGGGGGTCGATCCCCAGCCCCATCAACAGCCTTTGCATCTTTGTCATTGGCGTTGGAGCTGTCGTATCCGTCCCTGGCAGACACCTTCCTTGAATCGCCTCCTCAACCGTGGGCAAATCCTCTTGGACATCTTGGCTCTCCATTCGTTCCTCCACAGCCTGCAGATGCTCAGGACTCAGCTCACCGAGACTCGGTCGTCTACGCGACAAGGACGAAGTTACCGAATAGCCCCAATTGCTCGCAAACGCGTCCGATCTAGGGTTACCGTCGTCCCACGTGTTGTCACCAAATACCTGCTCCTGTTCGAGATACTTTTCCAGCAGGACTTGTGCGCCCTCTTGGCTCGCTTTTTGCCACTTCGCAATCAGGTCCTCCAGTGGCGTATCAGCCTTTTCTTGCTGTGTCAGGATTTGTCGCCCTTTTCGGATTGAGGACTGTAATTCCATGATTCTGGATTGTAAAGCCTGGATCTTAAGCAGGCGGCCGTAATCGCTGTCATTTGTGTGCACTGCTTGATCCTCACGGGCGATAGGCGGTCGAAAGGGTCGTCTTATCCCGAGCCCCTGCCTCTTATAAACCGACGCGATCGAGGTATATGGAGACCGTCGCTCTATTTGCTTATACTGTCGAGATGCAACTTCTGGCTCTGGCTCAGGCAGCAGAGGGTCCATGTTGATGTCGCTCGAAGTAGAGATACCAGTCGCGACCGCGGAGGTCCGTTTAACGTCGGTACTAGCGCTACTCTTGTGCAGACTAGGCGCACTGTCCCCGGCTCGAAGAGGGGATCGAAATGGCTTATGGATGGAGCTCCTCGGCTTTTCAAGATTTTTCCGCCTTTTCTGGCCAGACGACTTTGTGGGCGCCGCGGATGTAATATGGCTCTCAGAGTTTTTGTTGATTGCTGCTCCGCTGGATGGTATGGAGCAACTTAGTGGCGTATTTGGAGTGGACGAATACTGGTGAGATGAATCCTTAGATAAGAGCGACTCAGGCAGCACTGGTCTCATGTGGCTGTCGGCAACTGTCGCACGGGCTATGACAGGGCCGCCTGGCTCAGTCTGGCTTGTGGTCGGGATCAGGTCATCCATGGTCGATCTGGGGAAGGATGGCGAATCTAATCAAACGCCAACCTAGGAATAAGTTGCTTTGGCAGGTGTCCTTGTCTGCCGTGTTACCACTGTATCCTGTCAGAACCGCTGCCTGCGTCAATATAGGCAGTACCTTGACTTGGTTCGCTGGACTGAGGTAGGTCGCTGGTCATCGTCGACAGGGTGATTCAGATGTCAAGAGAGAATGAGAGAAGAGAGACGAAAGAGGAGAGAGAGGGGTTCAAAAAGTATGCACTACATACAGCCTCAAATCGTGACAGCGATGCGAGCCAAGAAAAATTTCTGCTCACCGTGTTCGCACTCTGAACAGAAATTTTTCTTGGCTCGCATCGCAGCTCAGGAGCTATCCATCCGTCCTTTCTGTGTGTGGCAGAAGAAAATGGACGTAGCTGCTGTAGCGATGCTTATGAAAGATAACCATTGGCGCAAACTGGGTCCTCCAAGGAATGAAGGATAAGGGGGTAAGGGGGTGCAGAAAGAGCACCATCGCCCTTGAACCGAGGTGCGCTGCTTCCAAGCAAGATTAGTTATGTAGTCTACTCGCGTGCAGACAGTTGGGTCTCATAGAAAAGCAAAATAAAGGCTCGCGCTCTTTCCCCTGCTCCCTCAACTAAAAGAGAGAAAGAGAGAATGTGTCGCCAGGAATGTGCTTTGACGATTCCCCAATGTAAAAGATGTGGACCTAGACGGCTAGCTGCTTTATTTTGAGCCGAGAGCGAGGGAATGGGGCCCAGACATGGCCTTCACGGTGTTTGTCGTCAGAAGCCAGGCTGCACGAAGCGATACCCGTTCACGCGCCATGACGAGATAGGTAACATGGACATGATATTTGCCATCCAAAAGGAGTCGTGACAAGCGATAGCATTGTCCCCAACATGATTATGATGACGACTAACGAGTGTCCCCGATATTGCTTGGCACAAACATGTTGTTCCTCTGCGGGGCTCTGATTCAAGCTCAACCTCTGGCAGCCACCACCTCGCCCTCTCTTTCGCTGACTGCAGCAATTGCAAGGGAAAGACCCAGAAAAAAATAAAGGATGAGAACGCGGGTCGTCTTGCCCTTCTTACTCAGATGAGAAAGGAAGCGCGATAGCACAGAATACGTCTAGTTGCTTTGCCCATTCTACCCTTCACCAGCGACGCCTGCCCTCGCATTTCTATGACAGTATGGGATAGTAGCACACAGACTCCATGTAAATATACGCTACATGCATGCATCCTTGTCCTGACCCATCTGATTGTTGAGGTTGTTTGTTTGCGGTGTGTTTGTGCGTGGCATGCACGCAGGCGACTACGTTTAGACACACTCGCATGGGTCCTAAAATAAGGCATCCTCAGATTGCCACCATGCCACCTGTTTCCGATTCTGCGACTGAAAGCGGATGGAGGGGGCTGCCCGATCTGAAACTGCGCCGATGAACACAGTGGATGGCCGCTTCCGTCGCGAGGACTATGTCTGTCTATCTCTCCACTCCAGAGACATCCACAGCTCCACTCGTTCGTTCTCTTCTGCGCTTGCACGGAACTGTATTTCCGGATGCGTTTCCAAGCAGAGGAGTATAGACTGTTGTATCCACACTTTTGGAATGCACCCATTGCTTTGTTACATGCCGGCGGGGTCTTCTGCACCCTCCAGCCCGGGCGTCTCCCCTTCAGTCCTTCTCCAATAGCTCGTTCCTTTTGCCGCCTTCGTCTAGTCCCCCCTTATTTCTATCCATTCATTCCTCTTTCACGCAACTGTCTTGTCCTGCTTTGCCGCCTATTTTGTGCTGCCCGATCCTTTTACGATGCTCTATCGCCCCTCGCTCTCCCTGAATATCATCACTCTCCTTTCCAGCTCCCTTGCGTCACTCCATTAGCATGCACGCATGTGCTTTTTGTTGTTGTCGTTGTTGTTGCAGCTGAAGCTGTCTCTGTCACGTAAGCGGGTCTGGCTCGTGCCGACACTAGGAATGCATGAGTAAACACAGACATTAACCGTCCGCAGACTCTCTACGTAGACCGAGTGCAACACGACAAACACAGATGCAAACACACCCATGGAATGTTGCTGCTAGGAATGGTTAGGGGCAACGAGATTGTTAAGAGTGCCAGAGAGACTGTATGTGTACAGTGTCAGCAGTAGCAGACTAGACACATAGAACAGCATTAAGCGTGTCTATATCGCGTCAATACGCGCTTTATGGGACGTCTATGGAATGTAGACAGAGCTACCAGAAGGACGAAGGGGACAGTGACAGCTAGTTCCTCCGGTCGGGGCCCGGACGCCGGAGAGCCGTCGGTCCTCCTCATTCCACTACTCCTTCGATCTTCCCTCAATACTGCTGGCTGCTGCTGCTGTTGTGTAACTCTGTGCGACCTCCGAAAACATTCCTGTTTCCCATCAAACTTGGCCGTGCCGGCTCCGGCTCCCCTTCATCCTCACTCCGTCTCCCTTTTTTATACATTTTATACATGTTCTTGGATCCTTGAATTGCATTCCCTTGCTGCAGCTCCCCTCGATGTCTAAAGCGAAAGAAGAGAAAAGAAAGAAAGGTGTCCCTTCGTGGCTCCTCCCTCCTCTTACAGCAGTTCCATCTTGATCGGATCCAGTGTCCCTTTAGTTCCCGTCCTTGTGCCTTTCTTCAGGCCCTTCGTATGTCCTTCGCTGCCTTTTTTTGGCTCCACGGTGTTGTCTCCTTCGGGGTCCTTTTCTAATGATTTCAATGATCCACACCTTTTTCTTTATTTATTTTTCTGCCGCCTACACATCCTGATCATTATATTTCAATACCCAGTACTCAGTACTCTAATTATAACAATAATTGCCCATATCATTGTTATCCAACAGCTACCTTTTTATTTTTTCTTTTGCCTTTGACACCTTCTCCCCCCCCCCCCCCCCCCTCCTCTCTTCTTCGCTCCACCATTTCGCCCAAGCTCTCGGAAACCATTACCCAACTAACAATAAGACGATCCTTCCTTTCAGGGATTGCAAAGACATTCTTTTGTACAACACCGATCGCGTTTACAAGAAATATATAAAGGAAAGGTCCTTGAGGCCATCAACCAGAATTATCAGCAGAATAAACGCCTTGCCAGCTACTACAGATAACAGACTCATTACTCACACAACAGCATCCGATTCAAAATTCGCTCTTGCTATCTCCACATTGCTCGCCAATTTCAGTACTATCAACTGCGTATCCAAAACACAACACAGCACAATCGCGATCCCCCGCCAAGGCCCCAAGCATCGAAACCTTTTAAAAAAGAATCAGCTATAAAAACAATCCGTCCGATCAGTTCGATCTTTCACCACACACATCCTGAACATCACAAACAAGAAGAAAGAAAATGGCACACCTCACTCCAGCATCGATCTTGGCCTCAATGAACAATGGGACGGACATGCTTAACTACCAGAGTCACGATGGCATGAGTCCGTTCGAAGATTCAGATTCAGAGTCGAATCACTCCGGCTCGAGCTCGTCCTCGCTCTCGCTTAACAGCTTGGACGGGTCCGCAGGGCCTGCGATGCACAATGGCCAGCCGATCACCTACCATTACTTCTGCAACTTCCCGACCTGCGATTACCATAGCGCTCGATCTGATCCTGTCAAGCGGCACCGCGACACGCACTATCCGGACTACAAGCCATACATTTGCAACTACTGCCAAGCGAGCTCTGCACGCCGCGACTCGACCCGAGAGCACTGTCAGAAGCAGCACAATGATGGCACCGAGGATGCGTTCCGTCTCGATACCACCGTTCCTAAACCCGAGGGCTGGATCGCGTACGAGCCCAAGCGTGCGCCCTGGCCACCAGTTATGGTGTAAGGGCGAGAGCCATGGAAAAGAACGAAGCTGCAAAGAAAGGGAGGGATCTGCTGATACTCTCAGCATGCCTCTCCTTTGATTTCTTCGTTCACTTTGCTCTTTTTTTTTTTTTTTTTTTTTTTTTTTTTTGTTTATCCTTCATTTGCCTTGATGCTTTGATGCCTTTCTTGCTTTTCTTATCTTACTTTTCTTACTTTTTTTTTTTTACTTTTCTTGCTTGTATACTGCTTTTCGTTGTTACTGTTCATCTCACCATTGTAGATCAGACGCATCCCCTTCCATTCATTTGGGCTATTAGACATTGTACCACCAACTTAGAGTCATCCTATTATACAACAACATAGATTCCCCTCGCCAGCCTCAATTTCTCTTCAGATTAGAGACATTGTCTTTCATTTTCGGCTCCCTTTACTTTGTCTCAACTCCCGCCGCCTTGCCATGGCATCGGTTGTTATGTGCAAAAATAAAGCAAATAAAGCTACAGTAACAATAGATGCATGCCTCGAATAAAATTGAGCTGCAAGCGGCTGTGTTTGTGTTGCAGTGGCACATTCCACGTTCGCGCACAGTCTGTGTGTCGCACAGGTTTCAAATAAGGTTATGGTAAAGCACGGATCAATCTGCAATGTAAAGGGCCGGAAATAAAATTTGAATGCTAATATTTTAATTGAAAACTCTTCGTATTGATGTGGTCCTGTTTATTTTCGCCAATGTTGGGCCCAGCCATGGATGGTCTCTGCAATCTGCGGAATGAGGGCGCTGACACTCTCGCTGATCAAGTTTTGGAAGAACTTGATCGCCTCGTCATCCGTCAAGTCTAGCTGGAATCGCTCTTCCACCTATTAAAATGAGGGAGAGAAGAGGAGAGCAAACATTAGGTCCATTGTTTTATGATAAGGCTTCTTACTGTTGTACCCCAAAGAGCGGGCACAGAAGACAAAACAGGGAGGATCAGCCTTTTTCCATGTGTTTTCGTGTCGCTTCAACTTCTTTTCTACGGACACGAGTAGCTTATGTAAGTACCATCCATCCATACTACTCAATTACCTTCCAAACAGCTTTGTCGGGCTCCGCCTTGATGTCGGGAATGTTAGCATCTACCATCAGTCCAAACAGGTTCAGGATCAGGTTGGCAGATTTCCTCAAAATATTGTACGCCGTGAAGCAATAGGATTTGAAACTCTGGTAGTGCACAGAGTTAAAGCCACCCATAGCCTCGACCATTTCTTTGGTGATCTTCATAGGCGCAGGGAACGGCTTCGGATCCCGGCCGAGAATGAACCCAAAGTCGACATGAAAGATGTTCCCTAATAGCCCGACAGAGCATGTAAGAGAAGCATTGGAAACAGTATCAGCCTCGGCTGCATTTTCCATACTGAAGAGCTCCATACGTTGTTTTATGATCAAGGACGTGATTTTTTTTTCTCATGTCGTGGCAATGTCGACATACCATTTGGAGACAAAAGTAGGTTGTCCAAGTGCCGGTCTCCAACACCAAGAAGATACATAATCACACAGTATCCAGCTGCAGTCGATGCATAAAATCATATTTAAACACATAGTGTGAGCAAGCCGGAAATGCCACTATACCGTCGCACACAATCTGCTGCTGCATTGTAACATTACCACAGCTCTTGACATAGGCATCCATGACTTCGGGTCTCACTCCGAATGTGTCCACACTCCGTTCGTCCAGATGATACTTTCGCCAGAACATGAGCAGGCTGCCGTTATTCTCGTTCAACACATTTGCTAAGGACTGAGAAGCGACAAACTGCACCATGCCATGATCCGCTCCTGTCGCCAAGACCTTGTAAGGCATTAGCTTGAGATCCAAATTCTCTTTTCGAAGAAGGTCGTCCATGAGGGTGATGAGTTGAATAACGAGTTGATCCTGCCTCAAATCGTCGCCCGACTTGAAAATCGCCTGGTAATGACTTCCGTCGGCGCATGAAAATGTGAGATGTAAGGGCAGCAGACTGCTCTTAAAGATACCCGTTTGCTCTATAGAGTTTGGCGGAAAGCTTGTTAAAACTAATTTTTGTCGACATTACTGTTCATGACAGCATTCGTGCAACTTTGGATTCACTCACCTGGGATGATACCGGTAACCTCTATCCTCGGATCGAGAGGCAGCGCCAATGGCTTGAACGAGATCAGTCCATTCTTTGGATCCGAAATAAATTCACGTAGTTTCTCAATCTTTGGTATAGTAGTTTCGAATTAGAAACAATAGTCAAACAACAAGGAATTCATTGCCCCACAATGGTTTCTGCAGTCCTACCTTCTTTGGCCGGGACTCTCGCATTTGCTTGATGCTCTTGGACAGGTTGGCTAACGTCTCAATCAGCTCGCCCTGTCTTCTGAGGCTTTCTCTCCGTTGAATGCCAGAAGCCGTCATCGCCGACATGTATTGATATGAAACTTTTCCGTACATCTTGCTGACAGCCACATCCTCGCACTCAATCATTAAATACCTAGATATTAAAAAGCGATCGTTAATTGGTTTGCCTACGCAGCATGCTATAGACACTCATTATACAGCACTTCACATTCATCACCAGTGAAAATAATTGCCAAGGATAGGGTTCTTGACAGCCCGCTCAATCAAGAACGCGACGAGATTCGACTCTCCAAAGTTGTTGTCGATGTGCTCGAACTTTAGACCTTGCACAAGCTGAAGCAGGAACAACAGCAAATCCTATTTCGTTCAGGGAACAAAAGAACATCCATTGTCATTCATAGCTTCCATCATAAGTTGAACGAACGTTTGGCAGCACAAATACAGGGCCTTACATCGTCATTGGCGCTCCGCAATTGCGTAACAGCATAAGATCTCACTTCCCGGTTTTCGAACGATGACCCTAGCAACTCCAATGCATCATCCACGTCAACGTCTACCCATGCTGGCAATAGATCTACCGCCTGCTTGGCTTCTGCAGGGTCGCTCCATACGACAGATTTGAGAAACTTCGTCAAGGCCTGTGGAGGCACAAAGAGTTGAATTGAATATCAGAATGAATGGCTGAGTTATAATTCCTTGGATTCTTTAACTTGTATGTACCGGGACTTACTCGTTTGTCTCGAGTCAGGTAGAACCTGAACTTCCACAACAAGTCTTTTTCCTCTGCCGTCAAAGAATGCGATGGTGGGTATCTGAGAATTTGCTGCAGGAACAATGCCGTTGTAAAATTTGAAACATTATGAGTTGCCTGTTGTACTCTCTATCGAGTCGATATGCACGGACGTATAAAGCAGTATGCATCCATACAGCAAGTTCATCGCGGATCTTGGGGTTTGGCTTGAGTTCTCTGTCCAAAGGACCGTTCCGATGACTTCTAACCAGTCTCCTGTGTTTGGCCTCAACAGGATTCTCTCGGGACATTTCTGGATCTTCAACAGTGAATATAGAATTGCCAGTGCTGCTTCCAGGGAAGGATGGGATGGAGTTGACTGCAGATCCTCCAAAGCTGCTTGATGAAAATTGCGTTTTTGCTTCGTATTCCTATGGAATTCAATAGAAATGCTTGAGCCATTACTGTATCTTGATGCAGTCCCCACTCGTCTGAAAGAGAGTTGTGCTCGTCTTACATGTTCATTGAATATGACCGGAAAGTCGAATCGTAATAGATCGATGTTCAGAAGCATCTTGTCTGATTGCGCTACAAGTTTCTACTCTCGGACAAAGAAACGGGCCATTAGTTAACAATCCTGGGTTCCTGGATTAGAGGTTTGAGATTACAGTTTGATCCGCATGTAGAATACCTTGTGGATTTGTTCAATTTGGCGGTAGGCCTGATTATCGAGCCATTCGGTCCTCGGGATATCTCCACGGTCCAGTTTCTTCAGCAGCTACAATAACAACGAGGGCAACAAAACGTACTTCGTGTCAGCAACGTGCTCGCAACCGTGGGTCAAATGTATAAGTTCATGAATACGACGGCGCCTCTAACCTTCTCGAACCGGTCCATCTCATCCCTTTCGCCAGTGTCGGATGGCGTTTTTGTATGTTCACTCCCATCGGCCTCACAATCTGGCCACATGCGCAACTTCTGTGGTCCGGTCAGGATAATACTACGGGATAGTACTTCCTCAATTAACTTCCGCATAAGTGCCATCATGGTCAGTCAATAGAGCAGTAAGTAGCATTGAAACCTTACTTAAAAGGCCCAAACAGCCTAAGAGTCGAACCTCCGATAGCCACCACTTTCCGAGGTGAGGCTGCATCCCAAACAGTGAAGGCGAGTTGAGCGTTGAGAGGCAGGTCCCTATACTTGATGGGCAGGGCAATCCATTCGTTCCAGCTAACATATGTGCAGCAAAGCAATGAGTTATCGTTGCTGAAAAGACCCATATACATACTTCGATACAGTTATTAAACGGCCTGAACAGACCCAGCACGTACGTGAACTTGGTGGTCATGGGCTTATACGAGGTCTTGAGGACGACTGTCAGCGCTTGATCCCCTGCAAACACCTGGCATGTCAGGTAAAGGTCGGGATATGGACTAGCGAACCAGGGCGGAACGTAGTAATGAGCATAAGGTTCAGTCACAAAGCATTGTCAGCCTCTGTCGCTGGAGCGTACCTCCTCTTCTCTGCAGAGTACGGCACCGTGCTGGCATCCAGGTGGGGTCGCTTTGGTTTCCATTCCAGTGAGTTTCTATTGCAGGCGATAAGAATGACGATATCTAGTTTAGATGCCGGCTCTTGGGCGCTGCGAGCACCCCCTTTCGGAAAACAGACTTCTGCCAAGCAACTTGCATTCGCACACTGAGATTCAGGTCCAGCTTCCCTGTCAGGCAATAGGAGTAATCCTTCATGTTCTTAAACTTTTCGCCGCTGACTTCCCGTTGTACATTCATGCTGTCGGTCCTTGTGAGTACTGGTCTTTCCTTTGTCTGATCGTGTTAGCATCACAATGGCAAAGCTGACCCTCTTTTGTTCTTCATTGGTGCAGGAACATAGCCCCGTGACTTCCATGACAAAGACGCGACAAGTACTGAAACACGTAGTACGCGATTAAGGTGAACGCGTCCAGAACCCCGCTCATGGGTCCCTGGAGTCTAGGCCATGCAAGCTAAAGCAAGACAAGCATTTCTGAAGGTGTATTACTCTTTGACATGCACCAAATACTTTGCAAATTGTCTTCACATAGACTATTGTCAAAGACTCTTAGTGACTCACTCAGACATAAAAAAGCATCTATTTCAAACTTGCTGCTACAAAATATCGATTGTGGGCTGACAAAATTCCGCTCATTCACTTGAAGAAACAGAGACCAGTGATCACTTTGGAATCTTTTGACATTAATGACATTAATAGAAAGATATGCTGGGTAATGCGCAGTTCTTCTTCGAACGCAATCTACTCCCTTAGTTTACTATGCCAGTGATCGCGTGCAGCGTATTTTTAGCGTTCCGTGAGAATGTCGAGTGCCTTGGAAGTCGGCATGGCCCAAAATGACACTACTGGCCAAAATTGGCGGCAAATGCCAGGAATCGGACATTCTATACCCAGACTTCAGCACTGAAACCATTTGATAACAGTGAGTACTAACGGCATCCGTCCTTTATCAAAGTATGTCAAACGTGTAGGATACTCGAGTTATCTGATGGCGGCACATCAAAGTAAGACCAAAGACAAAAAGGCAGCGCACGTAGACCATCCACAGGCAGGGATAGGAAGCGATGTTGGATGAAGAAAATGTAATAAAATTGATGCCGGCGGTGCCGGGACTTATCATAGAAACGCATTCTTCTCGGAACAAAGTGCGGTCCCGTCTCCAAAGGCAAGTCTTCGGCAAGACCAGAAACATCAGCAGCATCGCATTGAGTCTCCTCCTTTGAGGGTTAGATGTGCTGAATAATTTGAATGATTCGTTGACTGACCAGGTAACGCCAAAGGTGAGTTGCGAAGCGAAGCGGCCGCTGGACGCATTTCCGATCACAGTACGCGACGCATCGATATACCGATCGATCGCGTGTGCAGGTAGAATGGAGTGTTTCCTGCATTTCTGCATTTGTTCATTACTAGGTGGGTACTATGAGCACTACGAACTGACGCGCTCAAAAAAAAAATAGCTTTCGATAGGAAGTCAACGCCGGGACGAGCGCCATCTTGACCACTGCCACGGACAAATGGTTACAAGGATGGCTGCAGGCAAAGGTGCGTTTGTTGTAAACAGTCGTCGCAAAGCGCCGAACACAAACACAAAGAATCTTGATCAATTGAGCACTGAGCAACTCAATTCCCAGGGCTGTGTCGCGCGTATAAAAACACTGATTCACTGGCTCTTCTTTCATTCCTCCACTTCTTTCCATTGCTTATCACAACTTCCACATCCAAGTATTCGACAAACGAAAAAAAAACAGTCATGTCTCCCAACGTTGCTCTCCATGGTCCACTCCCCAAGATTCCCGAGGGTTCTGGCAAGCTGAAACTCGGTGCCCTTGTCTTTGACGGTGCGGATCTACTTGATGTAAGCGGGCTTCACTCCGTGTGTACAGCAAAGTTTATTTTTGCAAAGCGGATTAAAAGCTAACGTCTACTCTTTTTTTTTCCTGAGCTGTAGATCATGGGTCCTATGCGTATCTTTGGTGAAGAGCTGAATACCCTAGACATTGAGATCAACTTCATTGGACTTACCATGAAGCCCGCCCGCACCTCGCAGCAGGTGGAGATCACTCCTCACTATACCCTGGAGAACGCCCCTAAGATTGATCTCTTCTTCATACCCGGGGGTAAGAACAGGACACGACAACGTTACAGTCGATGCGGCAAGGCCATCATCAAAAAAAAAAAAAAAAAAAAAAAAAAAACTGTACCTTACGTCTCTCTCTCTCTCTCTCTCTCTCTTTCTCTCTCTTTATTTTTGCCCGTTTAATATATCGACCCAGGAATTGGAACGCGTGCTTTGTGCAGAAACGAGGGATTCATGAGCTTGATCAAGCCTCGCATTGAGGCCTCTACATGGTGCATGACTGTCTGTACTGGCGCTGGGATCTTGGCCAAAACTGGACTCATCGATGGATATAACGCGACGTAAGTCAAACACTATTGCTCCACAGCGTCTCAGCGAACATACCGTGAATGAGCTTCTAAAAGATTTCATTTTCTTTTACCATAGTACCAACAAGTCTGTGTTCGAATGGGCTGCCTGTGAGGGTATGGTCCACCTTTGCTTTATTTTGCTTTGTGCAATAGGATACGGGCGTGGGAGCATTATTTTAACATTTTTCTCAATCTCGATTTCAGGTCCCAATGTCGCCTGGATCAAGAGGGCCCGCTGGGTCCAGGATGGCAAATTTGTGACCTCGTCAGGCGTCTCTGCTGGTCCGTAACAGAAACCTCGCCGTGCCAATGCTTGCGTATGTGATAATATACCACCTCACATCTAACATCAATGGCGCTTCAATCCAATGGCAACTCTCATAGGAATCGATGCCGCTCTTTACATTTTGTCGGAGCTCACCAGTCTCGACGCTGCCGAGAAGGTTGCCATCGAAATTGAGTACACCTGGCACAGGGTCGCCAGTGAAGATCCCTTTGCTGACATGTATGAGTACACTCGCTCCTAATGGGCAGGTCATATCTATCGCTTGCAGCGATCACCAGTGCCGCGGACAGCATTCCTGTAGCGCAAAAACCGCACTAATAAAGTCCACAACAGATGTTGAAGGGAACCTGTTCAGCAGCACAATCTTGGTCTTTGTGTATGGGTTTCAGAAACCAGGGGAAATCCATTATGGAATCGGAATCCAAATTGGCCGAGAGTACTCCTTTGAACACTTCGTACTTCGCTTTGACCTAAACGTTCTTGCACTGATCAACATTCCCATCACTATGGAGCAGATCACCGAGCTACAAAACTCCACCATCAACTTCATCCTTGTTGAAAAGACAAAGTCTCATTGGCACGACTTTCCTGAGCTCGCATCACTGATCGAATCTCTGCAGGCCCTTCAGGAGCCATTGAACGTCCCCTCACTACAATACCTGCTAGAACTGGCACGGCTTGCGTGTCAGGCAGATGCTGAGCAGTCAAATCGACTGTTCCTCCGGCTTGAGTCATACTTTGCCGTGGCCGAGCCTCCAGTAGTCGCGCACGTCCTTGCGACTCTGATTCTGGAGGGAGGGGAAGGTTATCCCTTTCCAATTGAACATGCAACAGGCTGGTTGGCTTGGGCATTGGACTACAAGCCCGAGCTCGCCAGGAAAGGACAGTTCGTGAAAAGGCTGTGGAGAGCAGCCGAAGGAAGAAGAGAGGAGATTGAAAGGTACGCGTTGAATGTTTGACGCTTGCAGTAGACTTGACCTGCCGTTCAATTGCTCCGATTGACCTTCGTATCCCTCATTCGCACTGTAACAGTTTAGCTGTCCAACGTATCGTCTCAACACTCATAAAAAAGCAGCAGGAACAGAGAACAAGGCTCATGAACAAGGATCTGGACGCTACAAACAGGGATGGTGGAGCAAACAGAAATTGGGCCGGACGCTATCATGACATTATATACATGCTGCATTGCGGACCTCTTGCAGACCAGGGTCTACAGTTGTGGGACGAGGAATCCGTGCTCAACGCGCTTGTCAGGATAAGGGACGGGAGCAACCAAAGAGCGTTTGAGAATCAGCTGTTGATCCTTGTCAATCTTCTTGATCGGTTATTTTCTTGGATCGAGTCGAAAGATGTGGAGGAAAACAAAGAACAATTAAAGCAACGGGGTACGTTGGAGACATTTTCAGTCAATGTCTTCTCATTTGGCGCTAATACTAACTTTTTTTTTGTCATTCACAGTTGCATTGTATACCAAGACACCAGAGCTACTGGCGTTCGCAATCGACACCGTTGTAGCATATCTGGATGGGCGTTGGATCAAAGGCGACATCAAGGAAGATGGCGCTGTGCGGTCGAAAACCCTGAGTACATCGTTACTCGACATCAACCGCGAGCGAGAGCCGATCCATTACGCGACAACGGATGCGCAAGGGTCGTTTGGCTTCTCTGAAAGCAAGAATGCCATCCGGGGGAGATCACTTAAGGAACGAGAGATACCCCAGAGGCATGATCGTGGTCAAGCTGTCAGAGAATTCGAGATTGTTGATCTGGTTGCAAGATGTATGGAGGGACATGATTCCGATGTGTATGAGCAGCTACTCCGGCGTCTGATGTTGCATATCGCGATGCAGGTCGATACAGTGATGATTAGCGCTACAGCTGCGGCCATGAAGCATGCTGCTCAGCAGAGGTAAGACTACAAATTCAAGAACGCTTATCTGGTCTAAAAGGTGGCCTTAATGAGGATCGCGTCATAGTCATGGGACGCGAGACTAGGCATTTACCCCTGATCTAACCCGCGTACCTTTGATAAAATGGCGCCCTTTATTTCTATATAATAGGGACAAAATACTATTGCGACTCACGGCAGAGAACCCGGTATATAGACGGATCATGGTCTCAGCTATGAACAAAGGTACGGGACGGTGCAAGGCTAACCATGTCTTTTTCAGGAGAGCTTGGCAACTTGCTTAATATTCATTTTTTTTTCCCCTATAAATCAGCGCATTGGTCTGTGGTGTCGATTTGCTTGCCGGTAATCCAAGGTATGCTGCGCTGCTCGATCGCGCACTGGAACACCTGCAAGAACTCCTCCCCGAAATCGTATCCAAAGGAGCTCGATGAAGCGATCTGGCTGGCCCAGCTCGCTGAGCAGGTAAGCGTTCGTGTCAGCTCATCATCTTTTTTTCTTGACCCTAATTGCGAGACTTGTGTTTGTAGTATCAGATCGGCGGGAAACGCATGTGCAGAGTACAATTGCAGCTCACAACACGACTTCTTTTTATGTATATATTTCCGATGTCCATCAAATATCCGCTCTGGCGTCCCATCAAAGACGGGACTTATACCTGACCCGATCAATCAGGCCACCGTTCTCTTTCCACTCGTCGAGTCAAAGGATGTGGGCCTCATTCTTGAACAATGCTACTATATCCTGCTCGTCCGCAACGCTGATGTAGTGCAGCAGCAACATCAACAGCAGCATGCACAGCAACAGCAACAACAAAAGAAGGCCAACAATTCAGAAATTTCGCTTCTTCGCCGGATTATTTTCAAGCATGCGACAAAGACGTTCCATCTCATGCCCCTGTTTACTGTTGGTCATCAAGCACCGTCAGCAGCGGATCGTACATCACAATAGTTTTGGTTTTTTTGTATCATGCAATCATAAAGAAACTTAGACCAATGTAAAAATGTACGCAAAAAAAAGGTACTGGACACACACGACAAACTGTTTTCTCCCTCAATTGCTCTCTTTCCATAGTCAACAAAGGTGTTTCCATTGCATTCCTTCTTCGCTCCATCATTCACTTTGCATCCGCTTCTACTACCGAGCGCCTTTCCTCTTTGCACTTTGCTTTTCGCTCATATCCCCTATCAATTGACTGCTGCGTAAGCGACTTCTGCTCTCAAAAGGTGCGAATGTGAGAGTGTTCAACAGAGCAACAACCAGGTGTCAGCCCTGGCTCCTACTTTCGTTCCCCCGCGACCTGTCCTCCGCCACCATCACCCTCAACTTTAATACCCAGGCACACGCACTCGCGCGCTGCAGATGCATGCGCTCGACTTGACTATCAAGGCTACACTCAATGACTTCCAAACTCTCGCTTCTATCTATACCTACAATATCCCTTGTACACTGTCAATTACCTGCGTTATATTTCTTATATATTTGCCACGAGATTGTCAAAGTGTTAGGCGAATGGTCCTGCAGCAGTAACAGGAATTGCAGCTCAAGGAAAGGAAAGGAAAAGAAAGGAAAAGAAGGATACTGGAAATGCATGTGTAGATGTAGTGGCAGCATCTCTCATTTCCTATCTGCAAGAAAACTCTCGGACTTTGCCTCGCAAACGTACAAGACACAACATTGGAGTGGATGACCTCTCCCCGCCCCCTTTGTCCTTTGTACCCATTGATCCCCTATAAAAATTACCGCCGTCGTCATGAGCAATGGGTCAGTTCTATGCAGGGAGCTGGAACAACTGCAGCAAAAAAAAAAAAAAAAAAAAAATAATGGTCAAAGTAGGGTATGATAACTCGGAGAGATGGAGCACTTCAGAGGCCCCACCATCCAGGAATGGAACCCCCCGTTATTTCCTTTGGTCTACTTTCGGTGGCATTACTGTAGCGCAGGAGAGAATGACCCGATCCATGAAACGTACACATGGAAAAAGGGCAGCGGACACACAATGGCCCAGCATTGCTTCCTCGCTTCTCCAGCAGATCGAGGAAGAAGATACTAGCTCAATGCTACATTGATATTTTGGCCAATTGTGCCTTACCTTGGGCTATCCGCATTGAGCGAGGGGAGGCAGCATTTGCCACTAGCTTACTAAGTAATAGCTAGCTAACCTTCGCTTTCCTCATTTGTCCCTGTCCATAGATCAGGTCTTTCCGGCTCGCCCCCGTAGAGAAAACTCGCCAGTCGCAGTGATCCATCCGTCAATCCCACTTTCCCGCGTCACCTAAGCAGCGATACCTATACCCATATAGAAGTCCGCAATGTCGGCACCCTCTTCTTGCTCGGGCAGCATGCGCACATCAGGGTCGTCCTCTGCCTTTGTTAGCACATCTACCGCCCGTGATCCAATACTGTTGGCGCGACGTGCTTCTTCTGAAAGTTCGGCCACGCTCCCGTGCTCGTCATCCTCGGTCGCAGAGGCGTTCTCCAAGGCTACACTCCTCTCTCCATCGTCCTCGGCGCAGTCCTCGCTCTCCTTTGCCACCTCAATTTCATCAACTTCTTACTCTTCTGCATCCTCTCTTCCACCGACAGTAGCTATCCCAGTAATAGCACCTCAAGACAACATTGCAGAGAACATCCGAATGATAAGGCATGATGACGACCGGGACCGGGAGGACGACATAGACGTCGATGTAGACGCAGAAGAATCTATCCCACCATCGTTCAAAAAGACAGAAACAACCGCACCACCCAGGACTCAACACATCATCAATAGCATAGGGGCGCGACCAGCCTTGACCCCAAGATCTACATCTTCATTCTCTGACCAGTCCAATCCACCACCACCACCGCTTTTCTTTGGAGATTATTTGTTTCCGGAGAACCCGTCATTGCAGGACTTGCACCAGGTTTTCCGTCTCGACAAGAGTTCAAAGCAAAAGGACTTTCGCCAGTCTTTACAACTTCATGCACATCTAATGGGCCTTATGCTCTCGGCCAGGGTCTCTCGGGGGCTTGACCTTGCATATGATCATGCGCATGATGCGTTCAAGAACAAGCAGAGACCGGATCGGCGGAATGAATTCGTCTCAACCTTCAACTACACATATGACGAAGCCGAGCGCATCTTGGCCCATTCCCTAGCACATCCCCAGCCTCGGCCCAGCTTTCTGGATATGATGAGTCCATCGTCATCCGCCGCTATTTTGACATTTCTACATCGGATCAGGACAGATCACTCAATTTTGGCCACAGCATTTCGAAACCTACAGTCGCAAGAACTCGATGCGCTTCTCGTGCACGAGCGCCCTGCCATTGGTCTCTCCTCACAATCCCATTTACGAGGCACCAGAGATCGGGGGTATAGTTCGCAAACGGGTACCGGTGGCTATGCCACTCAACAATCGCCAACACATCAATCACAGGCGCAGCAACGCCAGCAGCAGCAATACCAGCATTCCCAAGGCACTGTACCCAACTTCGTCAACAATCAGGATGTTGTTCACATCATCCTCGCAAATCTATTTGGACCGGCATCGTTTGAACGGGAACACATTCTACGAACTCGTTCAGTCACAAAGATCTTTGTTGCTCTTCTCTCGGAAAGAAAAGGCGAAAGATTGATGACGGAGATGTTGGAGCGATACGTAGTTCAGTCAGAGTGGCAGCAGGCTAGCCGGTTGAAAGCACGATTCGAAGAGACGCTATCAGATATCATCCGCAGAGGCGAACTGGACTTGGCCGGCTTCTCAGACGAGGAACTCAGTGCGAACATCATGCCGTCGACCAACCAGCTTCTCCACCAACATCATCACCAGTACCTCCATCAGTCTCTAGGGAGGATGTCGAGTGTTCCTACAATGAAAACTCCAGTCACTGATCTTTCAGCAAGTCAGCATGTTCAGCACGGAACAGGACCCAGAGAGTCAGCCCATACTGGAGCATCTGATGTGCGTATCCACTCACAACAAGAAATGACAGGTCGCCAGGCGCTGGTCGAAGGATTCTTCACCGAAGCATGCTTGGATCTACTAGATACACTCCAAGAATTTAGTCCTCCTTGTCTGATGGAGCTTTCGCGGTTGATCTTCATGGAGATTGACCAGAGCGCAAGACCTTACGCGTCCTTGATCATCATTGTCAAGTTTTTCTTCTATCGATTCATGAACAAGTGCATCGCATATCCAGAGGTAGGTCATACCGCTGGTAACAGGAAACCAATGTAGCAATGTTCTCTTTTCTTAGTACTGCGCATGCGCATCTGCTAATGGCGTGTCCTACGTTTTTCAATTTAATAGACCTATGGTATGATGCAGGACACCTTTGTATCGGAAAAACAACGACAGCGGATCTTATTTACAACACATCAACGCCTTTACCGATATGTTACTAGTATCTTGAATCCTGTGCCCGGGTGGTAAGTTTTGGAGTGGTAACAGCAGCCATTTCACTCTTCGTTTTTGGCAGTATCGAGGATAACATTCTAATGGCCTTTTCTCCAACACTTGCTAAAAGGGAATCTCGGTCATGGGTTGTCGATACAAGGATACGGGAAAGGATCGACAGCTTCGTCAAATTATTTTCCACACCAGCACAGACAGGAGAGAGCCAGCCGACACAATATATCCTCAACCCTATTGCAGAGTTGTCAAATCCAGCACCGGTGTCTGCCAACCTCGATCGTCATCTAACCAGTGGATCGAATATGCCTACTGTCACGCCCGTCCTTCTTCTATGTCCCTCGGATTTTACGACCTTATTCTACTTTGTCTGTCCTAATTTCAGAACAACCACGTCGTCCTCATCGTCTTCAGCAGCCCTCATGACTCGATCTAGCAGCTTTAACGGGAAGAGTAATATAGGAATTCGTCAGCGAACTCCTTCAGAGACCCAACCAGCCTACCCGGCAGCGCTGAAATTAGCATCCAATAATGCCGCGTCAGCATCAGGGGCGCCCACAACCCCAAAGCACTTTCACCCATCCAGTGCCATCCGCTCCCGCAGGAGAGCTTCACCTAGTTTCTCGTTTTTCTCCAGCGCAGCAGCCTCGTTACCGTTCAAAGCAAAGCCCCCACCGCCACTCGCTTTGGAAAAGACGACAAGCGCGCCTGCAGAGACAACTTTTGGTGGATCAAGTTTCCTTACCCTCTCTGGAATCAAACCAGGACAAGCAGCTTCTCCCAGAACGGCAACTGTTGAGGTCACCAGTACCTCGGGTATCGCGGCGGCCTCCAGCCCGTGCACACTTCCATTGGGGGGAGAAGACCAAAACACCCCTGTTAAAAGCGCCACATCAACTTCCGCACAAGTATTCCATCGATCGGCTGACTCTACACCAGTCGTGAGGCATTGGAGTGACGAGGCGCTGATACCAGACTTGAAAGCAGCAGTTCTGGAGTTGAAAAAGATTCAGCCAGGATCCGTTAAAGAGGTGCCCTGGGCGGTGAACAATACCAGTCTCACTCCACTGCGAGAGCCCTGGGCATTGGCCTTTGTTCAATACGGTGATGGCGATGGCGACGTTGAGGGGCAAAAGGACTTCATATCGAGCGAACAGGATACGTCTCCAGACAACAAGAAAGATGGTGCAAAGGGCGTTCTCATTGAAGCCGGCCTAGCACTGGCACCTTCATGTATGGCCATGATCATGGAGAACTCTGCTATGGGCGGTGGATCGCGGATTGTTACCGTTACAAAACCAATGCTGGTCGATCAAGTAATGGACTCTGCCGACAACCAAGCGAACTTTGACTCCAATATCGATCTTGACCTGGATGTTGATGGATCGGACAGTGAATCCCTTTTATCTTCAGAGGACAGTTCCTTGGCACAAAAACCGTTGACCTTGGGAGTGGAGGATAAGGATATCTCAATTTTAAGGGTCAACAGTAACCGAATTCTTTCATCCGTCGACGACTCAGGCACAAAAATGTTATCGGCTACCGGAGAACAAGCAGGACCAAAGACGGATAGCGATCATAGTCGACCTCGCTTGGACAGCTCGAAATCCTCGATCTGGAAAAAAGCCGCAGCGGGTCGGGCCTGGAAAACTAGGATTCGACAGACTGTTAGCTCCGAGGCGGATTTGCCAGAGGAAGTTAAAACTGTAGCCCGGTCGATATTCAAGATCCTACGGGAGTTTGACGTGCTCGCTGTTGACGATTCTGAGGAACGCCATTGGGACCATCATGACGAAGAATACTCGTCACATGTCAGCCACAGAAGTATTCGCACTCTACTCCTGCAAGGCATCGAACAGGCCCGTTATTTTGGGAACCATGCTGCCGCTATCGGTTTTCACCATGCTCTCCGAGTTCTTGAATCGTCCTCGGTTCTTCGGCAGTTGGACAGTTCAAAAATCATTTATCTCTTGGCTATGCCCATCAAGCATCGTCTTGAGCATCGAACAGGACGGGCACGAAGCAGAACCATCTGGGAGGGGTTTGCACACTCTTGGCACCTGCGACTGGTATCGGCAATCGAGCGCAAACGAGAGGCTCTTTCGTCTCTACGAGTCAAAATGTACTATCAGACATGTGTGCGGACGTCTTCATCGTTCGAGAAATCGCTCGGAGTCATTAGCGTACTTGGCCGGTTGAACAGGAACGCACTCAGGAAGTACCTGACCGCGGATGAATGGGAAAGATGCAACGGCTTTTTCCCAAGCTGGAACGGGGCAGAATCGAAACCTGGAGTTGAACGAAACGCCTCATGTCACCATGTGGGATGTAAAGGTTCTTGCCTTGATCATCCATCACAGATTGTGTGCGAAGGAGAGGTTGCAGGTCATACGGACAAGACTTCTCGGAGATACAGCGCCAACAACTACAATCCTCATGCGTTGCGAACGTCGAGAACGCGGAGGAGCAGTTTCAGCACGTATATTGACAGCATGACCTCTCGTTCCTTTGGGTCTTCGTCCTTTCTCGAGAGTAGCCTTGGTCATTTGAAGGAGAGAGAGCAAGCGACATTCTCGACTAGCTACGGTTCCGGCTACCAGGGCATGCTCTGGCCAGGCAATAGCGGCAGCCAGGCCGGTTCGATTGGGTCACTGGGTGAGGTAGCAGATATACAGAGTGACTTTAGCATGGATGCGCGTGAGGCTGAGGCAGCCCAACGTTGGATCACAGATGCAGGCATCCACAACTTTCTGCCAGGCGAGGACAACTTTTTGCGATTTTGCATGGAGGTTGAGTCGGTGGTGCGGGGCATCGGTCTCGGCGGGACAGGCATTCAGGGGGCAGGGATACCGCAGGCACAGAACGGTGTCATCCTACCTGCCCTGTCGAGCAGCGGGTCTGATTTCTTTATCAAGGAAGTGACCAAGTTTAATGGCCAGTTCGTTCTCGGAATGGGGCCTATGGATCAGGTCGTTCAGGTCAAGTCCAGCGGAGCATCTGGGGTAGCAGAGTTTCTTGTGAACTCGCTCAAGAATGGACATGCTGCCTCCTCTGTACCGAACACATCTGGAAGCCATTTCTTTTCACACGCAACATCCTCAGCAAACAGCGTCCACAGCGTCTTGAACAGTAGTAGCAGCAGCGGGAGCTCTCAAACGTCACAGATGTCGATGAATAGCCTCGGCACGAGCAGTCTGGGCGGACGATCTAGGATTCTGCACCGACAAGCCAGCAGCTACCAAGCTAATCATGAAGCCATACCCACCTTGCTCGATGACCCCTCATCCATCTATGCATCCCCTCCCGGACCGACCTATGCTCTCTACAACCCACCATTTTCAACCGCCTCTCATGGTGCATCATCCTCATACTCTGGGTTCATGGGGCTAGGAGGAACATCTTCGACTTTATCATCGCATCAAATCTCAATGCTTCCTAAGGATATGGCGGAGTTCTTACGCAGAATCCAATTGAAGCTAACGAGTTTTATACTCTCAGAATGGGTCGATATTTTTGGAGAGGTCGAAACCGATCGGTGGTTTAGGGAGTTTTTGGATGAAATGGGTTCGCGAGAGACCGAAAGGAAGCCGGATGCTTTCGAGGATACACAGGCTACAGTGGACACGAACCAGGACGGCTACATGCTCCCTTTGAACCAGATGGACATGGGTGGCAAATCCCAAGGCGAACTGAAACCCTGCTCAACGACTAGTCTGGCGAACACAATTGCTCCTGGCAACACTTTGGAGTCGCGTTCAAGCACTGCTGCGGATTCGGATTCGCCAGATTCAAGCAGCAACAGCAGGAACAGACATGTCGCTAGCCATCCAGAGTGGACTGAGGCCCAGTTTAAACAGAGACAGCACGATTTGGATCTGGATTCAGTAGTGCCACCCGACGTTCCTACGGCGGTGAAATCCTCAGCCTCAGTCACCACATTTTCAACGGCTAAATCTCTGAAGAATGCACCCACCTTCAACTCCATGATCAATATCAATGCGACGACGGATGGACAGTATGGGATGGGAGGACATAATCCTTTATCGCGTCCGGGACTTTTGCGCGACTCAACGTGTCCAGTCTTTAGCCAGCAATCATCTATAAACACAGCAGACGAGTGTACGACCTCTGGCAAGAGTCTTTTGAATGTTCAGGTCAAGCATCATCTCAAGGAAACGGGATCCAGAGGCATCAAAAGACCGGGTAACCCTGTTGCGTCTTATGATCTTGCTGAAGCCTACCGGTTGACGGTCGAGCAGTTTAATAATGCAAAGTCCCCATATCAAAAACTCGGCCATCTCTTTGCTCTTGAGCTGCTCATTGTTGCCTCGTTATCCTATCCAGACTCCTGCTTGGATGGCTTGATGGCAAGGCCAAGCAAATTTGATCCGTATGAAGGAGGCAATCCTTCAGGTTCAGCTCGATCCAAGCCATCAGGCAATATCGATCAGGAAGAGATCAATGTAGATACTCCGCGTGCCCTAACGCCCGGCACGGATGCGATTGTGGACGAGATCGAGAATTTGTTCCGCCAGCCAGGTGTTCTCAGACCTCGACATCTGCTTCGAGATATGCAACTGATCGCAGCGTTTATCCCGGGCTCGATCTTGGACCTTCGTGACGACGGCAAGGCGTTTTGGGACATGTCTTTGGCGATCTCTAGCCTCAAGAGCGAGGTAGTCGAGTACATTGTTCAAAAGGGTATCCGGCTAGTGGAGGTGGAGGAGGCCGCTCGGACGAGCCAGGAGACGGAGAGCAATGGGGGCAGATCTATCGCGCAGGATGACGATGAGCGAACTCGTATGACTGAGGCTGTTAGGCTGTTTACCATTGGTATATTTTTATGATGGATTTTTTTATCGGAGCTGTTCACGACATGTCATGAGTTGTATTGTTCTAACTCAAGGGTCCATTGCACCTTCCTGAACAAATGACATAGGTGCCAAGGAATCACACGCAGTGGCGCAAAGAGAACTGGCGATCCTGTACATGTCTCTACCAACGCTTCCGTCCTCATCCTCCCCGTCAATTGGGTTCTTTAAGGCCGATAGCTCGCCGCTGATCACCCAAATTAATCGGGTGCCTTCGCCCATTTCAATTACGACCTCCAAGCTCGGCAGAATGCCCGGGAGAACTCATACTCCACCACCCCTTGCTTCGCCCAAGAGCACGTTTTCGAGCTCATTTTTGGGCAAGAGCAGTACGGCCAGCATTCCCATCAAGCAGAGACCCCGTCATCATCACAGCAGCAGCGGAAGCGGAAGCAGCTTTGGAAGTGGTATGCTGAGCGGATTAGGTATCATGACAGGCTTGGGGTCGTTCACTGGGTCGTCGTCCATTGGATCTGGAGGATCAGCTGAAGGATTGAACAGCTCTTCTATGGCGTCGCTAGCTCATCAACAGCAACAGCCGTTAGGAGAATTCGCGGAGGGTCATCATGATGTAGATCAGTATCTCGATGTGCACACTGGGCGGCATTCTGTCCCAGCGCACACGCACCAGTCGAATCACCTGTACCAGCACCAGCGACAGCATCAGCAGCATTCGTATCAGACGTCGGCTCATCACGCAATGCCGCCGAATTCTTCTGAACCAGACAAGTTCAATCCGGAGAATGTAGCAGCTGCGATGCACTGGTTTACATTGGCGGCTGCCCAGGGCGACAAGTTTTCTATCAATTATTTGAAACACAAGGAAACTGCTGGAGGGATACTTGGAGGCATGGGATAGGAGGGAAGTGCAGTTGCTACTGTGTGTCGTACATCCAAATAAATAGAGAAGAGAAGGGAAGTAGGTATGAGCGCATCAAATTGTCAGTCTTGTATTGAATGGACACATTTGTCCGAATTGGTAGAGTAGATATGGCGAAGCTACCTGTAGATCAGTCACTGCACAATGGATTTTATTATGGTTCTATGCATTGCGCACGTCAAAGATTAGGCATCCGTCTTCCTTGTAAGCATCTTGGTAGTCTGTTTGGACTTTTGCATGATCTGTTTGTCCTTATCCGAGATACGAGCCACGAAGACTCCGCTCTGTCTTACCAAGGAGTCGACTCTTTCGTGGCACTGCTGTCCCTCCGCGTCCTCACCTCCAACGTATCGTTTCCGCTTCCGTGTCATGCCAACCAGGGCTACGTTCTTGGTACTTGGAATCCGTAACATCTCTGTCTGGAGGTGGTAGCCGCAGGCGTCGACGATGCTACAGATGTATTCTTGATAGGCTTTGTACTTCCCTTCAGGGGCACCTTTCGGAAACTGGTATCGGCTGCCGTTTAGATCGAAGAAACAACAGGGTATCACAACGAATCTATTTAAGAAACAGGACGTTAGCGCGACCATTTTCAATCTGATACTAAAAGTGACGAATTTGTTCATGTCTATATCTCGTACCTGGTTAGAGGCTTTGACCGCATAGCAATAATGGGTATCCAGGGTGCGAGCTCATCAGCATGATTTCCAATGATCCAGTCCACATTGTCAAGTGCCGTCTCATTGGGAATAATTGTCTTGGCTATCAGACCAAATTAAATCACAATATCAGAACCATGCCAACAAAGAAAGATCGTAGCTTGATGGAGCCCTTCTATATGTATATTACCTTCAAGATGGGTCTCGGGTCCATAGATATCCCAAACCTTCCTCGAAACGATATCAATTCCTGTGCCTGCATGTCCTTCCTCGTTCAAGATATGGGTCAGCAGACCATTCCCGCAGCCGAGATCCACAAACGTCTGTTTCTCCATTTTCGACTCCTTGTCCTGGCTATTGTCGTCCTTTGATTGATCCTCATGGTGCTCTAGACGGTATTGTTGACGTTCTAATTCCCACAACGCAACCAGCCAACTGGCAATCGAAATGTCCTCAAACACAAACTTGCGTGGATCGGTCTTTTCAGGCCAAGACTGGACCCATTTCTGGGCATAGGTTTCCTTTAACCGAGCGTAGGTTGCGAGGTAGAGATCCTTGGGGACCATAACGTCATGTTGAACCCTGCTTTTGGTAAATCCTTTAGTAGCGTTGACACCCCATTTGTAGAGTTTCTTGAATAGCTCCTTGAAAGCGTATTGCTACAATGAGGGAGAATGAGTGAAGAAAAAAAATAAAAAATACAAGTAGTTAGAAAACACCTGGTAGATGTCTGCTGAGTATGATGCTGACAATAACAACAGTGAATGCTTTCTTTCACACACCATCTTGTCTGTAAAGACTCCTTCATCCCCTGCCAAGAACAAGTCTAGCGTAATCCAACCAGCCCGTTTACTCGTAATTTTTGTGTTGCCGCTAAAACTGCCATCGTTTTCAGTTTTGGCGCCCTCAGCAGAATCTTCGTCCTCGACATATTCATAGCACCCTTCTTCAGATCCATCCTCATCCTTATGCCGGTGGCCATCCCGATTCTCAGGATCGCCATCTCGGTTCTCTGAGGCATCCTGTGTTAGATCTGGGGTAAATCCGTACCGGAATCCGCGCACTTTTGGGTAATAAAACGGTAGTACTTTCATCATCTCCTCTATATCGCGATCGTTCCTACTGCTGCCGCTGTCACCGCAACTTTGATTTGAATTCTGACCCGCATTATTGGCTGATGCGGAGCGAATGACTGGGACAAAGACCGCATGACTGGTTGGCTGTGATCGGGTATAATAAAGTAGCTCCTCCATGACAGGATCTTTGTGCACTCGCTTGGGCAGTAACCGCCTTCGAGTGGTCCTAAATAGAAGTGTAGTGGCACCGTTAAATTCAAGAAGGCGCTGCTGATACCCTGGCTCTTCCTCTTTGTCCGGAGTGCGTATTGATCTGCTTCCATCTGTATCTGCAGGCCCTTCGTTTGATAAGTGGTGCAGATGGTCGTAAATTATCTCGACTTTAGACACTGGGGGAATGATAGCAGGGGCTTCCAAGATCCAGCGTTCCTGATAAAGATGAATAAAAATATTTATATAGATAGTCAGTCATCCTGTAAGCGACTGAACTATTCCTGACGGCTCTAGAACGAGCGCTTTGATCATACCAGAACCTGCCAAAAGATGTCTTCGTTAAAAGGGACTGGTGCCCTGGCTGCTTGGTACCATGTTGGGTGAGGTTTCTTTGTGTCCTTTTCCTGTTCATGCCTTTTCTTGATGTTGTTAGGCAGCCGGTCAAAGTGGAATGTCGCTTCGTATGCAAACTCGGCAGTCGTGGCCCCGTCGTTGTTCATCCTGCTCATGAAAGATGAATGAATCGTTGGTAAAAAAAACGCAGAGAGCAGTGAATTGGTGGCAACATAACAATGCAAAAGCAGTCCATATAATTATCCGCTTTATTGGTCTATGTGTCAATGTGTCAAGAACAACATGTAGTACAGAGGCTAGTTCGCAGGCGCGAGCAGTACGTCCAGGTGCTGGTCCACCGTGGTCGTTGACTCGAGTGTATCGTGCGCCCATTGCCTGGCTTCAAGCAAGAACCACATCTTTAACCACCACCCACCTCCTCCTGGAAGATCCCTCACGCCCTCGACCAGCCCACGACCACCGTCTTGGCGACCTAATTGTCTCAAGATGGGTAGTGCGGTCTTGAAGAGATCGATATTGGGGTTCAGCTGGCGCCCAATTCCCTCGAGAATCAAGATCGAGATGATCACGTTGGCGAAATCACCCTCCATTGGCACATGGTGTGTCCGTACCATCGACATAACCTCCGCGAGCAGGTCTGCAATTTTGATCTTGCTCAACGACATGGCTGTGTTCCTGACACCCAAAATCAGCCTTTGCATCCTGAGTGCAAATCCTTCGCCATCGAGCACAGTCTCTGGGGAACGACACCGTTCAATCATCAGCTCGCCAGCTCGGTATCCATCAAACTCTGCCAACGCGTGGAACAGATCCAAGAAATCTCTCCGGTTCTTATCAGAGAGCACTGAGACCAGTCCAGCATCAATAAAGACGACCTGTGGGCGCCATCCTTCATCGTACAAATTCTGCAGCTCCTGGATCCATGCCTTATCGTCGCCTTTGGGCACTGCTCGGAGACGCATCGTTGCTTCATCCTCATGTGACATGCTCTTGTATCCCTCTCCTTTGAACCGAGCTATGAGCTGTTTGAATAGATTGTTGGCCGAGGGGTTGTAGAATCGCACAAAGATGTTGCCTGGATGTAGATCCGCATGCACAAAGTTATCAAAAATCAGCATTCTCTACAAGATTCAAGGAAAAAAAAAAAAAGAAAAAAAAAAGCAGGTGTAACACTGTTAGGTAGAGGTCCTGTTTGATTCCAGTTTACACAACGCATTGCCGAGTTATTGTCCTACTAGGAATCCATCCAGGCCAATGTCGGCAATTTTCAAGTCATATGGACCTGCTCCATTCTGCAGATAGGCCTTCAACGGGAGTGCGTCCACAAACTCCTCGATCAACATCTCCTTTGTTGCAAATTGGATGAGTGGTGTCGGAAAGGTAACTGTGTACCGTTCCCGGAAGTTACGCTGAAATATCTCCAGGTTCTTGGCCTCAATTCTCAAATCTAACTGCTCCTGCATCATCTCTCCAAACATTGTGACCTGGTCAGGCAAAGAGATCCATCTCATCTTGGGGATCCAATTGATAAGTTTTGCAAAGAACGACATGATAGCTAAATCCCGCTCAACCGTTCGCTGGACCTTTGGATGCAGAACTTTGATCGCCACCTCGGTCTTCAGTTTCTTTTTTCGTCCGCCTGATTCCTCGCTGACCTTGCTGACCTTAGCGACGCTGGTGAGTTTGCCGAGGACAGAGTTAGTTGGATTTTCCTCTGGCTGCTCATCGGGCTCGAAATGCAGGGCAATACCAGGCTTAAGTCGTCCCCGATAGACCTGAGCGATAGCACCAATACCCAGAGGAGTCTCGATAAACTCGTCGAAGATGTCCTCAAGCTTACGTCCTCCGAACGCTGCCTCAATCGTCCGCCGGGTGTGCTCTAAGGAGTGGGGATCGACCTGGTTATGTAGCTTGGATAGCATGGCACACAGTTGCTTCGGGAATATGTCCGTCCTGGATGCGGCCCATTGTGACAGCTATATCGACAAGTACGGGGCGAGTGAGCGCTCAATCCTTGAAGACAAGATCCGTAATGAATGAACGGGCAAATTAACGTAATCCGCCGTACCTTGATAAATGTCGGTCCTGCCATCTCCATGTGCCTCACCAGCAAACTGTACCACCAAATCGCACCTGATCGCTCGTCATGCAACTCCTTGTTCCTCTCGCCCATGAACACCGCAGGCACGGTAATAATCAGCGGCAGAAAAATGACTGCCAGCACCCCAAACCGCCAGATGGTCAGGATGGGATGCACGACATAATCCTCCAGCATGTTCTCTAGGTACTCTCGTAGCCGCCTCCAGAACGAGAGCTTCTGGGCCACCCTGATAATCTCCGTCTTGATATAGGGTACAGGCTGCGTAGGCTTGGCATTCTGAGTATGTTGGTTCAGTGCCTCGAGATGAATGCCTGGAGAGAGCAATGAAAGCCCTCCTTGCGTAACGAGCGCAGGAACAAGATAGTGCCTGACAGGGGATATCCTTGCAGAGGCATACGAGGAATGGCGGGCGTGTCTCAGGGGGCGACAGGGATGAGTGTGTCTTGGTGAGCGCTCGGTTAGCTGTAGGGCAGTTATGGTGGATTTTGGTCTGTGTTGTGCTGTGCTTCGATGCGGCATTCGCAGCAGGGCACCCTGCCTCTGGGTGGATCCTTGGCGCAGTGATCCGATGGTGAGCCGCGACAGGGCTGAGATGGATGGAGAAAGGGCCATGAACTGCAAGGTTAAGGCTCAGCCGTTGCGTTGAGGGTCGATAAACAAGTGTGTAGTGGGGAATGAGTATGTCAATGGAAGAAAGGAACAAATGGATAGAGCGCAAAAATAAATACAGGGCAAGAATGAAGTAAAAAGGTGGCAGGGAACGGAAGGAAGGGCCATGCTGCACAGAAACGAATCGCGGTGCAGTCACGATTGGGCGCTGCATGCTGTCATCATTATAGCATATATAGCGGATATGCAATCTGTGTCGCTCTTATATTCCTTTTGAATGCTCTTCCTGTCAGCAATTGAGCTACGAATGTTTCTTGAACGGAAGATCAATCTTGTTGCCAAAAAAAAAAAAAAGAATAAGGCGAAATCCTTGAGGTGAGGGTGGGTGGGTGTAGGGCGAATACTAAGGAAAAGTGCCACCTTCTTAGGTCATAGTCGTGCCGATCCCAACATGACATTCCAGGGCTCCGTGAATATCACGAATACCAGATATATACACTGAGGTGAATGTGTCCCCTGCAATGCTTCTCGGTGGATCGCCCTGCATTGTGTCCAGTCGTGGATCCGTCACACATGCTGACCCTGAACTGAGGGACCAGAGGAACTCTCCTGTCCGCCTCCGCCACCCCCACGGCCACGGCGGGTACGTCCTGACCGAGCCGATCCTCCACCGCCTTGTCCACCTCCCTTGTTTCCGGATGCAGGCGCGTTGCTCACTACTGCACCGCTGTTGTTGCTGGTGTTGTTGTTAGTGCTATTGCTACTTGGCACATTGCCTGCGACAGCTTTCGGCTCCTGCTTTGCACGGTCTCCTCGATTTCTGCGGGATCGACCAGAACGTCCTGGTGCGCTATCTGTGGTGGAGGCCTGCGCACCGTCCTTTTTGGAAGCAGAACTTGTTCCTGGTTGCTGTTGTAGCTGTCCGCCTTGATTTTGAAGTCCGCGACGTGTTCCTGAGCTGGCTGATCCTTGGCTCCCTTGAGATGTCACACTGTTGATAGGCTTGGATTCAGTATGGGGTTGACCGCTCTGTGAACCAGATCCAGCAGAGGCGAGTGAGTTAGTGTTAGCGTTGCTTGCTGGCTTGGGTTTCAAGAGGGTAATTTGAGGCGCCGTAGGCTCTCCAGCTGTATTACTAGCAGCTGCAGCGTCCGCAGCCACCTTCTTGCTGCCTCGGTCTCTGCGTCTCCTCTCACGCTTGGGCTTTGCTCCTTGACCATTTTCAGCCTCTGCTGTCTGCACGGGCTTTTTTCCTTGTTGCATTTGTTGCTGCGATGGTGGGATTTGCTGACTCTGCTGGTTTTTGATGGCTGCACTGGGTGAACTCGAGGTCTGTGCACGATCTTTAGCGTTTCTGTTGGCGAGGATTATGATCTGCGCCTTGCTAGAGCTGGATAGACCTGCTTTTCCTGCCTGTCTCGCTTGTCTGGTGGCCGATTTTGCTGCATGCGCCTTTGCTTGAGCTGCGGCCTTTTGCGCCCTCAATGCCTCCAGCAATGGTGTTGATTTCGGATTTATTGCACTCTCTTTCAGTACTATAATGGTATCCATACAAAAACAAAGTCAGAATGGAGTGGATCTAGCAATGCCTTTGGTACAAAAGCGACCAAATGAAGACGATACTTACGCAGCTCTGTTCCTGAAAGTTTCATCTCCTTGTCGGCCTCGCTGGGTTCTGAATTCAACGACTGCAAGAACGCAATGTAGTCCGGATCTAGGGTCGCATATGGCAGGGACAAGCATGTATCAGCTGTCAGTGGTTCCTCTGCACGGCCTCCTTAATATGCCTTGATAGCAGTACTGTAATTCCACAAGACAGGTACCTTCTTCAATCGTTCCTTGTTTTGCGTCCACCTTGCGTGCATCTCGGGGTATCTTTTGGAACGCTGCAAACTCCACAAAAGCTCTGCCTTCGTTCCCGTTTCTGTCCACAAATGTGTGTCCATGATAGGTCTTTTGGAATTCCAGCGCCAGCTTCTCGTTTTTAAAGTAGATATACGCTCGCGCAAAAGTATTTCCTTTGACTGGACTAAGAAAGAAATACATTTTAGTAATAGCAAACAAAAGCACATCGACATGTGAGGTTTCGAAGTCGATGGAAAGCATACGTTACTTTTTGCTCACTTTGCCGTTAACCCATGTGGTTGGTCGTTCCAGTGAGGTCTCTGGAACCAGGGGACTGATGGAATCAATAAAGACTTGCTCCGGAAGGTTAGCGGGAAGCCGGCGGACGACGATCTTTGTCTTGGCCTGACCCTTGTTGGGCCCCTTGGATCTCGAGGCGCGCTTGAAAGTGGATGCTTTTCCTCCTGTATTGCTCATTCTGGTTCGTGTTGCGGTGGTCCTGGCTCCGTATATTGCGTAGCATGAGGTTAAAAGGACACGAAAGCTGAGCGGAGCGCAAAAGTGGCTGACGGCACCTATGAGTCGCAGTCACATCAAGGGTGCAACAAAAAGCTAGGTGTTTATTTTTCTTGCTGCAGCAGTGCATCTTTTTTCTTTTTTAATTGTCACTCCACGAACATCAACACTCGTCTACAATATGATCATCCCAGTGCGCTGCTTCTCCTGCGGAAAGGTCATCGGAAACAAGTGGGACCACTACCTCTCGCTTCTTCAGTCAGATTACAGCGAAGGGTGAGTTACAACTGGGGGGCTTTCAGCTGAGGGTTCTTGGGAACGGAACAAATACATAGGATTCACCACCACACACCCACGCAATTCATGGATGCCTTCATCCACAAGCAGGATGACAACGGAGAGACTCCCTGCCATCATATTTCAGCAATAATAGCCTTCTAGACAATGAAGCAGTAAGCTGCTAGTTTTTTTCTTTGCGGCATACTAATCTAACCGCTCATCGGTTCTCACAATAGTGATGCACTTGACGCTCTCGGCCTCAAGAGATACTGCTGCCGCCGCATGGTCCTCACACATGTCGATTTGATCGAGAAGCTTCTGCACTACAATCGTAAGTTAGGGATCACAGGCATTGTTCGCCACTGTCTCGTAATAAATACAATATTCATATTAACATGTGCTGCTCTATGCCTTTGTGTTTAGCCCTCGAACGCAGCGTTGACTTGAAGCGATAAATCGGACGGATCAAACATGAAGAACGAAGCGAGGCGTGTGTAATACTGCATTGGATAAATAAAACTGGCTGCGCATTATTTCTTTGACATTGCTTTGGCCAGTTTTGATGGAGGCTATTTAACACGAATGTCTGTTCATATACCGATGGCGTCGTTCATTCCTTGGTCGATCCGCCGCACCACATGTCGTTCATGAAGAACTCGCAGCCTGCGACTGATATGAAGACTACAGAGCAAAATATGCATTCATTCCTTCTTTTTTCACGAGACCTTTAATCCAATGAAGAGCACAGTTTTATTCGCCCATTGGAATCCATTGATCTCGTAAGCCCTCCTCGTAGTCATGTTCTACTACAACTTGATCTCCATCTGAATCTTGTGAGCTACTGTTCATATGATCGTTTTCGTCGTCCTGGGGATGCGATGCTGATATGGAGTGTGGTACAGTCTCTGCGATCTCGAACCGTGAGTGCTGCCTGACTAGGTTGACATAGTATCGCTGCATCACGGTGCCCTCGACAGCGACGCGCCATTCAATTAGTCCCAGAAATTCGACCTCGAGTGTGTTGAGTTCCTGGGTGGACAATCCTCCAACCTTTGCATAGTGAGAGTTGGTGCAGTAAGAGTCGCAGACGGCCTTGGCCGCCAGTGTGACAGAGGCGATAATAAATCGGTGGACGGTGAGCGAGGAAATCGTAAAGGTCCTGACTTTTTCGCACACACGATCGATGTAGATTAGGATGACGAGAAGACAGGCCCGCTCTAATGAGGTATATTTGACAATTCTCCGGAGATAATCGTAGACGGATATCTGAGGGGGCGCTCTAGAGTGAAAGCGAGTTAGGTTGGCGGAGGTGAGGGGTATTTGGTCGTTGTGTGCGGTCAGTCTACATAGCATATCCGCTAGCGTAAGTCAATATTGAGGTGAAAGCTCAGTTAGTTTTGCTATACGATTCCTTTTCAAAACGATCAAACAGACGAGAAGCAAAGCGTCCCCTTTCTTTCCGCGAGAAATAAAACGAGAACATGCTTTTCTTCGTACCAATCATGATGGTGAGGTGAGTCATGTCGGCCTGGTAGAAGTACTCGGGCACGAGGATCACGCCCTGAGGATCCTCTCGTACGGTGGGCCCTGTTGGCTCTGGTGACGGTGAGACCTGCGCTGAGCCAGGATGAGGATGCATATCGAGAGCGACAGTGTGTGTCTGTCTGGTGGGTCAGGTCGAGTGGTGGTTGATGAGGTTGCAGGCGCAGGGGCGTCGTGGATCACTTGCGGTTGTAGTTGTTGTTGTTGGGGGTGTGCACGGTACGATAATATTCGGCAGCAGTCCAGACAAGCAGTAAGTAGAGAAGAGAAGAAGAAAAAAATGAAGGGTACAAAAGGTCGGTGCTGTTGTTCCGTTTGTTCGTCTGTTCGTTTGTTTGTTCCTGAAAGGAGGAATGATCAAAGCAGTGGGAGTGAGATCATGAATTAAAGAGAATTAGATTAAGGGACAGGTAATAGTACAGAGGGGGAAGGAAGGAGTTGTTTGGTCATCCAATCGGTCGAAGAGAAAGTAAAATAAAATCGTTCCGTTTTTTCTCACTCTCGCTTTTCTTTCTTCTGAGCCACTCGATCGATCTATTGAATGGGGCCTGGACAAGTTAGACAAGTGGGACAAGTGGGACAAGTGGGACAAGTGGGACGGAGGCTCTCCTTCGCTCGTTCGTTTTCTTCTTTGTCTCCTTCTTCCTCTTCTCCTTCGTCCTCTCTCTCGTTCTCGCAAGGAGGAAATATCTTCTTTTTTTTTGTCCGCAATGTGATGGACACGCACGCGACCATTTGCTGCTCTCACTTTTTTTTTACGAAGACCATGCACGATCGCGATAAGGGGCCCAATGCTTTTCTCCCATCCCATCGGACCACTGAAAGAGTCAAGCAATAATAATACTTTCTATTTGTTTGACTATCAATCCACTCAATTGGTCCGCACATACTTTTCCTTCTCATACACAGTCAATATACTAACATGCACTCCTGCTTTTGATAGCGTTCTTTGCTGGCTCCCAATGAGCTGCTGGTGGACCCCCAATATGATGTCATGGAAATATGAGCGCAGAAGCCATGCCCTGAGCTGAATTGGGTTCCCCTTTTCAGAGCATCGTGAGAGCTAGACTCGCCTCATTTTCGCCCTTGCATGCATATTTCTATATCTCTTTCTTCTCATCCTTCTCATTATAATTCCCATTTCTCATTCATCGCTTCCAGTCGTATGACACTCTGCGGCACCACAAGGGTCGCCAGGGGTGTTGTCGGATGGGCCCGACTCGCCTGTAAGTGAACAAACTACACACGTATCTTTTGAGCCGTTCGACTGGAACCAGAGCTGACATATGCACCTGTTTTGATATCACTCGATCTACACCGTTATATCCTTGCACAGTCACTAAAACCCCTGGATCTATCACTCTATCTCGAGATATTCGACGTTTTGCCTCGAGCGACTCACGGTCAGGATACGGATTTCGATCTGCGGAGGGCCCCACAAAGGACAAACTACGCGTCGTACCCTTCAAGATGAATGTTAAACAAGCTGAGGAGGTAAGCAGTTCACAACTGATAGATTGGCATAATTATTACGAACAATCGTAATCCAATCTCATTTATTTTTTATTTCAACATAGGTGTTTTCAAAATACCATGGACATAGCTTCTTTTCAGCCAAAGTCAATCAAATCGACAAAGTTGAGGCACTATACATTCCGTTTTGGGCAGCCAGTGGATCTGTCAAATCAAAGATCATCAATGCGCAAGGTAAGAAAAATAAAATGAAAAACCTTATCTTGGATCGAGGAATGTTGCTATCATCTCCACCGGGATTCTTTTTCAGGCAGACACACTAAAAGCAATCTTTCGTTGTTGTTTTCTATAGTGGGTTGGGACCGTCTCGTTACCAGATACAACAAGGTCACTAAGCAGAACGAGTCGTCATGGGAAACCACATGGAAAGCAGTTCAGACCCAGCATGAATTCTCAACAACTTATCCAAGCACAATCCCAGGATTGCAGATCTACGCCTCCTACAAGTATCGTCGCGGATTTGTGAACCAGATTAGAAGCAGCACTAGTATCCTCGCTGCAAAGACATTGCAGCCCCAGGATATGGAGTCCAATGACCCAGAGGATCTTCAGCGTGGGCTCCATAACCGAGGACTGGATCCTTTCACAATGAAGCCAGTCATCGCCCTCAAGTTTGTCAAGACTGCGATTGAGGAGAACGAGATCCAGACCATTGAGCGTTGGCTGGTAGAGAACTACAGGTGTGACCGAGCCAGGATCATGTCGATGGATTTTCAGTACAATGACTTAGTTTTGGCACCCGTGTACATGCCGGTCTTCGTGTTTTCGATCCAACATTTGGACAGGACCTTCAGGACATTTGTTCAGGCCCATGATGAAGTAGGACTTGTTGGAGGCATGCGTTTTTACTCGTGGCAGCGTGTCAGTGCCGTGACGGCCATCTGCGCCATGGCGAGCCTGGCCATCATGGGCACCTCGCGCTTCGGTATGACCATGACCACTGGATTCTGGCTCGGAGTCGTTGCACCATCTTTGATTGTTGCGTGGTCTGTGCTCTACTATCCGATCCTGGATTATCGAGTCAGAGATTTGTGGCGACAACGGTATGCATGATCGTTTTGAAATCGACTGCAATAGTCGACGCAAAGACACAGCTTCCTCACATCGCCAACGCTCAACGCGTACTCCGCATTGATTTATCCTCTAGAGAAATGGCCGGCCATGAAGAAGAAGCTTATTCATCTGCATGGGACGCAGATTGGACCAAAGCTTACGACAGGTGGGCGTTGCTCGATAGCCTTTAGCCTTTTGAAATATGGCCACTATTCATTTACAATACCCAATCTCTACTCATTAGATATGAAGAAGAGCAACGGAGACAGGACTGGAGCGAGAATCAGCAATACCACCGGCAGTCTTCACGAGGCTCAAGATCCTCGTCGTCATCATCGTCAACATCATCGGGACCTTCTGGACCACCTGGTGACCCACAAGGGTACTATGCGGTACTGGGTGTCCCTACCGACGCCTCCGTGCAAGAGATTCAGTCAGCTTTCAGAGGACTTGCGATGAAGTGGCGTACGTCTCCTTCATTATGTTAACACGTTGGATCATCAATGGACAAGGCTGAGTGAGCGACCAACTGACTGGCTAACTGACTGACCTCATTACGGCCTTGATTCGCTCTTCTTGATGGGACATTTATAGATCCTGACCGATTTAATACGCCTGAGGAAAAGGCCAAAGGCAAGAAAAAGTTCCAAGAAATTACTGCCGCGTACAGCGTGCTGCGAGATTCCAAGAAAAGACGCGCGTACGATATGTTTGGCCAGTCTTAGTATATCTTTATCCTTATTTTAAAGAAAATATAAACGGTAGCAAATCATCTTGGAAGATATTGAGTTGGCCCGTGGTGGGAGACGGCTTTTCGAGCACTGCATTTTATATTTTTGCTGTTGCCCATTGCCTTTCAATTCTGCACTCCTCTCTTGCAGGCACAACCAGCGCACTACACTCCATCGCCACCACTCCCGCTCATGAAACTCATGGAATCCATGGAATAGAACGCGCAATGGCAAGGTAAAACATACGCACCGGCAACTGACGTAGCCTCCATTGTCTCCAGCCTTCCGTCGACGAAGAGGATTCTCACACACTATTGGCCGTCTTTGGCTGGCTCCTGCTCCATAGCTATTATTTTCAAGAAGACTCTTCTGACGAGTCCACCGGCGTTATGGGCACCAAAGCACCTTCGCCAACGATGAGCAGCAACTACAACAGCAACAACAACAACGACAACAGCATTGATGTCTCACGTCAGAATCGGGACAGGGACACTCGTTCTGGATCAATCTCGTCCTCAACTTCGCCACTGGCCACAGCATCCTCCTCTCCATCGTCGTCCCCGACTTCCCGTTCACGAAATGCGGCCTCTGCGCCTTCCTACGTCTCATCTAGTCCAGCGGCATCACTTGAGCAACCAAAAGACTCCTTCGTGTTTAATGAATCAGGAAAACCCCCTGACCAGTCGCTGGAGGACGCCAAGAGCCTTGCCATCGCCATAAAAAATCAGGATATGATGTCGCGGTCAGACCTCGAGGAATCTCTGCTGAGAAACCTCTTTGCGCCGGTCAGGTCCTTGGAGTCAGAGGTAAGCGACACGAGAAGCTGTAGCCGCAATGCCGTGGATCAGAGGTGAGCAGGACCAGTCTGTAGAAAAAAACATCATTAACGTATTTTGGGCGAATAGAGTATCAGTATACTGCATGCCTCAACAGACAAACATCTTCCTTGGACAGAGAAACCCCAGGAATACACAGCTGCAGCGATGCGATTCGTCCCCCAGACCCGCGTATTCTGTATCAGCAAGCAGTATCGATCTGTTTTCTTGGTCGATGTCAGCTCATCTGTGCTCACCGTGGACTCTGGCGGATCAAAGATCGTTATGGGCCAAGTCATGGAAACGTAGGTGGTCGCAATTTGTTTGTGTCGATGTCCACTATCAAAGGATTTTATTCACTCAACTCTAAAAATCTTCGTGCCATATAGTCTTACAAAGTGCCTCGCAGGGCTATCAGAAAGATTCTCATGTCCAGGAACGAAGCAGGAGTTTGTTCAGGTATATCTGCTTTTCATCGCGTCCTAGTTAAGATGATTTGTGGTCAAAGCTCTAATCGGCTGTATATTTCGCCAATAGTCCGAGATCCATATCACTGTGATCGCAGAATGTTCACAGTTCGCAAGTAACCTGCATACAGGGGAGATGCTGGCCAACTTCCCGACTATGAAGGTGCTGCTACAAGATGTTATCTTGACAGAGTCCAATCTGCATGGCGTATTGAGAGTCCTTCGAATACAGCTAGCAAAGTTTCAAGCCAAGCTCTCAAAGTTCCGAGGAGAGCTGCGAAGGGGTCGAGAGACACTCGGATATTCACTTGCAGTAGAGGATGCCGTAGAAGACGTAAATACTGAACTGGACGTGGAAGACGACATCAGCCGAAGAAAGTCGTGGGGTGTGGGTCTATCGGGCGCCAATTTATCCTATACGCTGACAGCTGGTCTGTTTGCTTTGGGCATGATGCCACCCGCTGCCTCTCCCTCATTGGTGATCATCACGGACGGCGTTGTCAAGTCGAATTTGTTGCACGGAAGTACGATTCTTCGTCGACTTATGGAACTGGACATTTTGTGCTCCATCATCCAACTCGGGAGTCATGAAGAGGCTATCCCAAGCTGCAATTGGGGTTTTATTCAGGATACGGAGGCTCTCCGCTTTGTCACCGAGGCTACGCTTGGAAAGTTCATGTATTCTCAGGATTGTATTTCAGTCCATTCCTTCATCAATACCCACTGCCAAACACCGATTCGAGTCGCTCCAAACATGTACCATCGTGCGTTTCTCATCCGTGAGCTATGCCTACTCAAACCACGCCCAGGACTCGATGACATGGAGGACAGGGAGGATTCGGCAGGGTACACCCTCGCCAACTTTCCCTGGGATCCTAAAAGTCAGCCGGAACCGATAAAGATGATGCAGACGGCTTGCAAGGACTACCACCTCAATATACCCGTGGAGATGCTCGTTACCACTCGAATCAGACAGGGGTTCAGGATCAAGGGAGTCTCTATAGCACCAGACCGCGAACGACCGTCCTCCGAGCGCTACATGATCACCATGACACTGGCATGGCTTCCAAATGTCACAGTGCAGTACAGGCTGAAGGGCCAAGTCTCGAGCGGGGACTCTAAGTCCAATTACTTTAGCCGTTTTGAGTCACCCAAGGTCGAGATCGATATTATCGCCTACCAAGCGTTCGCTATCCATTTTTTGAACTCTCAGCATGCGCCAGTCAATGCCAACCATTCAGTGTACGCCAAAGTATTCAGGATACACCGATATATCGTGGGACTGAGTGACTCGGACGTCACGTTGCGCGGACTAAATAACTCACATGCCTCCGCTAACCAAGCCCTGTGGACGCAAAGAGCAAAACTGAAGGAACGATCCCGAAACCCCACTGGGATGACAGCCCAAGAACGCAACAGAAATGATTTGGTGGCATATATCTCTCGACTTTCAGAGCAATGGTCAGGTCTCGCAAAGGATGTTGACTCTCAGTACAGTCGGGGCTGGTATAACGAGTACGAGTTCGATGCGCTACTGGTCATTCCACCGCCAGCGTTCCTGCCAACGCTCATGGACACCAAAAACTCTTTCGTCAAGTATAGCGAGGGACTGGAGGGTACTATTAAGGGGATCCGCGATAACCTTAAAAACACCTGGGCGTCCTTCATCGTAGGGGATGTGTTCATTCAAACCTGTCAACTGCCGGAATCGAGTCCAGCAACAGCAACCAGCTCTCGATTTTGTGAACTGCGGCTATCCAGCGAGCCTAATGTGGCGATTCTACGGATCCAGCTGCGATTTTTCGGTGTATCACTGCCACAACGCAGGTCGATCGTAAAGGCCCTTCAGGATCGGATATACAACTTCCAGGCAGGGCAAGCTCCTCAGGTCGGTAATTCCAAGATAGAATCAAAGATCGTGGAGGCCAGAGTGCTCCGATGTCATCGACCGATTTACCGCCTTCTCATGCGCCATCTGATCTACGAGGCTCCCCTCAGTCACACGCCCGAAGCAAACCTGACCGACTTTCACACGCATGTGTCGGAACCCATTGGGAAAGAATCGGTGCTGCGATCTTACATGGTCCACAGGCGCTGGGGGTGGAAGGATCAAGTGCGCGACTCCGCTTATCTGGCAGAGAACAACTACATGGCAAGTCAGGATTTGGCATTTCAGTACCTATGTGCACAGCGAATAGGCGAGGGTTTTCTGCTGGCCTCTGCGCTTCCCAACCGTGTCGTCTTTTACAAAGAAATTGACTTGCCGGAACAGGAAGGCACCCTTCTCCGAGGTTGGACGACAGTGCAGTACCTCATCTTCCGAAGCCCGGTTTCAGGCGAACTTGTGACGGAACTCTGGATGGAACCCCCTCTCGACGCATGTCGCCGGAATGTATTTGAAATAATCAAGGCTCAGATCATCGCAGTTGACCGGTTTGTGCTATCTCGTCTTGCGACCTATGAGGCGATTCATACGATCGGTCGGCTCCGCCTTCGACCAGAGGTGAACGCCGTACCGGAACGTGGATTCATGTACCCATGGCTCTTCGATCCAGCAACGTTGTTACGACAGCAGAGACTCATTACACTGGCATTCGAAGCCCCGCGGCGGTGTTTGGGGATTGATGAGAACAATATCGTTGAGCTCGAGATGTCGGGGAAGTGCATCCATACACTTGGCCTTGGAACTGTGAGTGCGGCAGTGACAGACATTGCTTCTAGCACGCTCATGGTCGCTTCTGGTGGCAACAAGGAGCTGCAGCTGACCAGACATTCTAACGCCAGTGTGACCAGTCTCAACCAGTCGATTTTGGAGGCGGAGGCAACGGGTCAGAGTGAGGGCGAACTTGTTGCAGAGTACAAGGATCAACTGCGGGAACTTTGCTGCGCTGATCGCGATCTCGCTATCCTTCACTTATTCATGGAAAAATCCCTGTCACAATTGGCAGACGGAGAAATTATGCCAGGAAATGAGGACGACTCCTGTAGCCAATTTTTCCTGGACATCAAAACGTCTATCAAGCATAGCCCTGAGGTGGGGCAGACATTAATGACTTTTCATTGCACCAGCTCCTTTCAGGACATTCGCTGCTTTGTCAAGAGCTTCAATGCCAAATTCTTCCGACTTATCATCATTCCAAGGCTCGGATCAGTCATATCGCACCTTACGAAGCTGCGTTCTCTACCGCCAAGGGAGCAGGAGGACCGTAGAGCGCAGGCACGTCGGGACTTTTTGAGCTGCCTTATGTTTGAGTGCCTCCGTAGCAAGCCCTTGTCAGATGTCTCTGAATACAATGCCAATGCGATGGATCAGAGTCTCGCTCACTTTGAACTCCATCCCGTCTCACTTGGTCCTATTGTAATGCAGCAGCCATTGCTCATCCAGCCCATTGTAAACGAGGACCAAGGAAAGGCTAGGGTGCAGGAATCGACTCTACAGCTGATCATGTCTATTAGCCAAGCGTACTCACATAGCTTTGCTAAGGCAATCTATGCCGCGCTCATCGAAGGCCACGCTGTCAAGGATTCTGACCTTAAGAGTGCCTGCCAAATCTGCACAAGAACGACAGTCGACATCAATATCACCGGCTTCCTCAATACCCTGGAACAAGGGCGACGAGCAGGAACGCTCAGGCAATGACTCTTTTTCATCGTTCTTTGTGTGTCATTGTCAAGTGCGATGAAATGCACGCGTATGTGCCCAGCACGCTAGCTGACAGTTTCATCTACTACATTATCTCTATAGGGATGAATCAGCAGAGCTGAAAACTAGGTTTATGAATGTTCTCAAGCACTCGTTCGACCTTGCGCCCGTTTCAGGCTCCGATCAGACTTACTTTTACCGACCCTTGTTGAGGAAACTCTCATCGAAGACCAGCAAGCTAAGAACCAGGAAGAGGTCACCAAGCGTTTCCCGCTCAGGATCCATCGACACAGACATAGAAGATGCACTTGCGGAGGTAATTGAGAGTGCGGAGCGACCACTCTTCTTGCATTTAGAGTGCTCTTTTCAAAAGCCTCAGACCCCAGTGTCCGAGCTGGAGCGAACCGGACTTAGACCATCTGTCACCTTCCCAGTAACGGGACTTCCAGTGTCGTACATTTACACGGACGAGGACTCACTCAAGCATGACTACGCCCCTACTAGTATTGGCTTCGATTCCCGACCGGTGGACTCTGCGGACGGCACGATCGCTATCCTGCATCTAGTGATTTCAACTCTTCCAGTGCCTGAAGATTATGCAGGGCCGACATTGAAGTCGATCGATTCTGAGACCAAGATGAACATCGACAACAGCCAGCTATCAGGATCAAGGGGTCTACAGCATCTCTTCCCAACCCTGGACTCAATACAGGTGGATGCGATCGTCGATACAGAAGCTAGGTTGGAGTGGCTCGTCAAGGAAGAGGTCATGCACGGTTTGTTGAATATGGCGCCAGTAACAACCGATATTTTGGGACTGGTAGAGACGCAGCTCAAGACCAAGAGCAGCTATGTGAACTTCCCCACATCAATGACTTTGCCTTTGACTTTCGTGAGGAAAAGGCGCGGCCATGGCATTTTCATGCAAGAGCTTGGACGTACGAACATGCACCCTTACGAGCTTCATCGCATGGAAGACTATTTTTACTTGACAGAGGAAGAGGGCGCTTCGGAGGACGGGGAGTCGGTCGGGTCTGCAGCCGGTGATCATGTTAAGGACTCAGGGGCCTCAGCCGAGGCGGAGCTTACGAACGACGATTTGCCCTCACTTACAAGCAGTTTGGAAAAGAACCCATCCCTGCCGCCTTCGAACGATCTTTGCCATGGTCTGGGCATCGTCATCCTACCGGACCCAATGCCAGCGAAACGACCCATTTCAGGTGTAGGAGGCAACAATGATCAAGGACACTCAAGAAGGAAGCGCTCATTCTGGCTTATTTTGGTCCCGAAGGATTCCTTCGTGCAAGTTCATTTTTTCTCAAAGTCGCTGTCCGGAGAGGCTTGTAAAGCCATTCTTGACCATGTCCGTAGAGCAATTGATGAGCTTTGTGTCAAGGTCAACCAACTCTCGCTTTTGCAGTTGCTGAACGAGAGGAGAAACTGCAGCAAATACCTCGTGCCCAGCGATGACACGGATCCTGATGCGGACTCGGAGTCGGGATCGGATTCAGACCAGCTATCGCAGGAAGACGAGGCCCTGGTCACTGGAGGATCAAGACCACCGGATAATGCACAGGTCCAGCGGAAATTCAAGCCGGGGGAGTTTGCGTGCCCGTTGGTCTATCGTGTATCATGGCCGCTCCATTGGCGCGTCAAACCTGGACAGGCAACCATGAGCGTGGCGGCCCTCGTACTCCATAATTTCGCCGTCCAGAACCGCAAGAATTTTTTCGTGGTTGAGAGCCAGGACGACCATGACGAGACCAGGAAAATTGTCGTGTTTCTGAGGCTAAGTGAGGTGGAGGTCCAACCTGAGCAGGGGTCCTCCACGCTTGCTGGAGATGATGCTCGAGGATCACACCTGGCCGTCAGCAAGGGAGAAGACACTTCCGGTCACACGCCTACACCGATTCAGAACCTGGAAGATGCTGGATCGCATGCAAATAGCCCTCGCCCATCGCCTACAGCCTCTCCAGGGTCCAGAAATGTGGCGCTCCCAGTAGTCAGGTCCGAGACAAGGGAGCTGGTGATCGAAGTGTATGGTGTTGAGCATCCTGGCAAGAGCGTGACAGTAGATCTCTTCAATCATATGGAGAGCAAGTTTTACAACTTCGTGGTCCTTCCAGTGGTGTCCACATTCCTGTCCCGCAACTCGGCCTTGAAGTTGACCCAGGCAGTAAGATTTTTTTTTCCCTGGAATTATTAACTACCTGTCCATCGAAACTCTTCATGAGAGTTGCATTATTTAACATGTTCACTCTTTTATTCCAAAATAATAGGACGTCGACTTCATTTTGCCTGTCGATAGACTGGAACCCACTCGCCAGGTGCTTGAGATTCCGCATTTCATCAACGCACCCTATGCATTCTTGATGTATCTGAAGCAAAACCTCTGTCTATACCTCAGCTCATTGACAGGCACAGACATGGTTATTGCATTGAAGAGGCATTATCATGCACAGTATGGTCGTTCATTCACGACTGAGAGGTCTCGCGATCGGTAGGCAGCATGGAACATTGATACTATGCTATTATTACTGTGCACAATCTTTCATTTTTCCATAATCTCCATTGTCTTCAAGGTCTCTATTGATAGAAATTGTCTATCGTCAGTTCATCTCACTAACTATGCATATACCAATTGTTTATGCCCTTAGGATTAGCCAGTCAAATCAGTTGCAGATCGGCGACTTCTCATTTTTTTACAATGCAGTCCAAGGGCGATCTCAAACTCTCGTTGAGGCCCATGTGGGCTTGGGTTTGGCAGGAGTGTGCCTGACAGTGCTTGGTCAGGACTTGAAGCCCGTCTTCGAGGTTGGATATCAGGAAGGGGACCACGACAAGGAGGATATCGAGAAGTATTTTGCGTCCTTCCCGAGCTCAAGTGGTCTGAAGCCGTCAAAGTACAGTTTAATGATCGAGGTTTGGGCGCAGGGCTCTGTCAATGCAGCGGCCCTTTTAGATTCCATCTGCCAAAGCTTTCGCCAAAGCCTGTGCGACGACATCATTGAAACCTCGATCGCCCAGGGCCTCTGTCCTAGTGCGCGAGACAGGAGGAACGACGTGGACGAGCTCGATGGCGAACCACTCATTGGCGAACGCATCCAGAAGAATTTTATCGACCCTTCCTTCATGGTTCTGCAGCATGCTTATCAGTGGAAGAATCCTGCGGTTCAGTCCCTTGCTCTACAGTATTCGATGCCGCCCTGGATCATAGACTCGTTTCTGTTGGAGCTAGATGAGATCTTGACAGATGTCAGCGTTCATTTTTCACCACTATTGATTCGATCGATGGCGAATCGTAACCGGTACAAGGAGTACAAGGCCTCTAGTGGAACTCGAAAATCGTTTGGGGATATGACCAACATCCGCTTTATTCTCATTGGAGGCATTCAGGACCTGGGTGACGGTTCGAGCTCGGGTCACTATGGTAGACGAACAAGCATGGGAAGCGACCGCACGCACTCTCGTCGTAGCTCTCTTGCAGAGGGTCAAAGCTTGCACCATTCGCACAAAACTTCGACCCATTCGTCTCAGCAGCATCCAAAGCGACAGCTCGAGGATATCAAAATGTACCCGAACGCTATCATGAGTAGCAGCCAGGGCGAGACGATGCTTACCCGCAACTGCTTTGTAGTCATTACCGCTAATGGATTCGGACTGCAGGCCTACACGTACAACTGGGGCAAATCGTACCATGACTTTATGTTTTCGGCGGTCGAGAAGGTTGTCAAGTGGCACAGAGATCGTATGCGACTATTGGACAACATCCTGCTGCAGAAAATGGGCCTCTTCCACCATGTCCCTTCGATACTCTCCACACAAGCTCCCTCTACAGCTCCTACAACTCAGGCCACCCCTGCGATCACTCCCGGCATAATACATAACCTCCCTCGTGTTGCTGCCCAGAGTTCGCCGCATCTTGGATCTAACCTGCGCATCGCTCATCCAGAACCCAGTATCAGTACACCTAATATCTCGAAAACGACGACATCACCAAAGTCTCAGTCAACCGTAGTTGTTGTGCCCGACACCGCCAACTTGACCAGCCTTGTAGAGGATCAGTTCCCGAGTCGGTCACGATCTCTTCATGTCGGAACCAGTCTCTACGGCAACGATGACAATCGCTTCGAGCCTTCAAAGGCATCCTCAAGCTCCTTGTCTTTACCTACACGACCCATCCCTCCGGCTATTACTGTTGCTGCTGCTGCTGCTGCGCAGTCTTTCACGCAGCTGCAGAACCAAACCCAGTCTTCGGATCAGAATGCGCCCAACGTCGGTGCCATAATCAGCACAGGTCTCGATGTGGATCAGATCTTGCGCGAATATTGCCTTGACCCGTTAGAAACCCCGCGCGATGAGGATCAGGTCCAAGACGAGGTCCAGCGCCATGGGAAGCCATTCATGGAAACATTCACTTACCACAGCAAGAATGCAGAAGACCAGCAAAATGCCTACAATGTCTATCAAAAGTGGTCGCGGCGCTACAGGGACTGTAAAGGCTCTCCCAATGCCTTGCACGAAAACATGAACACATCTGATCTCGCCATCATGCTGCGCTCCTCGAGGCTGCTTCACTTCTGCAGAACGCCATTACTTTTCACTGAATTCTCATCCTCACTCTTCCAGCTCTCCAAAGAATCCAGCAGCACGACCCAGACCTCCGCAATGTGTCAAGCTATAAATGGAAGAGCAAACGGATCCGGCTTAGGTGAAAAGCCGGCTCCTGTGGTGGATCCTGTTGCGCAATGGTACAGCGCGTTAGCTGAGGCATTTATGCGAGAATACAGTCAGTACCTGGCAACTGTAGGCATGCAGTTGCTAATGTATGGAAATTCCAAGTTCGACAAGCCAGTGGAGCCTTCTCAATCCGGAGAGTTGTCATTCATGTCGCAATTTACGGTTTCACAGACCCTGTCTGTCGCCAGTCCGGCTGCCTTCCTGTTCAAGTCGCTACAAGGTGGATCGATCATGTGTGAGGTCCGTTTACAGGGCATGTTTGTTTGTGTAACGCTATACACACTGAACCGACGTTATGGCCGAGTCAAGGTTGCGGCACCAGGGTTTGCTACAGCTGAGGCTAACAAGCAAAGCTTGAGGGTCTTTACGGAGCAATGCGCCCGTTTCAAGGACCGTATTCACGTCAATAGCTTTGTGTACGATTTCCATCTGCGATACATTCACCGGATACTGATGGAATCATCCAAGGTGACGGCACCTGGGTCCCCTACTGCCGGAACGGGCTTCTCGAACGCTACTTCGACTTCATTGCCATCCTCTTTCGACTTGTTGGATGTGCTGCACCAGTTCATGCAATATCACTCACGTCCTGCGGCTTACTCTCGAAACCGGATCTACCGCGGAGTCTACCGAACAAATGTTGCACCGGGAGAGACTGAGTTGCCAGGACATTTGTTTGAGTACGTGATCAAGAACCCACAGCGATATGGATTTCAGGTCATTCATCACCAGAACCGCCCGAGAGCATGTTTTGTCTCCGGACGCGATCTCTTGACTGGATTCGGAGGTAGTCACAGAAACACCGATGAAAGTCTACGATCTGAACACCATCGATTTGTGAGCGAAAGTGTAGGCCAGGGCTTGAAAGGCTTTGGGGTCAACGCAAGCAGGGGTGGATTGGCGACGAAATATGATAAACGACCTTTTGAACCACACGCACGGCACACAAGTCATGACAACACCTTCAACGGCAAGCGGATGTCTCGCAGGATGACGACAAGTAGATCGGGCTATAATGTGAAAGAAACCGCGGTTCTTGAGGAGGACGGAGTTGAATATGTGCTAGTCATCTCGGATGGCGAACAGGATAACATGGGACTTACTGTCCACTACTATCTCTTGATTCTCAGAGAGGAAGAGGTTGTCAAAAAACTGGAGGACCGTCATGGGCCGCTCGTTGGCGCCAAGGACCGCCTGCTAGCCGCCAATCACAATCTCCTGCACTTGCGAGAAAGCGTAAGCTCTGGTTCGATTAACCATGGCCTTGGTGGACTAGCGAACCGGTCGAGCATCATTGCCAGCCAACTTCAGCCAGCGTATCCCGTGGGGGATGAGAACAGAGTACAAGCGGAACCAAAGCAATCGGTATCAGTTACAGATCAGGGCACGGCTACTCTCTCTGAAACGCTACCTCAGGAACACTTCAGCGGAGGACAGCGGCTCATGGACGTGACAGAGTTGCAGGAGCGGATCACTGAACGGGCTGTCCTTGGCGACGTTGTTCGTGCAGCCGAGATTCGCTTGGATATGCTGTTGAAGCAAGCTGCGCAGTTCTTTGACCGTGACTCGTTGTGGGAAATGCTTTTGCAAGGAAAGATTGGCAATTCTGGTGTGATTCTGACGGGATCGAACTCTTCCTTGATTGGTACCTCTCACGGCGTTAGTACCCCGGGAACGATGTTGTCAGTCGATACAGTCGATTATCTTACTCACAATAGTCAGCAGCAACATCAGCAACAGCAACAAGGCAATCGACAGGACAGCGCGTCTGTAAGCAGCGCCGAACTAGGATTTGCGGACTTTTTAGCACTCGGACAGCGATTCCACAGCACACCGCTTGAGGAAATGGAACCGGGTTTCCGAGCGATTGTGACAGCTCCAGGAATTGACTGGGGCGGTGTCCTGACGTTCTTGGCGCGTTACTACGCCCGATGGGCGAGAGAGTTCATGGAGCATGACGAGACCCAGTCTCCAGGACCTGCTGTGTCCAGTCTCAGACCTGGACCTACTGCAGGACCCTCATTGCCATCGCTTGGTCGTCGTGGATCGATCGCACGAGGGGCTAAACCTCAAAGGGCTCGCCGACACCTTGTGATCTTTAACCCTCATAACCGGGACTTGTTGATACATTTTGTGATCAACATGAAACCCGCTACATCTTCTGATGTTACAGGCGAAACGGCTCAGGAATCTTTGTCAACGAAGCCTTATCAAAGCAGTTTGTTCGGAACGTCCACGGGAGACCTCGGTTCACAATCTAACTACCAGAATTCTGGGACATCGCCATCTACAAGGCCAAAGTTATTCACTCAGTCACACTCGCAGCTTCAGGCTCTCTTGATGTCCTCCTTCCAGCCGACTTTGCCGCACTCGCAACACCTTTCGCCAATGTCGCAACAACAGCAACAGCAACAGCAACATCTTCATCCGCAGACGACGCGGCCCACGCTCTCAGAGATGTCAAATCGAGTGTCATCCATGACATCGATTGCACGCGCTGCTACATTGGCGGTGACCAAAGTCGCGAGTCGGCTGCAGCCCTCCCGAAGTCGCGAGCCGTCTGTTATATACGCAACCCAGAGCGGCGCTAGCTCGTGTGCTGCGAGTATTATAGTTGAGGATGATGCACAATCGACAATAACAACAGGAACCGCTGCAACAGGTCACATGGGATCGACCAGAATGAACCTTTCCAAAGCAAGCGGAGGTGGCACCTCTAGTCTCCTCACTCCTGGGGGCTCGAGCACTCGACATGTACGCAAGTTGGGCATCAATCAGGGCAGCCAAGGCCACCATCGCAGACGCTCTGGTGGCAAGTCCAAGAAACCTGAGATCCAGCGGTACTCGACTGTAGTATCTGAGCGGTCTGGTGGTACTGATCGGGCTTCCGTAGTCTCTGAGAGCCATGGCCACGACCACGACCACGACCATGACCAAGCAGAAGGTTACGAGGATAACGAGCGTGACGGTAGCGTGAGCGGTCACGACGAGAATGAAAGCTTTGAGAGAGAGTACGATGGAGAGGAATATGATGAGGATCAGAACGAAGAGGAGGAAGAAGACGATGAGGATGAAGGCGATGATGACGAAGTGGAGGATGAGGACGAACTTGAGGAAATGGGCGCGAACGTGCGCGTGTTCTCGGTCAGTCGCGAGCCCAAGAGCGGGTACAATACCATCGAGTCAGAGCATGTTGGCGACATTATCCGCACATTGTCGTACTGGATCTGGAGAGCGAAGAAGTGAGAATGTACGGAGAGGAAGGCGGAAAAACAGGCGTGTAATTACGGCACAACTTTCCACAATAAAACTAGTCAAATATAGAGTTGTTATTGTCGAACCTTAATGCAGTTCGCGCGTTGCTTGTGTAACGTTCCAACCGCGCTTTTACTCTAAAATTGCTTTTTGCTATCGTATATGCTCTTAGGATTAAGAGGAGCGCGTGAGTGCGAAAATATTCTCTGGTACCCGCCTATTGTGCGTTAACTTTCAGTGTTACAGGACTGGATGTTGACTTCCAGGCGCTGTTCTCCGGCGTTCTGGAGGCAGCAACAAGGAAATCTTCTTCGTCTGTGTCACTCCCTACCTCAAAACAGTTACCATCGTCAAGATCACCTTGATTCTCGAGATGCCGGTTATCTGAGTAAGTCATATCCTTGACTATCGAACCATCATGGCCATGGCCATCGTCGTCGTCAACATATCTAACTTGATCTCCACTTACGCCTCCAACGTCACCGCAATATCCGCACCGTAGCAAGTCGATATCATCCTCGTCATTCTCAAGGCTCCGACGCGCTAGTCTCCAAGAGCTTCTCCAGACACCCGAGTACCGGCTTCGACCATTCCACCTGTGCCTCGTAACGAACCCCACAATTAAGGCTGCGATGCTGACGACTCCGCAAAACACGTATAGCGTGTGGCCCACAGCTGAGGCTAGTTTCTCCTCCATTTGTGCCTCAGCGGCTATCTTCGTCTTGGTATCCATGGCGCCTCCCTTCTCAGAATCTCCCTTTGTTATATTGTCACCAGCACTTTTATCTTCTCCAGTGGAGTTGCTGTTAGATGGTATGCCGTTACGATTGCCTGCCTTTTCATTGGAGCCATCGACGTCCTTGCTATACTCCAGCTCTTTTGGAACAGAATGTTCGTCATTCACAATTACTTTACTGTCTGTGTCCGTTTCGGGGATGTCGGGGATACTCAGGTCCTCGGGATTACCAGTTAAGGTTTCGATCTTGTCGGGCTCTTCCGAAACAACTGGCAATTCAGTCAAGATCTGCTCGCCATCTGGGTGCGGCTCCTTGGGGGGCTTGGCTGATATGTTCGCGGCACCTTTCCTCAGCTCTCCCCAGAACTTGATCCTCCAATCAACAAATTTTCCCTTGTAGTTGGGGTTGTTCTGATCGCGAACCGTCAGCGTCCATTCACCCACTGGGTTTTCATCCCTATATAATGTTTGAAGGACAGCTGTATTAGCAAACGAGCAATGTCGTATACATCAACAGGAAGAAAAAAAAAAAAAAAAAAAAAAAACTTCTTGTTCACAGATGCGTGGTATTACCAATGTTTCACGGTCATAAATGTCCAGTTCACAAATCCTGTTTTTGCAGTATCGAACCGTCTCCGAGCTCCCAATTTTGACTCGATATTGTTCGGACTCGTCAGCACCACTTCCACATCGCCACGACGTTCATGCTCGATATTTACCATCACCGTGATGTGCTCCAGATTGCCGAGCTGTACACTCTCCCCGTCCAGATCATCTTTGGTAATCATCAGAGTCGAAGACACGCCCTTACCTCCTTGTGAGATGATGTGCCCGACACGCACCACTGACGGATGGAGGGACGTCTGAGGGCCAAGTGGTTCAAAGACTTTGGCGGCTTCCACCAGCTTGTAAGCGTCTAGACTCCCGTAGCCGAATTTATGGTTAAACAAACGTCCAGAGGCGGTTTCCTTCCAGTCAGGGTCATTAAGCGAAATAGGGATTGCGGTAGACAGGAGCAGGTATTGAACGTCCCTCCAGGTGAGATCTGGACGAACAGAGAGCACGAGAGCAACCATGCCCGCGGCGATGGGAGCTGCCGCACTTGTTCCTCCGTGCTGATCGAAGCAGCGTCGCTCTCCGACATCGCATGTGTACTGAGCAGGAAAAAAAATGACATGAAAATATAAATTAGAAATAAAACATGGCAATTACTAGCAATACTGGCTGACAGACATAATTCCTACTTACAATAGCGCTACCCCCTCCATTGCTATAGGTTACAGCCAGCTGCGCCGAACATGCCTCCGAGTAGTAAGGGTGCCGTTGTGCACGATCGATGGCTCCAATACTGACCGTGTACAGACTGTTTGTATAACCATCAAAGTTGCAGTCGTCATCCTGACTGCCACCATTTCCTGTTGCGAAGACGTAAATACTTCCAAGACCGGACCGCCCATTCTTGATCCCGTTGACCATAGCATCCAAAACAACACCCTTGGGCGCATCCATGCTCCGTCCATCGTCAGGAGGACCCCAGCTGCAGGAATAGATGTGGTTATCCTGGTAGCGGTAGTTGAGAGCAGCGGCTTCATCAGCATCGGTAATCTGCCCAGAGAGAATCCGGAGACCCGCAACTTTGGCCCCAAAGGCGACACCGACCCCGCAAAGGTCATTTCGGGCGGCAGCAATTTCTCCTGCGCAACGCGTGCCATGCTGATCATCCTCAAGTCTGGGTTTTGGGAGGGGATTGTGGTCGTTAAAATCCCAGGATCCTTCTTTGAACTAAAGATACCGGTTATATGAAGGTCGAGAAGGAGCAATGGGCGAGTAAGCGCCTTCTGTCAACCACGTCTCCAAATATATTCCTTGCAGGCTGTTCTAACTTACGAAGTTGGGTGCAAGGTCCTCGCTGGTCATGTCCAAGCCGTCATCAATGATTGCCACGTTGACACCAGTGCCATTAATGCCTACCGAATGGTTACACAGCAGCCCGTTAGTTCGCTTGCGATGAGTCTTGTCGGATATAGGCCTCTTTTTAAATATTACTGTAGTACCTTGCTCCCACACGCCTGTGACATTGATATCGTATCGATCTTTGCTGTTGTGCTATAATAACCACGCATCAAATGGGCAAATTTATATTGTTAGCGTTAGCAGTAAGTAATGACGAAGGAAAGACAAAGATATTGAGGAGGAGACTACTTACCAGGTGCCATTGATATCTGAATCCTGGATCCGCGAACCCAAGCGCACTCGCGATGTCGTCTTCGGGCTGGTCCTCTCCTGCAGGTTGGTCCTCTCCTGCAGGTTGGTATTCTCCTCCCTGGTTATCCTGATCTTCCTCTGATTCCATCTCTTCCTCGTTCTCTTCGTCCTGATCCCCTTCCAGCGCGTCTTCCTCAGATAGCTGCTGCTTGTTCTCTTTAGATCCATATTTCTGCTGGTCATCATCTCCGTTCTGCCCCACTTCTGCAATTGAGATTGGTTCTGGAAGTGGGGCGCGCTTTTTGACACGCTGTCGCAGCTCTTGCTTATAGATGTCGCCCATCACCCTGCCGATTTTTGCATGGATATCATCACGCTTTCGTCTCTTATCATGATTACCGTTCTCCTGTTGATCGCTGTATTTCTCTGCGTATTGCCTCTTCAAGCGATAAAAACTTTTCACGATCGGATCCGTCTCCACTACAGTTGCCTCGAATTCTACTCCGGATTCAGATTCTTGTTCTAAGAGCTCCTGCTGATCCTGATGCTTTGTATCCGAGGCATCGAACGATCTCTTGAAACGATGGCGCCTCTCTAGTCGAGATATCTTTACCCATGGATCTTGATTAGGTTTTGGTGAACTGTACAAAAAGTAGTCAGGTAGCATTCCGACTCGCGACTCGAAACGTAGACGGAGCAAGTCGCCCATCACCTGCTGTTGATCCCCACGAAGTGACCATGCCGGTTGTCCTTCCTGCTGGTGCTGCAGCCCTTCATTGTTGCTCTGCTGCTCGGTTGTTGTTTCTGCAGTCCTAATCTGTTGCTCGTGCTGATGGAGCGATTGGACCTTGATTAAATAGTAGTTTCGGCGGTCGTGGTCATATCGTGGACTCATATAGTCCTGCTGCTGCTCCGGATGACACGCTACGAGAAGGCTCAAGAGCAGTACGAGGGTGTACGATATTGATATCTTGCAGGAATGTGACCTAGCCATTGTCACTTGTACGGTGTGCCTGATAGAAGAACGAACTGCAGTGGGGAGGAAGAGGTATGGTGAAAGAAAAAGAGATACAGGGCCTCACAATTGCTGGCCCAGCTGTCCCTGTACTGTATGGACGGTTTAAGCAAGTATTTTTGTAGGCTACTATCCGTCGTCCTGTTCTTCGCTAAGTCCTGTCAAGGTAAGGGAGGACAAGGATTTGGGCCGATCTATCGAATGTCAGTCTAGTTGCGTTTCGAGAAAAAAGTTGTGTTGAGCAGACGAGAACAGCAGTAAGTAATGGATGCAATGCCCATCCACTCATGCCACCCCCGTTGCCATAAACATCGCTATTCTCGCCATTCTCATCGATCCCGAGCGGTGCTGTGAACCCTTTAATTCCATGACCTTACCCAATCTCATTCGAAAGGGGGCTCGCTTTTCGCTATGAATAGGGCATAGGAAAAAGGGTCACATTCCTTGCTCTCCCCTTTCTCCTTCTTCTCCTTTTAGATGTGTGCATCCGTGTCAAGATTGTCGTTTGGTGCCATTAAACACTTTTCTTTATGTTAAAATAAACGATATAGCGCACAGGATGAAGAGGTATCTATGATAAAAGCTGTTCAAGTACATGTACAGTAGAAATGACTAACGCTGGGCCTGCTTGCCATCCTTGGCCTTGACGAGTGTACTGAACTCGTCCCAGCTATCGCTCTTGATCTTCGAGGCCGATCCACCAGGATGGTCTCTAAAATCATCATCATCCTCCTCGTCTTCATCTTCTTCGTCCTCGTCGTCATCCTCATCCACCCCAGCAACCTCGAAGCTGCTTTCCCGTTCAATTTCCTCTCCACTCGACAGAGGACTCGATGCCTCTCGCTGGTGACCTGCCCCAAGCTCCTTCATTCTTAACTCGTTGTTAGGACTCACAAGATTGCTTCTGTCAAATACGATCCGGCGCGAATCCGGATCAACATCGTCATCGTCGTCGTCACTGTCCCCAAGCTCGTGTGTCGGTAGCTCGTCAAATTCATAGTCCCCGCGTCGACCCAGCAATCCTCCACGTTGGCCTGATTCTTCATCGTCGTTGATTCCCGAACCAAAAATGCTCCTTGGGTTCGTGCGTTGGCGGTACATCAAGAACAGGGCTGCTCCGATCGCAATAAACATGCCTCCAAACATGACGTAGATAAACGGACTAATCGCAATCACCGCGCGGCCATCCTCACCCTTTTCAGAACCATCTGATCCCTTGCCTGGTTCAGGAGTCTTTGCTGGGATTGCAGGTGCGGTCGTAGGCTGAGCCGGTGGAGGTGGCGGGGCCAGAGGCGGTGTGGAGTCGTGGCCACCCTCAATTTCGCCGTGCAAGCCCAGCTTCCAGTCGATAAAGGTACCAGTCTTGGTGGGGTTCTTGCGATCATACACAGTCAACGTCCAGCGGCCAACAGGGTTCTCCTCCCTATACCAAAGAACACACACACAAAAAAAAAAAAAAAAAAAAAAAAAAAAAAGGATGAGTGCATAATTCAGTGTCTTAAGCATCTTAACAAATAATAATGGCCTGTATTGGCCATCTCTTACCAATGCTTGACACTCATAAATGTCCAGTCCACGAAACCATCCGTGCTGTTGTCAAGCGGTCTGGTCACAGCGAGCTTCGAGACAATATTGTCGGGACTCCTGAGATCAATCTCGACCTCTCCTCTGAACTCGTGCTTGATGTTCACAGTGACGGTGACGTGCTCCAGAGTGCCAAACTTGACCTGTTTCAAGGAAGCCTCGGTCACTAGGAAAACGGAAGGGAGACCAATTTGACCCGTCTGTCCTGACTGGTCGTCATCTCCCGACGGAATGTCGCCGTTCACGGTGATCACGGGCGATTCGTATGTGACCTGGGGCCCTACAGACACCCAGGTCTTTGCGTGCTCCACAATCCTGTAAGCATCCAGACTTCCGTACCCATATTTGTGATTGAACAAACGACCCACGGATGTTTCGGCCCAGTCAGGGTCGTTCTCATCCACTGGTACGGCCGTATGAACAGTGAGATACTGGATGTCGCGCCAGTTGAGATCAGGTCTACGAAGGGATCAACAAATTGAAGCGGCGAAATGGTTAAAGCCTAAGTGTCGATCATTTAATTAAAATGTTCAGGATTCAGTGCGACACTTACCTGACTTCCAAAACAAGGGCATAAATCGCAGCGGCAATTGGTGCTGCAGCGGATGTACCGCTGTGATTCGCATAGCAGTTTCTCTTTCCGACATCGCAGGTATACTATAAACAAGAAATGTCGAGATCAGTCATTCCTATCCATATCTCTAATGAACAAATGTTCATATGAATCGCAGCGTCTTTCTTTCTATCGTCGACGTACGATCCAGCTCTGCTGTCCAGGATTGATTTCTCCAGAACTGTAGGTAACGCCGAGTTGCGCGGAACAGGCCTCCGAGTAGGTGGGATGCGCATTCGTCCGCATAATCGCTCCAATCGAGACGGTGTATCGGCTGTTGGTATAGCCATCAAAGTTACAATTGTCGCCATTTCTGCCTCCGTTTCCGGTGGCAAAGACAAAAATGCTTCCTTTGCCCTGGCGACCATTGTTGACACCGTTGATGAACGCATCTAATAGCAATCCTCTGGGTCCATCCATTGATTTGCCGTCATCGCTGGGACCCCAACTGCATGAATAAATCTGGGTTTCTTCGAAGTTGTAGTTGAGTGCCTCCGCCTCCTGAACATCGGTGATTGGGCCTGAGAGAATTCGGATGCCCGCCACCTTCGCATCCCAGGCGACACCGACTCCACAAAGGTCGTTTCTGGCCGCTGCAATCTCTCCTGCACATCTTGTTCCATGATTGTCATCATAGAGTCGCGGTAGTGGGATATCCGTATTGTCATTGAAGTCATGGGAGCCTTTCGCGTGCTAGGAAACAGTGGATGCGGTAAGTCAGGTCAGGGTCTCTGCTGCTTTATCTCTGGAGCAATCCACAAAGCGTATCCAAATAGGAGCTACTGCAGCTTACAAAGTTGACTGCTAAGTCCTCGCTGTTGGCATCTAGGCCATCATCAATAATGCCTACAATAGCGCCCTTCCCGGTGATATTTTGCTCCCATATTCCTGTAACATTAATATCATTGCCATTCTGGATAGTATTATGCTATTCATAAATAAGAAGAGAAAAACAGATTAACACAGTTGATCTATCGGAAGCTATCGTCTCGATCGCTCGTCAGCAGTCTCCTCCAAGTGCCAATGAAGCTTTGACAAGGAGCAACTTTAACATCAAACAAAAAAGATCCCCCGGTACTTACTAAATGCCATTGATATCCAAATCCTGGATCCTTTATTTGAAAGTATGCAGCAATCTCGTCTGCAGGCTGGGTCTCGCCTTTGACGTGCTCGTCCCTGGGTTCAATTGAGATGGCTCGCTTGATTCGTTTCCTCAGCACCTGCTTGTGGATAGGTCCCAGCGGGTGCAGGTCCTCTGGGATGCCTGTCTCTGCCTCTGTGCTGATGCCACGTTTGCTCAAGCCCCGCTTCCTCATCATCATCTGACGACTGAAACTATTGGACTGCTTGAGTTCTTCATATCTCCTGAGCACGATATCCTGCTGTTGTCCATCCGTTGTCAAGGTTGCGTTGAGCGAGGGCAATCCTGATTGTTCTGCTCGCTTCTCATGCAGCGACTTTGGGTAGCTGAACAGATGGTAGCGGTGCATCTCTCCGACCTGCCCGACATACTGCACTCCTAGATGTTGTGCAATCTCTTGTGGAGAGGTAACATCGAGATCGTTGAACTTGACAGCGTAATAATGGTGGTTCACTGTGTCCTGAACAAGCGGTGGTCTTCCTGTGTGGCAGGTCTGTGTCAAGAGTGCTATGGCGCTCAGTAAGAGGAAAACGGGCTTCATCTCCGGCAGATAGGCTATTTGCTTCCGCCTTTTTTCTGCTTGGTGATTGTAGGAAGGAAGGAATGCGAGTCAGATAGAGAGGGGAGAGGGTATGGAGGGGAGAGGGTATGGAGGGGAGAGTAGGGTGTCTGTGTGTGTATTCAAGCTGCGTGCGATACAAGGCGGTTGAATGGATGAATAAAGGGACGCACGAAGTCGGGGGACGCACAAAGAATTGGTTCCTAGATTTGGCTTTTGTTCCACATGTAGGAAATAAGATAGTCCACTGCTGACGATTGGTCATCTTTTCGGGGCCTAAAAGATCTGCAGGTCGATTGCGCTTCTGGTGGGTATCTTCCATCCAACACTGCTTTGCTGTTCAATTCTGCTCAAATCGCCGCTGAATATCGTTCATGTCCCTGGAAAAAAGTTCAAGGTGTGCGTTCCTCATGATCCCTCAGAAATCAAATATGAAGAAAGTTGTCTATTCGATGGGCACAGCAGGCATATAATATCCAAGAAAACTATTTTACGTGGTTCTCTGTAGAATTAGAAGCATGATCGCGATAATCGCACATTGACTCGACTGTGCCCCCGGGGCATTTACGAAAACAACCCCCCCCCCAAGCCCGCATCATATAAATCTTTTTTACTGCACCTGTTATTTTTATATTTTTGGATTTGTTATTACTGGAATAAATTCTATGTAACCGCGTTTTTTCTTTTATATGAGAAGACCTTACCACCTGTGGCCCTTGACCTTGGCTACAAGGGCCAGCCAGGCGAGCAGACGATAAACCACTACGACCATGATGAAAAGGCCCATGTACAGATCCCAATTCTTGTCCTGGAACTGGAGTAGCTCGAGCACCGATTCACCTGTGGGGTAAGGGCATGCACCGCCACTGATCTGCTCCGCCGAGCAGTCAAACGTAATGCCGTCAAATTCGTTCCGAGTCATGACCAAGGATCCGTATTTGAACAGCGACACATGGTTAATGGCACTCAACCACTTTGGGATGTTGAGCGACATAAATCCTGTCATGAACGAGAAGACACTGATCTATGTTGCGATAAAAAGCGAGATAAATAGAAAGGGCAGAGAGGTGTTACTAAAAGAAAAGGCTGCGTGAGCATAGTCCTTGCATACATGGAACAATAAACGAAGGTAGAGAAAACGTTACCACTGCACTCATGACTGTAATGTTGAATCCAGCATGGGTGGCAAAGGTCGAAAAGGCCGATCCGATACTCTCACCAGCGTTGATGTATCCAAACATGACAACCCAGAACGTAAAGAAGGTCAAGACAGTAGTCTTCATCTGAGTGATCACTAACATGAAGACGGTCACTCCCAAGGACCCAAGGATCTCCAGGGGAACCTCGTTCACCAGAAAAGAGAAGAAGAAGGATGTGGCACTGTATCCACCGTCAGAAATCTCCCGATACGCAATGTCACGCTAAAAGACATCCAAATACGAAAATGTACCAGGTTAATCGGATATTGTTTGATAAAGCACGACTATTTCGCAATGGATGGTATCCAATAATGGCGACTTGCCTCAAACGGGTATATAGCCACGTTGTTGAGCATGCCCGAAAACACGATAGGCGATGTTTGCTGCAACAATCCAAAACGGCTCGTTACATCGGCTGGGCCATTGCCAAGGGGAGCGAAAAAGATGGTCATGATAATAGCGACGATGACTGGCTGGCAGATTCGATTAAAGTACAGGCCTTTTTGCCGGAATGTGTTGACAAAGGATCTGTGGGTCAGAATTGGGAACGCCTTGCCGAACGACGCAAACTGGGGGTTGATCTTAGCCAGCTCACCCAGCGACTCTTTCGAGAGCTGGGAAGCAAGCATCACATGCTTGTTCGCATTGAATCGATTCACTAGAGCGTCAACAATCCTTCTGGTCTTCTCCTCCAACTCGAGCGATCGCAGATTTACAGATGCTGTGTCCAAGATGAAATCTAGCGTAGCGGACGTATAAGGCACGTTATATGATGAGAAGCCAGAAGACTACTGCCAAAAAAAGAAGAGACCAACACGAACATTGTCTGTACTTCTGTACTTTACCTGGAACATTAGTGAACATCGGGGCTACATGCCCTGCATCCTCAAAGTACTCGACGACCCTATCGGCACGTCCAGAGTAAGCGGCGCATCCACCGGTCACGAGCAGAACAACGTTGTCAAAAACATGCCAGATATCCGCACGCGGCTGATGAATGGTGCAGACAACTGTTCTTCCGCTGGCTGCGATCTGCTTCAGAGTCAGAACTACAGCCTTGGCTAGAAAACAGTAAAATGAAGTATACGCGGATGAAATTAGTATTTTCAACACACCGGCCAAGCATCAATCCACAAAGATGAAGGAATTAACTGTTTGTACCTGTTAATGCATCAAGACCACTGGTCGGCTCGTCCAAGAACAAGCACGCAGGTTCAGTCACGAGTTGAATACCAATGGATACACGACGGCGCTGACCCCCGGAGCATCCCTTCACGGCGGAGCTGCCAACAATGACATCGGCACACTCTCTGAGCCCAAGAAGTTCAATGATATCTTCGACTTTGGCGTATTTATCCGCTTTGGACATGGAGCTGTCCATTCGAAGTTCGGCGGCATATTGAAGGGTTTCGCGCACAGTCAAATGGGAAAGCAGAAAGTTGTCGTCCTGGCGAACGTAGGAGCTGACGCCATTGATCATTCTCAACGAAGGGTTTCTGGTGTCGTTGTAGAAAATGGAGCCCTTTATCTTCAAGTTGGAAGATGTTCGATGCAACAAGGTGTTGAGAAGACTTGTCTATTGGTGCATTGGTGCATTAGTGTGTTGGTGAAGGCCAGACAGGGTTAGAATAGCACAAGTGTAGTGTTGCAATGGTTATCACAAAGGCCAAGAAGAGGCTTTGAGGCGTTCTTACCTTGCCGGCACCACTTCCGCCGAGGATAGCCGTCAGTTCGCCAGCAGGAAAGACGACATCGACATCTTTCAGCAGCTGCTTCTCAGTCTTTTCCCATCGAAGGCCTTTGAGCATACCCGCGAAACTCCACTCGAACTTGGACAGTGAAACAGAGAGGCAAAGTCCCTCGACTCTGATCGTGACAGGATCCTTACGCTCAAGACCTTTGGAAAACACATCAAGGCGAGTCTCTCCCAACCTGGCCTTGTCAAGGTCGATGCTAGCATCAGAGGATGCGATCGAACCGGTCTCGGGTCCAGGAACAGCAAGGGGCTTCTTGCGCGAAAACATCTTTGCGGCCTGGTTGATGAACAAGTCCAGCAGGGTAGGGCCCGTCCCCATACTTGTGGGGTTTACAACGTTGATTGTCAGCGCCAGCCAGGCCAGTACGAGGAAACCAAAAAAGTAGCAGAGCAGTTTGGCAATTGGTTCTATAGCACAGCATAGTATAGGAGAGAGTACGCGGCTTGAATCATTGTCTTGAGTTAAATCACGAGAGCAGATTGAAGGACAATATCCATGCCAATGTACCTGGATAGTAATGCGTCTTGATGTCCAGCTGCTCGGTCAAAATTGCGTTTCCGTCCCATGGCGCGCACCTGACGGGGTCCCAGGCGCCATCCGCACCAGCATAAGGGCAACCAAAGCGGTTATCGGTGAATTCGTTACTGGCCAGGATGCTGTAGCAGAGGTTGGGATATGCCAGATATTTGATCCAACGTAGCCAGACAGGGATGGAGCTGGTCACAATGAAAAACCCGGTCGAAAGTCCTAAATGAATAAATAAAATACACGTCGGTTGCAGGTGAGCGAGAGTTTCTACAAGAATGACTTGAAACAAAGTGCAGTAAGGGTACAGTTGCAGAGATCATATTACCAAAAAACGCGAAAATGGCGTTTCCGAATAGAGACGCGGATGAGAATCCTCTGACCAGCGAAGAGCACATCACAGCAAACGTAAACCTATGGATGAATCAAACTGTCAGTCGAGGATTCAGGCAGTACATTGTCCTTCAGCCTTCATAAAAGAACAGTGAACGCAGAAAGACACGAGAGCTTACGTGATAAACTGCATCAAGACATTCACGAGAAGCCACCATCCAAAATGCTGAACAGAATCCGTTCGAAGTCCCGTCATGTAATACACAATAGCCGAGAATACTAGTTTGATACGATATGAGGCAACGGTCAATCAGGAGCAGTGATTGAATCGTGCATCATTAATTTCAGAGCCGGTAATGAACATACCAACTGGGTAAAGGATATTGGGTGGAGCTGCGTAGAGACATGTGCTGATGAGATGGGGCAACGGTCCATACCAGCGGTCCATCCGCTCTCGATCATAGACCACAATCTCTTGGGAAAGACGATAGATCAGGATCATTAACATCAAGTATGCCTGGATAGCGCCCACAGAATAAACTAAACTGGAGCGTGAGCGGATTCCAGCCGGGGAGTCATCTAGCTGGTAAAAGATGGCTCCAACAGCGAGACCGATTACAATACACTCGCCAATACAGCCCCAGATCACTAGGCTGTCGCGTATCTGGTTGCGCCAGCCTCGCGAAGTGAGCACACGGATTTGACTCCACAGGCTTGGGCCTGCGCCCTTCGGGATGGCGACAGATAATGATACAAAGGATGAGGTGTGTCCTGGTAGCGTTGAGGGCTCACCACCGCTGCTTGCCAGCATGGAAGGGCCGGAGATGGGATTGGCATGAGCCGATCCTTTGTCCCGCTGGGCCCACGCCTGTACGAGTAGATCCCGTCGGACGGCTGTACTCTTTTCAATGGCCTCACTGGCAAAGTCTACCATACTCAAATCAAGCAAGTAATCGAAGGGGTTGACACCGGTTGGACAGGCACCAACACTAGTGGACTCAATCCAGGGCAAGACAGAACGGACAGGTCCGCTGTAAATGACATCACCCCTAGAAAGCAGGACCATCTGGCCATCGGCCTCTGATAACAGTTTGAAGATTTCGGACCGGGGCTGATGGATTGAGATGACGATGGTCTTTTGAGAGGACTGTGCCAGTTTGGTGAGCGATTTCATGACCTCATACGATGAGAAGGCATCAAGTCCTAGCATGTTGAAGCACATTGATATTCAAAGAGTATGAGCCTGGATTGTACTTCATAGCGAAGCCGACTTGGAATAGCTGCTAGAAAAGCAAAGAAAGAAAGAAAGAAAAACTTACCAGAGGTCACTTCATCGCAGAGGAGCATCTTTGGATCAGTCAGCAGCTGCACGCCAGCGGACACTCGGCGACGCTCTCCTCCACTGATTCCACGGATGCCTCCGCTACCGCTCTCTCCTCCGCCTGCATCACCGACCCTCGTGTCGGCACACTCTTTCAACCCCAACTCTAGCAGAACGAGCTCGACGAGTTCGCGCTTCTTTTGGCTGGACATGCTTCTTGGGAGTCGCAGATGTGCGGCATAGTTGAGGGTCTCGCGGACACTATAACGTGCAAGAGATGAGGTTTGTAGCTTTAATATACAATACAGACAGTCCTTTTCTTGTGCTTGTTTACACAGAATGAGCAGCACATGAATGTATGCTATGTGTGTGTGCGCGTGTGTGTGTGGAAACTTACGTTAAGAACGGCATCAAAAAATCGTTCTGTTGAAGATAACCAACGCTGCCATCGTTCCAAAACTTCTTGGCCTTGGTGCCGTTGCATTTTATGCTGCCGGACATAGTGACCTCGGGGCCATTCATACGTCCCGCAATAGTGTTCAGAAGCGTAGTCTTGCCAGAGCCAGACCCACCAAGGATAATGCACACTAATGATATGATATTGTTTGTTTGAGAGCATAAAGTCGTGGCGATGTGATATGAAATGCAAGGAGTGGATTGAACGAGGAAATAGGGGTCTGTCAGGCGCAGTTCTGGGTTGACTTGATTAGATTACCGCTTGGAAAACGAAGTATAATACCTTGCCCTGGTTTGACGATAAGGTCAACATCGCGAAAGATATTAATGCCAACATTCCTCAGATCTCGGTCGGTCCTTGCGCCAGGACTACCAGACGCCGGCGCATCCTCATCGTCAAGGTTGGGGCTGGTACTTTGATCTTTGCTAGAACTTTTGTCAGGATTGGAGGTTAGGTGTAACTTGCGGGCGAGACGGGTGAGGAGGGAAGGCGGAGGGATGACAGAGAGCGAGAGGTTCCGCAGAGTCAGTTCAATTCCTGTGGTAGAGCTGACTGGGTCTGAGAATGGTGGTGAGGAAATGGCGGGTGTACTAGCCATTGGAGAGGGAGGGAGCGGTGCTGAGGGTTAAGCTGGGAGCAGGAGGTGGTATTAAAAGTGGCCTCAGCGTTATACAGTGTTCAGTGACAGAGTCATATGCGTTCAATCGTTCAATAAGGTGAGTGAGTGCGCTTGAAAACGGAGTGGAGAGTGAGCGACACCAGACACGGACAAGAGGGCTGGGAAACAGTGCAGAGCGATGGGCAATGAAGAGGAATGGAATGAGGATGAAGGCGGATCGATGATGAGGGAGAACTAGGGTTAGTTTGGGCGTTGCTACTTGCCACTGTTAGACCATACCAGTTCCTCCGAGCGCGCTATTGTACCTGCACAACCCTAATTATTCCCCCCAATAAAGATCAATTCTAAAATAAAGTCGCTGTAGTCCAGGGAACCCGCCCCACGCCGCTGCCGAATGAGATTCGACCCTCGTCTCAAAATCAGAGCCGATCTCCACCTATACCTTCAGCCTTGCTTCGCTGGCGCAAAAAAGCGACTGATCGATCGAGAAATAAAAAAGAAGCTTGCTCGCTATCGCAAAATGTACGCGTACGTTTGCTCGATCACAGATTCAGTGCACTGTCCACATCGTAAATCCTATTGGCCCCTATATTGATGGCCCCGCATCTTCGTAGACTATGTTCCCACTCTGTGTGAGACAGAAGGAAAAGCTGATCGCGATCTGAATGATTGTGTTTCAAATAAGGTTGTTCATCCGCGCTGAAGTCACTTGCGGGGTATTGAAACCCTTTTGCGTGAGAGTCCGCAGACGACCGCACGGCTCACCCCCACACAATCCAGTAATGTGGAACGACCCTGATCTGGACACCCATCGCGATCAACAGGCTCCATCACAGTACAGGTCCCGCGAGAGACGGAATCAGGACCGGAAGAAGGAAGACCTGACCGCCTTTGGCTACGAATCCTTTCTCTTTCATGCCGACGGCGTTGCAGAGGCGATCGAGCAGGGACAGCTCCTGATCACTTGGCAGGGCCAGGATCCTGCGGACGAAAATGTACTCTGGCTTGATAGGTAATGAACACAGGGTTAATTGGTCTCAAGGCCCTAGAACTGTGGCCCAATCGATCTTGACAGCCACAGATGTAGTCGAACACCCATCACTATTGAACTGGACCTGCCGATAAGACATCAACGTGGAGACCGCTTACTGGGCTACCTTTTCTGCGTAGAATTCAAAGTCTGAGGTACTAATTAGGTCTACTGCATAGTGGCAGACCACAGTGTGGTCTCCAATGGAGGACTGCACAGGTTTGCCTAGCAGTCGGAAGCATCGAAGCCATGTCTCCGTCTTTTTACGACAGAATACTTATATACCACCATCTTTCTGCTTGACATACATCTGCGATCGTTAGATATGATGTCAGGAACCTGCTGGATGATGAGCGGTCCTTCTCAGGTTCCAGAGAGATTCGAGACGACAACTTTTTGCAGGAGACATCCGATCTCGACGAGAACCGATATGAGGACTTGGACTCGGATGAAGAGCTCCTGTTTGACATGGATGAGGACGAGCGAGAGGAACATTTAGGTACGAAACCGATAACGTCTTTATCCGTATACCCCTTTTCTGGAATAATATCTAACGAGAATGGATCGCAATGTCGGTCCTATACTTTTTTTTTTTAGCGCGAAAGAAGGAGGAGAACGAGCAATCGCAGTTCAAAGGAGTTGGATATGATTATGATAAGGACAGCAGCAAGCAGACTGTGGAGTCGATCTTTCAGCTTCACTTCGATGTCCCAGAAGGAATGACAGTGGTATGTTAAGAACTCATCGCTTCAAACGACTTTATTGTTTGCGAAAGTGCAGCCATCGCTATTGCACAGAAAGACGTATAACCTATCGCCACCCTCAGCCCGATAGTGAAAAGACACTTGCCTTGATCGAGAGAACTGCAAAGTTTGTCAACAATAGTTCCGAACCTACAATGGAGATCATTCTGCAAGCAAAGCAGGCGACCAATCCGAACTTTGCTTTTATGAGTCGCAGACATCATCTCTTCCAGTTCTACAAGCATGTGCGATGGCTGATGCAAACGGGGCTGTATGAATCCGCAGAGGAAGTGGAGCTGAGAGAGGCTGAGGAGGCGAAGGCGGAGCAGGAAGAGGAAGCACGTCGCGCTGCCGAAGCAGCGAAGGCTCGCGAGGCGTACGTTGCTCTCTGGACGCACAATGAACGATATGCACGCCATGAATGTTTCTTAATAACTTCCTTTACTTCTCTTTTTCGTTTAACATTCATCCGCACAGTGCCCTTCATGTTGATATTGAAAAAATCCTGGAAAAGACCATTGAGTTCTTGAGCGGTATGGATTCTGTGGTATTTGAGGAAAAACTCTTGTCGTTGGACGATCCAAGATTTGAATTCATGAAGCCAAACCACGCCTGGCACGAGCACTACATCAGCAAGCGACGTGAGGCGACGGAGGTACAGGCTCGATATAAGATGACTAGTGAGTTGAATCCCAGTGTGCAGTTTCGGGCACAGTTGGAGATGCAGGATCAGATAATGCAAGGACAAGATGATACCAACACAGAGGTGAAGCAAGGATCGCCCCCATCGCCAGTCCTTGAAGTGTCGTCACGAGAGGCGAGAGCCGCAGAGATGCGACGACTGGACCGTTTGCAACGCGTGAGAGAGCTCTTAAGGCAAAGACGTAAGGAGAGTATAGTAGAGAGTGCAAGTGAACCTAATTCATCAATGCCTAAGGCCGAGCTAAGGGATTATGCTGAGGATAAGCCATCCAGATCAAGATCAAGATCAAGGTCAAGTTCAAGCTCAAGTTCAAGCTCAAGTTCAAGTTCAAGCTCAAGCTCAAGGTCGAGATCAAGGCCAGAGTCTAGATCGAGGTCGAGGACGGCATCTCCCAGCTCCTGTGCGCGAAAGCGTGTCCGTACATGTATATGATACTGCATAAGATTGCAGCTGTCCAACAGTATTAAAGAAATTCGAGAACATCCTTTTATTTGCTAAATGCTGAGGAAGCTACCTGAGCAGAGTGTGACACTAAGGCCCATTACGCCAGTTAGCCATCGCATGCACTGGCATCAGCATTCGCACGCACTGACGCCGCATTAACTAGTGCTCAACGCATGGTTGACTTCCCACGGAAGGACTTGCCAATCTCGATTGCAATCTCCTCCTGGCTGGGCGCGCCTTCATCGCACAGGGCTCATCAGCAAACAAGGCGAGTGAATTTTAGAAAAGAGAGAGCCTCAGAGATTGTTCTTTTGGATTTCGTGCTCGCGCCCCGCCTGTCCTACATTCAGGTTTAGCCTATACATGGGATTTCTTTTCTTCGCCCTCACCCTCCATCTCTTATCATTGGTATTTTTACCTCTCCGGTGCACACACGTATGTAATTTTTCGCGTGTCTTGGTCCATGAAATTGAGGAGAAGCAACCATGAAGCGGGATTCGAGCTCTACTTGTCCAAGGTACTACGACGAAAGGGGTGCAAAACTTTTTTTTCCTACTATTAGGAGACAGAGCAACGATAAACTGTAGATATTGAAAATTGGGACTATTAACCGGAATGACTATAAATCCGCCCCTCGTGGAGTCGTCCTACGCCAACGTTCGCTGATTAGTCTTCAATTGCACCTTTACAGCACCGTTGGACGCGTGTGAGCCGATAACGGATGTTTGACGTGAGACAATCGACAATCGAAGATCGGGTGAACGTTGCAGGGCGAGGTCATTGTCTAAAATGAGCGATTAATGATACAACAGCAGTGGACGGTTAATAACACAGCAATTATGCTTACCCTGCGCCTTCTCGGCAACATTGCTGATGAAGTTGGCCTCTAGTCTCTGCGTGATCTGCTGATCCCCTTCTCCAGCATCCTCTGGGTGCCCGTCCGCTTCTTCCTCGCTGTCACACTCATCCAAGTCATGTTCTTATCTTCCAACTGAGTTTCGGTCGTATAGCCGGACATATGGAGGCTATCCTGAGTATCACCAGTAGTAGCCGTGGGTAGTGCTCGGCCCACAACGTTCAAGGCATCATTGATCTACCACTCAAATGGATCCATATCCGCAGGCCGATTAATTACTTTCCAAGTAACTCTTTGCTCCTGCTCCTGCTCCTGATCCTGATCTTGATCCTGCTCCATGTCCTGCTGAAAACGCGACGCGGCTGCCCCTTCTGGATCCCCTACGCGTGCCGGCAGTGCCTGCCCACGCACTCCATCCATTCTGCTGTAGCCAGCCTCTGCAGAAATGTGTTTTTTCACTGTTCGTCTATAGACGACTGAAGTGAAATATTCGAGCATCCGAGCTGCATCAACGCTGCAGTCTCCGTTGTATCTTTCATCGCACAGTGTCTAATGAGAAAAGCGGCATTCGTCTATATGAGTTTGCATACTTGCCTGCTTGTGCGCCATACCCAGTACGTACATGAAGAGAAGAAGAGAAAAATTACGGGCAAACGCGTACTTTCCACATTCTAAGGTGAACCCTATGTAGCCGTGCGGTGGACGACATTGGATCCATCTCCAAAATCGATCTTAGGACCTCGTTCGCAGCGTTCTTTTCGCACCTGAGCTTGCTCCTGATCGGTCATGGAAGATGGTCGGTGGGGATCTGCTCTTGCGAAATGGGAGTCGCTGAAGCCATGGCTGATCGTCTGACTCTCTGAGTTGGGCTAGGCCCTCTCTTTGCCGTAGTGCTCCCACGCGGAAGACGATCATCTCTCCATTTGAAAATTGTTGATCTTGCTGTGTTGACATCTTGGACTGATGCGAGGATACTTAGAGCTCTTATATATATTTGTTTCTACATGCTCTCTGTGCATCTTACGTGAGGTAAAGTGGTATATAATGCGAGTGGGCGAAACACATGCATGATCCTGGGTTTTCTATGCCCATGGATAAACTCACAGTCGCATAGAGCACGAAAGACTTAGGGATAGGGATCCTGAGTCCTGCATGTTGGCCACGGCGACTCGCACTGAAGTCCATGATTTTACGCCAACCCATGCGAATTGTACACGGGGATCAATAGAGAAAAAACGCTGGGGAGGAAAAGTGTTTGTTTATCCATGGTTAATGGTATGCGAACGCTGGAAATCCCATGGATATTCGGTGCTCCACTGCCGTATCTCGAACCCATCTATATATCATCAACAAAGGACGAGGCCATGGCTATCTCGATAGGATGTATTAGGTACATGCAAGGTGAAAAGGCGAGCAAACAAATAACCACCGCGAAAACCTTTTCAGATAGACAGTACTTGTAATCACAAATGCACCTCAATCCAACCATGCAGTGACAAAAAAACACTTGCGGGAGGAAGACATGCATGCGGCACACGCCGCTGCAAAAGATACGAACGATATTTGTGATCAACATTATAATACTTATTGCTGCTGCTTTTGCTCTATTGAGGCGCCTTTTTGCCGAAAGTCCTTATCCTGGGTATTGAAATATGTACCAGTATGAACATTGGTGTTAATGGCGACGCGAATGTAGATGCCAATATCCAATGCTGTGCGCGCTGATGCCAGCTGTTTTTCCTCCCACCCCCTGCTCCCAACTCACTTGCTCTCCCCAGCTTACGCCACTTGTTCTCTGTGGGCTTTTTGGCTTTTGGCTCGAGGGTTGCACGAGCTGTCTCCAGGTTAATAAGAAAATGGTATTTTTTTCAGTCCATTGTTTGTCGCACCAAGAATCCATCTCTATCGGCCCTCTCTCTCCCTCACTCCTTTCAGCACTACTGTGCTCCCTCCGTTCAATTGAAGCCGCACAAACACAACAACAACGGGGCCAATTAGCAGTCTGCTTTAAGAGAAAGGAAGGGCAACAGGCACATCGTACGGGGGATGTGGGATGGGAGCGGTGTGGATAAGGATCATTGATGGAAATGAACGACATTCAGTGTTTTTATTTTTTGTCAGCGGCAATCGTCCCAACGATCAACATGCAATAACAACAATAATAATAATAATAATAATAATAACAGTAATAATAATAATAATAATAACGGCAGATAGAGAACCATTCCTCCTCCTCCCCCACCCCCACCCCCCTTTGCTTGCTGGCCAATGCCACGAGCGAGAGCGGAAATGGCCCAACCATCCATCGTGTGCCCACCCGCTTTCAGAGTCCGTCTCGCGTTACCCTCGTTTTCTTTTCCTTTCTTTCCTTTCCATCGGCATTCTTTTATCTATCCCTCCCCTTCCTCCCTCTCCTCCCATCCCATCCTATCTTCCTATAGCATCTCACTTCATTTCATTCCATATCATATCATATCATATCATATCATATCCTACCATATCCCATCATATCCTATCATCTTCCTAGCCCTCCTTCCTCCTCCTCCTGCTCCTCCTCCTCCTCCTGCTCGCCAGCCTCCCCACTCAAGTTTCCGCCTTATTATCTCCAGCACAATGGTGACAGCCACTTCGTCTGACGGCGCCTCCAATGGCCAAGCAATCATGAAGGTCAAGGCGCCGTCCCCGAAAGCCGGATTCAGGAACCAGTCCTCACTTGTTCGATCCCAACCCATCGTGCTCGACCTTGACGCCTTCCCTGCCCCCACCTCGCCTCTCCCAATCCCTTCCCTTCCTTCCAGCCCCATCAGCGCCATATCCCGCGCCTCCTCTCGCACACCCCCAGCCAAGCCTTCAAGTCCGATGGGAACCATATCCGGATCTTTACGGCCGCCGCCAAGGCCGCGCTCCATCGTGTCACACCTGGCGCTCAGCAAACCGCCGTCGGAGAGTCTCCCACCCGTGCCTGTGATTCTCCACTCTAACGACAATCTATACGCCTCTAGCACACCTACGAGCCCGACAACCCCAACAACCCCGTCATTTTACTCATCATTCTCTCTGCGGAACGACAGCTCACTATCAACGTCGCTGCCTTTTAATAACACCATCCGCTCGTCGAGTGTTGGTCGCGTCAATGACTCCTGTATGAACAAACCTCCTCGAAAGTACTCTAGCCCCAGTGGAAATCCAGCGCAGAAGGATCTGCACCGAGGTAGAGCTGCACCAATTTCCCCTGGATCACCACAGGCACGGAGCTGCCCAACAGACACTAAAGACGAGCCCATCAACAGGAACATGGCGCCAAGGACAGAATCCAACGAAGGGGAGCGAAGGGCCGTTACGGTCAAGGATCTCCCAGCGAGACCAGTAGGTCTGGTGGCGACACGGTACTACGGAATTGAGTCCAGCATGCGCTGGCGCGAAGGCGTGGACCCAATCCAGAAGAGATTTGCGTCGTCGAGCGGCTCCTGGCGTTGTCAAGATCGGTTCGCTGTTTTTTTCAGACCTGGGGACCAAATTGGCCCCGATCAAGTCGTGACAAAGACCTTTTGGAGCGAAGCCTGGCCATATCCGATCGAAACCATTCTCTATGGTACCATTAACCCTTTCTCGTCCAGTGACAATGCTACACAAGGCCTAAACAGTTATCGCTCGGACCACGAGGGCGACCAGGTTATGTCCAGACTAAGGACAGGTCTTCGTCTGACATCTGAAACTCAGCTGAAGAGTGCCGCCTCGTTTCCCCCGGCCGCCGGAAGCAAAGACCCGCGCTACATCACGTCGGAAGGCGTTCAAAAGATTGCCAAGGTTATGATCCCAATGCCCGATGTTGCGATTGACCAGATGGAGCTCGTCAAGGCACCCATCAAGGTTGAACTCCGTATCTTCATTCTCGAGGCGCCTCTACGGATCCATGCCTCTGCGTTCCTTTTGGGAAGAACCGTGGCAGGGGTCACGGAGCTCTACGCGTAGCCGCGTCGAGAGATTATAAACGCCCTCCCGGGCTTCTGCATCGCTTCATAGCCAAAGAACATCATCCTATTTCAGCCTTATGCGTGTGAAAGGGCCACAAACACTCTTGTATATGTCTTGTTTATATCCATTTGCTTCATAAGTTTTCTTCGTTCTCCATCCAGATACTTCGATAGGAAATTGTTCATACAAATACCTTTTTTTTTTCCATTCTACAATGATAACAATGATTAAAAATGATCGACTAAAGTATACCGATATGCGTGTTGTACTTGGGACCGCGTTTGAAACAAAAATAGGTTCACTCGACAAAGCATGGTCTGTGGCACTTCGTTCCCACGATGCACTCAGCTGGTTTCATAAAGCCACTGACTGAGAAAAAGGACGCCCCTATTCATTGAGCCCCCCACGACGTTCTCTCTTCCTTTCTTCCGCACCCCATCCCTCTTTCTTTCTCTCCTCCTCTCTCCCCGTCTCAAAGTTCCTCGAGAAAGCATGGATCCACACGCAGGAACAGGTCGTGTCGTCCTCCCGACCAACGTCAGGCCAACCCACTACGACCTCACGCTGACCCCAGACCTCAGCAACTTCACGTTCCATGGTCAGGTCCTTATCAACCTCGATATCAACAAGCCAACAACCGCCATCACCCTCAATAGCAACCAACTTGAGATCCTCTCCGCCAAGCTGACCAACCTGGCTCTCAAGACCGAGTCCAGGTGTGTATCCCATTTGTCTCTTTCCTCGTCATCATGGGTTGGAACAAAGTCTGATTAACCAGATGCACAACCCTCTAGCCAAAATGCTACCGATATTACTCTCGAAAAAGCCAATGAAACGGCTACGTTCACGTTTGTGGACGAGCTTCAGCCGGGATCAACAGCCGTGCTGCATATCGCCTTCAAGGGTGTTCTGAACGACAATATGAACGGTTTCTACCGCAGCTCCTTCAAGGACGAGGATGGAAAGACCCATTACATCGCTACTACGCAGTTTGAGGCCACAGACGCTCGCAAGGCATTCCCATGCTGGGATGAGGTACGCAGCGTCCTTCATCCAACACGGAGATATTGTCAGGGCCTTGGAAGATATTCTCACAACTCACCATCCGATTGCAACACATCGTTACCATAGCCCGCCATCAAGGCTACCTTTGATATCACTTTGCGCGTTCCCTCTGACCTGGTAGCGCTTTCCAACATGAATGTTATTTCTGAGAAAGAGGTCGGCCACAGTGGAAAGGTGAAGGGCGATTCCACCAAGGGGCCAGATGCAGTACCATCAACTCAAAAGGGTGACGTCCCTTCCACTCAGAAAGGCGATGTTCCCTCGACTCAAAAGGGTGATGTTCCCTCGACTCAGAAGGGTGATGTTCCCTCGACTCAAAAGGGTGATGTTCCCTCGACTCAGAAGGGTGATGTTCCCTCGACTCAGAAAGGCGACGTCCCGTCAGCGCAAAAGGGTGACTCTGTCTTTGGAAAGCCTCTCAAGGAGGTCAAGTTTGCAACAACGCCTATTATGAGCACATACGTAAGTCCAGGACAAATCATGCATCGAAAAATAACAAGCGAACGCTAAAGAAAGGAGCTGCTTATCGACAGACCATTATTTTGTTGCTACTACGCTAGCTGGTCGCCTTCATCGTCGGCAAGTTCGAGTACATCGAGACCGTCACCAAGAACTTGCCAACGCCCATCACCTGCCGTGTCTATGTTTTACCAGGAAAGACCGAGGAGGCCAAGTTTGCCCTCTCCGTGACCCCTCTCGCGTTAGAGTACTTTACCGAGTTGTTCGGTGTTGCATACCCACTTCCCAAGATGGATCTCATCACTATCCCCGATTTTGAATCCGGTGCCATGGAGAACTGGGGATTGGTCACTTATCGATCCATCCGCCTGCTGTTCAACGAAAAAACAAGCGATCTCAGCTACAAGCGTCATATCGCTGTAAGTTCACTGCATGATATCCTGCGACCTTCCGCCATCATCTGGCATGTCCTATTACATTCTAACATTTGTCTCGCTGATCGATGTTTAACCACAGTACACGATCTGCCACGAGATCGCCCATCAATGGTTCGGTAACTTGGTCACCATGGACTGGTGGGACTATCTCTGGTTGAACGAAGGATTTGCCACCTGGGTTGGCAATTTGGCCGTTTCAAAGTTCTTCCCAGAATGGGACAACTGGTCTTATTTTATTGCGGATGGATTCCAGATGGGTTTGGCGCTTGATGGGCTCCGGAGTAGTCACCCTATCGAGGTCCCTTGCAAGCACCCTCACGAAATTCACCAGATCTTTGACGCAATCAGCTACTACAAGGGCGCATCCTGTATTCGCATGTTGAGTTCTTGGCTGGGCTTGGAGGTGTTCTTGAAGGGTATTCGTATTTACATAAAGAAGCACGCTTACAAGAACACCAGCACCGAGGATCTCTGGGCTGCATTGAGCGAGGCTTCTGGAGTCGATGTTGGCCAGTTCATGAACACATGGATCAAGCAAGTCGGTGTAAGTGTTGTGCATACCGACATCATTGGTGTTTGTAAAAGTAGCTCATTTCAATTATTATCTTTATGACCTATTTAGTATCCTGTGGTTGATGTTGAGGAAAATGCCGACGCCAGCACCCTGTCGTTCAAGCAGTCCCGCTATCTCTCTTCAGGAGATCTCAGTGCTTCAGAGGATACTGCTCGCTGGACCATTCCCCTGGGCATCGAGCCTCCACCAGCTGACAACAGCGACAAGGCTCAGCTGTTGTCTGGAGACTCACTGACTGTCAAGCTTGAGAAGGGCGGTCACTATAAGGTCAACTCCGACTATACTGGCTTCTTCCGCACGGCTTATCCTGCTTCGGCTCTTGAGCGCATCAGCCAATCGATCAAGACGAAGGATCCCTTGTTCACCCCTGGCGATCGTGTCGGCTTGTTGGCAGATTTGGGCGCTCTGAGCAAGAGCGGTCACGTCAAGACCAGCTCGCTCCTGGAACTCTTAGCGGCGTTCGAGGAAGAGGACCACTACGTGGTGTGGGTCGCGATCGCAGAACGCGTTAACGTCCTATCCTCGGTGTTCTATCAGCAGCCCGAAGATTTCCAAAAGGCTCTTGAAAAGTTTCAGCGCAAGCTGTTCTCCAAGGCCGCCGCCAACCTCGGATGGGAGAGCAAGGCCTCGGATGATTATCGCTCGACTCTGCTCCGCAAGCTTTTGTTGACTAACGCAGGATGCGCTGGCGACGAGGCTGTGGTGAAGGAGGCGCAGGAACGATTTGTGTCATACGTTGCAGGTGATTCCAAGGCGCTGAACCAGAATCTGCAGAGTGCCGCCTTTGAGATTGTAGTCCTTCATGGCGACGAGTCCGACTTTGAGAAGGTGCTGAAGTGTTGGCGCGATGCCACTGCGACCGATCAAAAGCTGGCTGCTATCGGTGCTATGACAGTTGTTCGTCATCCCACAATGATTCAGCAGCTACTTGAACTCTCGGTCTCGGACGAGGTCAAGGCGCAGGACATCGGCTACTTCTTTGGAGGGTAAAGTGCTGTTCTTTGCTCTATTCAGGTTGTCCTGTATCGATGCTGGGCAATGTCGCTCCCTGCTAACACGAGATTTGGTTGCCTTCCTGATAGACTGTCCCGCAACCCTAAAGCTCGCCACGTCCTGTGGGACTATATCAAGGCCAACTGGGAGATGCTAAACAAGAGATATGTGGGGTCAATGGCACTCCTAGGTAACATTGTCAAGAGTGGAGTGGGCAGATTCACAAGTGAAGACATGGCCAAGGACTGCGAAGCGTTCTTCGAGGACAAGAAGGTGGATGATATCTCGCGCCCGATTGCTCAGAGCTTGGAGGTGGTCCGGTCTAACGCCAAGTGGGTTGCTCGGGACGCAGAGGATGTGCGACAGTGGCTTGTGTCTAAAGGCTATTTGGCATAGGTGCAACCAGGCAGGATTTCAGGGGTACCATTGACAAGTACAACCTTCACTCGTTTGGTATTTTTATCTTTTACTCCACATGCAATAAACACTTATTTTATACAAACAGGGTTCGATGGTGGGGCCGTTATTCTGGGATGAAGAATACGAAAGGGTCTGCCCGCCAGCACCATCACCATCTGCTGTATCCGCTTTATCTTCATTCTTTCATTCGCTATCCTTTCCAAAGAATTTGAACTACTTGCGGTCTATTACTGTCCTCCTTTCTTTGCCCGTTCCTCCACGCTTGTTCCACTGCCGTTTGTCTCCACGTGGGGTCAACTTCTGAGCTGTGGCCCAAAAAACAAAAGTCAAGTGGGGGCCTTCGTCGTTGTGCCACCATCCGCACTTTCTCTTGCATACAAGTACGAGCCCTCCACTCGTTTTGACCCCATCCTCCCTCCAACCTGCTATTTCGTGGTCTTTCCATATGGACGTGCTCGAGCAATTATTGGCCGAGTTCTTTGGGCCTAACACCTCCACGGAGCGCAAGCGGAGCATCGGTAATTGAATTCCATGTGCTGATTCCATGCATCTCATGGCACCGTTAATGGACGTCAGTTTTGTCACAACCCTGATTCTGACCTTCTAAATGGTATTGGTACCTCATATTATCATCTCAACGCGATATAGAGGCCCAATTGGACGCTCAGCGATTGACTCTGGATGACTGCAGGTACATGCTGACGAACGCACGGTCTGATTATCTTGGATGGTTTGCGGCATCTCAGTATCAAAAAAGGATTCAACTGGAGTGGGCTAGCCTAGACCCGGAGCTTCAGCGTGCCAATCGATCATTTCTAGTCGTCTTTTTGCAGCAGCATTTCGGAACAGGGTCTGGTTCAGGCCAAGGCTCCGGGACGGGATCCGCACTCAGTACTGAGGCTGGCGGCACAATCAGCACTGCCTCGTCAGGAACTTCAGGATCAACCTTTCGTTTTTCAAACTTTGTGCTCAACAAGGTAGTCCAGCTCCTCACGGATATTGCGCTGATGGACTGGCCTGATCGGTATCAGGACCTTTTCCCAGAGATTCACAGCCTTTTGCAAAGCAAGAACAGGGATCATGCGCTTCTGGGATGGACTCTGCTGGAAGCGACAGTTCAGGAATTTGTTGGCATGTATCCGGCGCCTGGAGCTGGAAAATCCCATCGGGCGCACCTCACACTCTCAAAGCAAAGGTGGTACCTGTGGGAGAACTTCAAGGCGCAGATACCGGATCTTCTGAATCTCATCGTTCAGCACCTAGACCAATGCTACAACAAGATGTTGGTCACACCCTTGCTGACAGAGGCACCAGCACCGTCGCCTGTTGAACACTCTATCTGGAGCGCTTCGGGTTTCGGTCGACGGCCAAGTTTAGCAACACCGGCACACCTCACATCTCCATTGGCGCAGGTGAATGGCTCCTTTCAAAACTCGCTATCAGGGTCAAGGGCTGTCCCAGGATCGTTGAATCCTCCAGGGTCCATGTTAGGACAGGCATCATTCTTTCAAGAAAGTGGGCAAAGACAAGGTGGCCAGGGCGAACAAGGGTCAGCAGCCTCATATGGAAAGTCGCCGACTACCACATTACGCAAGACTCTCAGTCAATTCCTTGGAAGCGCCACCAATTCATCGATTATTCAGTCCACCGACTCTGGTTCCCATATCAACCTGATGCACTCGCCTGCTGGACCGGGGATATCGCTACTCCAGGCGCGGCAGAGGATGGGCTCGATTAGCGACCTGGGACAAATGGCGATGCGGCGGAGCTCGATCAATGCTGCCGTTATGATGGAAGGCCGGCGTGGATCTATCGATAGCACTTTTATCAGCGGCAATCGAATGGACTCGCATTCCCGCAAGACCTGTACGTTAGCGCTCCAGGCCCTAACAGCGTTGCTGGCGTGTCCTGGTATCGACCCTCGTCGGGTGTCATTCTCGTCCTCCATTGCTATCGTACTCAAGTTTTCGACGCTACACCAAAACAAAACCGTCGATCTGGGCATTTTGTCGCTCAGCTGTCTCAACGGTCTGGTAGCACGTCCAGGGTTTTTGGCTAATAACCAGGAGGCAATGACTGGTGCGGTACGAATCATGGCCGACCTTATACGATACTTTAATGAAGTCAAGGATGGCATTGACGACATTGATGAGAGGTAAAAAACTATTTAAATCTAATGCATGTTTGAGATGCTTCATTTTCAATTGAATAGACCGTACTAACATAACGCTATTTCTCTACCGCTCAATAGCTATCTGCAAATGTTTATGCACTTCGTGTCGTTGTTCTGTACCCTGGTGAACCTTGAAAGGGCAGAAAGAGCGCTGGGACTTTCGAAGCCCGATTTCATCATGTCGTTCGCGAAGTTCACATTAGAGAAGGTAAGACCGAAAACAGCTGGGATGGGTGTAAAGCGCATGGTAATCGTTTACCTCCAAAAGGTCCTCTCGTCAAAGACTCATTTTAACATCGTGCTCTGGATAGGTGTCTGTGGATTATCTTAAGATATGCATGGACGTTTGGAAGACACTACTGGATGCCATCATTCATTCCGCGTCCGAAAGTCCTCGACCCATCCCTGCTGGGGATCCATTGCGCCGTATGCAAGGACCATTGCTGTATTTTATGTCTGCTTTGGTAGAAAAATTTTATAAAATGAAGGGAGCAACGCGATCCGAGGACGCGTTTTCAACCTTTGAGGTTGAGGATGAAGAAGATCTGGAGGACCTGACAGATCTGGTTGAGAGCTTTGTTGGTCTCGTTGCTGAGGTCTTTACAGAAGAAGTTATTGAGATGCTGGTACGTTATCTGAATGAGTTTTTGTCCGCACGGCATTTCAAACCTATAACGCTTCCCGCTACTAATGCTTTGATTCTTTTTGATCCATACTATCATGTTTGCAACTTAGAATCCGCTCCTCAATCAGCAGCTGGAGCTCTATTCAAACCGGGAGATAGACGAATGCAAGACTGTAATACTATCGAGATTTACTGCTGCTTCTCCAATCCTCACGGCAAACGCAGAAAGTCCAGCCTTTTTTTCTTTTTTCTGACACTCAATTCCTTATTGTTTTGAAATATCTCTAGCTGCCGGTGACACTCGGGATATTATCGAAAGTCGCTAACAACTTTGATCAGAACTTTGAGGATCGTCGCACGTATACTTGCAACCTCATGATTCATCTTACAAGGATGACAAAGTTCTCTGTCGACCATTATATCGCCATCACAAGTGATGCGACAGGTCCAGGGAAGGGTGGGGTGGAGCTGACAGGAACAATGTAAGAATAACATCATACATGATAGGTCTTGCACACCGCGCTGAGAATGGTAGCCTTCAATCCCATTTTCTAATCAGTATCATGATGATATACTACTAGAACGCTGGCGTTGTTTCATTGCTTGTCGTCTCTTATCTCATGGGTGAATCATCTCTGGAAAGTTGAAACCAGTCCTGAATCGGGCAACAATGTCCATCCAAAGGCACTAGTTGCAAGAGAAATATACCAGGAGCTCGCTCAACTGTCAACGTATTTATTCCGACGACTTCTACCAACCTCAGCTCTTGGCGCTCCTTCACAGCTATCTACGATACCCAGTACTTTCTTGGGCCCGGCTTCAACATCCTGCTCTGCCATGGACCGAAGGCTGCTCTTGTCGTCTGTCAAGACCTTGCGTTTGCTTACGCTTCAAGTCAGGATACCATTGAATCTTCTGGCCACCGGCGATTGTTTATTTTGGGACCTTGAATCGACACGCGAGATGGCTTCAGTTTTAAGTCAGGCTGTGATGACGCACACGAATTTTATGGGCGAAGACTTTGTATCATCCAAGCTAGATAGTAGCATGGAAGAAGATGAGCGGAAAGGGATAACGCCGGATGACGAGCTATTCCTGCTGGCATATTTGGCATTGAGCAATGGTATAACATTGGACCCAAAGACGGGCCATGAACTGCAGACTGCTGCGCTACAGGTGGGTGAATGCCCCGCTTATTTTTCAAGGGAGTCATTAGAAATTTGAATGGAAAGAGAGCCGTTGCTAATAATGGATCTTCTTTCGTTACTTAGGCCTTTGGACAATTCGTCGCACCTATTATTTATCCGCTACAAAGCATACTCCAGGACTCCAGATCGGCGCCAGGGACAATTCTGGCCAACAGCGAGGGTAAGTGCTATTAAGGCACTGATATATCCCACTACTTGTGTCCTTTATTTGCGGAGTAGGAATTAATGGCCATTCTCCCAATACTCGGTCCCATAGCCAAATTTCGTGTCCATAGATGCCTTACTATTTTACGGACACTTGTCAGCTCCGTTGAGGGTGCTGCAGTCTCGGCCAGGGCAATGGTATATGAGGGAGTGAGAACAGCACTGCCTCTCGTCCAGGAGTACTTTGAGGTCTATCTTGAAGATCATGGTAAGTGTCTCGGCCTTTTGATCTTGCCTATAATTAGTCGTGAATTTGTTAAATGATCAAGGCTTCTAAACAGGACATTATCCGCTACAATATCTATAGACATTTCGATAGACATCCTTTTGTTCTTTAAGTCGCTGGTGAAAACTCTGTATCGGCAGGTTGGGACGAGTCATTGTATGGAGATTGCTCGCGTACTCATGGATCGCCTGTCAAGTCCGCCGCTTTTCGAGACCGCCTTCTCTTCGCAACAAACTGGTCATCAGCAGCATCAACAAGCACTCCATCAGCAGTCCTTCATCCTGCAGCAACGGAAAGTCCTTCAGCGAGTTCAAATGTCAGTTTCGATACTGAATACCATCCTGGAACTTCCTAGCAAGGAGATCTCAATGTCCTTGACCGACTTCGCCCAGTTTTTGTTCTCACAACTGGGACCAAAACTCTTGGGGACTCAGGATCAGCGAGAGACTGGCGCAGCTGGAACTCAGGCAGCGTCTTTAGACTCTCAGCACGGATTACAACAGCCCAGATCTAGCGAAAGCGGCGTTTTGGATAACGGAGTGTACGATCTAATGTCGCTCTTCTTCTCAACCATTCAGACCATGCTCACGCACCACTGCCGATATTTTTTCGCTGCCGACTCATCTACAAGGAATCAGAATGGTGGTGATGGTGTCCAAGATGGAGCCGATAGCCATCGAGCACAGATGCTTCAGAGCTGCATGGAATACTTGGCACGAGGTCTCCACCGTCCAGAGCCGGACATTGTCCGTCAATCGATCGAAATCATTGTCGCACTTCAAGAACACAGCCTTTGCCATTTGTTTGACCGACAAGAGTTTCAGAGCACATATCGATTCGAGTTTCTGAAATTGCTGCTCCAACTTGCACTGAGCCATCAACAAGACCTGTTGCTGGAGGATATGGCTGGACTTATCCATAGTATGGTTAAGGGTGACGGCTCGGGTGGGGACAGGGACGAAAAGTTCCTGAATGTCTGGCACGGCGATCTGAAGCGATTTGTGGCGGGATTGGAGCCCTCGCAGGTTCTGGTTACTACGACAACGTCAACGATGGCTGGAGGACTTTTGCAACCGACGTTGCCGTCTCCGCAGGCACTCCAGGTGTCTGCGTCCGCGTCTTCGCTATTGGCGCAAGTCCAGTTCCCAGACTCGGTCAAAGAGGCGCTGTGGATGAACTTGCTCCGCCTTGGGGATGCGAGCATGTATCGGGAAGGGCTTTATGACTTTATGAATGACGCGCATGTTTATGCCCAGAACCTCATTAGATAAAAAAAAACAAAAAAATTCCGACCTGTCAATAGTCAAAAAATAAAGATCATTGGATTTGTTTACTATATTATTGCGTTACTCCCACAGTGACAAATAACATCAGGCGGGCCAAAATTCTTTTCAATGGCTTGCTTACTCTGTTTCCTTATTTTATACTCCCCTTTTTGATACACTTGCGCAAGAATTATACGTATTCTAGGAATAATACTATCTATTGGGCAACAATTATGTTGAGTAATAAAAGTGCTTTCAATGAGGTCTCTGCAACCGGTTTCTGCTTATACATGCTTTAGACATTGTTCTAGAAAACAGCATACATAGGAAATAAACGCGATCTTGACCAACTACTCTTTTTTTTTTTTTTTTTAATAATTTATCTCTCGAGTCGATTGACTCTGCAGATCTGTCAGACTTAACTAGCAATGATCCACCACAGTCGTCCTTTCCGCCAATATAGAGCCGATCCACAGCCGTCAAAAGATAGGTCATATTCTCCAGACCTGACCCAAGGGTCTGTGCAACAATTGCCACACCTCACCAGCGTGTTAAAAGCTGAAAACTCCTTGTTACAAAAAGGGTGCCTTCCCATCCCCTCAATGGTTGTCAAACGCCTTCTCCTTTGAAGGTAGTCCAGTTGACTAACTAATCACCTTTTTTTTTTTAATTACGAAACCCCCTCAAAGGCATAAAATATGTTAACTGTATTTTTTTTTTTTTTTTTAACATAAATCTCCATGAGCACGAGACGCATGGATAAAATATGTTAACTGTAATCTGAGGGGAAACAGCTGATGCTACAGAGAAAATAACAGCAACCTGTCCAATAGGACTACGTCGCAGTGCATCCGCGATCCAAAATCTATGACATATGAGTAGTAAAAACCGATGCACCATGCCGTCTTTTTTTTCTAACATAAATCCACATGAGCGCGAGACGCTTTTTTTTTTTTTTTTTTTTTTTTTTTTTATGGTTATTTTATGGGGGTTACTATTTCTCGCTGGTCAGGATGTTCCTGTTTGTCCCGAACAATGGTAGGAGGCGCCATATAAATCCCGCGTATTTTCCCGCAAGCCTGCCTCGGTCGTCCTGTTCCTGCTAACTTGATATCTTGATCCTTTGGACTGGCTCTCTCCTGTGTGACTTGATTCGGCAAATATTCAACTTATGTTTCGATCCGGCATATATGTACGGCTTCCTTACGGTGTTACTGCGGCCTTCGAGTGATTTCTGAAGTAAATTATTTAGTCTCCTCTCTCAATAGTCCCCCCCGTAACCTTAGTGCTGGAGAACGGCTCTGGCAAATCCGAGTGACAGTTCTGAAAAATCTCCTCGTAGCCCACGGTGGCGTGCGAACCTGAGCAGAATAGAACATTCTCTCAGGAGGGAGCCAATCCCCTGCTGCTCGCGATCCGAAAGGTAATTTATACACGGCCCCCCGTGCCGAAAAACAACCGCACCAAGCTGGATCCGAAACTAGGATCCACAGCACTGTTCTCTGGAAGCTTCGCGTGATACTACTGTACCACACAGGTTCCCCCGCCAGCACATGAGCGCGAGACACATAGTCTACAAAATGACCTATACAAAATGCTCCCTATGTGCCTGTTTACTGGCGCAATCTATAAACACACACAAAAAAAACAATAAAAAATATAAAGTGATGCGGATCAAATTATATTTTGCAGGTAATCTTCCAAAAAGCAGCTTCAACCCTACAGATATCATTTGAACGAGTTTCTGGCTGCCAAAGAGCCCAAAAACCGGCCACAAAACACGTTGGAGTTGCGGTTATATTTGTTTTTTGAATGTATATAATATTCAATAACATGGCGGGGCGTAGAACGCCATCCTTGGTAGTATAGTGGTGAGTATCTCCGCCTGTCACGCGGAAGACCGGGGTTCAATTCCCCGCCAAGGAGCTCCTCTTTTGCTTTACTTCAGCTTGAACCTTTTTTTTTTTTTTTTTTTTTTTTTACTGGGACAATCTATTTGACAACCCCTATACTAACTCCATGTAAGGCCAACATTTTTTAAATGTCGATTATGCCAGTAGTCCTTATGGTACCTGGCCCCGGCTCTTTAAGCTAAATCGTCATCTGTCTCTTAAAGGACTCCTCAATGCAACTGATTTCCCATTTCGTCATCGCTGAGTCCGTCATCGATAAAATCCTGTTTTCCGTCATGAAGAAGGCTTCTCCCAAGGTCGCAAAAGGTTGCATGGGGTGCCAGGTGGAGGAAGGAATGATTCTCAACCTCTCACCGCGTTGTTTCGACTTGAAATTCGCAAAAGATACGAGTCTTGTTTTACATGGGATTTGTGCAGGGGTTGCCAAATAAGAGTAACAACCCGGGTTGTCAAATAGATTATTCCTTTTTTACTTGGCAACCTGGGTTGTCAGTCTTATTGAGCCATTACTTTCTTTAATTCTCATCGTAGCCACCATTTATTCGTTATATTAAGCACTTTACAGCGCAATTATAGGCAAAATATAGATATAAACCGGGACGCCAGCACTGCTGAAGCGACTCCAATTCATGACCCTCTAAAACATTCCAGCTGCGAATCCCACGGACACGACAGATCCAGCAGCCAAGACAATATTAACCAAGGCAGGAGCGACTGCAATTGCACTGCTGCTCTTGCCTCCAACGACTGTGGGAGCAGCACCACCGGCGCTGGTACCAGTTGCTGTGCCCGTAGCAGTGCCCGAGACACTTGCAGGACCACCGAGGACAAAGGTACCGGCGCCTTCCTTGTATGGCTTAGCATCGCCGAGACACTTGGCGATGGGCATGATGTCGAGACCCTTGGTAGCGTAGGCAATAGGCAGGATGCCACTAACGGAGACGTTAACCTCTTGAGGGAACACTGTAAGAGAGAGAGAGAGAGAGAGAGAGAGAGATGAATGTAAGTGAACGCGTGTCTTGTAAGATCGATAGATTGAAGGAGTCAATGTACATATGATAAAGGGCTTACAGTCGTGCTCCAGGACGATGAAACCGGTGCTCATTGTTGGGATCTTGGCGAGCCAGGACTGGAAGGTAGCAACCACTGACTGAGGCGTGGCAGTGCCTCCAGGGATATTCCACTATACAAAAAACAGGAGATAGCGCGTTAGTCGATGCAGTCCATCCTCCGACGGATAAGAAAAAAAAAAGAGGCGGAGAGGAATCGAGGGCCTTACGTCGTTGGTGTCAAAGTCCTGGGTCCAGATTGAGGTCTTGTAGCCGAGCTGCGTTGCAATGTTGCGCACGCGATTGTCGACATCACCATATGGAGGGCGCCAGTAAATGGGGGTCACGCCAATGACACTGAAAATGGCCTTCTCGGTCCATTTGAGCTCGGCGACGATCTGTTCGTTGGACAAGCTGGTCATGTCTGGGTGGGACCATGTGTGGATGGCAATCTGATGTCCTTCCTGGTAAGCACGCTTCAACGTCGCCTGATAGCTCACAGCGCGGGATCCGACAATGAAGAGTGTCGCCTTTTGGTTGTGTTGAAGGAGATAGTCGTACAGACGAGGCGAGTCAGGGGATGGACCATCTATGGGACGATTGGAATGATACAAAATTATCTCGCCGGGTAAATATTAAAGAATCTCTTTGCGGATTCACTCGTATGATAGCACAAACATCAAGAGTCGCAGATTATGGCGCAAGGGTCTCTACCGTACCATCATAGGTCAGACCCCAGGTTCCGGTCTTTGGACAGACGACAATGTCGTTGGGGTCAACACACTTTTGACATGTCCACCAACACTGATCCTTGGACAAAGTCGTAAGATCGGTAGGGCAGGCACCGGCCTTGGAGGGAGGGTATACGGGAGTCTTTGTGAAGTCGACCAACTTGAGCCATGCCTGAACCTGAGGGTCCTGGATGAAGGGAACGCAGTCGAGGACTGGCCAAGCGCCTGCCGCGACGGCGGCGTATGTGGTCGGGCAGGTCGATGCAGCGGCACGCTTCTCGAGCATGTGGTGACCAGCATGTCCAAAGGCCACAGAGAGTGAGGCCGAGAGTGCCAACAGGGTCTGGATGATTTTGACCATTATGTTTGAGAATAATAAGAATAATACAAGATGAGGGCGGTTGGATGAACAGGATAATGGGAAGCGAGGAATGGAAAAGAAAAAAGGGAGAGAGGTGAGGGATGAAAGCCAAGGAGAGGTGAGGGATGAAAGCCAAGGAGAGGTGAGAGGTGGCACTGCAGAAGGGGGGGAGCAGGGCTGTCGACGATGGGATATGAATAAAAGGAAGGACGTGAGTGGATGGACATTTGTTTGTTTGTTTCTTTCTCTTAAAATACCCTCCAAGGCAACGGCTGCAGCAACAGAGCACAACAGGCTGATTTGCCGTCCACTCTTACGCCTCCTCCTCCTCTAGTCCTTACAGAGTACTCAGCTCGGTCCGCCCCGCCCTCAACGCCGCCTGCATCGCCATATCTCCCTATCAAAGGCAAGCCTGGTTGAGCCTTTATATCGCGTTGGCATCTGAATCATACCAGGGGGAAACGTAGCCGCATCCCCCCCTCCCCCAGCACTTTCGACCCTGGACATATTAGGAACAGAGTTTGAGGTCTACAGAACAATTTTTCCCCCTTCGGGCGGGCCTGATTACCCGGGCTCCTCCCAATTATTGGTTTGAGCCCAAACACACACCCGGGGACAGGAACTAGTTCAGGCAATCCCCTTCTTCTCTCCTTCCTAATCCGGGTGCGCTGGGCCTATATTGGCGTGTGCACCCCTGGGGCTATGCCATCGCATGCTTTTACCTTCACCAGACTGACTCTGTTGCATGGCACGAACATAATGCAGAATACTATTAATGTGTCATTGACGACATGTGTGTATAATCTAAGTACGGCGATATACATACTGTAGTCTATCCAGTGGGATATATCTAGACAGGCGGAGGTGTTCCCATGAGCCCACCTTATAGTTTTCGGGATTCAATCCGCGAAACCTCTACTACACGGCTGTTGGGGATCATCATCCATCCTTCCTCCAACAACCATGCACGCCTCCCGCGCACATTGCTCTTACATTCCAGCCATGGCCGCCATGAAGAATGTCACGCCTGCGACAAACATCGCCTGGGTTCTTGTAACAACCACTGCTTGGTCTGCACCGCTGGGATTGGCTCCGTTGCCACCAGAGGTGTTGTTGTTGGACAGTAACTTGAAGGTGCCTGCACCCTCCTTATATGGCTTGCCATCATTCAAACATTGAACGATTGGTTGCATGATCAAGTTCTTGGTTGCGTACGCAATAGGCAAGATGCCATTCACAGAGACATTGACCTCCTGAGGAAACACTACATGAATCAGTAGGGCAAGGTTAGTCCCTGTGTTCAGTTGCATATAGAATTGTATCATGTTCAATAATAAAATGAGGTAGAGACAAAGGCTTACAGTCGTGCTCGAGGACAATAAAACCGGTCTTCATGCCTGGGATTTTGGTCAGCCATGACTTGAAGGTGTCGACCACTGCTTGAGGTGTGGACTTGTTGGCGGGGATGTTCCACTACAATGTCAAAAATAAGATGCGCGTCCGAGTCAGAAATGTCATTCATTATGTCAAACGCACTACTCAACATTCAAAAAACACATCGCTGGTTTGGAGACTTACATCGTCGGTATCAAAGCCCTGAGTCCAGATCGACGTCTTATAGCCCAACTGCGTCGCAATGTTACGAACGCGGTTATCAACATCACCAAAAGGAGGGCGCCAGTAGAGGGGTGTAACACCAATCGTATCAACGATGGCCTTCTCAGTCCATTTGAGCTCCGCGACGATCTGCTCATTGGTCAAGCTGGTCATGGCAGGATGGGACCATGTGTGGATAGCAATGTGATGTCCTTCCTGATACGCACGCTTCAATGTTGCAGGATAGCTTACAGCGCGGGATCCGACAATGAAGAGTGTCGCCTTTTGGTTGTGCTGAAGGAGGTTGTCGTACAGACGAGGCGAGTCTGGCGATGGACCATCTAAAATGGAAGCATAGGTCCAGAGCGCGTTGGTTTAGTCATGGAGTGAGGATGAGCAACGCACAAATCTGCGTCTATATTTCCTCTAGGCCCAAAAACCCGCAATGTCCACCATGAAAAGAGAGATATTTTTGGATCCCCTTTTTTTTTTCTTCCTCTGTTACGACCACAGGCTTGTCTAAAAACACCTGAAACGCGGAACAAAAAACCCAGGAAGGACGTTCTGCATTGGTTTCAGGTGCACCATGAAATTTTTCCTTTGGAATTTCCCTTACCATCATAAGTCAATCCCCAGGTGCCCGGGGTGGGGCAGGACGTGATATCATTCGGGGCCTCACATTTCTGGCACGTCCACCAGCATTGATCCTTGGGGAGTGTCGTGAGATCTGTGGGGCAGACGCCGTCTGTGGAGGGTGGGTACACTGGTGTCTTTGTGAAATCGACCAACTTGAGCCACGTCTGGACCTGAGGATCCTGTGGGGAAGGGACACAATCGATGACTGGGTATTGTCCAGAAGCGACAGCTGGAGGATTGGCATTGCAGGCCGAGGGAGCGGCCGCTGCACGCTTCTCAAGGATGTCGATGCCGTGGCTGTGACCGAGGCCGTGTGCGGAGACCAGGGACAGGGACAAGGAGAAGGAGATGGTGAAAAGAGTAGTGCTGACCTTGACCATTATGTAAAGTATTATTAAAAAAGATATGCCGGGGAGGATATGTTGGGTGTACGCGAGTTTGAATAAAGGGAGGTATTGGTATCTGTCAATGGTGCGAAAGAGATATTCATGAACGAAGGAAGGTGAGGAAGGAGAAGAAAGGAACAGGGCAGTTGAAATAGTTGCAGAAAAAAACGATAGCATAATAACGGCACACTGACGAAAGAGACCCCCGGTTCTCAGGACTTCCAGACAAGGTCGGGATTGTTTATTTCTGGCATTGTTGGTCCAATTCAGCTTTTGACACCGTACTCGAATACCGGGCGCTAAAAAAGCCTTGGTAGGATTTTTCATGGTCTATGACAGAATAACAGAGACCTGTGCTGGTTGATTTATTTGGTTAGACCTTGTCAACTACAGGGAGTTTGCTTAACAGAATATTCATAATTGACAAGATCCAACCAAATAAATCAACCAGCACAGGTCTCTGCAGAATAAGACCTGTGCACATTTATTAGCCTGAGTCCGCAATAATTGCATAGTTCATAGTCCAATTGTAGCAACCTCGATACAAATACGGCCTTCTTAGCGTGGTGAAGGTGCTCGCACCCATGTCAACTTTGCATTGGATTAGATCTATCCTTCTTTTGAGGAAAGGAAAGAGGGTCCAGCACCCATCTATTTTTAATATGGGGACCTGAACACGTACGAACCCCTGAAGATGACCTCCCTGTTTTGGAATAGAACGAAGACGTACACACATGCGTAGTCATAACCGTTAGGATTGATTGTTGCTGTCTGTGCCCAAGTCAGCAATTGAGACAGAACGCGACTTTTTGCTTCATTACCTATCTCATGCCGAGCCGGTGCTGACGACCATCAAAGAGTGGACATTCCGCTTAAGTCAATGGAGCCCCTTATCTTTATCACGCCGGTTCCATTAGTTCTTTATTTCGAAGTACACATTTGCACTGCACTGTACACGGCCTTTGAGTCTTAACGATTATTTATTAGGGGCTATGTGGTTGTAAGGAGAGACCTTTATACGATTTTCTGAAGCTTCTGTTCTTCTAGCGTTACGGACCTTCCGCCCTCCTTCCCTAGTTTTCAGGCACATGTGTATTATCGCTTTAGAAGCCGATGGCCATGGCAAGAGACAAGCCAACGATAGCGACGAACGAGTTGGCAGCCAAGGAATTCGCGCTCGAGGGCTTGTTGGTGATCGTTGGTGAGGCCACGGCGGAGGAGGAAGTGGTGCCACCAGCGACAGAGGTCGTGGTGGTAATTACAGGGAAGGTGACCGAGCTGGTGATGCTGGTCGACGCTGCAGAGGAGGAGGAGACGGACTCGCTATGGGTAGGCTTGGGCTTTCCGGACTCAGTAGTGGTAATGATAGTGGTGATTGGAGGCGCGGCCAAAGCGACAGACGAGAGAGCGAGGGCCAAAACCAGGGCGGCAACGACGTAGGTGAAGGACTTCATGGCTGTTATAGAATAGTGTGTAAGTTGTAAATGGGCGTGTGGTGGGAGATGAAGAGTTGAGAAGTGAGATGCGATGGAAGAGAAAAAGAGAAACTGTGGGGGAAGACGAATAAAGGACTTTTATATCCCTTCTGGATCGTGTGTTGCTTCGTTTTTTCGAGGCGATGGGCGCGGGGCAGAAGTTAGATGGAGCAATATCAGCTACATTACACAGCATACATTGCATTGAAGAGTTCCGAGTGGTGGTGGTTCGGAGGGCAACAGCCAAGATTTCCTCCTGTGGCTGATGAAGGACAATGGGCAGTACAACTAGATGCTTGCCGTTTTAATAGCGTAAAGTATTCATTAGGGCGTTTCATACGTTAGTGAAGTTGAAACGTTTGATTGCATGTGGTAGGGCACCAAGAGCATTTGTCGCTCGTTTGCTCTGCCATATGCATCACGTATAGACGTATCTGCTTTTGTCTTCACCAATAAATCAATTCGCATAGGATCGGAGCGAGGTACATCTCATTAGAAGTTTTGCCAAACTTTCTAGCTCGGGCTGAAGCCTCACCCTCCGCTTAATCTGTAGTTTCCTTTGGGTTGCAAGTAAATGAGCAGCAGCAACCGCGTGGACAGAAAACAGAGCGCGACGGGGAGGAGGATGGCGTCCAAGGGTTACCTGACTCATGTCATTGGGGAGCCAGTGCGACTTATACCCTTTAGTGTATTAGTAAATCGGTGCCAATAATCGACTGTACGTGTACTTCACACCATAGCGCCATAGCGACAGCCAATTTGCGTGTGTAAACTGTGCTCCCGCCCAATCAGGTCAGGGAACCTCAATAGACCACACAAATCCTTTTTTGTACGAAGCACGTCTATTAATATAGTCCAAATAACCTTTTTTCCCAATCAGTTTTGAGGGCGAGGGTTGGGGAAGACTTTGTAACAGTAAACTGAATTTTGCATAGACGCCGCTTCTCACCTCATAGTACTTCGCTGAGGAATAAACTGGTATTCCTCATGGAAGTACGTGGCATGAATCCTCGGTAAAGTACAACCTGGGGCCCGGACACACGCATTTCCTTCACATACACCCATCAAAATAATAATAATGATAATAATAGTAAAAAATATAAAAGACGCGCGAACGAATTTAATAGGAGCCAAGAAAAAGTCAATTTAAGGTTGACCTTTTTAGGAAATTCGAGTCCACGTGCCAGCAGCCTTCTCTTCCATGTGTTTAGTTCGAGCCAGAAAGTGAGTGAGTGAGGAAGCTTTATTTCAATGCAATTGTACATGTATCTAATAATGCATCCGCAAGGCCGGCTACCAGAGGATCTGATGTCGCAAAGTTGACGTGAGCCAGCTAGAAAAAAAATAAGAGAGGTTAGCGGACAGGAGGAGATGAACGTACTGCGAGAAAAAAGGAGAGTAGGGGAGTGGAGAGGCAAGAGCGAGCAAAGAAAAAGGGGAATCAAGAGGAGGCATGTGCACGTGGAGGCATGGAGGGCTACTTGGGCAGTGATATATTGTACACAGCAAAACCTGGTAGTTACTACAGAGTAGGAGGAAAGATAAGTAAGTGGAGCATGAAGTTACAGTGTTGGTGAGGGTGGAAGTGTGCTTGGTATGCGCACTATGAGAGGGAGGGTGAACGATAGTGAAAGCAACGAAACATATACCGAACAGAATATGAAAGAAAAAGGGAAGGAGTAAAAGAATGAAAAATGGAGAATGAAGAACGAAAGAAAATTGGAATGAAAAAAAGAAAGCATTGACAGGTAATAGCAGCCAGGGTGTTCAGCTGAGGGTACTGTATGCGGAGAATCGGCTATTTTGACCCCAAGGGTCATGACCGCTGAACTCCGTTCATGTTTAGGTCTGGACCGTCGGCCCTAATCTCGTCCACGAAACTCCAATCCTCATTGTCCAGAAAGTCCAGCTGGAGAGGATTCAAGCCTGGCATAGACTGCTGCAGTTGCTGGAGTTGCATCTGTTCCTGTTCCATCAGCTGAAGCTGCAGCTTTTGATCTTCCTCCATTCCTTCCCGGAAACGGCGTCTAAGGCTCTGTCTTTGTTGCATCTGTTGTGCAAGCTGTATCTGCTGCTGCTGCTGCTTCAACAAGGGGTCCTCCACGGGTGAATCTGGAGTGTGTTGAATAAACTGCTGTTGCTGTTGCTGTTGCTGCTGGTGATGGTGATGGTGATGATGCTGCTGCTGCTGCTGCTGTTGCTGCTGTTCGTATGACGGAGAATGAGCAGGGCTACCGTCAGACCGCTGGTTCTGCATCGAGAGGAGGCTCATGGTTTGGGGCATGGTCCGGGTTTGGCTAAAGCTAGAGGCATCGAAGCTGCTCATGTCCATGTTCATGTCCATGCCCGCATTCATGGACATGGCCATGTTCATATTGACGCTTAGTTCCGGCCGATTTCCTTCGATGTTACGGTGGAGCGCATTTTCCAATTCCAATTCATCCTTCATCAGCTTGACCTGGTACTCGCCCACGAACTGGCACATATCGCGGAAGCACTCGGTACAATCCACGGTTGGACGACCGCAGCCGCAGCCGCAAATCAGGACACCGTTGTCGCCCAGATGTATTGGATGTTGCATCTGAGCCGTATCCAAGCCAGAGAGTCCCATGCCACTGAACTCTTGCTTCAAGATCTGTCGCGCGTCAAAGCCAAAAGCGTTTCTATCCACTTGGCCATTGCTCTGGATCAGGCTCAAAGCAGCAGATAAGTTCAGTGCTTGCGCGCTCAAATTCCCATTTGAGTTCATGTTGTCCACATGCGACATGTCATTCGCAAAGACCGCGTTCTTGTTTGCGTCTGAGTCAGAAACAGAAGCCGACCGCTCAGATCCTCCAATATTGAGGATGTTCTGGTTGTTGGGGTACGCGAGGCATCCAGGGCAGGCGCAGCGCTCACCGCAGCAACACATGTTCGGAGATATGGCACATCCACAGCCTTCTCTGGCAATTGTCTCGTCTTCACCGACATCGCTTCTGCCGGCAGGTGGCGAATGAGAAAGGATTGATGACGCGGGCGATGCAGTGTTGGCAGGCTTTCCGGAACCACAGCACCCCTTCTTAGCCGAGGAGACAGACGAAAGGGTCGCCTGGCCTAATGGGACGGGGCTATTAGAGAAAGAGCCAGGCGAAGAATAGGATCGAACAGGAGGCGTGGGCACAGCAGAGGGCGAAGCCGCAGAAAAGGTCGAGAGGGCAGAATAGAGCATTCGTATTTCATCCGCAGAGGCACTTTCCATGGGGTTCAAAGACGTAGTTCCGTTCATGATGCCATCCATAATCTTTTTGGAATCGGCCGCGTCCAGCAGGTCCAAGTCCTCCATGTCGTCCGAGGCGTTGCTGACGGGGTAACTGGTTAGGGTGTCAGGAAAGTACGAGTAGGAGGTCGTAGGATTGTAGTGATCGCTGTCATAGTCGGAGGAGCTGGCATAGTCAAAGCAAAGATTAGGCTGCATTTGACCGGGATACCCCATGGACGAAGACGACGGAGAATGGTCACAGCCGGTGCTTCCAGACGGAGAAAGCGTCTGGACAGGGAGGGGAGAGGCGCCAGTGCCATAGATTCCGGTACCGTTCATTCCCTGGGTAGCGAGACCATCGGGGCTGGGGACGGTTTGGCCACCATGGGAATGGGGATGGGCATGGGCATGGGCATGATGGGCATGGGCATGGGGCGGGAATGGTAGGGGCGACGCCGAGTCACGAGGGAAGAGAAGCATGGCTGGCTTGCCGAGGTCCAAGGACGCGGTGCTTCGCTGGCAATTGGAGGGGAAGCCGTTCTGGACGGGGGCACCATTCGCCTGCGATGAGCTCTTTCCGGGCTTGACTACGACGCGACCAGCGCAACTGCAGACTGTGCCCTCGGGGCAACCGCATTTGACGACACCTGGAAGAAGAACGCCGGCTTAAGTAACTGAAGAATCCATTGACATCAATCACATCGTCATCATACATGATTTTTTTGCTCAACCCACTCTCGCTTCACGGCCATCGCATGCGGTCCTCCAAAAGAGCAGAGCAGCATATGGCACACGCGCGAGAGTGGGCGAATGCATGGTTGAAAGTCTACCTCCATTGGACGAGAGTGCGTCCGAGCAGTTCTGGGGGCTGTTGCACTGGGTCGAGACGGACCGGAGGAGGTCCTCGCCGCTAATTGCAGCTGGGACGGATAAGCGACCGTCATGGCTGAGTGATTTGGCACGTTTCAGACCGTTGGCTACAGCAGCGGATCCTATGGTATACATGTCGCAACAATGGCGCCCAGATGAGTATGTACGACCAAATAGGAGATTGTTTTGGAATATTTCAGTGCTATGAATGAGGCGATCCATACCTTCCTCACGGCCACAGATACACCGAGCATTGACATGCTTGGCCTTGCGCAACTCTTTGCAGTGAGCACATTGGGTCGAGGGGCGACCTTTCTTCTTGATCTCATGCAAGGGTCGTTCGCTGGATTGGGTTGGCATTGGTATCAATATTAACAAGTACATGTACAGTGAATGCAAAAGTGGCCAGCCAGGAGAGACGAAGAGGCGAGATTAGGAGACAGAACTGCATCAAATCAAAAGCAAAAGCAAAGCCAAAGGGCGGGATGCGTGCAGGAATACGGATATCAACTCACCCATGGTTGCAGGTCGTCGAACGATGGCCTTTGATACATGTGGCACTATTCAAACAAACAATAGTACAATCGAGGTCAATTTTCACCGATAAGAGTGAGCACTGTTCAGCCCAAACGAGCGAAGGGTTAACGGGTGCAGTGGTCCAGCCGAGAAGCAACTTGCTGCTGCTTACCATGCAAACTTTTGTCCGTTTACGAACACCATAATGATACGGGGACAATGAAAGACGTGATTGCGATCTTGTTTAAAAGCGGAGGCGCTTTAATGATAATAATCGGTATTATATATCACGAGTAATCGTCCTCTTGGGGTCTGGATGCGTAGTGTTCAAAGGAGAACTCTTCTTTTTTGCTGTGTGTTGTATGAGAATCGGTTGTGGAAAGTACTGTCGCTTCTTCTTGCGATCTAAAGTCTGCACCTTTGTTGTTGAGATTCTCAAAGCGCCTGATTCCTGAACATTCAATCGGCGCCGGAATGGTGAGCAAGAGTGGGAAGGTAAATGAACTAGGGGATAAGGAAATTAAGGAATTTGAAGCAGAATATTGAGGAGGAGGAGGTTTTTTAGATTCTCTGAAGAGCAGAGGAGAAATGATTGTGAAGGTGGTGGTGGAGGGGAGGGGGAGGAGGAGGGAGAGGAGCAGCAAAAGGGCTATAAGGTAAACAGAAGCATATGTAATAACTTGCTGGAAGGGGTAAAAGAAATAGCTGAGGGAGGTGCTTTGGTGAGATTGCTAGAGTGGAAAAAAAAAAAGTGTGCGAGATTGCAAGTGGTATGAATGAAGGGAACAGCGCCGAGAAGACCGGAGCAGAGGGCTCGGGTGGCAAAACTGTGAGAGATGATGTCGAACAAAAGAACCCGAGCTGCAGAGAGGCAAACGGGGGGTTGGCCCTGAAACAGGCACCAACGAAGTGGGGACACGGAAAGGGTCTGTCTGGGGGTGTGAGATCCTTAGGCTGATGGTGAAGGATGGATGGGAGAATCAGCTTGATTCAAGAGGGCTTGTAGGGAAAAAAAATAAAGCTGTGTTGGAAGAAATCGAGAGGATATAAAGAAAAAGAGGGAGAGAAGACGGCGAAGAGAGGAGGAAAGAGAAAGAAGAAGAACTGACCGACGAATAACAAAAAATAACAACAACAAAAACGACGACAATCCACGGAGAGATCCATTTACTTCATATTCAATTAATCAAGGCAGTATACAATAAAAAAAAAACTGCAGACTGAGCCTTGATCGTTTTCTACGATCGCAGAAGCAGCAGCTGACATCGGTGAGAACAGAGAGCAACGTTGCATAGCAGTACCGTCCCACGCATATAGCCCATACACCGGCAGTCGCTCATTCAATCTTCAATGCTCTTTCTACCCTCTGTCGTTATCGGGAATTTGAAGGATGTGTGTGTGAAAAATGGGAGCGAGCAGCTCCCGAGAAGAGATAGATACAACTAGTTTTCAGGAACATACTACGATGCGCTGAAGGCTGGCAATTCAATCACACCCCTCTTTTTCGTTGCTCCCTCGCAGGTTCAAGTAAGTGCAGGCGCAATCACAAGCATGGGAGCATGGATTGAAAAAATGCATTGGTGCCTTATCCTGAGGAAAACAGACGAAGGATCCAAGCATTCCTTCCCACAGCCAGTCAACTTGCCAGCCAGTTTGTTCGTCACCCCCATTTCAATCTGCAGAGAAGAATGCTCCTTGCTCACGCTTACAATTCGCATGCACGCCCATATGTAATAAGAAATCAGAGATACAGGCAACAACATCGCAGTCTAGGTTTCTGCTCTACGGATGGGCATGGTGGTAGAGAGCAGAAGTGCTCTGAGCTTTGAATGGAATGGACCTAAACTGAATTGTAATAACAAGACACACACGCACACTAAAGCGAGAAGGGAGCAGCCGTGGACGAATAGGTCTGATGTAAGTATAGTTTGAGGTGCCAATGTTACGAAGGAGCGGAGTAAACTTTTTTCGACAGCTATATACGTCGATGACAATAGTTTACTCTTAAAGACTATATGAGGGAGAAGTGGCGGTAACTCTACTCTGGCACGTTTACAACAGGCAAAATATCAACAATTATACACGCGCACGCAAATAATATAAATATTTGTCCACGCGTGTTACATATTCTTGTGCGCCTTCCCGTATTCTTGGGTTCGCCCTTCTCTCTCCTCCTTCATTTATATGTTGCCAACGGACAATTTGACAGCGCTATTTATACTGTTTCTGTCCTCTCATTTTCGCTTTTTTTTTTTTTTTTTTTTTTTTTTTTTGACATACTTTTTGCTTGAGCAATGGCCAAGAGATTCCGAGACAGGCCGACACGATCTAGCATGAGGAGAGACGGCATCCTAACGCGATTATGTTATTGATGACAGAAGAAAATGTGCCCTGAATTTTTTTTTGTGTTCTACAACATTTGTTGTCGATCCCGCCAGCCAGTAGAAAAATTCGCGCCTCCCAATCGAGGGAGATAATAAATCGGTCCCAAAGCTCCGAGTCAGCCGCGAGCGGCATGGATGCACTGCAAGTAGCCTTGTGCGTCCGTGTTTTTTTTTTTGTCAAAGTGCAATCAGAGTTGTTGTCCGAACGAAATGTGAACACAAAAAAAAAATTAGCGACGCGAACAGATGCACTAGGCAAAAGGACAGGAGATCAGCGCACATGAGTCGAAGAATAGAGCCACAGAAAAGTGAGGCATTTCTTTTTTGTTTCTCTTGGTAAAAATAAGGATCAAGATATCCGCCCTGCGGCGCCCATCCCGTCAGTTCAGTCGGCCAATGTTGAGAGTTTGTTTGGTGTGCAGAATGATGTCATACAGGATCGCCTGCACTGCTGGGTGTTCAGTCCTATCTACTCTGCTCCATCGCATGTGGTTCCAATTGCCCTATATTGCATGTGGTATTTTTATATGCGATTGAAAGCTACATTGCTGTGCTGGTAGCTCTTCCCAGGTTTCAATTACCGCCTACTGCACGTTGCATCTGAAGACCTGCACAATTCGTGTTGTCCATGTCCAGCAAATTGATACGACCCCAGTCTACCGTTCAGTTAATTCACAGCTAGCTCCTGACAATGGGATACGCTCTCCTTAAACTGGAAAACAAAAAGCTAGACCTTTTGAGAGAGATGGCATGTGAGCTTCTCTCCTAAAGCACTCATTTATGCTGATCTGCCGTTAGCTTGATAATAGTGAGGGTAACGATACCGCAGCCTGACATCGATTCTATGATCTTATAGATGCGGACGAAACATTAATGCCATGACTGCAGCAACAAATGATCATCTGTGTTTTCGTACTTTTATTCGCAAAATGGCACAATGGATCGCAGATGGTGTGCATGATTCAAAACTGGTATCTACGAACGTGCGATTGCAATATAGACAAAGGATATCGAAGTCTTCGAACATGTCCAAGTAAGGAGATGTACTCTACGAGGACTGTCTTGAAGTGGCGGTTTCTCCATCTGATGTTTACTCTCGTTTTAACGACGCGCCGTGGTGAAAGATGTGCGAGCGCCCAGGACTCTTTGGCTATTTGCTCCGGATTTGAAATCTTATCACTGTGGTATAAATTCTCGATCGACAACACCAATTCAAACGCCCAGCCTTCTCGACTACCGCCAAATGCTTTCCGAATAACACTAAGTTTACTTGAAAAAGACAAGCAGCTGTCGCTGTTCCTCGAAGGGCGCCATGCATACATAGCCCAAGTCCTGCTATATATACACTCTTGGGCACGCAAAATGAAGCGTTCTTGCATACGTAAACACTAGCACCTTACGGAAGGCGAAGCACATACGACCTTTCTGCAACTTCACAGTGCCAAATTGCTGAGTATCCAGCGCCTCTAGCCTGATATTGGAACTGTCCTATGGCCCGCAACATTGTCTCTGCAGCGGAGCTGAGCCCCCACTCGCGTCACAACAGAAGATAAAACCAGCCGGCCTTCGCCCTCGCTTCATTCAGTTTCGCCCAAAACACTCTCTACAATGGCCGCCCAAGAGACCCCTACATTCAAGCTCGTCCTCGGTAAAGTGCCTCTCAGACTTGATATGCCGGAATTTTATTTTTTCAATACGATTCATAAGCATCGTTCAAGAGTAATTACTTCCTGTCTTTGATTCAAGCAATCTAACCTCATATCTTTGTTCTTCCTCTTGCTATGATATAGTCGGCGATGGTGGCACAGGAAAGACCACCTTCGTCAAGCGCCACTTGACCGGCGAATTCGAGAAGAAGTATATTGGTAAATATCCCAGTCGGTTTTTTATGTTCGACTTGACCTGCCTGCTTGCCACTGCACCACCGTTTTACTTCTGAGGGGGGCTACGCCGAAGATATCAGGAACGCACCTGGAACTTGAGATTTGATCAACGAAGAATATCAGACCTTTGACAGCATCTAACTCCAGCTCTTTGGAGACGGCCGCGCCCCCTGCCCCCAGACCATGTCACGTACCCAACATTACGTGTCTTTCTCAAAACGACAGCGTCTTCCACTGTTGCTTCCACTTACATTCACACTTGCCTCTGTGGGGCTATTTATATTGTCTTTGAGTGGAATCAGGACCCTTTCAGCAAAGCGTCAGGAATATACCGAACTGGAACAGTGTGGGATCTTTTCTTACGCGCTTTGGACTCTCTGGACTATCGAGAGAGCAAAAAACCAAAAAATTAACGCAAACAAAGCGACACAATTCCTGTGCGGAGACGTCTTGCTATGGTGATGCAGCAGTGCCTCACGCGCAGCCCTTTTTCTTTTCGAGGGCACTGCACAGGGACAACAGCGATGTGGTGGCGACGGGAAAAGTAATAATCTGGCAATGAAACGTTTACCTAGCAACTAACAGCATGGCCTTATTTGTTTGCAATGTTCTTAGCCACCTTGGGTGTCGAAGTCCACCCCTTGGACTTCACCACAAACTTTGGAAGGATCATCTTCAACACCTGGGACACTGGCAAGTGCTTTTATATCTTTTGTCTGCAGATGCTAACTACTAGATATAAAGAACATTTTAAGGCGTCGCTACCCCGTCGTTGCGTCCGGATCTCAATGATTAATGACCGGCTCTTTACTTTTCTCAACATTTGCTTTGTCACTAAACAGCTGGCCAGGAGAAGGTCGGTGGTCTCCGCGATGGTTATTAGTATGTACACCGCTTTTTACTCGACGGACATTTCTCCTTTTTCTGCTCTGTGCATTCACTAACCCTTAAACGTGTTATTACCATTATTATAACAGTATCAATGGACAGTGCGGTATCATCATGTTCGATGTGACTTCAAGGATCACCTACAAGAACGTTCCGAACTGGCATCGTGATCTCGTGCGTGTGTGCGAGAACATCCCAATCGTTCTTTGCGGCAACAAGATCGATATCAAAGAGCGCATGGTCAGGCCCAAGGCCATTGATTTCCACCGCAAGAAGTCGCTTCAGTACTATGAGATCTCTGCAAAGTCCAATTACAACTTTGAGAAGCCTTTCCTCTGGTTGGCGCGCAAGTTGACTGGACACCAAAATCTGGAATTTGTTGCCTCGCCTGCCTTGACCCCCCCTGAGGCCAAGGTCGACGCTAACCTGATGCAACAGTACATTGAGGAGCTGAGAAATGCTGCTCTGAGGCCTCTTCCTGACGAGGATGATGACCTGTAAAGAATCCCACTGTCGTATTCGTCTTTTTTTTCTTTTATCTCCTTCCTTTACTCCTTAGCATACTACATTAGTCCTTTAGCCCACTACCCAATCCTTTCATCTCCGACCCTATTCACTACTGCCACTCTACATAGTCTATTACATTTTAAACAATATGCAGCAAACATTTTAAATAAAGAACGCTTCCATTGCTTCCATTGCAACAAGATTATAAAGGATCGCTGATATGAACACGTTTTTTTTTTTATTAATGCTTGGTTGAAATGGGTATATGTATCTTTTGATCGTTATCTTTTTTTTTTTTTTTTTTTTTTTTTTTTTTTTCACAGAGAAACGGGCGGTGAGGAAGCAAGGGGATTGTCGATAACATGGGCTCTCTGGGTTATGATGGCATCAGTCTTCTCCTGCTCTTCCTTTAGATAGCGCCCGCGCCCGCGTTCCTTTTCGCGCTTATTATCCTTGTCGAGTTCGTTGACGAGGGCCATGAGCGCCGCATGGTTGACAGGGTTGGAAGACCGTAATGAGCGTTTGCGGGTACTGTGGGTACTGCTACTGCTGCCACCACGGAAGTGTGCCCCACCCCCACTGCTGCTGGTGTTACTCGTCCTGCGAGTCAATCCGCTACTGATGCCCTCGGAGTTCTCGTCTGCCGCAGGGGTTCGTTTCGTGATGGACGCGTATCCGTATGTTGCTGCTTCTCCCTTGCTCATGGCGACAGCAGTTGTGGTGGACGTAGTGGCAGTGGTAGTGGCTAGCTCAATCACAGATCCGGAAGAGCTCCGGAACTCCTTATTACGTAGACTTCCTCTTGAAGTTCGGCGGGTCGAGCTCCTCCGACGCACTACGCCTGGTGGGTCAAAATAGTCAGAAGCCTTACCCGTGTTGCTGTTGCTGGAGTCCGCAGAGGTGGTGGAGGAGGAGGACCCAAATCCGAGGGTCGAGAAGTTATACATGCGTCGGGCGATTTGCAGGGGTCCTCGAACGGCGCCGAGGATGTCGTCGACGAGGGATTCGCCCATGAGGGACCATTTCTCAGGGCTGTAATAAGAGTCCTTGATGCGGACCGTCTTTGAGTATGCGCTCTTGGATATCGTCGGCGATAAGGGTGCTGTTGTGGTTGAAGAAGATATGGCGCGGCGTTGTTGTTGTTGTTGCTGTTGTGGTGAGGGCAGTTGTGTTGCGGTCCTTACTGATACCGCCAACAGCTTGCTGCCGTTGTCGTTCCTTGAGGATGATGGAGAAGTAGGTGGCACAAATGTCTGTTCACTCAAGGGGACCCTCCCTTTCGCCCTCACCGCAGTCCCGGCTACTTTCCTCCCATGCTGCGACGACGGCGCTGACGAGACGGAAGATGCCCTCTCCCTAAAACTGCCCGACGAAACCGTCGAAGATCCGGACAGCGACCCACAAAAACTGGCATTATCAATCTGATTCTGGATCCTCGAGATCGATTGGGGTGTCTCCAGTTTCTTCGAGTGCTCTGGTGACGGGAAGAATGACAACATTCCCGCCGGTACGGTTACCAGCTCCTGTCGCCGAGATACCGTCGCTATCAAGGAGTCCGCACCATCATACCCTTCAGATTCGTCCACCCCGGTGCTGCTGCTACTGGCGGTACGACTTCCGTGCTGGTGGAGGAGGTCGTCTGTGTCGTAGATATGCTGCTGATGTCCAAATGCCACAAACTCTTTCGGATCCTTAGCTGCTGTGGTCTGTTGCTGTCGTTGTTGATCGTCTTGTGCGCCCTCGTCTGCATCCTCATTCTCTTCCTCGACTTTCTCGTCGATCGGCCCTGCTCCTTTCCTGTTACCCTCAATAGTACCGACACCATTAACCAAAGTGACGCCCACATCTACGGACGACCTGCGTGACGACCCCGCATTCGAAGAACTCCTCGATCGCCTTCCCATCGCCGCCGTCGTTGTCATTATTGCCGAATCTGCCACCAATCGCTGCTGCTGCAGACCCACAAACTGCCTCAAATCCACAGTCCGATGTCGCTGATGCACAGGATTCGTTCTCAATTCTTGCTGCTGTTGCTGTTGTTGCCGCTGTTCACTTGTCACCAAATCCATCTCCTTGAACCGCGCTGCCAAGGCCTCATGTGTCATCGAAGGCGGTACCACAATCGTATTCGGAAGCGTTTCCGCCCCCGCCCCATGTGCCGCAGAACGCGTACTATCTGTCATCGCCCGTCGAGGATGTTGTTGCTGCTGGTGAGAATGCGTCGCCGCTTTGAGACTATTATCTGATTTGAGTGAAGTTGTCGTCGTGGTCGGAGACGGGACTGGAGGTGCGGCCACGGATTTCGTGTCGACCCAAGTGCCAACTCGTGGGGACACCGACGACGATGAGGATGAGGAGGTCGAGGGTGAAAGAGCAGAAGAGAGTGCCAGTGAGGACGGCAACATGCCTGCTGCGACCGCCGAGATTCGTGGCGGGGTCACTAGCCCCAATACAGATCCTGTATCCGTAGCGACCTCGCCGACCTCTCTCATTGCGCTCACCTTACCGCCATCTATTATGTTTCCCGATAATTGCGAGCTCGGTCCCATATTCTCGTACGTCGATAGACGAGCGTTGGTAAACGACAATGTTCCGTAGGTCGATGCCGGTCGACTTGGGTGATGATGGTGATGATGTTGGATCCGTTGCGGAAGAATGACCGTCTGATTACTTTCGTCTACCATAACACCCGCCTGTCTTGCAACCGTACACTCTTCGAACGGGATGTATAGGTATTTGCGCGTGTGGATCGAGTCGTTCGTCCACAGCTTGTTAGACTTTTTCAGCACCGGTACCTATTCAGTGGGATTTTCACTGGTTAGCAACAGTAGTCTATAAGCCTTTGTTAAACAGAACAGCTAAGAGCAGAACCTGTATCATCAAAGAGATGCGTACCTGGATACCATAATAAAGTGCAATGCCCGCCAACGTGTCCGTAACCGCGACCGTATGGATGATAACCCGCTTTCCTCCCGTTCCTCCCGCCGTCGCCGTCTTATCCTCCTCCGGTACCATCTTCCAGCTCCGATCCTCTTTTTCCTTTGACACGTTCTTCCTTCTTCGCGCATTTGATCCCAACCCTGCCTCAAACCTGCTCCCATCGTCGCCCTCTTGATGATACGATGCTGATCGTTGTTGGGAATCAACACTCATGGTGTGGCCCTTCCTGTGCAATCCCCTAACGTAGGGCTGATGCGCCGATCGTACTGCTGCTGGAGCCTCCTGATCATGATAAGTGCCCTCGTCCAAGCGCTCTGGTTCTTCTGTATAGTCCATCAGCAGCGGATGCCCACCACTCCACGCCATGCTTTCCGCCTCTCCCTCTTGATCTGTCGATTTCTTGATGGTAGCCGACTCGGAGGTTGATTGTGAGGTTTTCGAAGCCGGTGTAGAAAAAGAAGGTCTGTGCGTAGCTTCAACTGCTGTTGTCGTCGACAATGGCGATGGCAACACCAATGGTTCCTGTATCAATTGAGCCCCCAAAGCGTTCTCCCGCGTTTCCTTGTTTTCCTGCTCCAATGGTCCCATATCCGTTAAGTGCTCCAAAGCTCCCTGCCGCGAGGATGACGATGTCAATTGCGGGGTGGACAGAGCTGAGATCGTACGTGCGCGCGCATGGTGGATTCGTTGTGGTGGTCGCTGTGGCGCATCGTTTCCTTCTACACCCAAAGGGATCAGCGGATTGACGATGCCTGCCTGGACTGTCGATGTGACTGAAAGAGTTTCATTATCCGCCGCTGCTGTGTCCGCACTGTTGGTGCTCTTGGGCGTCAGATTCGGCGTAGCCGCTCCTGCATCGTCCGTTGAAGTGGAGGTGTTCGATACGCTAGACTCCCCCTGATCCATTGATGTGCCATGCCCAATGCCCAGAACAGTGCTGCTGACACGTTGGTCTGCTGTAGATGTAAAAGTAGAAGGGGGGAGAGGACTGGTTTCTTTCGAAAGGGTTGTCAGTCGCTCCTGCTGCTGTTGCTGCTGCTGTTGCTGATCAGGGACACTGCCGTTGGTAAGACTTGTGTTCTCCCCGCTGATCGATGCTAAGCATGAACGAAACTCGGGAGGAGGGAGACCATCGACTATTACCCCTGCATCTTGGTTCAGGGTCTGCGTCGTCGTAGTCGTTGTCGTCAGCGTATGACCGTATTCGACGCTCTTATGATCTCCTCCTCCTGCGATTCCTGGGGGATGGCTCACCATGGTCTGTTCATGCAACCATGGCAGGAGCGCCGTCTTCTTTTTCGATGTGAGAGGATCGATGGTGAGCACACTGTGTGTCGGCGCTGTTGCGGTTGCTGTGCAATTGGAGTCGATAAGGCTATTAATATCGCCGTTGGTATTGTTACAGTTGTTGTCGCCGTCGCCATTTCTATTGCTGTGCTGATACTGGCCCTGATTCTGGTTGCGTTGAGGACGAGGAGGAGCTGGTTCAGTCTGAAGAGGGTCGTACATGGCAGGAGAAGCAAAGGAGGAAACAGCTTCGGCGGTCTTGGTGCTGCTGCTGCTCCTTATCTTTGTCTTTGTCGTCACTGCTGTAGTTGTAGTGGTCGGTGTTGGTGTCTCATCGTGCCATAGCGGTCTGTTCATGACTGGTTCCGAAGGCAGTGGAATGAGAGTTAGTTGCCTGGTGCAGAACGAGATCCTCGGAGAGACTTTCAGAGGAATGAGTAATGGGTTATGCAAACGAACACCAAATATGAATGCGAATAAGAAGTGTGAGAGAGGGCAGTTGAAGGAGGAGGGAGAGATATAGAACTAAGACGGATGAACAAGAGTGGTGTGCTGAAAAGGATGAGAGATATTGAGGTGATGAGAAGCATCCGCTTTTTTTTGGTTGATGAGGAAAGAGGAGAAGGAGGAGGAGGAGCGACCACCCATTGAGGGACGCACAGTCGTTGCACACAAGGGATCGGCATTTCCATCGTCATAGTCATTTTGGTGGCACCACACTCCCTTTCCCCCCTATCCAGGTCGTCACCTGGGTACTACATATGAATACAAGTAGCCCCCTATGTTATGGTCTCTGTCTCATCCTCCAGTACAAGAACCTTCCCTCCCCTCCTTTCTATAATACGTTTCTTTACGTCTAGGCCATGTCCATGTCTACATCTGTCATAGTCATTCTCAAGTTTAATGAACTATATAGTACATGTACAGCTTGAACACACCTTCCTTGCTGTTCCTTGTTTTTATCCCGATCTTTGTCTGGCATCCGTGTGTTCTACATCTCTCTGGATCAACGCAACCGGACCTGGTATGATGATGGTCTTTACAACTTGGCGGCAGGTCCTGCTGCCCCGGCTGCCTCCGCAACAAAGCTGACTCCCTTCTTAATATTTCCCTGCAATTCCCCGATCGCCGTCTTCACCAATGCCTGCTCCTCCGCCGATAGGTCCGGCAACGCCAACACATTCTTCACTCCCTCGACTCCCAACTCCACATCCTGTGCAAAGTATTCCAGTCCCGTTGCCCTCGCATTCCACTCTCCGCCAGGATTGCCGCCCAAATGCACAAATGTCGACTCCACCAGCCCTTGCTTCCCTCTTACAGAAGCCTCGAGCAACGCATTCGTGAACCGTGCACCCGCATATGCCATCGAGAGCGTTGCTGATCCCGCACCGTCCTTAGCCTTGACGACCTCATCACCTCCGTACTGGATGCGGTGTGTCAGTGTCTTAATCTCCTCGGGCGTGAACGAGAGTCGTTGTTGGAACTGTGAAAGCAGGGGGACAATGGTCGCACCGCTGTGTCCGCCGACGACTGTGATTCGGTTAGAGCGGGGCTCGAACTGGGGCTTGATCTCATGGACGAAACGTGAAGACCGGACGACGTCTAGTGTTGTCACACCAAACACTCTGTAAAGTAGACATGGGCAGAGAGAAAAATGGGGATGTGGGTGAGCGAGTGAGCAAAGTGGAGAACATACAGATCAGGGCCAAGTTGTACAATGAAAAACCAGAGCATGGGAATGCTGCTCATAGTTCCTCCATTCATGGTTCTGCTCAAACGAGATATGCAGACATGAAGATACGCAGGCTGAAAGACAGGCGGATATACCTTCGAGGGTCAAACACTTTGGCCTTCTTGAGCACTTCACAGACAATTGGCACAGTGGAATTGACAGGATTCGAGATAACGAGGATAAATGCCCTGGGGCAGTGATCCGCACATGCCTGAGCAAGATCACGTACGATGCTAGCATTGACCTGGTTGATGAAAAACATAACTATCAGCAGTTTGTTCTTTATAAGACGAATTACGCCACCATCTGTTACTTCATTCCTTTGCTAGATCATAGCAATATACCTTGAAGAGATCATCGCGGGTCATGCCAGGACGACGGGGTACACCTGCAGGGATGACGACGGTATGGGCGCCTTGGAGGGCCTCGGCCAGAGCTTCCTTACCGACGTGTCCGGTGACTCTGGAGGCGGTGTTGATGTGGGAGAGATCTGCGGCCACACCGGCGGCATTGACGATATCGTACAGGGCCAGATGTGAAATGAGATCTGACTGCTTCAAGAGCAGCGACAGGGGTTGACCGATGCCGCCAGCAGCACCGCATACTACGACTGCGATAGGGAGAACGAAGTAGAAGGGAGAAAAGTGCAAAGAGGAGGAATACGCGTCAGTCAGCCGTGGAACATTTGGGAACAGGATGTGGTGTGGTGTGTGAAGTATATTTAATACTCCTGAGTGACATTGTGATTGTGGGCAGCAAGAACTTGCCTTTGACCATGCTTTTGTATGAACGTAGGGTGGTGTAAAATGGACGAGAGGGGACAGTGAGGAGAGCAGAGAACTGGGAGGGAGGGATGGAGAGGGAAAGGGAAGAAGAGAGAAGCAAAGTACGTCGATCAAAGCGCATTGTGTCGGTGCTCCCTTATATATGGGAGCAGCTGATAAGAACTTTCTCACATTTGCTCCGCCTCGGCTGCCGACCCATCCCAACCCACAGAACAGAAACCCACTTTTTCCTTGAGATATACGATGGTCCACATACACATTCACACATACACATACGACAGAAACACGAATGGCAGAGCACGCTTTCGCACATTTATACTTAAGTCGTTCTTCATGCCTTTCTGCGTCGTTTGGTGTTGTGTGTGCATATCTCCTTGGCTTCTTCATATGAAAATACTGCTCACACCTGAGGACCAACCGACCGCCAAAAAAAAAGAAAGTGACCCAGGGCCTATATACATATAACACACACCAGCAAGATGGACACCCTACATCCAACGTTGCATCCACACGTGGGACTGGTGCCCCTCTTCGCTCCTTACTACCGCCCACGCACCACTACTTCTTGGCAAACGGGCCCACTGACTGACACTCCGCTCGTCGCATGGCACATTGACTTCCTTCCCCACAGCTCTTTCCCTCCTGCCACATCTTTCTCCAGCCCCTCCGAAACCTTCAGTGCTCTCTCTCTTTCACACACACCCGCATAACATAATTTCATCTCCCCTCCCACGGTGTTGTTTGCACACATATAATTATAATCCCAACAGAGCCGGCTGATCGATTGCCCGTCTCCATCACTCTTTTATATCCCTTTGCGAGCTGTGGAGTGCCAATTGCAAAGGTACACTCTGCTTGATAACTCCGGAATCTCCGAGCGCTGTAGAGCCAATGCAGATAAGGACAATTGGGTTCAGGATTGTTGCGTTTACTTTGATCGGTCATCTCGGACATTTCTGCCGATATCAGTTTTCTCGACATTACCCAAAACAACAAACACGAACTACACGCGAAGAAATCTTCACATTTGGACTAAATATCCTGTCGCTTCACCCCCCACCTCTGGTTCCATGCAACGGCCATGCCTTATCTGATCAGTTACATGGGCACATCACCCTTTCTTTTAAATGTCTAATACTACCATCATTATCACTACCACTACTCACCGCATAAAAACAAATCCAATACAATAAAACTTTTTCACAATGATTTGTATTTGTCCAAGTGAGGGGATATGATGATTGTCGTATTGTACATGCCCAATTATGTTTTTTGCCCTGCTTTTGTTGGCGTGCTGCTACTACTCCTGTCCATGCTTCGTTCTTTCCCTTCATCTGTTACAAAAAGTAGTCTGGAGGTCCTTCTCTTTGCGGGGTCGATCGCGAGTTCATCGAATTGCGCTCCGAATCTCTAAAGATCGTATAACTCTTGTTTAAGTTCGAATCCACCTCCAAAATAGCCGCAACATTGCCACATCTAAAAACATCGGAACAGGAAACGAAAAGGCAAAAGAAAGCGCACTCATAAGGTCAGTATGAGATTCATCGTTCGAGTGACAATAATGCCAAAATAGAAGCAGAGGAAGAGGAGCAAGATATCTCACCGGTAGCAGTAATTAGGTGCTGACCAAACAGTTACAACCGTGTCGTCAAACATCAGCTTGTAGCCCTCCATGACCAATTGATGCGCGCGGGCAATCAACTCCAGTCCATTATTGTGCAAAAACTATACGAGATAAAGAAGGAAAGAACAAATGTGTTAATGAATACCGACATATTCCCAATGAAATCAAAGAAGTGAAAATGTAATCGAGAAATTCTTACAGGCTTAGCGACACTCTCGCCAAAGAGGAAACCGGCGCCACGGGGGCTCAATCCCCAGCCTGTGCAGGAGTCCGGATCGGGGTCTGACCACAGCAAGTCGCACATTGCTCCATTATGGGGGACTTCCTGCATTCTGTCGATCGTCCGGATCTATAATGTAAAGGGAAAGGAGAAAACAGAGGATATAAAAAGTCAGCTCCATGTCTCAAAATGAAGTACAGCAGGAGTCCATCCGCATGCGTTCCTGTAGGGCAGGATGTGCATACCTGATCGATGGTGTTGATTGACGGCGACAGTCCTCCGTGCACACAAAAGATACGGTCGTCGATAATGGCCGATAGACTCAAGTAATCAAAAATTTCGCAGCAGTACCTCCACACGTTCGCGGAGCCGAACTTTTGGAAGCATTCGTCGTAAAACCCGTAGACCTTGGTGATCTGTCGTGACTCGTGATTGCCACGTATAAGAGTGATCCGATCCGGATATCTAACCTGGGGTATAGCGAGAGAAATTGCTGTTTAGTGCGATGCTAAACTGGATTGTCCGCATGCAAGATACAGAATTCCCAGCGATGATTGCTGTCATCCTGATGGGACGCGACAACATAAACAGAAAAAGCCCGACGACCCCGTCTCGTGCAACTCAAGTAAGCAGGCATACCTTGAGAGCCAGCAAGAGCAGGAAGGTCTCTACACTGTGGTGTCCTCTGTCCACAAAATCGCCTAGATATCCAATGTGCGATCGGAAGAAGGGAAAAAAATACGAGTGTCAGCTGAACCCTCGAGCAACATATACTTCATTGGTAAGGGAACAAAAGAAATAGAAGGCCGCTGATAGCCGTACCCATAAAAAGATAATTGGTTTTTGGACATTCGCCACCAACCTCAAAAAGCTTTTTGAGGTCATGAAATTGACCGTGGATATCTCCGCAGACCTATTACAATTCATCCCAGAGCGGGGTAAAGATGTGTCAAGCGTTAATGAAACAACCCTGATGCCGATAGATCTACTTGAAGAGTATATTCGTTGGATGCTGTGCCATTGGTTGCAAAGTGGCACACGGGGGCGTTAAAGGGAAAAAACGCGCAGCTTCGACCAAATAAAACACGAGAAGGGATGTAAGAAGACATACAGTGACAGGAGCATCGACCCGCTGGACATTACTCTCCTCAACTAGGATTTCTCTGGCCTTTAGACATAACTCCTTGACTTCGGCTTCTGTGATGATTTTGCATTGAAGCAGTGTCTGGATCTGGCGATCTAGATCAGATCCCATAAAGAATGCCTTGGATGTGTGGAAAGGGAAGGAAGCGGAGGAGAATGTGAGCAATGGTTTCAGGCACAGCAAGGAGCCAAGTCGTCAGAGAGAAGGAGGGGTTGGTGGTGGTGATGGAGGAAGGAAAGGGGGTGAAAAAGAAACCGTGGATGATTTCAGGTCCAGTCTCTTTTGCCGCCATATTCACTTAGCACCAACCAAAAGGTCCCTCTCGCATGGCCTCTGACAAACCAGGGTTTGGGGAACAAAAACACTACACCCCTTAAGCAACAGTACGTCATCGTCCAGGCGCGATATGGGAGATACTGGAGATGATGATGATAGTGACGGTACTGTGGCTCACAACGTCCATCTCGCGCTCCCCAGGACTGGGTCCGCATCTGTGTCAAAGTCTGTGTCAAAGACTATATGCCTACACTCAGAAAAACATAAGAGTTGTTCTGTTGTATCAACATATGAAACAAGTTACCAAGAAAGGCAACGGGCAAAGCAAAAGTCCATCGGCTCAGCCCTTCCATTCTCGGAATGCAACTACAACCACTTTGCATCCCACACTTCCTCTCCCTCTTCTTCTTCCTCTCTTCTTCTTCCTCTTCCCTTTCTTTCTACTCTATTATCTTCGCCAGTGCTCTCTTCTCTTTCTGCTACTGCATCCCTCTATTTCCCTCCCTCCCTCTCCTTCCCATCATTCCTCTTGACATTAAAATCTCAAAAATAATAGCTCTCTCAAACAACCGCTACTGATATTCTACTCCATTTTCTCTCCACTCTTCACTCCCGCCCTCTAAATTATCTCGATCCACCTCCTTTCTGGAACCAAGATGATTACCCCAACATCTTACACAAATTCAACCATCAGCAGCCTAGCTCCTCAAGGGTATTGGGGCCATCCCACTGCATCAGGTATGCGAACGCCTGCGATTGACTCGGAAAGAATGTGTCGACTGCAACTTGCCATGCAATTAGGTGCAACGTCTGAATCGTCCGTGGCTCTGACGCATTTTTTTTTCTTTTTGGTCTTAGTCGGTAAGACATGCCATGACTGCTACACCCTTTTTTTCAGTGGCCCACGATTGCACGGCAGGATAGTGCTGGAGAGGAGAGGATATACCCACACAAGGAGATGGACCACACGCGACTGATTGGATTGTCATGAGGGAAAAAAACCATATCTACGGTCCAGCACCACTACCTCTCAGCAATGAATGACTTGGTCATGGAGAAGGCACACTTCCTTGTTCAATTGTCACGACCCACGACTTACGACCTTCGATAGTGATCACGGGCCATTTGGTCGTCACTTGAAAAAGAAAACGATAGCAAACAATATTGACAGCGGCAATGGCAATGACAAAGAGCACTTGATATTTGGGCGATCCTTACACATGCGGTAGCATCTATTTTCAAAAGGACGCAGCGCAGCCGACCAGAAGGACGAATGACCCATCCGCAAACAACAGAAACAACATTGTTGTTTGCCGACAGATCGGGTCCTGAATTATTTATTGCGCAGACTTTTTTTTTCCTCATTCTCATGTTGATTTCCGAGCATGATAGGAAATGTGAGAGGCGATGTGGACAAGTGTAGGATCAAGCGAATGCATTACTCTGAGTGCATGGTGCACAGTTGTGTAATGTAAAAAAAAAAAAAGCAATAACAAAAAAAGGAAAAGGAGAACCTGAAAACTAACAGGGCAGCGGAATCTTGCTCATGTTCATCGTCATTGTCATTATCATTTGCCACGGATCAAAGAAAGCAACCACCGCCAGTTTTTGGACCATCGAAATACCATGGGTCTCCTCTCCACAGGCACAATAACGAAAAGGGGGGGATCAATGGATCACTCGTCCCTCTTTTTTTTTTCATTTACTTGACCTCATAGTCATAGGTGCTGCGCCGAACTCTAACCTTAAAACCCTTTTTTTAACCCCCTGAACCATTGGGCTAGACTGGTGCGAGACCAACTACGCGAAATCGCATTACGTCGCCGAGTACTTCAACTCGCTCTCGTCCTTCTCCATGATCCTCGTGGGTCTCGCCGGCATGGCTCTCCACGCCTCCTTCGAGAAGCGCTTCATTCTCACCTTCGGATCCATTGTCATCGTCGGCATCGGCTCCATCGCCTTCCACGGAACCTTACTCTTCCCCCTCCAGATGCTCGACGAAGTCCCCATGGTCTACTGCGTCCTTACCGTCGCTTACTGTTGTGTCGAAAACAAGCCCTACCGCCGCTACGGCGCCTGGTTTCCCATTGGCCTCACATCCTATGGACTCTTGACAACCGTGATCATGCTCTATGCGGGACCTGAAAATCATCTCCTCGAATTCATTGTTTTTCAGTCCTCATTCATGTTTATGACTCTGGTCGTCCTGTCACATATTATGAAGATCTATGCTCACCAACAGGACCAGTCTATTAAGCGACTCTGGCTCCTGTCGGGACTCATTGGTGCCATCGCTTATGGATACTGGAATATCGATTTCCGGATGTGTGGTGCCATGGAAAACCTGCCCCTCGGACTCGCGAACCCACAGTTCCACGCGTGGTGGCATGTAGGCGCCTCGATGAGCGTGTATCTAGTCTGTTTGTTGATCTGCTATGACAGGGCCGAGAACTTGGATCGTAAGCCAAAGATCGAGTGGGTCGGCGGCATTTTGCCTCACGTCGTTGTCGAGAAGTCGTTGGCAAGCAAGGCAAAGTTCAATTAGAGGCACTACTAGCGGACCAGTTGATGCATGTGCAGCAATATCCATGACCTGTAGGATAGGTTCTTTCCATAAGCACACACAGCGAATTCATTTTTGAGAGTATTGGCATGTCAAATCACTTAGTGTGCTTACAAAAAAAAAAAAAAAAAAACGCCATCTAGTCAGATCTATCGTTCATTATATTTTACAATTACAGATTACTCTTGAAGTCGTTGAACAGTGGCGACAGTTGTAACAGATGTAGTAGATGTGGTAATGATCGTGGACTCAACGGTGCTATTGGCTGAAGGTGAGGCTGCTGATGTAGAAGGCGATTGCGAAGCCGCCGACGCCACCACAGTCGACGACGATGTCACTGTTGTGGCGATTTCTGTTCCAGAAGCACTACTGCGCTGATGGTGGCTTACTTCTCGGCTGTTGCTCGACCGACTGCTCGACTTGCTGCCATTACTCCTCTGATGCCGCTCGTGTCGCTCATGTCGTTCAAGTCTTTCATAGTGATTTCCCGAGGGTTTCGATCCCGTCGTTGCGACCGTGGACATGGTCGAAGTCTCTTCACCAGTCTGATCCCGCTCGATCTCCTTGTCCAGTTCCTCCAGCTGTCCCAGAACAAGACCCACGAGATGATCTTGTCGCTCGACATCCCAACTAGCACGTTCGAGTTCGAACCGACTCTTACGTCGAGCCTCCATTAGCCGATCCTCCTCTGCCCTCAGCCTCTTCTGCTCTTCGCGGTATCTCTGCACCTCTTGCTCAAGCTCGGGTGCCCAAGATAGCTTCGTAACATCGACCACCGCATTCATGATTTGCTGTTGCTGTTGCTGCAGTAGCTGTTGTGGCGTCAGTTGAGTCGAAGACCCCTGGGTAGACCCCCCTCCAGCTCCAACGGGCCCATTCTGGCTGCTGTACATGGTCGATGCTGATGATGGTAGTGATGGTCCTGAAGACGACTTGTACGGACTTCCATTGTAACTGCCACTGTTCGCCATGTTGGATAAAGAGTGAGCGCCCGCAAGATTGGATGACGATGATGACGATGGAAGAGGTGGTCCAGAAGAATGTCTGCCCTGATACGGTCCAGTAACTCCTCTCGAAGGTTCCCGTTCCCGTTCCCGTTCTCGTTCTCGCTCCCGGTCTCGGTCTCGTTCGCGTTCACGGTCGCGGTCTCGCTCCCTTTCTCGTTCCCGTTCTCGTTCCCGTTCTCGTTCCCGCTCACGTTCCCTATCTCTGTCCCTCCCCCGATAGTCCAGGTCGTACTCAGGAATCTGGCCGGGCTCTGGTCCAGGCGAGAAGCTTGCTCTCTTTGGTGCAGTCGATGGCGTTGAGCGCTCGACTGCCGGTAGTGGAGGTCCAGATTTGCGTGCAACCTCTGCAGATGGGGATGCTACCCTGGATGTAGAAGTTACTGGTCGACTAGAGACTGAAGAAGAGGCTGGAGGTGGGGGCAGTTGATGTGGCACAGGCCTCCGCGCAGGTGGAGGAGGGGGGTGAGCGTGCGGAAGACGAAGTTGGTTATGTGGCGATGGTGACTGATAGGACGACGATGATGGGGAGCCATAGTGCGATGAAGGGATCCGGCCGGGTGGACCGCCATGTCCCAAGTGTCCAGGAGAACCGCCACTAACATGCCTGGACCTTGGTGGTGGTGGGGATGGTCGGTATGGGTGGTAAGACTCGCTTCCTCTGGAATAATAATCTCGTTCACTGCGGTAGTATGGATGGTGATCTCTGGAGGAGTAGTAGGACGATGGTATATGAGGCGGGGATCGATGTGAGCTGCTGCCGCGGTAGTGGCCATCGCGATGGAAGTCCGAGGAGGGCATGCCATAGGAGGAATCGCCCATAGGTGAACGGGATCGGTTCCTACCAGCGCCGCCGCTGATGCTGCTGGAGCCACTAGCCGGTACTCCAGACGGCCCGCTGTATCTCTCTGTGGACGATCCGCGGTGGTGCTCTCCTGATGATCGCGAGTAAGATCCGTGTCGGTCCATGGCGTCCGTCGGTAATGCTCGATGGAAGTCGGTCCTGCTGAAGTTAGTTGGTCGTAGTCAAAGCCAGAACTGGAGCTGGAGGCAGAAAGCAAAAAAAAAAAATAAGTACGTGGCTGAGTCAGTTCCGTGACCGGTTCCAAACGCGTCCAGACGCGTCCGTCCGTGTGAACGCTCGTCAGTTCCAGGAATCGTTCGAGACCACCCGCACATCCAGCGCATACGGACGAAGCGGGACTGGGGTCGACTACACGTAACTGATAAGCGTCGTATCTAACAGCATGCGTGGCTCCAGTCCAGCGATAGTCATCAAATGCTGCGAACTGCTATAATAGCGCAAGTGTTAACTACCTCCGTTTCTTTATTCATTCTTCATCAGAAAATAGAACGGTGTCGTCCTTGAATGGGAGGTGCGAGCGACATCACTGCAATCGTCTCGCCAAGGCATCGGCCCAGGGATATGAACATTCCAGGGAGATCCTCAAAAATTGACCTTTTATTTTTACCATTTATCTGATCGGGACAACGGGTACCGGTGTCGCCAGCAGAATAAAGGCTCATGTACGACGGGATGGTGGCGGGATTCGGGAGAGCCGCCGGCGATATGAAGCAGCTGCCGTGGCAGACGAATATATGTCCCCGTAGACGTGTGCATACTGTTTTGAACAGGTTAGTCATTCAAAATCTCGGCGCATCGTCCATAGCATAATCAAAACCGGACGTCTTATGTTTCCGATATAATTGGTGAAATATTGTCGGAAAGACACTTCCATGATATGTCTGAAGGTCTTAAATTTGAGCTACTTGCCCTTTCCAAGAATTAAAAAAGCTTGGACTTTGATCCGGAATCGTCGACCCGAAGTCGCTGACCAGCGCTTCGATTAAGATAGATTTTTTATGGATCGTTTTACCCGGCTTCTGACGACGAGCTACAGTATCCGCCATACTTTCGAGGCTTTTGGGCCTTGCAAGATTCACATCGTCGGCAACTAGACAGTCGAGAGGATGATGACTTGCATGGAACACTAAGACAGATTCGAAAAGGAGCGCAGCCTGGAACTCTTAAATTGATAAAGCGCTCAACAGAGAGCAAGTAGACACCTTGCACAACCGTCAAGTACATCGAGCGGTCGCTCTGTACTAACTTTACCTTATCAAAACAGGACAAAAGAATCTTGGATCAGGGTCATTTCACTCATGTGCAGTCCGCTGGCGCGCATCTGAGGCGGATATGCACATATTGGAAGGTGGCACAACACAGCTCTCAAACTATGGCCATTTATTTTGATAGTGACATACTTCATTACGGGAACATAGGTATCGCCCTGAGATGACATCCAAGCAACAATGGCTACATACTTTACGCAAAGAAGAAAGTGCTACGAGGACTTGATTTGCCGTCTTCAGCTAACTTCACCATCTTTGCAATAGTTTCAAGCGACGACTACAACAGGCATCTTACAATACTTAGCCTCTTCCGGAACGGTCAGGCATGTGGAACATCAAGGATGCCGCGAATAATCACCAGATTAGTGGCGGCTATGTCTGGAAGGCAGCAGCGAAAACTAGAGAGCCTTTCGATTTCAGCCGTTTTGTTCTTTCTTCTTTCACTAGCAAAACTACATTTTTGACCTTCGAATTATGCCTCACGGCAACAACATTCTCCCTCTAGTTCGGAATAGATATCGGTTATACATCGGTGTTTTATGTCAGCTAAGCGAACTAAAAGGGCCTGCGCTTCACGGTAGAGAGCAAATGCTCAAGCCCTGTTTCCCTGGTTAGCTTTGAAACGCGGGACATATGGCCCAACTGACATGTACTTTGCAGGAAAAAAAAAAGTAAAAGAGCGTAACGCGAAGTCTCCATGAGGGAAGACTCAAGGAAGCAGTCAAGGCGATAAGTGTTCATTCAGGATAAAAATCTATTTAATTATAATATCGTTGTATGTGGTTGATAATGTGGTTGCAGCAGGTTTGCGGGCAATATGGTTATATATGAAAGATATTAGCGGGTTAAGAACGCGTGACAAACGCGTCCAAGAGAGCCACATAGATGGCATATTATGAACGCGTCAAAGAGAGCCACAAAGAGGTTATGTTACGAATGCGTAAAATTGAACCACGGAAGCGGCATATCTCCTTTGCTGTGCACAAGGATCCCTTCTAACGCTGCTTGGCGCGCAATAGCATTCCTTTGTCGTGTACACTACACGCAAAAGGTATGAGCTACAGCTTTCAACCTCTAGCCTTTCATACCGCTTTTCGATAGCATAAATCCTTTTGACGAGGCCGAGTTGAGGCTCCTCACCCTCCTCCTCACTCTCATAAGCGCCACTAACAACAAGTAACCTCCACAGCAAGTTCACACTAAAGCCATGTCTCTGAAATCGATCTTTGAAAGACACGGACACTCCGTTACTCAAGTCTTGAGGTTGCCAGCCGATGCAGCCCACGCAGCCCGCCCAAATGTGATGCTTATGGGAAGGGATAGGTAAGAACGGCTACGCTGACATCGTAGCACTAACCCTTCTGTAATAATGCCTAACAACACTCGTTAATACATGTAGAGCCGGCAAGACTAGTATTATGCAGGTGATCGCTCGAAAGATGCAAGACTTCCAGACAGAAAACCTCCCATTGACTACAAACATACAGCTATACGAAAGGTAAGTTGAGTGCATGCTTCTTCAAACTATGCCTCCTCATTGTCGTTACTAACCGTCTACTTCTACATCAGCCCCTTCATCAATGTCTGGGACATTCCATCGCAAGTCGCTGGTAGTCTCCTGGACAAGGCAAATGTCTGGTGCGAAGTTGGTGCGATCATTTTTGTCCTAGCAAGCGAGGTATAAAACTTCCATATTGGTCGCGTTGGTTCATCTGCAAATGTCTATAAGTCTCGCTAACTGCTTGATTGTCCTGCTTCTCATCTCTCATCCAGATTTCCTTGACAGAGGATTTTGACTTCATCCTCAAAGTGATCACTGCAATCCGCAAATTCAACTCGAAACCAAGGATCCATATCTTCTGTCATAAAGCAGACCACAATGCGTTGGACGAAGATCATTACCTTGGTACGATATCATCAAGTTGCAAGGATGCTTGCAGCCGTTTTCGACATACTAACGTGCTTTTTCATTAATACTGCAAAATAATTAGAGTACGTGGATTGTTTTGACAAACACTTTGAACGGCATGGCACACCCAGAGGAATTGTCAACACGAAGTACACGACGCACAGGACTTCAATCGTCGATCACACTACCCACATAGCGCTGTCTCAGATCGCTCAAAGCATGGACCCACGCCGGGTTACATTTGAACGGATTTTGAACACTGTCTGTGAAGTACGTATCCGTAGCTTCATACCGAAAATGATAATTCTATGGAGCCATGAACCAAGTTGGACTTATTTTCTCATCCTCATCTTTTGTTGTTCATCGCTTCTTAGAATCCACACGTCTATCAAACGTTCTTGATCGACACCCAACTACCGCTCTATGTTGCCAAGGACGACTCGCCTTTGGATATGGATACATATGGGTTCTGTCTTGACATGATGTTTGCTGCCAAGGATATTGCATCGCTCTTCAGCAGTGATGCTCCAGACGGACGAAGCAACATGTCATTCGCCAGACTTGGGGATGGAAAAGCCTATGCTCTCTGGCCTGTGGACAAGACTATGGCCATGATGTGCGTTTTTAACAGCATGGTCACCATGGAGGAAGCAAATGCGTTCGCGGACAACACGCGACACTGCATGACTAGTTTGAGGAGTGCTGTAAATCGTAGATAAGGGAGGGCCAATGGTTACCAATGCTGCTTACGAAAGACATTCAGGGACCGCTGCAGGAGGTGGTCCCAACAGGGCGGCAGCAGACATATAGAGAACGTTTACTGATCACGGTGGCAAGAGCAGCTCTTTTGAAGCAACAAGAGATCTGAATACTCGATCCTTAGGAGAGTAGTTTACATACAATTATCAAAATACACATTGAGTTCCTAGCAATACTCTTTCGAAGGAATATTTACTGTCAATGACGGGAAGTAGCGTGCAGTTTTACTTACTGCCGTCGAAGGAGCGTCCAGTGGCAGGAAGGGATGCACGATCTACTTTGCTCGCAACCGTCCATTCTCCCTTTCCACCCCTCCTTCTTTCTCTCTCTCTTTCTTTCTTCCTTTTCTTCCTTTCCTTTCTTTCTTCCCTTCTTTTTCTTCGCCCATAACCTACACATTATCCCCCTGTCCCCTCTACTCCTGCCTCTCTTATCCTCAGCCAACTTTTGCATCCCCTCAAAACGCACGCTTTACCTCCTTTTCCTCATACCTGCTTGCCCATTCATTTGATTCAGCGTTGCGCTTTCGTTCGATCTGTGATCCACAAGGAGAAGGTATGAATTGACACATTCAATTGAGCTCGGGACAACCTTTTTTTTCTTGATCCTTGGTCTTGCCCGTTCAAGATCCGTCAACCTTACTTGCTTAGTCCTCAATGGTCGAAAGAAGGTTTGAAGGAAAAGGAAGGAAAAAAATAGGTTTTCGTTGCTCGAATTAGACCTCAAGTGTGTTTGGATGGATGCATGCATGCACCGGTCGTACTATCAACAGTGTGCCCTGTAAATAAACATCATCGCGTGGAGTGGAGTGGATAGGGGGTGGATGCGTACAGTACACACAGGACATGTACCCATCCCTTTCACGTATGGTTTTTATCGTTTCCTTCCCGTTGGACCCATTCTCCGCTGCATGCCATCGATACCATACCATACAAACCGTTGTTTGTTCCCGTCTTGTTGTCCCTTAAACCCATCCACAGCCATCCGTCCATTCCTTAACTCAACGGGACCCCGCCTCCCCTCTTGTAACCCAAAAAATTCTGTAAACCCTGGCCTGCATCAAGCCGAAGGCCCGCCCTGTTCTCGTTGTCCCAGGGTCACTGACATACAGCTCACAGAACACTGCCCTGACCTTGGACCTTGACTTGGTGGCACTTTTATTTTTTATTTTTTATGAGCACTTTTCCCTTCTTTTTCTGCTGCTCCACCTCCCTTTCTCATCCCTCTTCCTCACGGACACCCTTCTCGTTCATTACACATTCATTGTTCATCATCTGAGCCGGGTGCACACAACCTCACACCATTGCTTTTTTTATTTTTATTTTTTATTCCATTATCTTAATTGACGGGACGTACTCTCGCGGTTGAAATGGCTACACAAACTGCCGACCCTGCCCCAGCCCTGCTTCCTTCGTCCAGCGCCTTCTCCAAGCCTGTAGCTCCATCCTCTCTCTGTAAGTCCTTTGCAACTTCATCTCAGTTGAGCATCTCTCTCTTTCATTGTTCGAGGAGCTGCTTCCCTCTTGCAGGTGACTCCGTTTTATCGGGATGTTCTCACTTCAGATAAAGATGGGGACGAAGAAAGTTGGTTGTGCAGTATGTTAAAGAGTCTATGGTACCACCATGGTGTCCTGTTTGTGTTTGAATAACACTGCCTTGTGTGCCACGGTCAGCGTTTTGGATGAGGGATGTCAAACATGGTCTGCTCTTTATTGCAATAATATCTTATCGGCCCTAGTCATAGTGTTTGAATGGGTGACCCAGTCCAAACGAAGAGACGGATCATCACCATCACCATCATCATCATTCTGCCAATTCTCCTCGTTGGCTACATTGCTTTCTGTCTCTGTCTAGTTTTTGACGGGCTCCTTTAGAATTCGTTTTTGCTTGGTCGCTTTGCCCTGACTGCGTAACATGAAGTTGGCTTCCATCTCTCTTTCTTCCTTCCCTTTCTCTTTTGGCCCCTCCTACCCTGAATTGAACGCGTTTTTTTTGTTTCTCACCCAGATGCACCTGCGCTTTTAATCCCTTTAAGATTGGTCAGTTGCAACACCACCTTCCCCTCAAATGGCTCTTTACCAACACTTGTTATAAACCCATATCAGGTCTAAAGAGACAAAAGCCATTCCCTATAATTTCAGGCAGTAGCTGTAGCCATGTGAGATCCCTCCTCTCTTTTTTCTGTTCCCTCTACAGCAGTTGAAGCCTATTTATCGACAGAGTGGCATTGCCAATTGGTCTCTATGCCTTTTTTTTTTATAACTCGACCGTCGCATGAAAGGAGATAACAAGGAGTGCAGGGGAAAGCCACAATGAAGAAGACCACGGAAATAAAATCGCTAGTCGGCTATATGCGAGGGTGGAGGATGAAGGAGGCGAAGGGGGATTTTTTTTTTCAGGGCAGGCATCACCATTAATCGGACCATGAACTGACCATAAAGCATTCCTGCCCCTGCCTTGATGGAAACATAGATCCTCAGAAAGTAACATCTGCAGCCACAGAGGAGGACCACGTCGCATCGTTTAAAAGAATGCTTGATGATATCCTGGACAATGCCTCGTCCGAGTCGCTCTCTCATGGTCTTGAGACCAGTCTCCACAGCAGAATCGGTGGTGTCTCTGCTGGTTCGGGCGCATCCTTTCTCTCATCACCCTCGGCCGCAGCCAACAGAGCCCGCCTGAACAGCAACACGACTCTGGGTTTCCTGCTCCCTCAGCCAAAGGGCCATTTCTCTAAACTCAAGAGCACTGGCCGATCCGAAAACTCGACCGAGAATGCGGTCGATCAGGACCTGCTGCACAAGCTGGAGGAACAGAACAGTCTTTTGCCACCACAGGTATACAGTTTATTTTTATTTTATTTTTATTATTAACTAACTATGGAACACATGGTACATTGCCATATTGCCTTTTATCGACCTATTTTTAACCACTTATTGTTTTCTTCCCACAACTGTTCACAGGACTCAACATCATTCTTGTTGGCACGCTTGGAGCGACAGAATGGACTGCTGGACACAGACCCAAAGTCAATCTGTATCGAGTCCAATGTCCTTAAGGGCAACCTCAGCACTCTGCACCGCCTCATTGCAGACTCGACCACACTCAACAGCCCCAATTCCGAGACCGTTGACCCCATGTCCTCAATCTCATCTGTGCTAGAACCCCAGGCTGGAGACGAGGAGATTGACTGGGAGTTCTGGGGGATGCTTGTTCAGGATTACAATGCTGTCGCCAGCAAGTTGCCACATCTGCTCTCTGCACGAGTGCGCCAGGGCCTGCCTTCGAAACTGCGTGGTCTGATCTGGCAGTCCATGTCCCAAGCTTCATCGACCTACCTCGAAACCATGTATACCCAGCTCCTGAAGGAGCACTCCCCATACGAGCGCATTATCCAGCGCGATCTCGCCAGGACGTTCCCCCAGGTCGATATGTTCAAGGAAGAAGGCGGCAAAGGACAAGAGATGCTTGGCAATATTCTCAAGGCCTACTCGCTATATGATCCTCATGTGGGATACTGTCAAGGTCTTGGATTCTTGGTCGGACCATTGCTCATGAATGTAAGCACGGCTCACTTTCTCTAACGACTGTCTACGACTTGACCAACCATTATCATAGCCACTGACTTTTTTTTTTTGTTCTATACAAACCTATAGATGGACGAAAAAGAGGCCTTCTGCGTGTTTGTGCGGCTAATGGAGACCTACGACATGCGAACCATGTTCACGCTGAACATGGAGGGCCTTCAGCTCCGTCTGTACCAGTTCTCGGCCCTGCTGTCGGAACACCTGCCCATGCTTCACGCGCACCTTTCGTTCCACTCGATCCACGCGGCCATGTATGCATCGCAGTGGTTTCTATCGCTGTTCGCATACACATATCCTCTGCCACTGGTCCTCCGGATCTACGATGTGGTCTTTACGGAGGGAGCACCCGAGACGATCATGCGTGTCGCTGTCGCATTCCTGAAGAAGAACGAGGAAAAGCTGATGCAGCTCCAGGAATTCGAGGACTTGTTGGAGGTGCTATCGTCGAAGCTGTACGATGTCTATGAGGACAATGCAGGGGCCGTCATCAAGGATGCTATGGCTCTCTCATCAGAGATCTCGAAGGACAAGCTTGATACGCTGGCGATGGCGTACCTTGCAGAGCTCGAGGATCAGCAGAAGCGGGCGAATGAGGTGACGAGCAAGCGTTTCATGGACCGATTCGGGGTGTCATCTTCCAAGACCGCCAAGCCAGAAGAGGCCAAGACTGCGACGAGCACGAAGCAAAAGCCCTCTTCGCCGAAGCTGAAGCGCGGTAGCAGTCGTCTCTCGATTGCAGCGTCCTTTGGATCGACCGCCAGCCTGACGCTGAACGATGCGGACGACGATGATAGCGTCGAAACTGCAAGCCCGAAATCGAGCGGTGCTACAGAGGCGATGCTGATGGAGCAGATCCAGGACTTGGCCAAAGCTCTGTCGACACTGCAGAGAGATCACGTCGAGGTGACCGAGGCGGTGGTGACAGCCAAGATTGAGAAGATGCAGCATGTGGAGGAGATCGAGACCCTGCGCAAGAAGGTCACGGAGATGGAGCGTCAACAAAACCGGGCCTCGATGATGAGCGCAGTGTCCCCCTCGATGATGAGCCAGAGCGATACCGCCTCTTCGATGATGACAGCCTCCCCAGCGCCTACGGTACACGAGGACGAGGAGCTGGATGGCCAAGACAGCAAGGCGTCGTCGATTTCGTCCTTGAACTCGGGTCAAGATGAGCTCGCGCACCGTCTTACGATGACAGAGCGAGAGCTGGCCCATGTCACTGCGGAGCTCGTGCACGCGAAGGTATCGGTGATGGAGGCTATGAACGAGGCTGAGATGCAGCGACAAAAGACACAGACGATCGAGAGGATCCTGATGGACTCCAAGGAGGCGGTCGTGCTGCTGCAGGATCAGCAAGTCGTCCTTCAGGACTCAAAGATGACCATGGCCATGGAACTGGATGGACTGCGTCATGAACGGGATTCGTTTGAAAAGGAGCTGAATGTGATGCGCCAGCAGTTCGAGGAGACTAAGCGTCTCTGGCTCGAAGGCCAGGTCGAACGACATACGCTGCAGGAGAAGGTCAAAGAGCTGGAGATGAACGCCGCATTCGCGGCATCGAGCGCGAGCCTGGGCCGCGGCCGAAGTTTCCGCAAGTCGCTTGGCGAGACTGCGGTGATGAACATGATCAACTCAAGGAGCGGTTCGCCTTCATCGAGGTCGATGACGGACGGCATGCCTCTGTCGCCAGGATTGGCTGAGGGTAGTCGTCGTGGATCTGGAGATTCACAGGACGGTGCCGGTCGGTCGGGTTTGGTACGTCGTGATAGCTCCGATACGTTAAGCTCGACAGTCTCTGGACGAGAGTCGACGTCATCGGCAAGACCAGCTGCATTGGTCCGAAAAGGATGGCCAAGTGAAAAGGCCGCGAGTGCGGGTGTGGTGCCGACGGCGCAAACGAACAACGGGTTTGGTACGCGCAAGTTCATGGTGGCCGAGAGTGAGACAAAGTTGAAGAGGAGTCAATCAACGAGGAACAGCATGTTTGGCGGACTTGGCTTCCGTCGCTCGACGAGCGAGACATAAAGGAACGATCAAGCTGCAAAATACCCTTTCCGTCTCTCTGCACTCCTGCATTATCCCCTTCGTTTTGTTCATATCTTCCCTTTTTTTCGCACACCTGTGTCTGTTGGCACCTCTTACAAGTATATGTACACACAATCTATATATTATCGCTTTTGTTCTTTTTTTTTGTTGTTGTTGTTGTTGTCAATACTGCAAATTCCATCCACAGTAATAAAAGTAATTACTTACACTGTTATGCTAAGAGAAAAGGTTGCGATCATAAATGTAAAGGTCTAGGTTGGTTCTGCCCAAACTTGCTGTCCTAGGATCCTAGGAAATATCGCGCTATATGTAGTAACGGCAGAACAGGTTCGTAAAATCATACAGGGAAAATTGAACGAACTAATGATCGAAGCGCGCGTCAAGAAGAGATATGTTTAGCGTGCATAACGCGTGCATGCAGCACAGAGTTATCGCTCTAGAATACATTATTTATCTCAACAAGAGTTGCTGCAAACAAACATCTTTTTACATCCAGTATTGGCATAAAAACGTGTTTATTTCGGGCAAGACTATTTACAAGTGTCAATGAACTCTTTTTTTTTGTGGGTCATATCCTTGGGCTTTTCTATATGATTGATTTTAAGTGGAAAATCAATTTTTCTTTTTTTCTTTTTTTTTCTCTCTTTTTGAACTGATAGTAATCGTGAAAGGGGTTATTTTTGTGGTTCTCTTTTCATAACTTATTGCAATTGAGCAAGTAACAGAGTGGATGTGTAGGTCATAACAGAATAAAATAAAACAATCGTCCTCGTCCTCATGGACGATATCACCATCAAGGCGTTGCATCACTGTGTCCCTTTAAAGTGTTGCCTCCTCACGTTGTCTCCTCTCCTGCTGCAAACAATCTTGAATCGGATCAAACCGATACTTCGTCGGCGTTGCCGGTGTCGATTGCGGCGATGGCGGTGTCATCGTGTTCCTATGGCCACTACTGCCCAGCCCACGACTCCCTCCCAATGACGAAGACGACGACGAATGAGCCAGATGTGAATGCGGATACGAGTGCGTATGGGGATGTAAATCCGCCGTCGACGATAACGACGAGCTCGGCGAGGCCATATGCTTGCTGCTGCTGCTGCTAATACTTCCATGGTGACCCTGGTGGTGTTGATGATGGTGGTGGTGTCCATGACTCGAATGCGCCTGCGCAGCCGCATGGTAATACGCAGAAGCATGGCTTGCCGCCTGTTGTTGCTGCTGCTTCTGAAGTTGCCGCTGTTGGTATTGTTGCTGGTACTGTTGTTGTTGGCGGTAATAGTACAGTTGCTGTTCACGGTTCGACGATGGCGACGGCGTCACGTCCTCCATCCGCTCCACCACTCCGGTCATCGGCGACGTTGGCGATGCAGGGACTGACCAGTGGCTGCCACTGCTGCTGCTGCCGGAAGCGGTTCTCGATGAAGATTCAGGGTGTTGCTGTTGTCCCTGGTGGCCATGGTGGTGAGAATGATGATGGTGGTGGCCGTGATGATGATGGTCGCGTGGGTATGCCGCGTGTGGTCCCCCATGCGATGGTGGAGAAAGATGCTGCTGTTGTTGCCTTGACGACGGGCGACTCTCCATCTGCTCATCATGGTCCATGGCCTCGTCGGCATGCTGATCCGCGGGGTAGAACCGTGGAATTGAGCTCTGTCTCGAGTCATGGCGTGAAGAAGGGCCAGCAGTGGACGATGACGATGGCGGTGGTGGGATGGAAGCAGCAGCAGGGGCAGCAGGGGAGTGTTCCTGAGAAGCGGACGGTTGGTGTTCCCCAGCCTCAGAGTCGTCCGCCACGTCGTTTGCATTATCCGCATCCTGGTTATCTTGCTTCTTGGATGTGCCCCGACGCGACTTGGGAGAGATGTGTGTCCGATAGTGCTGCATCATGTTGTCCTGTCGCGAGAACTTGCTCGGGCAGCCAGGCATCAGGCACGAGAAATTGCGCTCGCCGGTGTGGATGCGGTTATGGCGGGCAAGATGTCCACTATTTTTGTGGTTTGACAAATAATATTTCCGGGAGACGAGATGGTAGCACAGCAGCAAGGGCGTTAATTTAAACACTTTTTTCCTTTTTTTTTTTGCATTAAGGCACATGAGCTGTAAACAACAAGTAAACAAAAAATAAGTGCTGCAATAATGAGCTGGTTGTTACCTTGTGGTGAAGCGCTTGTTGCATCCAGGGTGTGTGCAGGAATATTTGCGCTTCGAAAAGCTGGGTCCTGTCAAGAGCCCCTCAGGTAAACCAGGGTGACCAATTAGGCCGCGATAGGCCGCTTCATGTTCGTCCGACGCTGTGTCTTCAGAGAACGCTCGCATGAAGAATGGCAGCGGGGATGCACCCGTAGGGATGAAGGGTGAAGACGGGGACATTCCTGGACCGTTTGGGTTGTATGGGTAGAGCTGAGCACCACTGCTCAGGGACCGGCTTCTTTGCGAGTTGGCGGCCTCGGCAGCCCTGGAATCAAACCCAGAGCGAAATGGTGTTGCAGCATTTGTGAGCGATGTCGATCGGCCTGCTTCATGACTCTCGGATCGCTGGCGATGCGACGAAGGCGAGTAGTATGGATCTCTGCGATCGTCTGTAAAGTAATCACGACCATTGTGACGATCGCGGAAATGAGGCGAACGAGGGGATCGGAGTGGAGGCAGACCATGCTCTGGGTGTGCGATCGGTGGCCGACTCTCATATTCACGCTCTCTGCTCTCGTTATGGATCGTTGCCTTGTTGAGATCGTGGGGGCTGTCGTTCAGGATGCTAACCTTGTTCCCTGACGAGTTAGTGATAGATAATCCGGCCAATCGTTTGGATTGCTGGTGCACAGCCGAGTCGGTCATGGACATGGATGCGAGGTCGTCTTCCGATGTGGGGGAAGTGTTGGGTCGCGTGTGAGGGATCGACGCGCTCTTTCCACTATAATAGTCCTTTCGCAGGAAGGACGGGTGGGAGTGGTGTGGGGAGGCGGAGTGTGGCTGTGGTTGTGACTGTAGGTCTGCTGGTCTGGGATGATGGTGATGATGTGTGGGAAGAGGTGGTTGAGGCGCACGAGGCGATGCGCTGTGGTCTGAGTCGCGGGGACTATAGAGAGACTGGTGGTACAACTGAGAAGGATAGCTGGAGGCGGTCGTGGACATGATTTAAAAAGAGGGTTTGGTATTTATACAGTTCCGGTTTGGGTTGTCGCTGTCGGGGGATAAGGATGTCGGGACACACTATGCTCATTCACTACGTGTGCCGGGGATGTGGGAATGAAAAAAAGGGAGGATAGCAAGAGCAAAAGAAAAAAAAGGGATCCAGGTTCAGGTTCAGGTTCAGCTCCAGGACCAGCCAGATATGAGTTGAATGAATAAAATCTGAGAGCGTGGGGTGTTGCAATGTATATCAATATGGAGAACACCAAGAGGAATGAAAGGATGATGATGATGATGACGATAATGGATAATGGGTTATGGCGAAATGACTGAAGGAGTGTGGGACAAGGTCAAGGAGAAGCACAAGAAGGAAAGAAACACAAGGCGAAAAAGATATATATAAAAAGAGCTTGTAAGGCAGGATGAGAAGTAATGAGAAGCACACAAAAAGGCAAGCTGGTGCAAGGAGAGATGAGGCAAGGGCACGAAAGGAGGCAAGATGCCGTTAGAATGGAAATCAAGGATCAGAGAAACACGGTCCCTGGTGGCAGACAGGCTCTCTTACAGTTACAGTTACAGTGGGTTTGAGTACGGGAAAAAGAGCAGGAGAGCAGCTTTTGGGGGTTCGTTTGTTGTTCGACCTAGAAAGCGATGCCAAGGAGGAAAACAAGAGGTTAGTCGCTCTCCAGGGAAAAAACTGGACAGAGTAGAGTTCATTCTCGAGCGGAGATTTGGGCGGATGGGCTGTAGAGGGCCCTGGGCTTTTTCTTTTAACCGCTTCAAAGATTGTGGGCGCAGGCAGGAGGGCAGAAAGAAGGGGCGGGAGGATACAGGGCGTGTTTATGTGCATGTAGGGTCGGTCATCATCATCATCGTTCTTCGGGGTCTCTTTTCCTATTCCCTCTTCCACATACACACACATATGAGATATGCTACACTTTCTTCGCATCAAGAACATCATCCTAGAGAAAACGCGACCCAGGGCAAAACCAGAGAAAACTCAGCCGCAAAGAAGGGTGCAGATAATCAAGTAAAGGAAAAAAGCGCTGCGAACGCAGCAGGAAGGGGTAGCCACACATACACATCCCAATGGAACAAAACAAGTCTGTCCCTTTTTCTACGCATGCACAAACATGCACCACAAACGATACAATAGCCTCCCACGCAGGAAGGGCAACCTCGCATGATAAGGGAAGAGGACGGAATGGTACTCAACCGCACATATTATAATAACAAAACAAACAATAAAAAACGTTGGTATCCTTCCTTGTTGTCCAGACTGGGCTCGCTACCTCCGCCTTCTCTGCTCCCCTCTCTCCCCTCCATCTATTTACACCGAAAAAACACGTAGCAAGAAAGTACTCAAAACAGTAAGGTGTCTGCAAAACGAAAACGTGGCTTTTTAAGGAGAGTGTGCGTGAGTGAGCAAGACGGAGGTGTCGACAATGCTCGAGAAGGCACTAAAAACAAGAAGGAGACAGCACCGGTCCAGATGCGGCTCTAAAGACAGCTCGAAGACCTTCCCATTCTTCCATTTACCAACGGCTCCTCTTCAGCAACCGCATTTTACTACGGCCATTTTTGGGGCCCACGAATAGCTGAAAACAATTACAGAGGTTGCAAGGAGTACCGGCCGGCGCCAATGATATTGCGTCAATGGCGACCGTAACGGCGGAAATTTATGTGTCCATCCCCAGAATATACCTTCAAATGAACCGGGCAATTGAAAAGCAAAAAAATAACCAGCCCAGGACGCAGGAACAGAAAATAGCGCCAAAATTAGAAAGATGACTTGAGAACTGGTAACCCGAAAGTGCGGACAAAAATAAACAAGCAATCCTCGTCTACGAATTCCTTCCCGAAAAGCAGGGTTAGGGCAAAATGCATGCGCAGACGCTTTTGCGCTCGGGTGTATATTTTGGAATGCAAGGAGCTGAACAGAATGGCGTAAACCTGTTTGTGAGCAGCAAAACACACAACCCTCAGGGTAGAAGTACAGATAGCAGGGAGAAAGGGATAATGAGGAGGGGCCGAGGACAGGTGCAGGGATGCTGGGCACAGGTACATGGCATACTTAGTGGGATGCGGGGATTAGACGCTTTTTTATGCTCAGAAAGAGGGAGAGGGGGTAGTAGCAGGGCCAAGGCGGAAAAAAAGACAAGGGATGATAAAAAAGGGACAGGCGAGTGTGGACCGAAAAAAGGGAGACAATGCACCGGATGATGATTATTCTGAGTACAGACACAAATAACACCCTGATGCCACGCGCAATCCTGTGGAACGACTCACCAACGGAAAAGAAGCACAAGCAGAAAAGTGACATGCCCACCAGGCCATAACATATGGCATCGTGTCATGCATAACTAGCGTTATAGCCGAGCACATATACCTTCTCTCAAATGACTACTTCTCTCATTTTGTAGGGTGCAATGGGAGGCCTCGCTCAGTAGAAAAAAAACAGAAGAGAGAAGGAAGCCAGGGCAGGCCACAGGGGCCGAGGCGAGTAAAAGAGAGAACGTTGCGCCTTGGAATATGGAATACACCAACAAAGATACAGATCCCTCAATAAGAATGTAGCCTAATTTCAGGGCCGCGCGCGCGTCTTTCAGGGACAACCCATCTCATCGTTGAAAATCCCCCTGAATAGATGACCGTGGTGACTTGAACCCTGATTGAACAACAACACAAACTCATGCATACACACACACAAGTGCCAACAGGCACACAAGGGCACACAACACAAAACAAAAAGCGATAGCCCAATCGTGTACCACACGATGCTTGTAAGGTCCAAGAGGACCGATTAGTGAGCACAATAAATGAAATGAACGAATCAAAGAGACTAGGTTACGCCTGTGGCGGAAGAGCGTCGAGCTCACAATCCCTAGCTTGATTGCTCCGCAAAGCGGGATGGAGAAATCTCCTACCCCCTCCACCCATGTGCGAGTACAATTAGGTGCATATTTCTTGTTGTTGTTTGGGTCTCCAATGTATTAAACTGCGTGCCAGGTCGTTGTTGAAGCCAACCAGAAAATAAACAAACAAATAAATAAAACCTGAATAAACTGGAGAGGGGAGCCCAAATAAAGACATCTCCAGCCTGCCAATGCTACCAGCGTGATCATCGGTCGGAATTACTGTTGTTGTTTGTTGTGTGTGCACATACCTTTTTAGTCTGACTCGAGTTGGACGTTTTCCGCTGAGTTCTGCCGTCACTTTGGTAACAAAAAGACCCTAGCAATGCATTAAACGCGGCAGGGGAGAGTGTTGTTTGTTACCTGATTAATAACCCGGGCGTGTAAGTACATGTGGCAGTGTGACAACAGGGTTCGTGGTCCCTGACCCTGCCAGGGATATTTTTGTTCACGGTGTGTGTGACAACCCTCGCCACTAAAAAGACACCACAGGTGTCAACTAGTGGGACAATCATCAAGGAAGAGGAGGGGGCAGAGAAAAGGGGGGGGAAGAAGGAATAGGGAAAGGAGGAGGGCAGGGGCGAGGAATAAGATCGATATAAGTGGTACAGTGCTATGGAGTGTATGATGTCAAAAAGCATAGTTGACCCTGGGAACGAGAATATGCCCCAGAAAAGTGCTGGATAAATTCTCCGTGAGCAGTAAATGGGTCACAATCGATGAGTGCCTCTGTTGCAATGCAATTGTATTTGTTGTTCTCATTGATATTGTTGTGTGTATGTGGGGAGTGCAACCGCCGGGCCTTTAATAACCGGCGTCGTACTGGGTATCTACTGGTGAGGATATGTTGCTTTGCATGTGTTTGTTGTAAAGTCCACCCTTTTGTCTGCGGCCGTCTTACCCAAGAGCTGGCTTCGACAATCCTGAGAAGTCGGTGGTGTGTGCAGCAAAGAATGGTATCAGCAGATGGCAATATCCGCAATATCGTGATGCAAATATTCACAGGGCTGGGTTTGTTGGGTATCAATGACAGTTGTTGCGAGAACAGGTGCTGCTTGGCGGAAGAATGTGTGCGAGAGCGTCTGTGTGTGCGTGTGTGTATATATGTGTGTATATATGTGTGTATATGTGTGTGTATATGTGTATGTATGTGTGTGTATGTGAGAAAGAGAAGGGGAGAGAGAGAAAGAGAGAGAGACGGAAAGTGAGCAAGAGAGAGATTGTGAGTATGTGCGAATGTGAAGAGTGAAAGGGAGTGGTGGAGAACGTGCGGGTGTCAGGGGTGCACAGATTCAATAATGCAGCCAGAAGAGAGAATGAGGTGCAAGAAGTGAAAAGAAAGAGGGAAGAAAACAAAAAACAAAGAAGGGTTCTCAGCCATGGGCTGCGGGTGCAGCCCTTTTATAACTAACTGTAAATAAAATGTAGTTCCGCTAATGTGTACTGCATGGGTTTGCCCCTGCCTTGTTTCTCTTCTTTCTTTCTTTCTTGACTTGCAGTTCAAGCTGCCGTCATCAGGGTCGGTTATATTATTTATTATGGCTATTATGGCTATTATGGCTATTATTGTAAACATCGAAAAGAATATGTACTATTCAATATGCATATTGTTCATGGAAGGATACCTGTACACAAGCATCAACCATGCAATGCACTCCGCATGGAGAACGAAGGCAAGGGTTCCCCGAGAGAAGGGTAGGCGTGTACACAAAAGAAGGGTTTTGCCCCTATCGCCTTGCAGCAGATATAGAGAGATGGAGGAGACCAGTCTCTGTGTGTTTGTTGTCAATAATGCTCTGTTGTTTGTTTGCTGCCTGGTTTGATAAAAAATATAATAGTCGACAGTGTGAATAAAGTATCCTAAAGCAAGCTGTATCCACAATAGACAGGCAAGCGAGCAACAGCCAAGCAGGACTGGAATCAGCCGAGAGCCTTTTTTTTTTTTTTTTTTTTTGCTGCTCTCTTGCCTGTTCATTTCTTTCGTTGAAAGAAAGAAAAAAACTTTAATAGAAACGTGCGGCAAAGACTAGACTACAGACAGTAAAAAAAACAAAAAAACCAAGAAAAGTTAAACGCAGAACAATGCAGACCCTCTTACCCAATGGCGATCACCTCGCCGCCTTTCTCTTTTCTCAACCCAACCCTGGATTGAACTCAACAGGCTGGACTGAGCGTGGATCTACAGTGCGACCGTCCCATGATTCCTTATTCTCAGCAATACGTTGAAGATCCCTCTCCCTCTTCCCCCTTGCCGTTGGAGTACCATTGCGGCATCTCATCGTGCTATCTCCTCGGCAAAAATAAAAGCAGACCTTGCGCACTCAAGTTTAATGGCACAATCAAGCAAGCACAGCGCACACGCTCTCACGTCTCATTTCGACCATCAATAGACCGGCGCTTACCTCAGAACCAATTTAGAGGACCTAGTCTACATGCAGTTTATACACTCTTCCCCTCGATCACTGTTCTGCTCGTCTGCTCAGGGATAAGAACGGGGGGTACTTAAGGTAATGTATATCCAGGCCAAGACAAAATAATCGTCTGCCGTATCTTTGAGATATACGAGCCTGTTGTTAAGGATCGGCCCAAAACGATGGTCTCGAATAAGACCTTTTTTCCAGCAGCATGGCTCGAGCATTATAGTACGGCGTGGTAGTTCGTCCATGATAAAAGCGCCAATAATGTCTTTCTGCAAGGTTCCCTCGATCGAGCATGTGTTGAAAAAGATAGTGCCTGTGGAGTCCGGTGCATAGAATAACGGCCGATCTCCTTCTTGCTCGCCTGCGCTCTGCATTGCTATCTCATGGGCGAACATAGGGCCAGACAATAATTTTTGTATCTTCTACATAGTATAGTACTACGTGTCCACTCGTATCCGCTTCCGTAACTCAGCTTTGAAGAATCATGCCACGTCAAGACGGCGACAAGTTCAATGAAACGCAAATAGTCGTATCGCATAGGAGTGCGTGCATATCTTAAATCCTTTCGTCGGCGTATTGAGGCGCCTCACGAAATGGCGCATGGGCACTAACATCAACATCATTGTCGCCCAAATAACAAACTAGCTCAGAGTTGGTCCATGTCCAAGCGCTAACGAATACAATTGACTAAAAGAATAACAGTAAAATTGCAGAGCAAAGCAGATCAGAGCAAAGCAGAAATAGCGGAGAACGCTTTGGTCATACCGGTTATATGGCTCAATATTTCTTGGAACCGTGTGAACCTGCTAACCATTGGACACGAATCTTCGAAGCGGGGCACAGCGGAGGATGACGGAGAACCGTATCGTATTGTTAGTGCATGCATATGGTGTATGTGGATACTGCAGAATGGAGAGATCAATGGTGGATCTGGCTGAAGTTGAAATGCCGGAGTGTGCATGGATCAGACTATACACACGAATGCACAAACTATAGTTTTCTACGAGAAAGAAAGAAAGAAACGCAGTGCTCATATAGTCTATCCATTTCCGAATACCATTCCGTTTTATTGTATCTGGAGCACATACAGTACATTCAAACGAGAAACAACCAAGCAAGCAAGAAAGGAAGGGTTCTACTGAGTTGCATAAAGCAATGCAGTCTATACAACCTAGCGACAGCATCAGAGTTGCTGCGAGGGGCCCCGTCTGTCGCTCCTATGGATCCATTTACGAGTACGGTGAGCGCGTATAAATGCACGTTTCCTTTTTGTCGTCATAATGAGAATGCCCAATAGTTCTACGCAGGGTCAGGTACAAGCCGTAAAGCCTGCATTGCGTGTGAGCCAGGGGACCGCGCCTGTTGTATATTACCGTATGCCCTTGCAGGTTCAGTGTTTGTTCCCCACTCATTGTCCCCACATCACCAATCATTGCAGCACGCTCAAAAAAGTATACGCGAGCATGTACTAGTGAAAAGCATCAGCATCGTTCCCTCATCTAACATCCCCATTCAATGTTCCATCGGCAATCCTGCAATAGTCAAAAAGCATAAAGCACAATCTAGTTCTTATGGCGTATGTAATTTGCATATGTAAATATACTTTCAGAGGGCTATAGCCTCCTTCCTTCTCCTGCATTCTGGCAGGAAGCGAGGTATGTATAACTAAGCGAAGGATTTTCCCATGGGGCGGAAATGACGGCTGCAGGTCCTCGTTATGCATGCAAGGTTGGAACTCAACCCATGAGCTGGCGCTTAAAAGTTATGCGCATGCCAGTCCGGTTGTATCCTCAGCCTAGCAGCCTTTTGAAAATAGCGCGCGGATCAAATGTTCTACAGGTCTCAGCGGATACTAGTACATGTACAGTACATACATGCATATATAGTCTTTATTTCACTCGAATATCAGTCTTGACAAACGAACGACGAGTGGAGTGTTGTCTCCTATGCCTCGAGAATGCGACTTAGAGTTAATTAACGTTGGACAATGTATTTTTTTTTCTGCATCTCTATGCGAAGCATCTGCTTGTGATTGAGAGCACCAACAGTATTCTCATCATAAATAACATTTCTCGCGACTGACCTGTGTTCTACAAGTTGTTTTTGGTCCGTTTAGCAATCTCGTCCTCTCTTTTCAACCCCATCATTTCAACGCCTCGTCTTGTACCCATGATAGACAGGGATGAGAATTCAATGGAAGAGGGGGAGCACAACATAAAGTGCATAGCGATAATCTCTAACTCATCATCTTTGATTCTGATAGTTCGATAGGAAGATCTTCAGTAGAGATGATTATTCTTTGGGCTCCGCTCTCGCAACAAGGAAACAAAGCCGCAGAGCAGTTTTCTTCATGTCATGCCCGGTAGCACCCTGGGACCATGAAATCCATTCATGTTTATTGTAGAAGAACGATTAATGCGAGTCCAATACTCATTGGCAAGCTGTACAAAAGAATTTAAACTTGTTTGTTCTTCAATGCTCACTTGAAAGCTCTTCCACTTTAAAAAGCATTCTGCCGGACTTTTGCATCTCAGATGTTGGTTAATGAACACAATCCACAAAGATCAAAGAAAAAGAGAAGGGGGCAAGCAAGGGCCCTTGGAATGTTCAGACTATTGTAAATCGCCGTTTTGATCACTCAGGGACAACTGTCAGGGACAACCGTCAAGGGTATGGTTTTGTGTACATATACACTATGGTATTTTGCCCAAATATTCGTCGCATTTGTACTCTTAAAATATTCTGGCATCGGCTCTCTGCAGCCACTCGCATGAGTTCCGTTGGGCAGGTATCATCCACACTACACTGTTGTGCGGTATACCATTTGTGTTTCCACACGAGTGTATCTGTTTTTGGGGACCCATTGTATCTTTCCACTGCGTTTACCCATTTTCTGTTATTAAGGTGTTGATGGGAACGAAATGAACAAAGACTCATTGAAACCTCACACACACTAGACTAAAAATGACATGGGGCGCAGAAGAAAATCAAAGGCGGCGAGTCGCTTTCAATTGGCGCCATTCAGTATGTATGACAGTTTAGAACCTGGGCCTAGTAAGTCAGTCAATCCATGTACACATGCATCAGTCACACAACGTACAAAACAAATGGTTAAGCTATCCCTTGCAGTCGAGTCTCTCGGTGTTGATCATTCTCTACTGGACTTTTGTTTAAGTTTTATCTATTTAGTTGCTGTTTGCTCTTGTTGTCGTTAATGATGTGGATGGGTTTTGAAGAACCCTAGCAGACATCGGAATAAGCTGATAAAGCAATATGTGGGATATGTAGGATCTATGCCGCTCGCGCATGCTTCCGCTCTTTTCTTTTATTTTCCTAACCCTCATCCTCTTTGACACATATCCAGAGTAAGGGCCCAAGAAGGTTGTTGCACGTGGGACCAACAATGGACTTAATTGAAAGGAGCTAATCTAATCACAAAGGGTATACTAGGAAACATGTCGGGACGCACTGGACGAGAGGTCAAGTGGGATAAAGGGGGAGGGGGGAGGAGCGTGAACGAACTCGTGGAAAAAGTTATATTGCAAACCTGCAGCTGACAAACATACAGCTGGGCGCAGCTCGTCAGGCCAGCGCCCAGTTTAACAGGGGCTACACCTAAGATTACATCAGATCACAGCTACGCGATAATTCTTTGTCATGCCCGACATCAAGCGGCTTCTTGTGGAGGGTTTTTTAAAATAAAGTCACATGATATGACATGTTTAAGACTACAAGCTGCAGTGGTCGTTTTGCGCAACGACAGGCGTGGAGTGCAAGTATTATTTATCCATGCGATCTTTTTATTCAATAGCCTGCTGCGCTTCTTATCGAAGTTGGCATAGCGCGATGACAGAGGGGAGGCATCCTACGTAACGATAGTAAATAGTTCTTCGTCATTTGAGTAGTCGCATAGAAGCGGAGGCTTTTCTCTTACTCTCTGACGTACCTTGCCGCCCTCTTGCGGTAGCCGTGGCGTAGCCCTAGATCTATGATGACGACGTCCTACCAGGCCGCGTCGACTGCACAAAGGAGGTCGATGTAGGATCTGTGTTGTGTGACATGCTCTCTCTTTCCGCCTCTACCCTCCCTCGCCGTTGCTTCTGCACATTTGCACTTTGATGGTCGAAACCTTCCTCACTATCCACAGTGCATCCGTGGAATACCTGTCACCAACCTCGTTTTCGACCTCCTCCTTGCTACCCCTGGTACACTGCGCCACAGCAGGCGCATCCATGCAAACAACCTTCATGTCTACGGGGAGACAGACCGTGCTTTGCGCCTGCGCGTCGGTGGGGCCTATGCGAGTGCGCGTTTCTCTTGATCAGCCGAAAGGAGGAAAGAGAGCCGAGAAAGGAAGGCAGGAAGAAACGTATCCAATCGCGGCCAATCGCGGCCAACCGCTGTCCTATTTCCCCTGTCTCCGCCAAAACGAGACAAGCACATGAAAATTTTCCCTCTCGTGGGTGTGGGACAAAACCCTATTAGAAAAGAGGTTTCTCGGACCTCACTCTCCCGCTTCCATCTTGTTCTCTCCATCTTTTCTCTTGCACCCATCCCATTCGACGACTCATCACCTTTTGCCTTCGCAAAGTCGCTTTCACACATCACATCAAGAACATGGTCCAGAACATCGCAGACGTGCATTTCGACTCGGTCGAGGATGCCATCAAGGATATTGGTAATTCATTTCAGCCCGACACTGCGCAATGGAGTCCAGTGCGGAACAGGAGCGGGAGCGGTTTAAGCACGGATCGGAAGTAATTGCAGGGGTGAAAAACAGCAGTAGATCAGGAGGACATGGTCGGGAAGCACAGATATCCATTGAGGAACTCTGGGCTGCCATTACTTTATTACCGGCACCAGTGGACATAGCAGGAGCAGACGCTGATCAGTTGCATAGGGTTGCTGGACCAATCTTTTATTTCTTCGTCCTACTAACCCGATGCTCTTACTTTATGGACACATCCCTCATAACTAGCTGACGGAAAGTTTATCATTGCTGTCGACAACGAGGACCGTGAGAATGAGGGCGATCTGATCATGGCTGCGGAGAAGATTACCACGGAGCAGATGGCATTCCTCATCAGATATTCCAGGTAAGAGAACCCTGTTCCGCTTCCACCATTTTGTCTGAAAGATCTAGTCGGGACAGATGCAAGGAAGAATGTCCAGAATTCCAATTGCAAAGCAGACGAGGATTGCACTGCCTTTTTGAGATCACCTTCAGTCGGAGAGACGGAGGAAGGCGGAACTGTTAGAGTTTGTTGAAATTTGCAGAGGTCGAGAATAGGAGGGTCTCCTGGCATGAAGCCGCCGTACGCTAACTAACCATCGCTCTATATCGATTTGTATTGTAATAATAGTGGATACGTTTGCGTGCCATCGGCACCTTCAAGGCTAAAGGAGCTGGATCTGCCACTGATGGTCCCCAATAACCAGGAGCAGATGAGGACCGCCTACACTATTTCCGTAGATTATGCGCATGGCACCACGACAGGCATCTCTGCACATGATCGTGCACTGACCTGCCGCTCCCTTGCCGATCCTACCAAGACCGCCAAGGACTTCAACCGACCTGGACATATCTTGCCCCTGCGCTATGCTGAGGGCGGAGTCATTCAACGCTTCGGACACACGGAGGCATCGGTCGATCTGTGCAAGCTGGCAAAGTTGCAGCCAGTCGCTGTGATCTGCGAGTTGGTCAACGATAGGGATGGCTCAATGGCTCGTCGGGACGATTGTTTTAAGTTTGCGCAGGAGCATGGTATCAAGTTGATTACGATTGCAGATATCATCAAGTACAGACAGGAGCATGGTTTGGTTGAGAATTTTTAGAGTACAGGATCGTTGAAGTATTTATAGAGAGCTTTGAAAACGTGGTGGAGGGTTGTTGGAGTTTGATCGATAGAGATATCTGGGTGCTTAAGCAGGGAGATGGAAGAGATGGAGGAGATGGAGTCATTTCTTTATGCTGTCTTTTTTCCTTACTCAACAATTGTCTTTTTATAATTGCTGCTATGAAAACACCAAATATACATTACTTATACTCGCTACAGGCCTTTTTTTTCCACAGTTTGACGCCACCAATTACTGCATCCAGAAATGGGTTCAATTACACACAAGATCTTTGGCTGAATAGACTTAATGCAATGCCGATAAATATTGAGAGTGAACTACAGAAAGCAATGGTGATGATGTATCTACGAATGACAAAGAAAGGGACCTCTAATAGAACTTTTCCCGCAAATGAGCGAGCATCAGCTCCAGCTCGTGAATACGAATCTGTTGCATCTGATCCTTGTCCGCCAATAATGACCGTTCCAACTCGACCTCGTTCAACTTGCTCTCGAACATCGAGTTCTCGATCTCCAGTTCCGCAACACGCTGCTCAAGGCTTTCCATCCGGACCAGCTTCTTGTGCCGTGATCGCCGGGCCGCATCTGTATTCTTGGCGCGCTTCAATGCAGTCTCATCCATCTCCGAGATATCCTTGCCCTCTAATACTGATGGTGGCTCCTCCACCTCACGGTTACGCTTCACCAGCGACGCGGACCTGTAGGTGCTCTTGTACGCTGCGGCCTGCATGGACTTAGTTGATCCAGAAACATGCATGTGCGTTTGAGAGCTGCTTAGGACAGTTAGCCCTGAGGTCAATGATGATAGCGGAGGCGCGACTGAGGACTCACGCTCGTCATGGAAGGTCAGGCTTGGAGAAATGGGCGAGCCAGGCGATATGGGAATCGCGGGCGTGCATGGGGGCGTGATATCCATGGCGCTGTCGTGGGCAACGTTGATGCTAGCAACATGGTTCAACATCATGTTGGCAACAACTGCTGCAGCTGCAGTGGAGGTTGCATATGGTGGTCCGGACAGCTGGGATGTCAGTGGAGCCATATGTTCAGCCGGTTCATGGAGACTCATGGATGACATTGGCATGGAAATGTTCGACAACAGGGACTGGGCTAATACAGCCTCCTCAAGGGACTTGCTCCATGGGATATTTAAGGCAGCGGCGGCTCGCTGCACTACTTCTGGCGTCAATGGCATCATTGGACCTGATTTGACAGAATTGGCAGAGTCGGTGGTGTTGCGGCTGCTGTGATTGTGGTACTTCTGGACGCCGCTGCGATGGCTCTGGTTGTTGTGGTTGCTGCGGTCGTTCTTGGTGGGAGGTGCAATTGGGTTGGACTGGAATTCTGGGAAGAAAGGTATGGGTTGTTCGCATGCGGGGGATTGAACGAGGTCCTTGTCCGAGGCAATTGAGCCAAAACTCAAGGCGGGCGAGTCGACACTCTTGGCAGAGAAGACGGGGCTGTGGCTGTTCGAGTCGGAATCGGACGATGTCGAGGGAGGAGAAGAGGAAGAGGAAAAAGAGGCGTGGTCCTGGCCCTGACCCTGGTCCTGGTCCTGTAAGCTGACCTGATGTAGGTCCCCGGAGAGCCAGTCGTCGAAAAGAGATATGGGAAGATCGGTTGAACCAAAGACAGGATCAACGTTCGAGCAGTTGAGAAAACCTTGTCGAGAGAGGGCCGAGTTCTTCTTGTCTGCAATTCGGTTTTTGGGGTAATAAGCAGACCGACGATGACGACGACAGCAGCGGCAATGGGAGTGTGCACAAAGCGCGTTTTACATAATTTATGAAGAAAGAAAAAGTTGAGTTTAATGGCTGAGCGTGGAACGTGTGCACCCCTTTTCGTTTCTCAGGAACAACAGGGGTCAGTGGGCAGTTGGTGGCAAAAGTGACCAGGATGCGTCAAGTCAGCTGATTGACACATTCGAGTCATTCCACCCGCAAGAAGGTGAGTAATAAAACAGAGCCCTCATTCTCAACGGTCGCATTGTTTTTCTTCGACTTCTTTGTTTACATACCTTGACTGGACAGCGCACAGTCCAGCGAATCTGCAGACCTAAGCAGACGCTCAGACGTGTTGTAATCAACAGCAGGGTGGCTCGTGGTCATATTCACGTTCGCGTTCAAATTCATGGCGATTATTTTTTTGCTCTTGTTGATTGAAATACTCGAAAACAAAATGAAAAGAGAATGCAATGTAGGTAAAACAAATAAAGTAAAATGCGTTCAAATGGTGATGCTGTGCCGTTTAGGGTTCTTGCTCGTCGGTCTGTGTTTATCGAATGAAGTCTTGGGCTGAGTAGCTCTGTTAAGGTTATTGATTATTGTACTAGAAATTAGGGAGCAATGGAAGGCCATTTTGATGTTGACGAGAATGAATGGATGGATTGAGAAGAGGCTTTGAACAGAAATGGATTGCAGTAATAGGAGAGCAACGCTTTCTACTGAAGTTTAAGAATCGATAGCGTACGCGAAAGGGATAGAATGTTTAAACAATGAGAGAAACCATCTTGGCAACAGGCATAGGTGGAGAATGGTATTATGTATAGTGGTGCAAGAAGGAAAGAAAAAACCTAATACAGGAAGGAACGAAGTATTGAGCTGTGCACTGTGGAGCTGCGGGGCTATGGGCCATTAATGAAGGGATCTACTAACAAAAAAGATAGGTAAAGAGAAGAGACGACGAGGGCGTCGAACATAGAAGGCTCTTTTATACCAATGCAATGTAGAATAAGGAACAGTTAATTATATCGAGGTCCTCACTCCGCATAGTATTGGTAGAGTACCATTGGGCCGATAGTACCATCGCAACTTCTTCGAAGGCTGTAGATGCATAGAAACGAATGCACGTACTTTGAAAAGAACACGCCGGACAGAGCAGGATAGAGCAGGGGCCCCTTAGCAGCTACACCACTAATTGTACTTCTAGACATGTCTTTTCTACTTCTGTGCAACGCCTCGTCTAAATGGACGACTGTTATGTTCTTTCTGCCAATGCGAGATGTGAGTGCGACGCGATCAATCTGTGGTTGGCTGGAGGACACCGGCGAAAAGGAGAGTGCCCTGACCATGGTATGCCGCCGCCAATTGTTCGTGTCAATGCACCCCTAGTCTGTATCACTGCTTGCTCAATGTTTTAGCGTCTTTTTCATCCAATGCGAGTTGCGGCGCAATCGATCCGCTGTATTTGTTTCCCATAAAATTATGAGCCGTTTTGTTCCCAGCGTCGCAAAGATCCATCAATTCTATATACTCCGTCCCTCTAAATCTGCCTCAGTCTGCATCTGTGTGTGTGTCCATAGCACGCAATTAACAGATACTATTCTATATTCTCTTGGGGTTACGAACCCTTCCCTAATGTATTGTGCACCAATCTGCTATTGCATGCTGCTTAGGCACGAACATTTTCTGGCAAGGGACCCAAAAGTCAGGACCCATAAACTTTTTCCAGCGCGATATTCGAGTATATAGCAGAAAAGGGTTGTTGACTGTCAGCTTTCGGCTGAGATTGGTTAAACTATACCTTTCCAAGCATATGTTGGAAGGTATACTCAAGCCTCTTAGAAAACAGCAATGAAGGCAGACAGAGAAGTGGGCAGGAGAGCTAAGGTGTCTACAGGGATATTGATCCAAAGAACCAAAGCGCATTCATAAAGCCATTAACGCCATAGCACCCGCCCTTTTTTCGCCTATGCTTGAAATGTCGTCGGCACTAGCTATATCTCCAGGCCAGTTGAATCCTGGCACTCAGCTTATGTAGATATATAAACATTGGTGTGCTGTGTATACTTTTAAGATCTTCCATTCAGAGCAGAACTTTATCAAAACGGCGCATAAGGCAAAACGTTCCAGAAGCCCTTCTCTCCTTCGTCCACCGGCTTTTGGAGGTCTTCACAAAAAGAGCAAAATGGATATGAAATGACGAAGACCCGCGATCAGCCCTGTCCTTTGCATCCATTTCTAATTTCCGCGATGGATACTATACGCCGCTGCCTGATCAGGCGTGGGAGGGAGGGAGTGCCTTTCCTTGATCTTGAATGTTTTTGTACATGTGTGCATGAAAATAGCCGCGGCGCTTTTATGAGCAAATGGGATGAAGGTCGCACGACACCGTTCTTGTGGGCGCAGGGGGCGCAAGATGCGATTGCACAGATCCAGAATAGAAGCATAGCGACAACTAACGGTCCGCAATCATCGCATAGAGTTGTGTGACAATATGTTGCGCAAAGTTTTCGCATCATATCGATTAAAAAAGAGTCTATTTGTTACTTGCACAAGTACATATTTTTTTTTTTCAAGGTGCGGCCCAAGCACCTACACCATGATCCAAGCGGACGCCGCTCTACAGCCTTTTTTTCTCGAAAGGGAGATAAATACCCTCTTTTTCGCCTGCTTCTGCACTGTAACAATTTGCCCTTCCGCTGTCATCATTGCTCTCCCAGCAGCCACGCTAATCGTGCAGCCTCCGCGGTCATATCATCCTCGGATCTAGCCTTCCGCTCGTCGTTATCGACACCCTTTTTTATGGGCTCGTTTACTCCATCTTCGGATAGTGTCAGGAGCTCATTGGTGTTGCGAGTGATATCCTCATAGATATCGTCATTGTCCACATAGTCGCCCAGACGCCGAGGAATGATGTGAACGTGACAATGAGGCACTGTTTGTCCAGCTATTAGAATAAAAAAAATGCCCAAAATGAGTTTAGTCCTTTTGGTGCTTCCATGCTTGTCGCTGGAACTGAAATTAAATATGTCGGCTATCGCAAAGAATCTTCGTTACCTTGCGGTCCATCCTATGCAAGAATACACAATTCATGGTGCAGAAGTAGTGTGGTTAAGACATATTGACACGACAGAAATCGCGTCGCATCATGAAAAGGAAAGGGTGGCTCAACATACCTGACAGGCAACGGTCAAGGACGTGCCACCGTACTCCTGTTCGACAACCCTTCCGATCTGCTGTGCTGATTGGAATATATCGCTAACCTAATAGACGCAGAACAGCGTGTTTAGCCACGGTGATCTCAGAGCAACCAGAGTCTCATCTGCCGAATTGATCCTGGCCCTACCTCCTCGGGGCTCAGGTCAAGGAAACGCGGCACACTGCGACGACTAATCACTAGTACATCTACAAGTAAAATAAAAGAAGGTGCAGGCAAAAAGTTAGCGAGGAAACCGTACCCAAGCATCCTCGGCTGTATATGAACAACTTACGGCCACTGGATAGTCAGGTTCATAAGAGTGTTTCGAGAAAAAAAAAATGCTTAGTCCTTTGGTCGCGTCTTTTACTTGAGAAATCGCTTTTGAACACTGATCCTTAAAGCAATCGCTTACGGGAGAATCGGCTTCAGGTTGACGAGACCGAGGCTGTGTTTCGACTTCAAGAAGATCTGCCCTGCCGTGATGGTGTGCGGACCAAATTTGTAGATGTTTGTCATTGTTGATGTGATGAAAGGAAGCGGATGAATGGGATTTCCACCTGTACTCCACCACTACAAAGATGATGCAGTGAGCACCGCGATAAATATATGATAGCGTCATTTCAATGTTTGTTGCCGATAAGAACATGTCTTTATTTTCCTTCTCGTACAATATCCCCGCCTGATATTATTAGTGTTGTCTATGTGGATCCAGGTTCAAGATAGCACAATGTCCCAGATGCCATTCTCGTCTCTGAAGTCGTTGTGCACGACATTCAGCAGCCAGTAGTCGTGTCCGATTTGGTGCAGCAACTTCTGTGAGTCGGATCCCTTGGGATAGAGATGCTCCCACTCTCGCCAAATCTCAAACGCCTCGTCGCGCCAGGCCAGGAACGACACCTTCTCGATCACCGTTGGCTGAACAATCTCCTTGCCGGGGAACACGCCCCATGTCACCGCGTTCGATCCCTCCACTAACGCATCGTCAGTCTTGTTTGCGAACGAGGTGGCACACACAGGTGTCTCTGTTGAGGTCGAGTCTGCAGTGGATGAAGACGTGTCAACGCCAGTGCTGGTTGTCTTTTCATTCAGCTTTTCGCCGCAAATCTTCTTAAGCTCTGCAATCTTCCGCTGTTCCTCTAAAACATCTCCTGTCGAGTTGGTAACCACATCTCCATCGCGACTTGCCACGAAAAAAGTAATCCAGGGCGAACTGGTCCTCAGCTTATTCACCATTTCAGCGACTTCGTCCGGTCCCACAAACAACTCCAAGAATGCCTTTTGGTATACGTATCCTCCTTTGGGACCCCATCCTACCAAAGGATCCGTACTGGGCTTACCATTGACCGCTGGTTGAGATCCCACAGTCCAGAGTCCTCGCTCATTGCAGGCCACAAGCCTCGACCGAATTGCTTCGGTCTCAGGAAGAGGAGATCCCTCAGACCACGGCAAGAGAGGGATCCTGCCCTGGATAAATTCGACAAAGAGCTGACTGATGTCCTCCTTGCTCTTGGGTCTCCTCCACATCTCCAGCGCCTTTCTTGGTTCGACTTTCAGGGACGCGCCATACCCATCCAGATCACCGAACGCAGGCGAGCGAGCATCTCCCCAACGACCATTGGGAAAGTCATCCCAAGATTCCGAGCGTCCCAAAAGGTCGTCTATTGGTTTCCAGATCAATGGGCCGAGGTGTGATTCGCCGCTTTCGGGTCCCGCAGCACCTGATGTCTTTGTAGCGACACTTACATGAGTAGGTTCATTGTTGATATGTTGTTGCTGTTGCTTGCGGGCTGTAACCGATGGAGAGACAAAGCCAACGCGCTCCAGGATCAAACGCACGGACTTCTCCAAATTGAGGGTGCAGATGTGGAAACCGGTGATGCCTGCGCTTAAAAGACGATCGATAATCGTTGCTGCAAGCTCCACACCGTAGTCTTTGACCTTTTGGTCATCGTTCTGCATCTCAAAATAAAACGATGGTAGTAAAGGTGTTAGTTTCCGCAACGAAGTTTAACTGCAATATCAGCAAGTATATATACCAATGTCCATACGCAGTTTGGTTCCTCACCTTGATGGGCTCCAATGCCTGCGCAATAGCTTCGGGAATACGAATCTTTGCGAGATTGGTGATTCTCCGGAAGCCGTTGTAGGACTGAATAGGCATCACGCCTGGGATGATAGGACAGACGATACCAAGCGCACGACACTGCTTCTCCCAGGCCAAGAATCCGTCAACATCGTAGAACAGCTGCGTCAAAACAAAATCTGCGCCGGCGTCGATCTTCTCCTTTAAGAACTTGATCTCTTCTTCGCTGCTGAAGCTGGTGTTGTCCATGTGTCCTTCCGGGTAACCTGTTGTAGGAGATATATCGGCCTGTTTAATTTCGTGGTCACAATCCGCTGCTGTCTGGCCAATGAGGACCCGGAATATCATCATATTTCACCATCCATCTCGACAGCCGTTCAGCTGGGTAAAGTGCTTTGTTGGATTACCTGCAACTCCGATGCAAAAGTAGTCGCCGTACTGCTGCCGAATGTAGCGCACAAGATCAATGGCATGAACGAACGTGTCGTCCACCTGAGTCCAGTATTCCTGGCCGCGCGGTGGATCGCCCCGGAGCGCCAAGATGTTCTGAATACCAGCCTTTTTGGCTTCCTATACATATATATATATATATATATATATATAGGGGGGGGGGGGGGGTTGATGACACAAGAGGATGTAAGATCGATGAGTGGTGAGTGAACACGTCCTGCTGTATACCATGTCATCGCCCTTTTCATGAACCTGTTATGCCCAGTTGCTCTCACTTACCGCCAGTGCATCATCGACTTTGCCACGATCCATATTGGTACATGTCAAGTGCATGCAGGTCTCAAGACCGTGAACAGTTTGTGCCACCGCGCTCAATTCCGTGGTCTTTTCAAACGTAGAGCCGCCGGCGCCCCAGGTGCAGGTGACAAAAGCTGGCGAGAGCACTTGCATCCTCCCGATTCGGTCAAAGAGGTTGGAGAGACCCTATCCCGAGTGAGGGGCGGGTTTGTCGTACCCAGTATCAACCCAACATAGCGACGATCCAGATAACGGAACAGAAGTTTGAAGGTTGTCCAGTGGTGGAAAAAAAGATGCGTGGCACGTAGGAAAGAAAGAACGTCCAGAAGTGAACATCGTGTAGAGTGTAAAAGCGGCCCATGCAAAGACGTATACATCGAAAGGCACAAAGCAACATAGACAACATCGGCAACTAGGGAAACCGGTGAGCAGGGGCAGATCGTTGCTTACCTGTGCGGTCTTTGGGGGAAAATATTCGAACGAGTAGAAGGGTTTCCCTTCGGCGTTCTTTTGGGCGATCTTGTTGATGATTTTCATGGCGGCGGTGTCGGCTTCGTAAGCTTCGTAAGCTTCGTGAGGAGAATGATGCAAGGAGACGTGAAGATGAGAAGTGAACAATGATTCGAGAAGGGATGGATGAGAAAGTTGCGGATAGGAGTCATAGCGAAACCTTGGTCGTTTGTTTCTTATCGCGTCCATCTCGATCTGGCTTGAGCACATCGTCTGCCCTGTAGATTGTAGTACACGCAACATCGCGTGCACACACACAAACGCAACAACACACACGCATGGATCAATCGACAACGATTGCGCTGGGATATGGCGCCAGGTCTTTATTCCTACATGGTACAGAGCTGTTCATTTCGGCTCAATTCACTAAGTTCAATAATAGAATTGTCGTCTAGAATAGGTCTTCTTTTCTTTTCTTTTTAAAGGAAGAAAGCGTAGACGACTGCTGGGACGACAGCCAAAGTGGATGTAATAACTGTCAATCTCGATGCTCCCGACTTCTTCATCTCACCACCGTTTGCGTTCTTGGCAGCATCACTTCCAGCACTGTCGGTGCTGCCGCTTGAAGGAGGGGGGCTGCCGCCCTTGCTACCGCCATTGGATGGGTTGAGGGGGATGGCCTTGACATTGCTCTGTCCGTGCTTATACTCTGCTGCACCAAAGGACTTTGCATCGCCCATATAACCGTCGTCTTGGATAGGACTCTTCTTGTATGGAGTCTTATCATTTGTGCATCCGTCCAAGCGCACCATGTCGTAGCCGTTGGCATTGATCGTGTTGATGACCTTGGGTAGCGCTGCGGCAGCGCCCGTCGAGGGAACGTCGTAACCAGCGACAACGTACGAGGCCTTGCGACCGTAGGCGTCCATCTGCTTTGTGAACATGGCGGTGTAGACATCTGCGATCTGACCGGCGTTTGCGGCAGTGTTGTACTTGTAATCGTACTCGTCCATGTTGAAACCAACAAGGACGTAGCCCATGGACTTGGCCAGGTTCAACAACCGAGGGTCCTTGAGATTGGACTCGTGGATCTTCATGTACTTGGGATACACACCAATCAAGTCCTGAATCGTGCGCGAGTTCTGCGCAATGTCGTTCTTGAGATCGTCGTCCGTCAGGCCCGCCGAAGAATCTGAGGGCAGACGGTAGGTCATACCAATCAAATGGCCGTCCATGTATGCATGTCGGGCTACACCAGCGTATTGCATGTACTGTAACCATGTCGCGTTCGCAAAGAAAGTAACCCTAGCCTGAGCTTCTTTGAGTGTCTGAAGCATCTCCATCGTTGCCTCGGAAGGTCCTTCGCTCTACGGGACAGAAAACGAACAGTGGATGATGAGTGAGTAGAGATGTTCGTACTGAAGAAAGTTCTCAAAGATGCGATGGCAGGAAGCCAGGAGCGCCCACTTACATAGGTCAAGGCAATCTGGCCAGGTGTCTGGCAGGATGTCAAGAAGTCGGCCCACGAAACTCCTTCGCCAGCGATGACGAGCATAGGCAGCGCTATGTTTTTGTGGATAAACGCAGGGATAGGAAATGGGAATGTCAGCTGTGGTCAAAATCAGTCTCTACGCGTTGGCCCCATTTCAACTTTCGCTTGTGCCTCAGTCTCTACGTGCAGCAGGATACAGAGAAATAGCGCGTGTTCTGACGCGTGTTGCTCTTCGTTTTACTCATCTCTTGTTCCTCACGTACAAATACTGAAGCCTCCAGCGCTTGATCAAGCTTTGCAATGTCATCCCTGATAACATGTGTAGTGCACTGTTCGGATTGCTGTATCATGTGGAGCTCCTGAGGTGGGATGCTTACCAAGGGTTGAGAGGATTGCTGTACCGGAGATGCGCATTTTCGGCTATATTGTACCGCGCGGTGATTAAGAAATATACAAGAAGCGTTGTATTATATACAGGTGGGTGCTTTGAAAAAAAGAGGGTGAGGAGACGTTGTTCTAAAAGTAATAGGTGAGATGTGGTTGAAAGTGCTGAGTCCAAGATGAGGTGGAGGAAGAGATAAGAAAGAAATCGCTGCTTTTTGAGAATCTACGCTTTATGTCGAGTATGCAGGTTTTTTTCTTTCTTTCTTTCTTTTTTTTTTTTTTTGCTTCATACTCATGTCTATGCTTCTTATATTGGTCCCGTTTGAGATCGAGAATCACTATTTGGTTTTGACCCATAGTTTGCAGCATTCCACATTCTAATGTCGACGCGCTTCGTTCTAAATTTTTTATAATAAATCGAACGGGAGTGCTATTCTAGGGGCGTACCAGAGGGCAACAAGGGGTTTATTTCTAGTGTACATGGCGGAGCAGTCTATGATGCTGTTGTGGCTGTTGTTCATGCTGATATTATGATGTTGGGAGGTGCATAGGTTACGTCCACCCTGCCGATCCCTGTCAATGACAATGGCGTCGCTCCCTTTCTTCCCCCTGTTTTCTTCTCTTTCCTGAAAACCCCGTCCCGGCCTCTTTTCACTTTGCATCTTTTTCTCCTTTCTCAAGCAACTTTGCTGTTGGGTGCTTTTTGGCGATGTGGCGACGAAGATCATGGAGCCGTGTGAACTTCTCTTCGCAACCCCCCGTCTCAGCGAGCTCATCGCATTTGAAGGGCCGCGTATTCTTATGGGCAAGAATGTGGGACCGAAGGTTGAATGGCCTTGTGAATCGTTTCCCGCAGAAGCCGCAAATGTGCGTGGGAGAACTAGACTTTTGTTTTGTACCCTTGGTTTCGGGAGCTCTGCCTTTGGTTTCGGAAGCTCTGCCTTTGGTTTCCTTGCGGCCTAAGTATTGGTGGTTGTAGCCCTGGTGCCAGTCATTCGCGATCAACTTGAAGGTAGCCTCCATCGAAGCTCGTGTGGACCGAATGTGCTGCTCGCTACAAAGGGACCTATCATCATCGCTTTCTTCAGAATTTTCCGTCTCAACGCGTAAGACACTACTATACGGCATGCCGAAATGTTGCTGTGCTGGCTGTATGCATGGCTGCATCTGATAGTGATATTGGTGCTGCTGCTGAAGTTGGTATTGTCGTTGAGACTGGTATTGCTTCTGATGTTGGTGCTGATGCTGCAATAGGTCCTGGGAAGGGACCTTACCCAGGCTACAGTGGTTCCTGTTATGATACGCCGATGTATACGCTTGTCCTCTGAGCTTGTAGTGTCGTAGTCTCGGGGCCGATGTGGGGTGCAGATAATGCAGCGCCTATTGTTCATTGTTGTGGCAAAGATTGGAAGGTGTTGATACAAACCCTTATTTTTATCCGTAATTGAAAAAATATATGCTGTAGTCTTTGACTGACCAGTAGTGATCCCTGTGCCGATTGCACGAACGGAGGATAGTGGGACGTCCGGACATTATGAGCACCGACCGAGTGCGAGGGCTGGTGCACTGAGTTCTCTACGGTTTTCCCAGATGAACTTTCACTGGAACAGGAAGCCTCGCATTCCTCAAAGTTCACGAAGTCGCTCAAGAAAGCAGTGTCGTCTGCATGTTTAGACGCGAACAATGAGGTTGCCGGTGGGTATGCTGTCGAGTGGCGTGCGAGACCTTGTACAGTCTGAGATGCATGTGCGTCGCCCTGTCCTGAGCTGAGAGAATGCCGAGCCAGCAGGCATGCCGAGTACTGTTCCTTTGTTTGAACTGCGCTTGCATTAAGACTGTAAACAGGATTCTGTGGCGCTTGAGTTGGAGTTGGTAGCTGGCGACAAAAGGTCGTCTTCTGTTGAGTTGTCGACCATTGTTGGGTGATAATACAAGGATTGTTTGTGCATGTGGATGCGTCGCCCATGGTATATGTGGAATACTGAGATGACACACCGAATTCGCCGTCGAGGCCCTCGGAGTTCGACCAGCGAGATCCGAGAACTTGATCACCCGTGAGTGTAGGATACCGTGCAGGGTGCACGGTTTGTTGCGAGGACGAGTTGTCGACTTGCTGCTCTGCTCTGGGCATATGGGAGATGTGAGCGAGCAATGAAGATGACTGGATTTGTTTTGTGTGCACCATAGCGATGATATTGGCAGCTGGGCTATGAGACTCGATCTGCGTGGATAAAGAAGGATTGCTGTGAGTCCTAACACGAAAAAACAGATAGACGAGCACATACTTCCTGCATTTTCATTAGTGTATCATTATTCTTTTTATCGGATGCTCACCTTGCTCAGGCCAGGGGTTATTAGGATCACCAACAGAAAGCTGTGCTTGTGCTTAGTGGGCAAATATCGCACGATCACGCTTAGAAGTAACGAACGAAAAAAAGGTTCGAATATAAAGTATACAACAGGAAGCAAAAAATAAAAACTTCTACTTAATCACTAGAAGTCGTTGCAAGAGAAACAGGTCTGTAGAGCGAGAGAAGGAATTTATAGATACAATCTTAGGTGTCAATAGATGACAGGGGTGAAAGGAAGTGGGATTTATAATTGCGAATGTAAAGTGGAATGTTGTTCATGTAAAGGTATAAGAAGAAGCGCGTATTGTTGCGGCATTAGCCTGTGCAAATGAGAGAAAGGGACAGCGTGAGAGTGTGGACGAATATATAGGGCTTTCAGTGGAGTTGGTCGACGGAGTATGGTAATCAAGGTGAAGGTGTTAACAGGCAAAGATCGATAGCAAGTTGAAGGTCATGACTCGACATGGGCACGCTAGTATGCAGGGATACGAAATGTGCCGAATGCGAGTAAATGAGCGATGTGAAGATAGAAAAATGTAGAACAGACAAGAATGATAAGTAATGGTATTAATGGCAGCACCGTAGGAGGAAAGGTCTCTGGGGGGGTAGTCGAAATGATGGGAAGAAAGAGAAGAAGGAGAAAAGAAGTAAGAAAAGAGGAAGGAAAAAAAAGGAAAGCGTTTGGAGCGGTAGGCACTCATATTGATCACAATCTATTCTTCAAAAAAAAAAAAAAAAAAAAGGCCGTTGTCATACCCTACTCATTGGAAGCTCTCACTTACCATGCATGCATGTGCACACATAGTCTACACATACTCACGCAGTTCCCCGATTCCCTATGCAGCATTTCAGTACTCATTATATCGCATCTAGTCTGTCTCTGGGTAGTGCACGGCATTTCTAACGATAGGTGTGCAATTTAGTCGTCTATTTTACAATTGACGCGCGATCTCGTCTACCCATGTATAGCCCTTAGTTCGCGGGGTCGTTTGATCCTCAAGCGCATTTTGTAGAAACACGGACGCATGCCTATCATAGCCTTGTTATGCAACTTGGCTCGTAATGAAAGGCCACTCTACGTCCATTTTAATACTGAGATTGTCCTTCTCTAGACGTCCAAGCATATCTGGAACCAAGGACTCATGCCGTCAGGAACCTTACTTTCTTAAAACAAAATAGCGTAGATAACTTTGTTCGCTCGTTTCCTCCTTTTCGTAGATAATCGGATGAGCACCACTGCAAGCATAGCTCCTCTGCAGTTGGCCATCACTTTTTCAACTAATCCATGAGTAGGGATGAAGATTCATATATGAAGAGTACCTACCGATTTTTACTTTTCATGCTGTTTTCTCTTTTCAAAGGCTTGATCCATGTATTGGAGGAATTTGAAAAGCAACCTAAACAAACCTATCCTACCATTGCACTCACAGGCTACTTCTGAAAGTGACCCCTGTTTTTTCAACAAGGCCACTACTGAAAAATGACAGCATTGCTAGAGAGAGAGAGCATTCAAATGATCTGGGCTATTAAAATAGGTGGGTGGATAGCAAGTGGCCATGCGGACCAAATAAAATAGCTATGAAGCGTCGGTAGCGCAGTGTATTTTATGACCTGGCACGCTGACTCGCCCCTTTCTCTCTCAATTTTCCAGTAGACTCACTTTTATATGCAATATTCTAGCAATAAAGTTGGTGTTTGTCCAGCATGTATTTTTGCATCGCCAAAATCTTATAGTAACCGTACTCGAAACTCAAGTGAGTGCTATCAATTTGTTTATATTGTCGAACTGGAGGCAGGGTACAAACAAAGAGTTTTAAAAGTACCCTATCTCTTCAGGACTAAGACCGCATTGCAGCGAATTCCGATATTCCGCAATCGCTTCCTCGTGTCCGCATTTTGTTGAGCGATTGCAGTATATTCAGGTTCTCGCGATCGTCGAAAGCTTTCCTACCAACCCTACCCTAGGCAAGAACCACAAATGAAAAGTGGCGAAGGATAATAAAAGTGATTAACTAGAGATGCTCATTGGCATAGCTTCCTCAAGAACCTTGGCAGCGAATATCTAATCGATCCGGCTCCTCAAACAAAGGCTAAGGTTTCTTTGCTCATGACATGTGCGAAAGAATAAGGGACGTGAACCGGGAAGCATTTACATTTGACATTCCGACAGTTTGTGCACCAATGCGCTCTTGAACTTCAACTCTATCGATGTGCATTTCACAGAACATCAGCGCAGGGAGCTGTTGGTGCTTGATGAGAAAAACATTTTCATCGTGTCGTTGGCAAATATCCTCCCGTAAGCATAGGGGGATGAAATAAAACACCGAGTGGAAAGTAGAGAGGAGAACCATGTCTCGCTCGTATGTGTGTGCATCCCCGCCCATTATGAATACCATAGCCGAACGAGGGTTCGTCGGGAGCACAGGGCAGGAAACGGACAATTAGAGCCCACCGAGAGCAACGTAGAGGGGCTGCATGATTGCTGCCCTCGTTTGTTCAAATGTTATAATTTCCCCCCCAAAAATGCGCCTGAGATTGAGACCTCAGGTTGTGTGTGGTACGACAGCAGGTCAAAAGGTCAAAATATCAGAGAGTATCCGACTCAGACCATATATCGCTTCACTGACTCAAGGCTCTTTGCTCCTTGGGCTATGCTTCATGCTTAGAGGGCCGAGGCATAGGCAACTGGATTGAATGAAGCCCATGCATGTTGTGGATATGCTCAAGGATTATAGATAAGTCCCCCAAATGTTCCATCTGGGGTGAGTAAAAAAAGGGCACGAATAAGAGAGCGATTGGGCCGTTTTCTGTTTGACGCCAACGAACAAAACAAACAAAACAAACAAAATCTAATCCTCCAATAGCGTGTGCATGCGCGCTGTAGTCCTAAGCTATACATGCATGTATAGACGGGTAAATAAACGCTTCATAGCTACTCATCGATTTCGCCTCTCTCTCGATGCATCTGGCAAGAGTGCAGGTCAACCACCCGTTCTCAGTTGCGCCTTATTTATCTTGTTTTGTTTATACCAAGTTACCAACTGCATGAAGAAAAAAAAACGCAAAGAAAAAAAAACCTGTCTTTGGAAGAGGCTGGGAGATTGGCATTATAAAGCAAAATGCCGGAAGAGAGCGAGTGACCAGATAGTCTAAGTCTGAGGTCGGAGCTTTGATGGTGCAGCCTGTACGCGTTCAACAAGGGTGATGCACGACAAACATATCTCGTTCATGGTACAGCAGCTTCTCTTCAAGGGCCCTTTTTCCTCATCATACCGCTTGCCCAGGGATACATGCAGACCTCTTCCCATCGTAAGCATTTCGTCCTCCACCCACTTATCCATTCTTCCTTTCAGCATTCATGTTCTTTCCTTGTCGTGTGCACTGCGGAGATTCTACACAAGAGAAGGAGCGTACATACAAAGAGGCGGTTCGGGCCACAACATAGTGAAACCTGAATAAAAGTAACACAAGACGTTATTTTGTAAAAACCAACCAAATCATAGACTCACAAAAAAAAACTTACATGGTACAATTAGTGGTTTATTTGGTATGACAAGAGTCGCGCCTGTGCATTTTCTCTGGAGTGGAGCCAGATCGCAATCCCTCCAATCATGATGCAAGGTCAAGCACTCTACTCGATTGCCTGCATTGAGAAGGCGCGCTCAAGGTGTGAGAGCCTTTCGAGTATGTTCTTTCTCCTCGGAGAAAAAAAGAATGGAGTAAAATTGTCATCGTACCGAAGGACAAACGGAGAGACGGCAATGAACGTATCCGGGTCCCATGAAGTCCATTTCCTCTCACATAGGTATAATTTCAAAGTAAAGGTCTTGGGCGTATGTACATGTACTACTCATTGCCATACCCCAATGCATCGCCGCCCATGTTTTGGAGAACGCTAAAAAAAGAAAAAAAAAAAAAGGCAGCGGTAGAGACCACTCAAGGCTAATCTCACGCGTGGAAAGAAGGTATGCATATGTTCTATCATGGTGAACATGGGCCCGAACGCCACTCCAGAATGCTCTTCTATCCCACCTGCACCGTCTGTCAGTTTCCCTCAGTATCCTCAAATCTAAGCAGAAGAGCAGTGCAGAGGCTTGTCTGTCGTGGTCGCACAGACATTTGTTTATTCTGGTATAGAGTACAATCGAGCGCTGTATGAGCCAGTAGTGCAGACACCGCGAAATAGACTATACGCGCGTTTTCGATTAGGGTGATGTTTCTGCCAACGTCAGATACAGCACATTTCCAGCAGCGACAGCCTATCGTCCTTACTTGAGTTTGATTCGTGCGATGGCCATACGATAACTCTCCGTAGATAGCTTGATGCGAAATCTAATCTTGCGATTCTTCTCTTATTCGCTGCAGTAGATACGTGTCACCTTGACCGCATCTCTCTTTCAGAAGCAAACACATACAAGTACTGGATAGACATTTAATTTATGTATTTGGATATAAAGCGGCAAGTTCTAAACGAGCATGGGGGAATCAATGACCGCAAACCCTGCGGCCACTCCGCCTTCATTACTTTCGACGCCCTTGGTGCGAAGTAAATGGCCGCCATTGTCGTTCCGAACCACGCTCTGACCGTCGTGTAGATATATCCCATAAATGCCCAATTCCGAAACAACGTCCGCATGCTGGATTTCTCCTTTACGCAGGAGAACGTTCTTCGTGATAGGAGGACGGATGATATCCATCAGAATATATGCGTTTCTCTGTTCTGCTGTCAGCTTTTTCAATGCTTCCTGGATATCCTTCCCGTAAATATTGTTCCCTTTACAATGGGATGAGAAAAAAAATGTTTGGTGCAATTAGTTCGAAAGTTGAAAGTTGAAAGTTGGTGACGTCTCCTTTTTGCCACAGACGAAAGCGCAATCGTAGCAATGTCCTCATATCCTTACCTCCCCCTTCACGCTGGGGCTTCATAACCAACTCATCACTGTTGACTAGAGCTGCTTCATAAGCAGCCCGTCCCTCAGGCGAGTTATCCAGAGGGTACAGTCCAGCAAACGATTCGCGCAACTGTACGGCCGCTTCTGGATCCTTCACGAAACGCTCCAACTGACCTGGGGCTGCCAGAACCTGCTGCACTTTCTTGGCCCCGACTAGTTGGTATGCAATTGTAGGGCATTTGATCGCTAAAGATCTCTCTGCAAGTAGTCTCCCTTCCCATTCCTATCGAAATAATAAAGCGGGTTTATCGGCGCGTCAGAAGTTTGTTCCCCTATTCGCGCTGGCTAATTGACAATATTATCCATTATTAGTATCGATATACCTTCTCAGTAGGATAATCGGTGGTGGCGTACGCAGATCGATAATATGCAACAGAGATTTCTTGGTCATCACTGTTTGCAATAGAAATAGCGTCAGGTATACGTTAGTTAACCGTCCTGGCATGATACAAGCAGAACCATGTGGCCACCCCTGCAACCTATTCACATACACGTATAGCGCCTTCGTCTGTGGATCCAGCCGTCCTTGTTCCGCAATTTCAGCAAGGGTTCTGCGGATCAACACGACTCCATGCCTAGGGTGAAACGATTGATCAAGTACTGCTCAGTATCATTGTAGACAAAGAGTACATCATATGGTTTTCGAACTTGAATAGCGTGCCCATTCATACTTGTTCAACAGATTATATTCGATGTATCGCTGGTCAAAAGCATTCCGCTCTCCTGGTTGGACCACCATCATGACTTTTGCACTGACAAAAAAAAAAAAGCGCGTGTCAGCATTGCTGTTCTGAGAGCGTAGATTAATGCTGATTAATTTTATCACAGCTCACGTACGTCTTCGATCCATAAAGCTGGTGTGCGGAAGCTAATCCAGAGGCAATTGACGAGATAGATTCACTGCTAGGGAGTGCAGAGACATCCAGCTTATTCGTAAAATACCCTGTAATTGCCAGAAGATATCTACATCATGGGCAAGTGTTAACAACAATTAGCGTCGCTTCATATGACTGATCGATTGTTTGCAGTGGAGATGCTACAATCCTAGTGTAGTATCCTCAGCATACCTATGGAGGTCTCCTGTCAAAGAGGAGAGACTTCCAAAGGAAACAGAGATGGTGTTAAGTTCAACCTGTTTGATCTTTGCTTCTGAGAACTCTTGTCCTTGGTTCAAGTGGATAATGTAATCGGACCGATGTACTCCAAGCGAAGCAGGCTAGGTTGGTTGCGCAGAAAAGAATTTGTAAGCAAAAGCAGTCCATCCGAACGCGTCCTAATCTACAGATCATAAGACGTCTTCTTTATTGCGTGGGCACGTCAGCTTGCTCTCTAGAAAGCGAGGAGTAACAGCGTCGATGGCGCCATCCATCAATGCTATCGGTGCTCCTTCCCTGGCCAAAAAGTCAACGTACATCTCAGTTATGTTCACGATTATTTACCTGAGCAATACCTTCCTTCTTCACAATGAGGTACAAATCGTAAAGGCGCTTGACAAAGTCGTCGACGGTCGAAAGACTATGTCCATTGTAGCAGCAAAGCAATTGGAAGTCAACAACCGCGCCTGACAAATATTCGCGTCCCTTTCGACTGCCATACATGCGTAGCCTAAAAAAGACCCGGTAGAACACACCTTTCCATAATCTCCTTTAAGAAGGCGTCGTCTTCTGAGATGTCATGAACGAGTTGGTTGAACAAGGGCTGAATTTTAACTGCATCGTTGAAGGCATTGATAGGGAAGGGAGTGGGGAACAACGAGACGGGGGCATTGATGACACCTCCTGCAAGAATAGGATCCTGCGTGTCCTTCGTGGAAGGAGGACGGACAACGAGACCGTGCGAAAGTGCAAAGTCGAGGGCAGCGTCCTTGAGGATCTGGAGCTGTTCTTCTGTCAAAGTTGATGCCAGGTCGGACATTCTTGGCGGCGATAGTTGTGGTAACGTGGGAAGTACAGAAATGTAAATTGAGGAAGTGGAGAGGATTCAAAAGTTGGATGGAGCGATGTGAGAGCTGTCTGCGCAACCGAAGTAAGGGTTTCAATAGAGTTTATATCCAATTACAGTTGCTTCCTTATTTCCATCCATTATTTCAGGGACATCCTTGGGTGGAGATGTTCGACTAGTGCCATTTTCTTAGTTCTGAGAGTAACGAAGACGATAGTTATGATGAGGACTTAGGGGAGCTGGAAGATGGAGATATATCAAACGTGGAATAACAGGGCTCAGAGCAAGAAGACGAGGAGCTGCAGATAGACGCAGTGCGCAAGGCCGCAAGTAGTACTCCAAAAAACTTCCGGCGATCTACTGTGGCGATCTGGAAAAGAAAGAGCATTGACGAGTTTTCTTCGTCCAATACGAGTTTCCCACTTTTAAAAGAAGGATTTACGGAAAAGGAATTCAAACATCGACGTCAAGACATAGTTCATGTGCACTGCGACTCAATGCTTGCGCTAGCATCAGTGTTCAACCAAGCTAGGAAGCTTACAGCAGAGAGGGATGAGAAACTTCGGCTATTGGCATTCAGCTCTTTAGTGCAAGCCGGCTACTTGACGCCCTCATCCGCAACATCCGCAAGGCCCGTTACTTCTGATGCGATTGCTAGGTCTCAATAAAATGTCGCCATGCTTATCTGTAAACCCCATAGTTTTATTCATGTGTCTTGGTTCTGTGAGTATGTAAGATGACAAAATTGTCGTGTTCTGGTTCCGTTGGCAGCTCGTCACCCTCGTCAATCAAAGAGTTGTGGAGAATCATGTAAACAGTCGTCCAGTCCAGGACTCTCCTATAGTCGGCCCAGCAGGTGTCCTCCCTGATTACATGGGGTAGCTCTGTCAACGATCTCCAGCGACGTTTTAATATGCCAATGCAATTCTCATTGCAGGTGCGGACATTGGTGAGGCAGCGACTGAAGTCCATTTCGTCCTGAGTGAGAGATTGGCCCTTGATAACTGGCACCGTCACTATCGAGATTGGGTAGGCGGAGTCGGCGAGAAGACGTTGCGAAGGAGAAAAGTACTCCTTCTGGCGGATCCAGGGATCAGTTTGAACAAAAACGGAGTGGTCATGGCATCGATCTAGGACAGAAAATAAACCGAAGTTAGTATACCATTACTTTTCCACAGCCAGGTAAAGCCAATTTATATATCGTACCTGAAGCCCTTGGACGACCAACCATGTACGCAGGGCGTTTTGCGAAAGGCAACGTAGTTCCGTCAACAAATCCAACACGGCCAACAGCCCCTTTTCGGCCATCTTTCTAGGGTGTCTATGCCATCCTTCCAGAGCGTCTATGCCATCCTTCCAGAGTGTCTATGCCATCCTTCTGGGGTTGGCCAGTGCAGAAGCTGATTCCGCAGTGAAAGGAGAGCATTGATCACACGTCCTGTATAGTTCTCACACGAACCTGGACTCTGCACCATGGGCCATCATGTATAATCGGGCCTCCATTTTGAGAGGAGCCAGTCCCGTATTCAATCCAATTGAAGCTGGTGTTTTAAACATTAAAGGGTCATGTATCTCAACACTTTTGCTCCCATATACATTCATTTCGAGCCCATCATTTCCTCTATCTCCACTATGCCCAAAAGAAAACGCGTTGGTCACGTAGCTCCGGCCCCCAAACCGCCCGACGTCGAACGCTCTAGCCTTGGCGCCTCGGCTTCCAAATCACACAAATCCCAAACGAAGTATACACTTCATGATAAGATGCATTTCATTTCAAAATACCAACGCAGAGCGAGAACACAATCCATATGGCTCCAAAAATGTTGAATATGCATCCCAAAATAGCCGCCAATATACTTAAAAAGGAAGACAAGATCCATCAAGTAGTGGCGACGCTACCGCCTGTGGCAACAAGGGCGATTGTACGCAACAGGCCAAGACCAATGGCGGTTGTGGAAGAGGCCGTTTATGCCTGGTATAAACAGCGGGAATCTTTAGGTATAGTTTGCTCGTTTCTGAAAGCATATTCCCTAATCCATATAATTTGATAGGTATCAACGTGTCAGACTGTGCCCTGAAAGGAACTGCTGTGGTGATGTGGATCCTCATAAAAGATTTCTTTCGTCTCGAGCATAAGCCAGAGCCGATTGTCTTTTCGAATGGTTGGCTCCAAAAGTCCAGAAGATAGCGAGCGTTCAGGAGATACATCGGCCATGGTGAATGTGGATCGGTCAACTTAGATCTCTATCGGACTCAAATTGAGCAGATCCAAATAGCGCTCGAGGCCTTAGCCCTGACAGTATCTACAATTACGATGAGACGGGTTTCTTTCTAAAGGCTATGTCCAACAAAGCCTTTGCTACTGGCTCGATTCGTGGCAAAAAGGCCACTCAGATTGCTCGAGTGTCGGTGTTGCTGTGCAGTAATGCCACAGGCGCAGACAAACGCAATCTTTTTGTCCTTTGTAAGTAACGCAGTATCGTTTAAGCAGTGTGATAGTTAGTGCAAATCAAATAGTTAAGCACTGTCTGAACGATTTGGCCTAAGCGACATTGAAGGCTATCGATGCCGACTTTTAAGGAAGCGGTTATGTTGGACGCGAACTGTTCGCCAATTGGCTCTGGAAGCTAGACCAGAACATGTACAGGAAGAGACGCAAGATCGCTTTGCTGATCGACAGCGCGCCAGGACACGGCAGATGCGAAGAATGGGGCTTCCTCAACATCTCCATCATCAGGCTACCTCCAAATACAACATTCATGAGCCAGCCGCTCGATGCTAGGATTATCCGGTCCTTCAAGGCCCACTACAGCCAAGAAATCCACCAAGAGATCCACCAAGAGATGCAGGTGGTCGAACTCGTTCTCCGTAACCGCACCGTCGAGAAGGAAGTTCCCATCGAGGGATTCCCGCCACCACCTTCAAGTCCCTACGCAGAAGGGGTCTATTCTCAAGAATATCTCCAAAGCGCTGTAAACGAGTTCATGTCTGCCGCCGCTGACATACAGGAAACCAATTACAATGTTCTGTCGAAGACTGGCCTTCAGGTCGCTTTGGACGATATGGATGTGTTCGTTGATTGTCATAGGCTTGGGATATAACGTAGAACACCAGTTCAATTGGATTGAATACGGGACTGACAGGCTCGACTGTTACAATCCAACTATATTATCGTTGGTGGGCATGTACACCTTATGCTCTGAAAATAGATGTTCATCAAGCTTTCTCCATCACTTCTTCCAACTTTTACATCATCCCACGCCCTTGCATCTACTGCTACTGCCGCAGCCACAGAAAAGGAATGACAGACGTATCGTCAACAGGCCAGCGGAAGCGCCTCAAGCACGGCATCCTCGCTGCTATCGGCGTCTTCGGTTCCGCGCAGCTAATTTACTACTTTGGCTGGTCAGGACGATTCAGTGCAGAGTTCACTCGCGCACCCGTCCCCGAGGCGATTCCCATGGACACAATCGAAACAGACCGCGCTTGCGTCTTACTTGATCGATCTTTCACCTCTGCTACGCAGCCAGACTTTACGAGGACAGGCCTTAAACAATGGACCGGCTGCCAGACACTCAACAGCACCAGCGGCTGGATCATACAGCACTGTACCGTACCAGGGAACAACCCTACCCAGAAGGATGGTGAACCGGTGGTGGATTCTTTATCATGTTATCCAGGAGGATATTTTCGTATTCAGCGGCTACAGCCCCTCGCCGGCAAGGACATACTGCAGACTGGGACTTGCCAACTGAAGGCGGGCATGTCACTTGCCGAGGACGCCGCTACGAGTCAGTATGCGACTTCATATCTCGGCCCAGACACCTTCCGTATTATCCTTGTTGGCCCCGAGCGACTCTCACTGATGCAACAACAATCACTAGGGAACTGCACCTATGCCATCCCTTACTTGATCAGTCGACCTGGCCGGTTCTGGGTTCAGAAAGTCCTCCACACCTATCAAGGATACGATGCACTGAACGAGATCGCCTCTGAGAAAGGGTCGCCAGAATATCTCGGTAACGACATCCTTGTTGCCGGAACGCAGCAGCAACAAGCGGAGCAGCACTATTACCACTTTAATGTCTGTCCACATTGTGTATCTTGGGTGGCGATGGACGAAGCCCAGGGACTAGCAGGCACCAGGGATACTTGCTCGCGAGCACCAACTCAGCAGTCACATCAGTACGGCATCTACAGAGCCAGGCTTCCAATAGAGTCTGTATGGCAGGCAGTGGGCCATCCATACGAATGGATTCCAGCGCGGCCTCGCTGCAGGTTCTACCCTGCGCAGACATCGTTCGAGCCCGTCACCAATTCGGACAGCAAAGATGTTAAGGCCGAGAAGGCAGAGGCGGCTCAGTGCTTGCAAAATGCTCGGTCGATATATTTTGTCGGCGATTCTCATGTCAGGACGATTTTCAGCGGAGTCATGCAGAGACTGCAGGGAAGATCGGGCGGCATCGATGCACGTATCCAGGATCAGCGGAGCCATACTATAAAGGCTGGCAAGGTCGAGGCAAGAAGCGACCTTGATGCCTCACTAAACGACACCTTGGCGCGCATTAGATACACGGTCGAGGACCTACAGGTTGCCACAGTCGCGGATCTCAGTGTATTGGAAGATGCGGACACTGTCGTTCTCGGATTTGGATCGTTCTTTGGGCACTGGCCTACCGAGCAGTATGTAGAGCGGGTGAAGGCTGTGTTGGACGGCCTGGTCGAGATTCGAAAGCAGCGGGAGCTGAACTCTGATGGAAACAACCAGGACAAAATGAACAGCCTCAAGGTCATATGGGTGAGCGCATCAGCATGGACGGACGATTCAAACCAACACTGGAGGACGAACCATCGGATTCTGTATTGGAATAAGCTGGTGGACGGTATGATCGACACTATTAATGCTCAAATCGGGGGAGGAGGTATGGTTGACCGACTTTTGACATTCGATATCACCATCCCCTTCAAGAACAGCACTCAGGACCATGTCCACTACACGGGTGAGACCCCAGTTGACAGCTTTTCAGCAGAACTCATTCACAAACTCGACCTCTGCTCATAGGTCACGCATATCCCTGTATCTTCATTCTACTCCTATCCAGCATGCCATAAATGTATACATATATCAGTTCTTACTGTGCAACAGCAGTAAAGCCATTATCTTGACGCACAGGTGGAGAGAGGGTTTTTATTAAAAAAAAAAAAAAATTATACAGCAGTAGAGAAGATAAAAATATGAGCTGAAGTCTAATGTATTGCTGTTTAAAATACCCAGATAGCTCTCAGTCTGAATGCAATACAGCTAGGCATTTGCCAACTTGGCTTCCTCGTCGTCCAAAATTGGCTGTGACTCTGGAGCCCCGGCGCTGGTCCTTTCTGACAGCTCCGTCAAATCTGGGCTTGCTTGTTCCGTTTCGCCCTGGTAGATCAATGCAATATAGCTGACGAAAGGTGTTGTCATACCGACAGCGAAGCCATACACGCCCTTGAAGATCTGTGGAAGCGGCCATGTGTTGAAGTCGCCACCCATGCTACTGTAATCCTTGCCAATGCTATGGATCTTGAGCCCCGACAGGATGCCGATCGTGATGGGCCAGTACAGGATAAATGTGGCCAGGATCAGAACCGCAATGCGCTTGCCGTGAAAATTGAGATAGTACCCAATCTTTTCCTTCAGGGTCTTGTGTATCCCTACATGCTCAAGCCCCACAAACCAACGGACGACTGGATTGGCATTCTTGGGCATCCTGAGTGGAGCGACCAACCCCTTCTTGAGGTCTCCATTGACGGCCAATCGGTCCAGAATCCAAGTGAGGGCCTGTTGGATGATAATGGTGACAGCAGCGTCTCCGGCCAGGGTGTTCGGCAAAGGCCAAAGAAAGATGGCCTTACTTGTGTTCTTGTACATTGCGGTGGCAAGCCCAAAGTTGATGCCTCCATCAAGAATCATGGCGCCAATCATGTGCATCACGACCAGGTAGACGACATGCCTCGTTGTCAAGCCCTCGACTGCATGTTTCCGGCCAGCCATGGTTATAGTTGTCGGTCGAGTTAAAAATAAAACAAGAGTGAAGTGAGCACAGTTGGCTGTGGTTATTTAAGATGGAGGTATAGAGGAAGTGGCCAAGGACACGGAGATGAGTAAGGAGAAGAAAGAATAAGGAGCGAAGAACAAAAGGTACACTCTCAAGTGAATTGCACGAGGATTAACGGTGTGCACCTCCGCGTGAGTGGTCTGTGTTGGAAGGGGGGTGATGTTCAGGAGAAATGGGTGGAGGGTGTTGTTTGGCCATGACAGCATTACTATGGGGGTTCAGTTTAGTTGTTCTTGCTCTCAGATAACCTTGAGCCGGCCTCAACGGGTAATGATGATAATTTACTTGACGAACCACGGTACCATGGTGCCATTGTTGAAGTCGGTGACTGTTGTGCTGAATGTTGGTCAGGGAGGGCGGCGAGTACTCCGTTTACTCATCTTTCGTCGTCATGGAAATCGAAATCAAGATCAGACTGCCCTCGGAGGACGAGGCCGCTAAGCTGGAGCGTGCGCTTGGAGGTAGCCCTACCAGCATAGAGGACCAAGATAATGTCTTTTTCGATGGAGTTGGCAAGGAGCTGTGAGTATCGCGGATATTGCAGATGGTGCCAACGGCACTTTGGTCACCATGGAGGGGATGGTGGCTGATTCTGTCTATCTGCATCAATTGATCCATACTAGCATCAAGAACCAACTCGTATTTCGTATCAGGATCATTGAAAAAACCGGAAAGGAGCCCGTTGCAGTCGTAGCACTGAAAGGCAACGCGGTGCTGATCAATGGAATCGCCATGGTTGAGGAAGAAGAGCAAATCATCGACGTGGATATTGCTATGCAAATTATTGAGAGTCCCAACATCATCCCCGAAGTGGCCAAATCGTAAGTCGCACTGGCACCAACAAGGACATATGAGAGGTCGAATCCAACACAGGCTGAGCAAATACGCATTATTAAATTTGATAGGCATCGTCTGCTACAAAAGATCGTCGAGCGGGTACCATGCCCCAATGGATACTTAGATATGGGACGATTCAGGAACGTGCGGCACAAGTTTCAATGGAAAGAGTACACTGTCGAGGTCGACCGCACAATTGTAAGTTGAGCGTGTGTTTCTGTCTTCATTTATGATTGAATAGCCGAATTGAAGCATATCCTATATTTTCTACTCTACTTGCGATAGTATCCTCACGGAACGGCTTATGAGGTCGAAATCGAGTCTACAGATCCGGACAAAGCTAAAGAGCAACTGCAAGTGATATGGATCATGACATGGGCTGCATGTTACGGGCGGCAGGATAGAGCAACTAACCATCCCGGGATCGATATCAATGTGTTTTATTTCTAGGACCGCATTGCTCCAGGAGCATGGAGTGGCTCACGGCAACAGCCAGAGAAACAAATTTGAGAACATGATCTACGGGACGCTCCTCTAGAGTCAAACTGGAGCAGAGAATGGCATAGACCGCGCGGAGCTAGACTCAGACAAGATGGCTCTGCCTAGGAGTTCGTCTTTTCGGTTGCCCCGTGTGCTGATGGACACGGAAAGAGGCGAGATCGCGCGTGGTAAACCACTCCGGACTATGTTTGAAAATAAAAATGACCCTGTGATAATGTGCTGACCCTGCTATCCACCTTCAGCCCCTAAACTGCAGGGCTCCATGCATGGTATATGGATTAAAGAGCGAATGACCACCCCCTTTGCTTTTTGGTTTGTTGTGCGTGCTCTTGCAACATTCAGGTGCCTCAGTGTGCAGTCTCGGTCCTATTTGACTTCACATCCTTACTTGGTCTCCTGTTGCTGCTGGTCTGTCGTTTTGGTCTCCTTTGTGTCAATGCCATCGGAGAAAACATTTAGGAAGGAGGCAAAAGAACAAAAAAATGTGACCAGCCCAACCACCCAATCCACCTTCGGAAACCTGGGGCGAAAGGCCAGAGCAATAACGTGCGTAGGGATGGAAACACACCATGTCGCCATCCTTTTATATCATCGCCCTTTGTTGCCTCTGATGCTTATTTGTGAACACAGACTGCGTTAGACACGATAAAAAAAAAAGACTACGGCCCATGTCCTGATCATGACCAGGAACAAAACAAGCGGACCTGGAGCTGCAGATGCACAAACAAGCATGGACACTATTACCCCTATTTTTTTTCTTTCTTTCTTTTCTTCTTCATTGAGACACTATTGGGATTCTCCTTTCCTCCTCTTCCTCCACTCTGCCCACAACATTCAAGTATTGTACTATACCCTCTTGACAGTTCTTCATAAACTATTGGCCTTTATTGTTGACCACTTTGAAAGGACACGCAAACCAGTCGCGAGATCATTGGTAGTCCTGTTCAGTCTACCTTCATATCACATACCATATTCCACACTTGTGCACTTTGTAGCCAGGCACCCTATTATCTCGCATAACCCATCTCTCAGTTCTTACAGCTGGCCCAATCGCTTCATAACATCCAGACTGGTCGCGAGAGGTTGGTACTCACTGGAGCCGACATCTATAATCTGTAGAAGCAGCACTTCACCACCATGGCTACCTCTCGGGTCGTTTATCCTCCGAATAATCCGCTGTACGAGCCATATATCCATTCTACTTCTTCCCCCATGGCCTCATCACCGCCTACAAGGATAAGAACCAGTGGCATCTTTACCCGGCGGCTCTCGCTCACGGCAGCGTCTGTTGCTAATTCAGTCGCCTCGTCCACGCTCTTTGGATCATCGCCGCCTGCTTCGCATGGTTCCTCATTGTACCAGCAAGGCTCTTTCTTTCGATCCTCAAGCTCAGCCATCAGCAGCAATCCCGCTACCAGCACCTCTTCCGTGAATGTGTCCTCGGTAGGGATCAATATACCCTCTCCACGTCCCTCTTCATCAACGGCCATAGGAGAAGGAGCGGTGTCCTCCTCAAGGCGGCAGCGCAATCGCAGTACCAGCCACCCCCCTCCACCAAAGTACAAGACGCACCGCACCCCACAACTGCGCATTTCGCTACAGGATGCCATGGGCAACCCTGTCCTTTCACCGCCGGTGATGGCGCCTGGAGAATCTGTACGTGGTCAGATTAATTTGGAATTGCCCAAGGCCACTCCTGTCCACTCTATCGAGATTTGTCTAACGGGAACGGTGACAGCGCTAGATGGGACGCGATTGGGATCCATGAAGACAGTTTCTGTTTTAGAAGAGTGCAAGACTGTGGCGACGGCTTCAGTCACTAATGCCAGGACCAATACGACCAGACGACATACTACACCAGCACCGGCAGCGGCAGCTAATGAGGATACATCAAGCAGAGGACGTGGTCGGCGCAGTAGTGTAACGAGTGCGAATGCGATACAGGACAGAGCACGCTCCCCTGCCATCCCGATCCAGAATACCATCGCAGCAGCAGTGGCAGCAACTATAGCAGCACAAGGGAGTCCACAAAGACCTTCAGCTGAGCAGATGTCCAGGGCACTCTCGATGCCCTCGCCTTATTACTCATCAAGTTATAGCACGTCAACATTGTGCTTGAATAGACCTATTTCACCTACACCAGCTGATCTTAGAGGCAGAAGAGCCAGCTTCTCGGCTAATGTCGATACACCCATCAGCAGCTTTGGAGGCACGCCAGGAAGAGCTGGACGTAACATGAGCATGATTAATATCAGCACCTTAAATCAGTTTCCTTTGGATGACGATCCGTCACAGCCAGAGGCACCATCATACGATCCACCAAATTATGAGCGAATCTTTACTTCCACTATCAACGGACGGTCGTCGGAAGAGAGCTCCAGCACAGACTCGGTCGTTCACTCACAAGGAGATGCAACAGTGCCGGATTCAACAGCTCCTATCAATATAGCTGCAGAAGCAAGTACATCGTCCGCGCCAATTCCAACGTCAAGCGCGACCAATAGCTCTGAGAATGGTAGGATGGCGTCCGATTTCTGCACTAACTGACCCTTTCGATATATCTTCTTGGCTAACATCATACTTTCTGCAGTCTCTATCGCTACTCATAGCAGACGGTCCTCTCGGGAAGGCCGTAATGGCCAAACTGGATCCGCGCCAGCTCCAGCAACGCCGCCAGCAGAGCCTAAAGCAGTTTTGATGCAGCCTGGAAACTACGTGATTCCTTTCTCCATCCGCATTCCCTCAAACACCGTTATGTCTCTTCCAGGATCGTTTTCTGATCCAGTCGGCAACATTAGTTATCAGCTCAGGGCAATTATGAAACAGATTCTACCGAGTCCGGACCCCTACGATCCAAAGGCACTCGTTGTCGAGCCAACATTCACATCGGCAACACAGGTTGTCAAGTTGATGCCGATGAACGACCCCGCATATATGCCTTTATACAACATCCCGTTCGAGACAGAGTCTGTGCGCGCCAATGTTGGACACTGGCTCTGGTCGACGGGCTTCATGGAGGCGCATGCATGGGTTCCCAAGCAAGGCTATCGTCCAGGTAGAATAGTTCCGTTGGTCATTCATATCGTCAACCACTCCGATGCAAAGCAGGTGACTGTAGAAACAACATTGTGCAGGTGCCTTCACTATGGCTCGGGATTATCGAAGATCAGAGCAATGGGGATTGCAGGGCAGGGCTATCTCATGGACCCAGTATTGGCTGCTTCAGTTGTACCTGAAACCGCCATGGAGGTTTCTCTGGCAGATGAACGCGCCGGCGGACGACATCAGGAAAGGCGTAGAAGTTCTTCGAATCGTAACAGACCTCATAGCCAGCAACCGGATACGTCGATACCATCGCCGCCTGCATCGCCGTATGGATCGAACTTCCCAACAACTCCTACAAGTGAACAGGGCGGCGACTCTCCGGAGGGTTCCGTGCATGGGTCGAGAATGCCGAGCCCCAATAGTATAGCCTCAATCTCAAGCCAATGGGGATCCGTTCACTCCAGCAGCAGTGATAGCAACAACACGCCATTGAGCTCGGGTATCATCCAGTACAGCCCGGATACCGACTTGCCTACTCCCTCCACAGCAGTACCAATCAATTTGATACAGACCCCACTACCCATTGTTCAGCATCAGCGCGAGAAGGTGTCGAAATCGAAGACTCTCATCAACTGTAGCTTGGCCGTCGACCGTGAGATTCAAAAGACCATCCCTGTGCTTATCCCTCACACGGCCGGTTATTCAATCCTGAATGCTCCACTGCTCGAAGTCTCGTATGAGATTGTGGTCAAGATTCGTGCTGAAAAGGTGTACTCGCGGGGTATCCGACTCTCGGTACCCATCATCGTGATGGTTCCTGAAGAAGGAGATTTAGAGGAAGAGGAGGAGCTGTTGTTGAGCGCAGGATTGGCTAGTCCGGCAATGATGGCCAGAGATTTGGGTCTGGCATTTAGTGGAGACGAGTATGACCTGGGAGATCAGGGCGAGTGTCCGCCGTACGAGCTGACAGTGAGTTCAAGCGGTCGACGCCGCAATGGTCGACGCTGAACAAGGAGCGTCATTACCTTGGATGCTTTATTTTCTGTCGCTTCACGCGTCGCTTGTATATAATTTTTTTAACAAAGATTTCATTTCAAAGAAGCATGCACGAGAGGGAGGATGGTACCCTTGATAATGTTTCTTTATCTGGATATATAAAACACACGGACAATCATTTTCCGCTAAATGGAAAAGTCCGCGGTCCTTGCCTTTAACGAGTTTAGAGGCATGAAGACCGGGTGCATGGGCGAGAGCAGCGCCATGCGACATAATGAAAAGAACAAGGTTGACATGCTTACGGCATTGCGTGGTGCTCAACGAGTGCCGAGGGTAGGCTGAGCTGCTGGATTTTGATTCGCTCCTGGAATGAACAAACGCTCTCTCGTTCTTCAGCACACCAGACGGATGCAGCAATAAAATTCATGGAGTGGACACAACTTTAAAGAAGGTGTTCCCGCCATACCATGTACTGCCCATCCTTCCCTTGCGCCTGCATCTCATTCCTCCCCTCATCCCTCTCTTTCTCTTTCTCTTTCTCTTTCTCTCTCCACGAGCTGCAGAATCCAGCAAGGCCCTATCCATAAGCCGTACTCGAGTGCTGACAGGACCCCCACCGCCATTCTCGACCACACCGCATCGCCACCCAGCCCGGTCCAGGGTCAAGGTCAGCTTCAGTTCAAGTTCCAGCTCCAGTCTCAGTTCCGGCAGCAGACCCCTCCTCCATGACTTCATCACAGGCGATATCGACATCGCCACTGCCTTCACCGCCATTGACGATCTCCATCCCGACTGCAAAGACGAGCACCGGAGTCGTCTGTGCGTCTGTCTCAAACTCCAGCCCTGCTCTTCAACCGCTCGACACCCAGGATGAAGACGCAGAAGAGGGTCTCGATCACGATGCAGTAGACCACTACACCTATAACGGCCCAAATAATTACACGGTACAGCCTTTCTTCGCCTCCGAGCCAGAGTCGCCGTCGCCCATCCTACCAGCCTGGCCATCCACGCAGCTCAACCCAGACTACCTTGTGCCATACCATCCATCCGTCCACAAGAATATCACTAACTATTCACAGATTCTTCTCGATCAAATCCGCCAAAAGTCGGCCTCTGCCGCACCAGCAGAGCCATCAAATGCTGTGTCAGGAGTCGGTGTTGCTGCGCCATCGACCTTCAAAGGCATCTCAATCCTTCCCTCTGCATTGTCATCAGCGACAAATAAGGAACCATCAACAGTCGAAAAGTACTTTGTCTTCCAACCACACCAACGAGAGTTGCAGGGTTCGGAGCATTCATCACGGCATCCCTCTCGGTCACACCCAAAAACGCTCTGCAGACGCGCTGCTCAATCCCTCAGACCTGTAACTCGGTTCTTCAAGCGACTTTCGCGCTCTGTGAAAGGAACTGCATCTGAGCAGCCCAAAAAGGGCAAGGAGAAAGCCGCAGAACCATCGACACTAGCCCCGCCTCAACCTGGTGAGCCGGTCGATTTAAGTTTCCAGTATCTGCAAGCACGCGCGGATAACAACGAGATCGCGCCCCGCAACGCCAGTGAGCAGGAGCACGACCAACAGCGACCCCAGGAATTTGTACAGTCCATCCAACATGCACCCAAGGTGATGAAAATTTTGGACAAGATCAAGAACCATGTTACTGATCACCATGATAACAAGCAGGAGCAACCCAGCAACGATCGAACCCACGGCGATGAACATACTGCAGTGAAAAACCAAAGCATACACACACACACCGCAACTCCACCAGCAGCAGTAGCAATATCGGCACTGCAGAAAAAAAAGAACCGCGGAGGGCCACGGATGCACCCAAAACTGCTGGAGCTCTATGAAGTCACAGACCATGTGTTGGGCGTTGGCACATTCGCAACCGTCAAGGAAATCAAGCTAAAGAGCACTGATAGATCATATGCGCTCAAAACCATCCTCAAAAAGACATTGCAAGGTAGGCATGCATCGGCATGGTTCTCGTGAAAGGCAGTTGATCGGATCGAACTCTACAGTGTCCCGCGACTTACCCAACGATTGTGCCTTTTTTGTTAAACCAACAGGGAAAGGTGCTATGCTGGATACAGAGATTGCAGTTCTATCCAAGGTACGCCATCCAAACTGCGTGTCGCTCTTGGAGATGTTTGAGACCGAGGACGCCGTCTATCTTGTCACGGATCTGGCAGCAGGCGGGGAGCTTTTTGAACAGCTCCTGAATAAGGGCTCGTATACGGAAGGCGATGCTGCACGCCTTATTCACGAGATCTTGCTGGGAGTCGAGTATCTGCATAGCATGGACATCGTGCACCGAGATCTAAAGCCGGAGAATCTGCTATTCTTCGACACCACCGAGAATGCGCGACTCATGATCACAGATTTCGGATTGAGCAAGATTCTCACGAATGGAAACGATGTGTTGATGACCGCTTGTGGTACGCCGGGATATGTTGCACCTGAGGTTTTGGAGAAAATTGGACATGGCAAGCCCGTCGATATGTGGAGTGTTGGTATCATTGCCTACACACTCCTCTGCGGATACGCACCCTTTTGGGGAGAAGGTACATACACCGAGAAACGCTCATTGCTCTCATGCCATTCTTTGTCCAGAGTTTTGTCCTAATGTCCTTCTTTACTATTATAGATCAGCCTACCTTGTTCGAGAACATCATTGCTGGACAATACGAGTACGAGGATGAATACTGGAAAGATATTTCCCCGCTCGCTAAAAAATTTATCGACTCATTACTCGTGCGGCCAGCAGAAAAGCGGCCCACAGCAACTCAGGCGCTTTCCCATCCATGGTTTCGTACCGTGCTGGATCAAGGTCTTACAGCACCAGCTTCGCCCTCGGATAGTGTTGATCTTCTGCCTAGTGTTCGCAAGAACTTTAACGCCACGAATGTGTTCAAGAAGGCTGTACGGGCCGTCGGTATTCTACGAAGGATGCAGGGGGCTCAGCAACATGGCCACACGCAGGGAGTATCTCTGGACTCAACGTCGGAAGGAGGTGCAAGAATGGTAGAGGTGGCGAGTGTTGATGGTATCAAAAATCCTAGGTTTAGCTTCCACGATGTGGTCAGTGCGGCCATGTTGTCCAAGCAGGGTATACGTTTGGATGCAGTATCGGACGAGAGCAATTCAGGACATGGACCAAGAATTATCAGTGAGAGCGAGGAACATCTTGAAAAAATCAGTGCTGTTCTCGAGGACCTCACCATCAAAGCCATATGACCTATTTCAGATCTTTTCATGCATAGGCCACCATATCATATCCTCCTCCTGTATTGTTAATTCGAATAATAGGCCATTTATCTCAACAAACTTACTTCTCTCATGACAAGAAATAAGATGATTCGAGGCCCTAATGGCTTGGTTTCTGGAAATTCACATTACGCACTCTAAAACAGTTGTAAAGGCGTTCAAATTGATGGCAGCTGTTCACGACTAGCATTAGATGCCGCTATTTCCTTTCGTTCGTGCTAGTCCTAGTCTCCCAGGCACCCTTTCTTTACGGTTTAAAATACTTGTTTTTTTAAGTTCGTTTTTTACATAGTATTTTAGATAGTTTTTACAGCTTTTTTTTTTTTTTTTTTTTTTTAGCGTCATAGTCGCCGTGCGTGCCACTCTTGTAAAATATATTTTTTATTTTACATTTAATACATAGCCTTGGGAGCGGTCGTTGTCATCCAAGACACCGTCGTTCATAGTCGTCATTTTCCTCTTTTTGGGCTTAGGAGGTTCCTCAGTAGTGATGTCTATGTTATTGGTGCTCGGTCATGTCCTCCGCGTCGCTATCAAAAAGATATTGAGGTTCCCTAAATCAAAACAGGCAATGTGGTTTAGATAAAGGTCCTGGAAGCATTGGGTCATATTAACACGTTAAACCACAAGGACCCGACTTACATTGATCTCAGGACAAACTGCACATAGCGGACGTAATTATTAGGCATATTCACAGAGAAATACGGCGACAGTGTAGATTCGATCCATATTTTCCGCTGCTATGCTTTTCATACGATCTGGGACAAATATGTCTCTCCAGAAGTGGAGAGGCGAGTGGAAAAGACGCGCCGGATGGAGAAGTGCGAGTAAAGGAGAAGCAGAACGCACCAAACGTCAAGCAGAGATTGATGCAGTCGACAAGAGCGAGATGACATCAGTCACAGTTATAGGGCAGTCATCGTGCTGGTTGGAAAGTCAATGAGATATGGATCTAAGGCTGACGGTTTCATCCGTTGAACGCACATTGGGAATAGACGCTGTCATTTGAGGCAGGATGACCAAAGCATTCTTTTTTTTATCGTTGCTTAACTTTATTTATTGAGTTCCTAGGTTGAGCAACAGTGTAATAATCATACTTTGCGCACGGACGAGAGCCTTCCAGTGGAAGGATCCTGGACATTTAGCTTCCGGATAATGCTGTAGACGATATCTGACGTTCCCGTGCCGCATTGGAGATGTACTGTCTCAAGCGAAGCGACCAAGTACAGCCATGACAGCCGCACTTGTCCAGAGGGCCATGAAACACATGGACTTGACCCTAGTGCTCTCTTTCCGGATATCGTCGTTCAGGTTGAACTCGACTGCCAGAAGATTGACGTATCCCATGTATAGCAGGATCCCTGTGGAAATCGCATCAAAGACACCCTCGACCAAGATGGCCAAAGCGGAGGATGGATCATACGAGCTCCAGATCGCTACGCCAAGGGCCGCTCCAATAGGCGTTGTCAACGAGAAGACGATTGCCAGCCAGTAGTGGGTCTTTGTCCTTTCGAACTCCAAATCTGTAATCCTCGCGCCTAATGCAAAACCTAGAGAGAAGAGATGATATCCGATTAGGATCGGTTCAAACACCTGTACTTGCCGCTTTCAAATGGACCTTACCTTCGAAGAACTGGTGAAAGACCAATGCTGTCAGAAGGCCCATGAACTCAGCTTCCGAGGATACTCCAAGGGACACACCAATGATCACCGAATGAGCTGCAATACCGGCTTCAAGGATATAGGTTGAAATTCGTCGTTGCGAGTCATTCAGCAACTCTAAACCATGAGCGTGTGAGTGTCTGGTTTCCTGGAAATGATGATGATGGCGATCACTAATCTCAGTGTAGTCTTCTGCGAGAGGCGCGGACGTCGTGTCTCCAGCGCGGTTGTCCGCTTGAATGCTGCCATATGACTTGACACTTGTCCTGACGGGCGTACGTTGGATCAAAACTGCACTTGGAAGCACACACGTCGTACTCTGCGCCATTTCCGGCTCGAACGTAGAGCACCCGCTTTGAGTAGCCAAGTTGTCGTGATCCAGGACGCAGGGCGACGCTGAAGAGCATGATGATCTTCGACGCATGGGTTCGTCCAGTACAGTGAGCGTGTGTCCGGGATATAGAGCAGAAGCAGCGCCTGTAGGTTCAAGTCCATCCAGATCCAAACTGACCCGCTCATCTTCCGGTAGAGAAGTCCCCCAGTCAGCCGCGGTCTCATGGCACTGTTGATGATGGTCTATGGCCATAAACTCGATCCAGTGCATGAAGAGCGACGATGACAGGATGAGTAGTCCACCAAAGGCTGTGTAGTTTTCCGAAAAGATGGGTCCCAAGCATGGCGAGGATAGATTGGTGATGGCAGTCGGCATCATGTGAATGAAAGCAGTGGCGAGGATAATTCCAATACCAAACTGTTTTCCAAGAATCAAGAGCCTGGATGAGAAGCAGAGTCTCTGGAATCGGGAGGCGATCAAAGGCATGAACACACCGGCGGCACTGGCAGCGAGGATGATGAAAATTCCTACTATGTGGAGCGCTAGTCTGTAGTGCGTACGATCTTGCAAATCTTCGCGGAGCATACAGGAGAAAGATGGGTTGGTGTTCATTGTTACTTGGGACAAGGCCTGGAGTGCAGAGTCCAACAGAACATGGAACTGCTTTGCATGACAGTTTTCTGCTGCTTACCAGTGCCTGCGCTGCAGAGAGCTGTATCAGGGAGCGAATGCGACATTGTGTGCTGTTGTGCGAATGTGAATTGCGGATAGTGCATTGCTATTTTGACGAGGAGAGAGATAAAGAATATAAAAAAAAAGCAGGCAAAGGGAGGACAAAAGTATTTGTCACAACCAGTAGGGTACTCGCACGGGGATGTTTGACAGCATTTTGGTGGCACAGCAAAAGGGGTCTTATTCAGCAAGCAGGGTTGGTTGACATTGACCAGCCGTGATGTGGTCCAGAAGTGTACGCATATCCGCTAAGCTGTCCAACATACCATCCAGACACTTTACACCTGCCTGCACTGCTTCTGGTGGAGGAGTGTTTCGATGCAGCGGTAGATGGCGTTAAAGGGACCGAGAAGCAGGGGCGCGGGTGCTGAAATGAGAAAAGAAGAAATTCAAATAAAAGCAGTCGGTTCACGATGGCCGAGGTGTGGTGCGTGCGCCTTGGCCCGTTGTACATGTAAACGGAGGGTGGTATCGACTCGACGCTGAGAGCAAAGCAGTCTCTCGGCGAAGCAACTCATTGCATCACCCTTTTGATGAAGGTTGTTTGCAGGCCTCCTTCCGTTTTCCTCATTCCTTTGGCCCTTGGCCCATTCACCTCGACTGCGGTTCCTGTCCTTCTGTGCATTCACGTGCAGTGACTGCCCCTGAACCGCAGTTTTTTTTTCTTTTTTCCGTTCTTTGAGGCATCAGATCGCCATCACCCTCTTTTTCCTTCACTCCGCGCTTGTCCGCATCCTTCCACGCTTCCTCCCCACTCACCCTCTCTCTTTCTTTTCATCCTTCACCTCCCCCCTTTTCGTAATACCGTAATGTCTGCATTGTCTGCATCCAAGCAGAAGCGTCTCGCCGCCAAGGCCGCCAAGGAGGCTGCCAAAAAGTCATCAAGCGCCTCGTCGCCCGCCACCACAAATGGTCGCAACACTCCCGCCCCATCGGACGGACCCGAGGCTGACGATGCCGATGCTCTCATCCCCGGACTCAATGCCATGGATATCGCCAAGAAGAAGGGCGGTGACCGCAACTCAACCGGTGTCCTGACCTCTCAACCCCTCTCTCGCGATATCAAGATCGAGTCCTTTTCGCTGTCCTTTCATGGTCGCGAGTTGATCTCCAATACCGATATCGATTTCAACTTTGGTCGTCGTTATGGTCTTATCGGCGCTAATGGATCTGGAAAGTCGACTTTCCTAGAATGTCTGGCTGCTCGTGAAGTCCCTATCCCCGAGCACATTGATGTAAGTGGACAATGCTCTTGGGCTGCTTATTAATCCCTTTCTACTTGTCCTTTATTCTCTTTCGTTTGTGATATGTGGAGCCGAGAAGACACCTGGGTCAGACATTGATGCATATGTGGCTGAAACTTCGCTTGGGTTCTTGGCTCTTTTGGTTCCATTTGGTTTTTTTTGTTCCTTGTTTGGGATAGGCTTTTTTTTGTTGGTTTCCTGGGTCCGAACATTTGACATCATCGTCACACCACACTATTCTCTCCCGTTAGAACAAAAGGACCTGTTCTTATTTCCCACTATTGGCTGGGCTAACCAAGGGAGCTGGGATGAACCCTTCGCAACCTTTAACCCCCTGATTTTATTCCCTGCCTGTCTGCGCTCCTCTTTTCCATATCTCTTACATGGCCAACACATGCTTATCACCTTGCTTGTTTGTCTTTTTCTGGTTTTGTGTCAATCTCTGTAGATCTACTTATTGCAGGAGGAGGCCGCTCCTTCTGAACACAACGCTATTGAGGCTGTTGTGATTGAAGCCAAGCTGGAAGTTGAGCGTCTAGAGAAGCAGGTCGAGGACATGTTGGCAGAAGAGAATGGAGCCGAGAACCCGCTCTTAGACGATGTTTATGACCGTATTGAGCAACTAGATCCCCAAACTTTTGAGACTCGCGCTGCTACCCTTCTTCACGGTCTGGGTTTTTCCAAGAAAGATATGCTCAAGGCTACCAAGGACATGTCCGGAGGATGGCGTATGCGTGTTGCCCTGGCCAAGGCCCTGTTCGTTAAGCCCACCCTTCTTTTGTTGGATGAGCCCACTAACCACTTGGATCTCGAGGCCTGCGTGTGGCTGGAGGACTACCTTTCCAAGTACGATCGTATTCTCATCCTCATTTCGCACTCTCAGGATTTCCTGAACGGAGTCTGCACCAACATCATGAACCTGAACCACAAGCGAAAGCTCGTGTACTATGGTGGTAACTACGACACGTACGTCAAGACCCGCGCTGAATTGGAAGTCAACCAGATGAAGGCCTATGTCAAGCAACAAGAAGAAATTGCCCATATCAAAAAGTTCATTGCCTCGGCCGGTACCTACTCGAACTTGGTCAGACAGGCAAAGTCCAAGCAAAAGATCATTGACAAAATGGAGGCCGCCGGTTTAGTTGAGAAGGTAGATCCACCCATGCTCTTCAAGTTCAAGTTCTCGGACACGGACAAGTTGCCCCCTCCAGTGTTGGCCTTTGACGAGGTCGGCTTCGCATACTCTGGAGATATAAAGGATGCTCTGTACAGAGGCGTTAACCTCGGAATCGACATGGACTCGCGTGTTGCATTGGTCGGGCCCAACGGTGCTGGAAAATCGACCTTGCTCAAGCTGATGACGGGCGAGCTGAGCGCGACAGAGGGACGTATTCAACGTCACATGCAGCTCAAGCTTGGCAAATACAATCAGCACTCTGCGGACCAACTCGACATGGATCTCTCGCCTATTGACTACATGCGCAGGCGTTTCCCGGATATGCAGCAAGATACCGATTTCTGGCGTCAACAGATTGGTCGTTATGGACTTACAGGATCTCATCAGACTTCGCCCATCGGTCACTTGTCGCACGGTCTACAGACCCGCTTGGTCTTTGCCGAGTTGGCCTTGTCTCGTCCCCACATGCTCTTGTTGGACGAGCCTACCAATCACTTGGATATGGAGTCGATTGATTCGCTGGCAGAGGCTATTAAGAACTTTTCTGGAGGAGTCGTTTTGGTTTCTCACGACTTCCGACTGTTGAAGGAGGTCGCCGACACGATTATTGTGGTCGATAAGGGTGTCTCAGTCTTCGATGGCACCATCCTTGAGTACAAGAAGATCTTGCAGAAGAAGTCGCGCGAGGCCAGTGGACTCAACTAGTTGAATAACATCGACAGTAACAACAACTGAAAAACTAACAGAAAGACACAAAAACACCATAAAATCAACGGACAGCCTTGTTTCCCAGGTTTCAATACATATACACACTTGCATCCTCATAGACGTCGCGAGAACGCTTGCGTTTTAACAGATCGAATAAACTGTCATGTAACATTCATTGCTTTTATTGCGTTGGATTATGATTTAAACATACCAGTCCGCAAAGAAGTGGTCTTCGTCTAGATCCAGTGGTGGCTCATCTTCCCGTTGACGAACCCAGCCCATCTCAACAGGATCCACGGTATCATGATTGAAGTCCAGCACAGATGTGAACTTGTGGCTCGAACCAGCACTAGGGCCAGTTATGTATCGACCTGTCTGCGCAACCGAAGACCTCCAGGCCTGCAAGATTAAATCCATGAATTCTTGCGAGATCTCGCCGCAGCCAGAGACGCGTACCCGCTGGATCGACTGCCAACGCACGCCTTTGATGTTCTGGCCGGTCATGAGGGAGCACTCTCGAATATCTAGTATCTGCAAACCCCACAGATCCGCGATCACCTCCAATACTGGATCGCCCAACAGTCGTTGTCCTGAAATGTTGATAGTCTGGAGCCCATGACAGGTTTTGATGACTGGGATCAAATCCTCGTTCGTGAGAACAGGTGCAGGCCCTGACAGGAGCTGAATGAACGGGATCGAGAGCGAGGTCAGGTTCCTGCAGTAGGGAGCAATGCCCTCGCGAAGGACAACTCCCTGTAGTGGACGGCGGCCTTGAAGTACAGTGAGTCCGCGCAGTCGAGGTCCCAACGAGCTAAGCAGATAGATCCAGATCTGATTACTCCAGCACGAATCAAACACGCAAAGACTTTCCAGCAGAGGCAATGATATGATGGCCTTGAGCAATGGCCAATCTCGACTTGAGTAACCCAGAATAAGCACCCTAAGATCTTGCAGCCTTGAGATTAGGTTCAGCATACCAGGAAAGGTTGAGACACTGCAGTACATGGGCGAAGGCATGTCCAGCTCCTTGATCTGGGCGTCCTGAATGCCACGGACAATGGCTTCGAGTGTCGGCATCGAGGCAGTCTTCGTTAAAATCTCGGCCGCGCTTGATTCGATCTCCTGCGGCAATTGGATCGAAAGTGTCCGGAAGGGTGACACATACTGTAGGAGAGCTGTGATATGATCTGTCATGGCGGCCATGTCTGCTGTTGCTGCTGCTACGGACGGAGTAGTTGTCGAGTCCTCTGGTAAATCGTAATCTCTATCGTCCGCCAATAGTTCGGTTGCCTCAAGGAGATCAACCTCGACACGTTGGACCATTTCTGTCATGTCATAGTTCCTCCCCGTGACCTGTGCAGACGCGTACGAAGATGCCAGGAGGTGCAACAGTCGTCGACAGGATCGGTCAAGGGGGTCCGGTAGCACAATGGTTTGCCAGATAGTTGGCAGGGCAGCCAGACGCCAGGCCATACTGACCCTTGAACACGAAAGCAAGTCCGATGGCTGAGTGCGGTCGTAATACTGCTGAGCATTAGCCCTTGACGGGAGATGCGAAAAGATGGCGAGCAGGATATCATGCGGCACGTAAACAGCTGAACGTTTCTCCGGTATGGCGATGTCGGTCTCGATGTCTCCTGTGATCGAGGTCAACTCCTGAGTGCCGCTAGGTATACGCTTGATGGGGGCCTTTCTGGGCAGCAACTCGGGACGTGTCCTCCGCCACGACTGCTTGTACTTTGCTTGCGACCTTTTGAAGGAAACGTAGGGTTCTGAAAGGGGCTGTTGGTGAAAATGTTGACGGAGTTGGTTTTGCTGTTGCTGCTGTTGCGGTGGTGTCTCGAGTACTATTTCTGTTTCATCTGTATTATCCGCTCCATCAGTGGTCATTTCTCCGAACTCATGTATCAATGCTGCAAGGCCTGCCTCTGTCGCTGCTCCTGATGATGCAGAGATGGGTGAAGACGGGAAAGAGGGCGATGGCATAGGCCGAGAGTTAAGGTCCTCAAAGACCCAGGATGGCAATTGTTGGTCCCTTTCTTGAGTGCTGCTTGTCCCTGCGATGGCCAAATTATTGCAGCTGTTGAGTTGGTGCTGCTGTTCTTGTTGAGATGGACCCTTAGCGGCCTTGTGGTCCTTGAGCCATGTGGACAAGCGTAGGGCGAATTTTGAGGTGGGCCTGGTCTCGGTAGCGATGGTTTCTGTGGGTCGACCTTGCTGAATGCTGTGCATCGTTTGTTCGGTCTATCGAGCTGTTTGTGGTTGTTGGGTTGAGTGTAAGAACGCTTGCTTGCCTGTGTTGTTTGTGATCGCTTGAATAGCTTGGATGGCGATGTTGATGGATGTGAATGGAATGAGAGAATGATGAGTTGAAGAGACAAAGAGAAAGAATGTGATGGACACAATCTTTAAATTCTTTAAATTATTCCACACAGCCTTTTTCTTTTTTCTCTTCTCCTCTGCCCCTTCACTTTACTTTTCTCAAGCCCGGATGTCATGAAAACCACCACCGCCAATAACGATGTACCTGTCCGCATTGACTGCAGGGAGGACCCCACCAGGGACCCCGGCACTCTCAACAATCTCATGGCGTCCAGTGTCGCCGCTCTGTGCTCCCGTCTCTGCACCCACCCCCTCGACACCCTCAAGACCCGCGTCCAGGTCTCGAATGCCCACCTGCCCTTGCTTCCGACCTTCCTTAGCCTCCTCAGGAACGGAGGTCTTTACCGGGGACTGCCGATTGCATTGGCCCTGAGCGCCCCAGGATTGTCCGTCTACCTGACAGCTTACGACCTCTCCAAAGACTCCATCTCACGCCACTTCCCATATCTCAGCACAGACTCGGTTGTCAACCACATGGCTAGCGCCGTCATTGCAGAGGTATCCTCAGGACTATTCTGGACCCCAATGGAGGTTCTAAAATCGAAGCAGCAGGTCGAGAACGTGCCCACATCCATTTCTAAGGGTCCCAATTCAAAACCAGGTACATTTGCATCAACATCAGCATTATCGACGACATCTGTGTCTGTATCTCCTTTTTCGACAGCGGCCGTAACAAGTATCCCACCAAAAGTACCAGCAGCCGCATCTAAAAGACAAGCACCTGTTGGCACGATGGATCTGGCACGAAGGATTTATCGTCAAGAAGGGTTACTGGGCTTTTACCGCGGCTACTTCATCACTCTCGGTGTCTTTGTGTATGTATCCAAGTTCCCATAATATTTTATACTCTGTTGTACAAGAACACAAGCCTAATCTGAGGCATTATCTTTCACATCCCGATATTGCAGACCATACTCGATGATATACTTTGCGACATATGAGCAACTCAAGGACATGGCATGGCGACGGCGACACACAGCTATCCCTCTTAGCATCGCAAAGCAGCACGAAGAGACACCGCCCTTTCCCACAATTGTCGCGTGCGCAGCTGTCGCGGCCGGCATCGCAGGAGGGGTATCCAATATCGTCGATGTAGTCAAGACGCGCTGGCAGATATCAGTGCTCGCCACAACCGAAGAGAACGCGTCCGCCGGGAGGATCATCAGGCATATGCTGCGTCAGGGTGGTTTTACCAGCTTCACACGGGGCATGGGCGCACGCGTTCTATGGATGATCCCGAGTGTAACGATATCAATGTCGATGTTCGAATACCTCAAGGCAAACGGGTTTGTATAAATTGCAGACAAAAACAATCACCACGCACAATCTACTCGCTTATACCTCATGGACCTAGATTCTACTCATTCATATTCATTTATGCAAAATAAAAATCTATTCAATTCCTTCATTTCTTGGACTTTTTGGAGCTGGATTGTTCAGAGTCACCGGCCTTCCGTTTCGCATTCTTCTTGCTACTACTGCCCGTCTTCTCTTCCTTGACCTTATCCTTCTTCTCCTTCTTCTCCTTCTTGTCCTTCGTCTCTTTCTTTTTTCTCTCTTTCTTTTCTCTCGTTTCTTTCTTCTCTTTCTTTTCCTTGCTCTCCTTCTTACTCTTCCTGTCTTCATTGTTGTGCGACTGGAGTGCTGTTGATGTCTCCTCTGTGGTACTCTGAACAATAACATGCTCCTCGACCCTAGTCTCTATCGTAACCGGCATCACCGAGACCGTGGCCTTGACAAACCCAAGTCCACGAATGCCTGATCTGTTGAATCCCGATGACCCAACCCCGGCCGAGGTAGCAAACCCAAGTCCTCCGAATACTGGTCTAGCTGGCTCCTCCATGTCATTGGCGCCGCTACTGTTGAGGCTGTTTTGTTGCATGCGAGCAGCGAAAATGTCGGTCGAGGTTATCAATTCCTCGACATTAGGGGTCGACATGCCTGAGATCGAGGGAGATGCCGTCTCGGATTTAATTCCAAGGATTTCGTTGAGTCGCTCTACATTTTGAAGGGCCGCATGCTTGTTCCTGAGATATTTGTGCCGTGAACTATGCATTCAAAGGTCGTAAAAAAAGTAAGCCATGTTAGAACAGAATGATATGATTTCGCTTGTGCCGCTTAAACAAGCATATCGGGATTGACTTACGCCTTGCGACCGCTGATGGCGGCCATAATGTTGTTCTTCTCTTCGCTGTCCTCATCGCTGGAGCGCTTGCTCTTGCTCTTGCTCGATTTTTTCTCCCTCTTGTCTTTTTTCTCCTTTTTCTCCTTCTTGCTCTTCTTTTCCTTCTCCTCCTTCTTCGACTTTTTACTCGACTTCTTTTCGTCCGTCTCCACATCCGACTGATTGTCAGAACTACTATCGCTCTTGCTGTCGTTCTGTGCAGCGTCCTTCTCGACTCGCTCGTTCAGATCTGCAAGCAACTTGCTGAACGCATCCGTGTTGCCCAGCCAATTGTCGCTTGTCTTTTTGGTGGCGCCCACTCCGAGGTTGTTCTCCTTCAGCCGGACCTTGACATGCTCCTGAACACCGTCTTCCTTAGCTCCGAGACCCTTGCCGTGCGACCAGCCCATCTTTTCCATCATCTTGAGCCCGAACTTGTTGGTATCTGCAAGAGGAAGGAAATATGATACCAACTGATTCGTCAATACACATACATATATCAACTCCGTGAAGTTATAAGGAAGTAGCCAATAAAGTAGACGGACCATTGGCCCAGTGCAAGTTGCGTGGGTCAGGGGCAAGCCTCTGCTTCGCATGACGAACAGCTTTCAAGGACATGATGTGAAGATGGAAGTGGAGTCAAGTGGAGCTGAGTGGAGCTGAGCTACTTTTTTTTTTTTTTTTTGAAGAAAACAAACAAAATGTGGTCGAGACTGCGAATCGAACTTCACGTGAGTTGGCTACGAAGTTGACGCGAAAGTGATATAGGTATCCAACCGTCCTCATCCTTACCATCCTCGCCATCAGCAACGCTCAGGGTCGCCATTCAGTACCCAAAGATTCCTGGAAACAAACTCGACTTTTTGTGAACGCTTCAACGTCACCCCCTTGGTCCTCTGCAGCTCGGCACTATGTACCATCCACAATCAAACAGCACACTCGAGATTCCTTTAAAGGGGTCAGACAACGTTCTCGAGATCTCGCGCTCTAGCCTGCCCCCACCCTCGGAGCTCTTTGATATCCTCAAAGCAGAGGAAGCACCTCTCAGGAACTATATCCTCTTTGCGGTAAGTGCCAGATCGGAAGGAAGCAACAATATCAGAGACCTGGGGAATGTTGGTCTCTCACCTGGCCTGTTCCACGATATCCTCTTTCTAGCTTGAATATGCCCGGCAAAAGAATGCGGATTCTGCGATTAAGGTCTTGACCGATGGCCTGAATGGTAACCTTTATCCACAATGACCAACAGCGCATCCTGCATCGTGTTTAAATTTAGCGGCGCCCTATACTTAAACATTCTTTTCATTTTGCGGTCATAGTCGAATATGAGACCAACCCCAGGCCGCGGCTTCCGCTTCACAACCTTCTCGCATCTCTCAACATCCGCAAGGCCTATCAATCTGGAATTACTCCCCAGGAACGAAATGCATTTTGGTCCGAAGCAACGAAGCATCTGGGGGCGGCCGAAAAGATCAACCCAAAGGACGATACAACATGGATCAGCAAAGGTGCGAGATGGGAACACTCACTTTCGTTAACAAAGATAACAGGTGTGATCTGCTCAGGCTGACACTCTATGATTTTCTACCAAAACTTAGGCCTGCTCTTGCTCGCTCGCAACTCGCTGGATGACGCATATCGTCATTTCAAACAGGTCCTCGGAGAGAATAACAGGAGTATTCCAGCCCTGCTCGGAACTGCGCGCATTCTTTTCATTCGTGAAAATTATATCCAAGCTCTCGCATACTACCGCAATGTCTTAAAACTTCAGCCGGATTGCATTCCAAACCCACGAATCGGCATGGGACTGTGTTTCTACAAGCTGGGGATGGTCGAGGCTGCACAGCAGGCGTTCGAGCGTTGTGTCGAGATGAACGGGCAGGATGCTACAGCGCATGTACTGCTGGCGATCCTTCAGTTCAACAAATGCAAGGAGTCAGATATTTCAGAGGAGGAAATCAAACAAATATACAAAACTGGATTCCTGCACTTAAAGAACGCATATGGAGCCGACAAGAAGAACCCTGTCGTGGGCCTTTATATGGGCAAGCATTTCGCAGTTACCCAGGATTTGGAGAAGGCTATGGCATTCGCCACCAAGGCATCGAACGCAAACGGCCTGAAGAACGTGCAGTCCGAGGGACTTTATATCATGGGCAGGATCCATCATCAACAGGAGCGGTATGTTGAAGCCCTCGCATGTTACGGAAAGGCTGTCAGCTTCAACCCCGATAATCTATTGGCTCAGTTCGGACTCGGTCAGACGCTTCTCTTCAAGCAAGACATTGCTGGCGCGATCTCTGCGTTCGAGAGGATTCTCAGCAAGGAGCCAAAGTGCGTCGAAGCTATTGCTGTAAGTTTTAAAGTAAATTACGAGTTTGCTATATCACGCAAGGCGGAGAAAATGAGTGTTCTATTAACTATCTTCAACACTTTCTTGCTACCCCTATAGATTCTAGGATCGATCTACTCGCGTTCAGCAGCATCAAAAAGCAAAGCTCTTGAGTTCTTTGATAAGGCCACCAATATCATTCACGAAAGGAACACGCTCTCAGTCCAGGATCCACTCATGTTCACAGAAATGGCTCAACTGTTGGAGCAGACAGATATCGCCAAAACTACTAAGGCATACATGTTCGCTCTCGGAATTTGCGGACAAAAAGTCGAGAGAGGTGAATCTGTGGAGTACATGCCTGAGCTTTTGAACAACGTCGCTGCAATCAGCCACATGGATGGTCGACTCGATGCTGCGGAGGGGAGCTACAACAAGGCATTAGATATCTGTGCAAGCAAGGAGGACGATGCCGACATGGCCACAGAAGCAACCATCACCACCATTCGATATAACCTAGCCCGTCTGTATGAGGAACGGAACGAAATCAAGCGCGCAGAAGAGATTTACAAGGACATTGCCAGCAAGTATCACGGATATGCTGATGCTCACTTGCGTCTCGGAGTCATCGAGCAATCCCGCGGCAATTTTGATCAGGCAGCTGAGTTATATAAGGACGTTTTCGGCATGATCGATAACAAGAATGTCGATGCATGGACTCTGATGGGTATGTTGCAGCAGAAGCAGAACCAGATCAGGAACTCGCGAAAAACATTAGAGAGGATCGTTAAGGAAATCAACCGCCACGATGTGTATACCCTCTTGGCCCTCGGAAACAACCATCTTAACGTCGCTCGTGAAGAGAAAGACAACATGGCCATGGTAGGTTATCATACACAGGTCCTTTTGAGAGCACTACAAGCGGCCGCAGACTACTAATATTTCTGATGGTGACTTTTTATTTTTATTTTTTTTGCTGATAGAAACAAGAGTTCTACAAGAAGGCCTTCGAGTTTTTTGACAAGGTGCTGAAGATTGACGCCTACAACGCCTATGCTGCCAATGGTATCGCTATTTCACTGGCTGTTCATGGCCATCATACGGAAGCAAGAGAGATGTTCTTGCAGATTCGCGAAGCTGCCTCTGCTATCCCTACAATCTGGCTTAACTTGGCCTTAGTTTCGGCGGATATGGGCCAATATAGAAATGCCGTGCTTCTGGTGAGCAATACACTTATTGGCGGTCAGGCTGCCGACGACATCCTCAACGTGACACTTATGAAATTCTATTTTACTTGTATTTGATAGTATGCGGCTGTTTCCAAAAAGTTTTTCAACAACGAAGACGAGAATGTCATACTGTCGATGGCAAAGGCACAGTACTGTTTGGCCAAGCAGGAAAAGAGTCCTGAAAAGATGCTTCAGGCCTTATCAATGGCACAGAAGGCGTTCCGTCTGAACCCAAGTGACAAGACGGCTCTTTACGATATTGCTCTTATCCAACAATCCTATGCCCAGCTTGTATCGGATCGCTCAGCAGACCAGCGTACAGTCGACGACATCAATCATGCTATGATCGGCTTAGGCGCAGCCAAAGGGTAAGTGCTAGTTGCCGATTTGTTATCGGTTCCTTTGTTGGTTGAAATGCATGGCTTCTGACAGATCTCTCTGTCATTAATTCAATCTTACAGGATTTTGAAGTCATTGATTACGGTTCCTACAAAGGAGCACGTCTACTACGAACGCGAAATTGCCGCCCAACGCGAGAAACATGGAGATTCACTGCTAAACATTCTTCAGAGAAAACTGAAGGATCAAGAAGTATTCGAGGCAGAGAAGCAAAAGGCCTTAGACGAGACTCGCAAGAAGCGCGAGGCTGAGAAGGCTAGGAAGGACGAAGAAGAGCGGATACAGCGCGAGAAGCAAGTACAGGAAGAGCGTGAAATTTTGGAGAGTCGTCGTGCTCTGGATGAGGGTGCAAAGGAGACACAGCGCGAGCTGGATGAGATGAACAGGGAGCGTGCAGAGCGCAAGCGGATGGTGGTGAGTGATGATGAAGTAAGCGACGGTGATCTGGACGGAGGCGTTGAGCGCGAGTCCAAGCGGCAGAAAAAGGAACGCAAGCCCAAGGAGCCGAAAGAACCAAGGGAGCCAAAAGAAGCAAAGGAACTAAAGAAGGGCAAGCTGCGCAAGAAATCGGAGGTTGAGGGGCGAGCAAGGAGCAAGAGCACAGACAGGGATGAGGACGACTTGCGTGATGATCCGACATCGCACAAGGTCTCCTCCAAGAAGTAGTAAGTAGCATGGCTGGCCGATTGATTAGGAACCCATTGAGTGTTGGATAGCCGTTATTTTTATTGTTATCGGGACCGTATTAACGCTTTTTTTTTTGTCCCTTCAACTTCTTTAGCAAATCGAAAGAGATCATTGACTCGGACGAGGACGAGATGTCAGACTAAGGGACAGACCTTTATTGACAAGGGTGATGTGACCAGGAGCTGTTCACATAAGAGCCCGAAGAGAAGTGTAGCTGCTGAAAAGTCTTTGTGCCGAAATAAAACAAGACAAAGCGATACACAAATGTGTAATGTACATTCATGTCTGCTTTCTTTTGCGTGTCCAATCTGCCATCCCTTTCTTTCTTTCTTCCTGTACCTCCCAGAATGTGTTGGCACTGCAACATTGGCGATCACTCTCAGCTATGGCTTATGGAGTGAAAGCAGTCTCCGCTCGTTTTCTTTCTGCCTATTCTCCCGCGCTAAACTTCAGTAACCATAATACAGCTCCCTCTCTCTCTCCCTCTCTCTCGCTTTCGGTATCCCCTTTATCCATTTCGATATCCTCCACACATCCGAAGGTCCAACGCCCATACTACATGTCTTCGGTTAAGAAGAGCAAATCCCGTGCCATGCCTGCACTCCCAACAACTCCAGCGCCCTGTCTGGCACACTCACTACAGAACGAAGACTGGCCAGCAGAAGCACAAAAGGTCAAGGACGAGCAAATCCAGGCGTTCTACCGCGAGTATGCCAAGGTAAAAGCATCCAACAACCTTCTCTTGCTCGGACTCCAACACTTCCCATCCACGCTCGACAACAAGGAGGCAGAAGGCCATGGACATATATTCGGCAGCATCTTGGAACAGGGACGTTTACGGGATGGAAAGGTGACAGAAATGGTGGCCAACAACGCCAATCACAATCGCAGGATAGGAATGGTATTTGGAACTTTTATGAGCATCGACAACACAAGGACGGCACCGATCCATTCCTTAGCAAGATCACAGAATGAACATCCTTCCACCCTACTGACCCGAGGCCCCTTTTTGTTTCCATCGCTGTTGATTTGAATCTTAGACGGCTCCCGAAAAAGGAAGCCCTATTGAACCAGACGATCATATTCGGGTAATGCAGCAAAGATCATCAGCTTCATTCGATTCGCAGGAGCAGTTATTATTCAGTTGCGCTCATAGGCGATGGTGATGGCAGTGGAACTTGACCCTTTTTTTTTGTGATCGCTCCTCGTCCCCTATGCCATTTCACGTTGTCTTATTGTATTTACATTTTTTCGTGTTTTATAGAGAATCACCACTGCTCTTACCCAATACACGACTCGAGGGCTGCCGGGAGGGAAGGCTCTGCCTGAGGAGTTTTTGCGCCAACGCTCTGAGCATATCCTCCACCCTTCACCTGAAGAGCTCATGGAGTTGTATGCGACATTGATTCGTGATAATCTAGGTAATGGGATCAATGCCGTAGTGGACTTGCGCGTAAAGCCATTATTCGGGCATACAACTGGCACGCTGTCGGGGGAAACCATGGCGTTTCGATTGAGGTACTAATGGAAAAGCCGCCTTGCGCTCTGACCTAACTTACCCCTGAAATTAATAGAACTAAACCCCAAGATGAGAGAGGTGCTTACCGATCAAGCCTTTGCAGCCTCAACGTTACTTCATGGCGATCATCTCGACCAGCACTTTCGTCAGCATCAACAACATGCGGCTTCTCAGCAGCGGGCACCTTGTGGATGTGGTGTTGACCATGGCGACGAAACTCTCGACTTCCCGGAGGACAGTTATGAGGATGAGCCAGACGAGGAAGATGAGGATGATGAGGATGATGGAGAAGACGAAGACGATGATGATGAAGATAGCATGGATGACGAGGAATATGACGACGATGAGGAACACGATGTCGGTGATGGCTATGCACACCATTACGAGGAGAGCAATGTCAAGATGATGGTCTATGAGGAGGAAAAGCTAAAGCTCGAGACTGTCCGCCGGGTTCGCGAAGAGGAACGGCGACTCAAGGAGGAATTTCGTAAAAAGAAGATTTCGGAAAGGCTAAAGCAGAAGCAGGAAAAAGGTACGCGACTTGATTCTCGCCTGCCCCTGGACAATATGCCATGCAGCAATCCGTTGGAAGATACTCGATCTAATCGATTTTCTGGAATATCTATGTGCTGGTGTTTCTTTATCCTTAGAACGCATTCTTTTATTGCAGCGCCTGCGTCTTGAAGACGAGGAACGTCGTAAGCGCGAGGCACAGGAAAAGCAGAGGAGAGAAAGACTTGAGGAGGAGATGCGCAAGAAGCGGGAGGCTGGTATGTCGTTTATCGGCCTTACTACTGGAAATACCTGTGTGAACCTTTGAATCGTCGCCGAAACTGACGTCTTCATGCTTGCTACCCCATTTAATTATCGATAGCGGAGGCTGATCAGAACGCCAGGTCGTTTTTATTCCAGTGCACATCACGATCGCAGATTGAGACAGTCAAGCAGATCGTTGGCTCAACACCTGACGATTCCTGCTCGCTAACGGGTGTGCCGCGGTTCGCAACAACTGCTGCAACGCGTCTTTTTGGTTGGGAATTTGTAACGATGGTAGAAGGCGTCGGTGAGGTTAGTGAGGAAAAGGGCATCCAGGAAACTCTATTACATGTAGCAGTTCGAGTAGGGTGTGTCGATTTGGCTGTGTTCTTTATCGACAAAGGTATGCGCATCTGCATTTTCATAATTTTTATTTATTTTTTGTCGTCAGAGGAAAGCTTCTAGCGTATATTCATATTCTCACACTTTTTTGCCGATCATGTATTAGGCGCGCCCTTGGACGCCTTCGATAAGGATGGATTAACTCCACTTCACACAGCCGCCAAGCATGTTGCTCCTTTTGAGATTTGCAAGTTGCTGGTGGAGAGGACGGTGCACCATATTGACAGGACATGCATTATTGCTGGCAGGACAGTACTTCATTACGCGGCTCAAAATGGATATGCAGATCTGGTGTCGCTTTTGTTGCAGCACCATGCAAGAATCAACCCCCTGGATCACAAGGGCAATACACCAGAATCGCTTGCAAAGGCCGGACTGGAAAGCGCCCTGTCCGAAAAACCGACAAAGACTAACACGAAACAAGCCAACACCGCAAAGGCGCAAAAGTATCGCAGCACAATGCAGCACCTTCAAAAAGCAATGGCGGCTGTCAAGGAGGCACAGAATCGGAAAGATGCGCAATTGGAAGAGCAACGGCGCAAGGACGAGGCTTTGGCCCTCGAGGAGGCGGAGAAGGACAACGCTGCGCGAAGGAAGCAGGAAGAGAAACTGGAGGCAGATCTCAGGAGACGGTTGGAAGAAGAAAAGGAACTCGAGCGTCTCAAAGCCATGGCGTCGGACCCGAACGGAAATAGCAATAACAGCAACAAGAAGAAGAAGAAAAAGAAAGGAGGAAAGAGTGGCAACGACTTGCCGGCAGCTACAAAGGAAATCCCAACGTCAGTATCTTCCGCCCACAAAACGGATTCATTCTCAGAAACGGCCACATTCTCCCCCGCCATTTCCTCGGTCAATGTGAAGGTTACGCAGAACTTAACAACAGCAAACTCATCCTCAAGCGCTGCAGTTCCCAAGCTCTCTCCAGCAGCACCCTCAGAAGGAACCAGTAAGACACCGGCCCTTACGTCAGTGGCACTATCAACACCCTTACCAGCAACGACCAGTCTACAGCCTGCACCAGCCCGCATTCCTAAGCCTAAAACGAGCTATCGCCCCTCACAGCTCGTGGTGACGCGGATGACGGACATGGGCTTCCCATTGCGAGAGTCCAGAAAGGCACTGATTCAAACGGAAGGACGTGTAGAGGATGCGATCGATCTGCTGACGAGCGGGGCTCAGCTGGCCGACGATTCGGAGGATGAGGCGGAGCAAGCCGCAGAGAAAGCAAAGGCGAAAGCGAAGGCAAATGCTAGTCTTGCAGCGAAGATTCCTCAGGTGAAAGCACAGGAGACTTACATGAACGGCCACAGCAACAGTAGCGCTGTACGAGCATCGCAGCAACCAGCCTCCAGTCCGACACTGAACCACCCAACGCACGCTACCTCTCAACAGCAGCAAGCGCATCACCGTACAGTCCTAGGAATGCAGCAGGTATCACCACGGCCCATGAACCACCCCGTACAGATCTTGCAGAGGACGCATGCGATGGCGCCCCACGTTCAGCCCCGTTCAGTCCCCACACAAGTCCTCCAGCGACCGCCGCCCCATGTTCAGCATGCTCAACCGCAGATGGCGCCACAGAACCCGAACATTCGAAAGTCATTTTCGAATCAGAGCGTGCCCGCGATGTCAAGTCCGGTACCGCATCCGGCCACAACAATTGCCAGCTTTATTGCCCCACGGACAGCCCAACCAATGCCACCAACGCGTGCTCCATATTCATACGGTCCAGCCTCGTCAGGAGTCCACAGCTCCAAGCCTATCGTCTCACCCCCGATCAGTGCTGGCCAACTGAGCCACAGCTCTTTTCCCAGAAGCCCTGGCTCTACATCGGCAGCTGTACTGGATCGTAATGCACCTGTAAGGGGATCGACTGGTGATATTGGAACGATCGGAATGACACGCAAGTTTGGAAGCATGGACGTATCTGATCATCAAGGTTTTGGCTCGGGATCCAGCTTCTCTGGTTTTGCAGCCGCAACATCAACATGGGACGTAAGCATGAGTAACAAATCTATGACGCCGACTTCGCTTGAACTCCCTGCGCCGATCAACAACGAATATCAACCATCTTCTATGGGGCATAACCTCTGGGCGACTCCTGGATTGTCAATACCTGGCCCATCGTTGCTTCAGCCTGTTAGCGATAACAGTGTAGGCTCTTCCTTTGGGTCACCGTTCCTAACCAGCTTACCAGCAAATCCTCACCAGCAGCACCAGCACCCACATCAACAGCACTCTCATCAGCAACATCCTCGTTCATCAAACGTCGAATCCTCCTTGGATGGGCTTCAGGGCTATAGCGAGAGCGATCTGGACATAGTCAATGCAGGCGGCGAAATGATCAAGGATGTTTTGGCGATGACGGGCGCAATCGACTCGGAAGAGTTTGCAAAGTTTGAAGCAGAGTATTCCCTTCTGGGCACTGGACTATCCAGCACAGGACCATCGAAGGCCATAGGTGGGGGAAGAAGCAACAGTAATGGTAACGTTAATAGCAGCGGCCAGCCTATGGCTAACTTGTGGGCTGGAAGTAGCAACAGCCATGGAGGTAGCAACGATGGAAGCCACGGGCTGCCCTCGCCCATTGGCACAGTGAATGGACATGCTCTCTCTTCGTCACGCCGAGGTTTTGACTCTGGATTTGACAGTAATGGCTCCAATGGTACGTATAAAGGGCTGTGCGCAATAAATGAAGTGAGAAATATCGTGCAGTCTATCGTTTATATTCTGATATTATTACATTATATTATATTATTGACGCGGTTTCCCTTTTTTTTTTTTGCATAGGTTTGCTATCGGATTCCAAAGGAAGCGTCTCAGAATATAGTCAATGGAATTCTGGGTTCGCTTTGGAACAAGCCATGTACCCTTCATCGCGACAGCAACGGCAGCGGCAAGTGGGCTCGTCTGCGTTCGTGGACAGCTTCTTTGGATCGGACGCTAGGATCCCTACATCGCCCTACAGTCAACATTTGCAAAGTCATCAACAGCAACAGCAGCAGCAACACAGTCAGCCACTTCCGCCATTCGAGTACTCAAATTTCGGAGGATTGGGTGGGCACAGTAATACTAGTCCGGGTGAATCATTGACGTCCCCAACAGCATCCGCATTTGGGGCTATTGGCGCGATTGGAAGTAGTCGACACCAGCATCAGTCTGTAGGGTCTAGTTCTGCACCCATGCCAGGCGGCAGTAGCGGTGACCGGAATAATTCAAAGCAGCATTAAAGACAATTGTTGCGTTAACATTGAACACGATTCGCTGCGGATTATTAATTTAATAGTGATGTTGTACAGAAATACATATTACGCGAAGAGAGACAGGGGAGTGATAATAACTGAAGTGGCAGTAAGGGGCGATGATTGATAGTGCTTTACGGATTCTGTTGACGATCCCTCTTTTGTGCCTCCTTAAGCTCCTGTCTGCTATTGCAGGTGCGTCGATCGATCTTGATCTCAGAGTGTTCGTACGGTTTGGCGAAGTAAAACTCCTTGGGCTGTGACGAAGACGAAGGTGACGCTGACGATGGCGAAGAGGAAGGAGAAGGAGACGCTGGGGACGACGACGACGACGATGGAGCCAGGGACTGAGGCGCAGGCTTTGAGACACGAGGTTTGTGAAATGGTTTTGCTGCGGTTGTGGTACCTGGGCAGGCAATCGATTGGGAAGGGGTCATACATGAAATTGATACTGTAGAGGACGACACAATGGAGGAGATTGACAAAGACGAAGCTGAAAGCGACAAACCCGACATGTCAAATGAAGTAGGAGGAAACAACAATGGTGGGATCGGCGCGCTTCCGGATCCTTGGACGCTGTTACCAAGGCCCTGGATGTCGGTAGACAAAGCCGCCAACGTTGTTGTTGCTCCTGGTACTGGTTGGCTCGTTGTCAAGGAGGAAGGTGACGGCGATGACGAAGGGGTCACTGCTGGGAAGAAGGGCGGATCATTCGTCCGGAGAGATCTGTTAGCATGGTTGATACTCGCCATGCGACCACTAGATCGTCCCGAAGACGATCGTCCCAGGGAACTTGAGGCTGATCTTCCCACAGAGGACTGACCATCGACGCTGAGCAAGGGGTCGAATCTGGGCCTTAGTGCGGATGTCGAGGTTTGACGTCGAATTGACGGCTGGGATGTACGCCGCGCGTGGCCAAACCAGTGGGTCACGCTATTGTTAAAGTTGTTGACGTTGCTGGTATAGTTAACATTATTGATATCGCTGTCGCAATCGGACGCGAACAACGCTCTCCCTGCATCTTCGTCCACAGCGAATCCCTCAGGAGACCCATTCATGTTTAACAGGTGAAGTCCACCGCCATCTCCTCCTTTGACATCCATCGACCCTCCCATACCCCCCGTCATAGAACTGTCCGCCTGCAGGCCGCCAGTGAGTAGAGACAGTTGAACAGATCCCCCATTGCGCGCCGAGGAATATCCTCCTACACCTTCGCCTGCACCAGGGGTCAGTAACCCCGCACTGGTGTTCAAGAACGACATAGGGTCTGACGTGTAATCGGGCATGGAGGACGTGCCACCGATAACGCCCTGAGCAACACAGAGCCCCGAGACCCTGTTGTCCGGCACAAACCCGCCGTTACTGGACACTAAATGTGCTGTCCAATCGGAGGGGGGCATACCCAAAGATGGGTCCCATGAATGGGATGAAGGCTGAGGCAAGGCATAGAAAAGATCCATCTCGGTCGCACAAATGGTTTGCATTGCCTGCAGTTGCAGATGTGGATGTGAATGTGCATCCGGTGGTGGTTGTAGCTGGAGTGGATAAACAAATGCTCCAGTGGGCATGGGCGAAGAAGGCGAAGGAAATCTGTGCGGGTCATTTGGATCAGGAGTAGAGTCAGAGGAGCTGAATCTGGAGTGGGAGGCAATCGAGTCCAAAAATGTATCCGTGGAGTCAAAAGACTGATGGAGTGTGCCTGGACCCTGAAGGAACCCTCTTGAGTGCTTGTAATTGTTGTTCAGGGTAAGCCGATCGAGCTCGGACGAGTCGTCCTGTGTGAAAGATAAGATAACACTGGCCTCGTTGTTGCTGGAGGTAAAATCCTTGGGGAAGTCATCCAGCTCGATTTCAAAGACCATTGGGGAAGGCAGAGCCTGCTGATTATCGTTCTTGATGGAGGGCAGCATTTGGCTGAAGCAGTTGTTGATGTTGTTGATGATGTTGTTATTGTTGTTGTTGTTGTTGTTGATGTTATTAAACATAATGGGGTTGTTTGAAAAGTAAAATGTGTACGGGAGTATGTGAGTGTATGTGTCCGTGGATGGAGGGTGCTATGTGTTCTGTGTAGCGTTTATGTGGGTATGGGATGTAGGGCAAATGTATTGGTATTAGAACAAGGTGAGAAACAGGCGAAGTATAGACAAGAGAAAAGGAAACAAGCAACGGCAATTGGGCCTGATACTTTAGCGTAGGTAAGGGGATCAAAGATCCAGTGGAATCTGGTGAAGGTAGAGGGTAACAATGGTGGGCAAAAAGAGGGAGAGAGGAGGAGAGGAGGAGAGGAAGAAGAGCGGTGTAATGGGATTGAGACAAAGAGATGGCGATAAGTAGAGAAGGAGGGAGGCCTTTATATAAGGGGACAGGTGTGCGGCATGTGTAGTGTATATCAAATATGAAGGTGTCGCCCATGGTGGTCTAAACCCATTTCAGGGCATTCGGGGACAGGATGAGAGTCGATAGCTGCCGTCGAGTACTTCGCCGGCACTTTTGCCTCAACACGCAGCGCGTTTAAGACCCGTGTAATCTATGCGTCTATATTTTGATTGAACATTGATAGACAACCACCATATGTGCATGCAGGCAGACAACCACAACCAGGCACCTATCGTGTGGACCCCCCTGACTCCCCGCTCCTCTTTTCTACATTCCGATTACCAAACCCTTTAGTCCACCATTTCTCCATTAGGGCTGGTTCTCGATATATAGTAATATCTATCATCGTCTCAAGCCAGGCCCCTCTATGTAATTAATGAAATTGCATCTTTTCTGTGTACTTCATTCGTCGTCATTCAAACCTAAATCTATCGGATATCGGATCGTCTCTCCCCATGGCAGCATTCAAAGCACTGAGGGTAAAATAGCGGACGCCAACTCAACGCCTGGTACGTGCCCCTTATATCAAACTGTTGATTCAGTCCTATACTGCGACAGGAGAGCTTCTTTTTGACCAAAAATAAAGAAAGGAAGAAGGAAAGTACAAAAGAGAGTGAAAGAAAAATGCTGGTCTTCCGAGGGTTGTCCAAACATCTGCCAAAATAGTCGATCGATTTTCAAAAGGGATGGTTAGCGCTAAAATGGATCTTATGGACCGAACACTTACGAGGTCGAAGTGCAAGGAACCCCAATGATCTATTCATGGTAATGGAGCTCCTCGCCATCAACACTGGCAAAGATCACTGCAAGACCCTGCAATAACCATATATAGGCTGAGAGATCCTTTTTGAGAACCTTGTATTGATATCTTTAAGACACAGCCAATAATGGATGAGCTTCGGGACGTTAGTGCCATTATGATGGTTGAGCCATATGCCACTAGCCCGACTTTTTCGGTCGTAGAAAATCATTCCAGTAACTCGTCTCGTCAACGCATGCATAGCTTTATTGACCACCTCTGCGCGTTACAGATATATACATACACAAGTAGACGTAAACAAACAACACTTGCCTTAAAGGCGGATCCTCCCCTGAAACCGCGAGCGATAAAATAGATCATCCCCCCAATTATTATTGTAGAGATAAAAGGCAACTTCGTCTCGACTTCCTTTCTCTTCTTTTATACAATATCATCAGGAAGTGTTTTCTTGAAATCGCACAAGTCCACGAAAGGAAGAAGGGGTGCCACCATAGCCTTATAGAAGAACGGCCTTTGTTTGTTCCACAGATTCTGGTCATGGACCTGTGGATGTGATACCTTTTCCAACAACTTCTTTAAAAAAAGGGCTACAAGAGAGTGAAAACCTTCTTGTACATGTACAAGCCTAGGTACAAGAATTCATCGTCATTAGATACTCATTCCCCGCACACACTACCTGTTGCTTAATACTCTTAATGGCGATGTTAAGGGCGAGGACAAGAGCGATGCCGATTGACCGGTAGCGATCCTTTTGCGATTAGATAAAGCTGATCTCATACACGCGGAACGTGATACATCATACGCTCCACGAACACGCATGTCAAAAAGACATGCGATTCCGCCCTGTATACATTGAAGCTGAAGGGATAGCAGGGCTGTCGCCCTGGGAGGCTCTTTATGAATGTACCCCTCCTCGTCGGTAGTCGTTGAGCTCCTCCATTCTACGCCTCTCGCATCCACAGCATTTTACAGGGCTACTTGGCGAAGTATTTTTGAGCGCCACACGGTTTATCTGTGCATTGAAGCGCCAATGTCTAAAAGGATGCTGACCCTTTTACGATGTCTGGTCGCGCTAACAATGGACACGAAATACCTTGTCATGCGTCCTGTTGACCCGTCTGCACCCGAAGATGCCGCTGTTCTTTGCGTTCATTGTCATGCAACGAGTGCTGGTATTGTTGATTCTGTCCCCTGTTGCAGATGGTTTTCTATGTCATTTGTTGGTCTGGTGAAAATTGCGTCGACTTTGAATGACTCCTGACCCTGCCTCATAGGATTAAAAGTAGTTTTCATGCATTTCAAACAACGACGTCTGCACTCTACTGACAATGAGTCGTAATATAGAGGACTCTCCAGAGGCCAGCCTAGGACTTGCCATCGCAATACGCCGTAACGGAATGATTTTCTCAGCTCTAACTTGCTAATGCCACATTGATGCTTAGCTAATTGTACTTTTGGAACGCGTTTTGCAATTTCGTATCCGGATGTTATTTGAGAGCACGACGCCCACGAGTGCAGTCCGAAAGGGCATCTTACCGTACACGCCGCTGAGAGTTATTTTTACAGTGCCAAGGATTCGAGGATTTGGGCGCACCAAAAGATTTGACACTCATTCCACTTTTCGCTGCGCGAACAGCTTCATTAGATGCTAGGGTCATGATTGGTGCAAACAACATCCTCAACTTTTGTAGCTTTACTATACTTTCGACATTTTTAGTCAATCGACGAGGTTACTTTCACCGACGTCCTTTTCTCTTTTTTTTGGACCGCGGTCCAAAAGCCTACACATGCTGCGGAAAACTTCCAACTAATCCATCGTAACTTGGTTACATATGGCCTGCGGTAGCATAATTTATCTATTGTTCACACTGTTCCTTCTTTTCTTTTTTTTTTTTTTTTTTTTTTTGGGGGGGGGATAAAAGGGAGAGGTCCCATCCCTGGCAACCAAGCATATTGCGAAAGGGCTTGGTGGACCATTGGTCCTTAGTTCCTTCGCAAAGGCACCGGCAGTCCGCCAGCTATTAGAAAACCAATCATTGCAAGGCATCAGGCACTGCATCGAGTCCACCGACCTACCGCAGCTTCAGGTCTGCACGCTGTGTTCGCACCCCCATTCTTCTTTGCCTGTTTGATTTGCACCACGCACCTAGATATTGAATGTACGTTCTCAATTGCTCACTAATCTATCAGTTTCATTAATTAGTCGATTGTATTGAAGGTTGGCTCTTTGGAGCGTGAGGAGGCTGGGCGCTGGAAAACATTCTGTACATGTTCATGGTGCTCGATGCACTACCGAACAAAATGAGCCCCTTGGCCTAGAGAAGAAAAAGAGCAAAAGGCACAACAGTTTGTCTGCATCTTCTCTCTACAACCACATCTCATCTCGCGAATCATCAGCACCATCGCCTATCTCCCTTCGTCCAATCTACACTCTTAAATCAGCATCGACTCAAAACCATCCCTCCAACCAGCGCTCACCCACGTCCACCTGTGTCCACCTTTCGCGATCTTGTAACAAAGTACATCCTCTCGTCACGCACCACAGCACACAAAAAGTCGCTAAACGTTATGTCACCCACACAACCACCTTCAAACAAGCTTCTGCTGACGAGCATGGATAACGAGGACGCGGACACTGAGGATGCTAGCCGAGCCGACTTCATTGGAGATGACCGCAGGATTATTGACAATGGCCGGGAATTGAGTATAGTGGACTATTACGACTCTCACGAACAAACGGACGTGACGATTAGAAACGAAAGAAAACCTGGCTTGCCACCTGGTATGGCCCCAGCTCCTCCTTGTGCACCTACTCTTCTCAACTCTACCTTCACACGCAGTACCGTTTATTACCCCACTATTCTCCACATTCCCAATTGCTGTATGGCATTTTCAAACATCAAAATATATATAAAAACTAACATGACCAATGTCTTAATCCTCGTCACAACAGTCAAACGGCAAGGTGCAAACGATCCTGAAAAGAGTCTACCATCAGGTCTAGTTCCTGCACTACTCTGGGAAGATCCAAGCAAGTTCCGGTACCCAGACCCGCTATCGACCGCACTCTCTAAGGCCTTGTTGTGCACCGCCGGACAGGATGGGCTAACATCAGGCCATGAGTTTACCCCAGACCTTTATTCGCGTCTTTGGGAGTATGAGTTTGCATCCTACTCGGCCACTACTGCATTTCCGCCGGGTTTCGATCTTAATGGTGCCCAGACCATTCACGATATGGAGCACCTATCAGTCAAGCTAGAGAAGACCCATGCGAAAGCCATCGTCATCGGAACTCCATCCGCATGCGGACCTGCGCTGATAGGAGGAGAACTGTCTACTGCTACCGCGAAGCGTCCTCCCTCAAGGCATCTTAGCGCAAAGCGTTCAACTGCAAAGCGTTCACCCGCAAAGCACATTGTCACCGCACCTAACTCAATAATGAACGCAACCCGGATGCCCAGTCGTGCCCAAGCCCCTTCTACAGCCCAGCCAGTGCAGTGGGCAGAAAACATGACACCCGAGTCTGCTAAGTCCAAATGGCAAAGATGTGAACCTGGGGGTCCTCCCAGTCAACCAACTGCTTCGACGACAGCAGCAGCAGCAGCAACAACAGTAACAGGGGAGCTGAACGAGGAATATCTACCAGCAATAATCGAGACCATGCCAAACGTCCACACCCCTTCGACTTCCGCTAGTCGACAGACACTTCAACCCACTTACTTTGCGGAGCAGTATAGCCCCGACGATCGCTCGGACAAGCGCAGGAACAACATTCTAAAGCAGTTGAAGATGGCCAAAGCCAAGCAATCTTGACGTGCAAACAAGGTGTCTATTGCATGGGGATGAGAATTCATACATACCATACACCGCTAATCTATTATCCCATTACCCTACTATCTTATTATCCTATTATCTTGTCATTCTATTATCCTGTTATTTATTATCCTGTTATTTATTATCCTGTTATTTATTATCCTGTTATTTATTATCCTGTTATTTATTATCCTGTTATCCTATTATCCGTCTCTTTCTTCTCTCGTCTTTCCTCGTTGTCTTCTCCGTTCACTCGTCATCACTATCTATTTTCTCTCTCTTTCTTTCTGCTCACTGTTCGCTGTTCACTGCCCATTGTCCGCTATCATCTAATGTCTACTCTCTCTCTCTGTTTTCTTCGATTTTTCTTTATTTATGTTGTGCCAAATATTGGATTGATAATTATATCAATAAAAGATTATACATCATCTAATTCATCTCGATAATAAACCATGACTGTCCCTCGTGGTATGATCTCGGCTGTTCCAGGACAGGACAGCACGCCAAGAACAATTCTTTTGGAGCACTGAAAGGCGTCAATATTTATTAGCCCATGCTTCGAGGAAGGAATAAAATCACAGTTTATTTCTCTCGTCCAAAAAAGGGTATTATTTCTGCGCAAACTTTATATTAAGCACACAGCCTTCAGGGGGAGAGAAAGCTCTTTTGAAGATGCGAAAGAAACGGACCAACAGTGGAATAGGGTCTCTCGAATGAGAGCGCAAAAACGAAAATATGCCGACATGCGATAGGGGGACTCTCTGTCCAGGAGTAGATGTTGTGAATATTTATTATTATCACCATTATCACTATTACTATTATTGTTGTTGCTGCTGTTATCGTTATTTTTATTGTTATTGCTGGCTGTACCTTTGCTGGTAACAAAAGTGAATGTACCATAGAGCAGCTTTTTTTCTTTTTAACGGAGTTAAAAAACCCGGGCAATTATGACTCTAACATAACTGCTGTAATTGATGTTCTTTTGCCTGGGCCTGCTTCAGCTCTTTCCGAGAGTTGTATGCACGTCTGTCCACCTTTGAGGTAGGTGGATGATAGGGCTCAGCAAAGAAGAAGAGCGGGGCTGAATTCGAACGGACGGTGCTGCGGGATGTTCTCGTCACCGATTGCGTTACCTGACCAACAGGACTGCGGAGTGCCGACGACGGTCGCGATGATAATGGTGACCAGGACGAGGATGAGGACTGAGAAGAATTCGGTGGGGAGTATGGAGGTGTTCCTGGTGAAGAGAATCCACTACGGGGATTACAGCTATCGGGATTTGCTTCAGCTGGTTTGCTCAGCTCACCGATCTCTGCCGGCGTTCCTGAAATCGAAGTCTTGGCCATAGCGTCGTCCAAGAGAAAGAGCGGGGGACGGCCTCGCCTACGGCGTAGGCCCGAACCCATGCTCAGGATTCTACCGTCTGTTGAGACATCCATAGAGTTGGTCCGCTGGAATGAAGAAGGACTGACTGGGACCACAAACTGGATCTCTTTGCCCGTCTTGTTATAAGACTGGGGCTTACCGGCATTGCAACTCAACTTTATATGGCGATTGATAATAACCCCGTCCGAAGGGGGTGGATGCGGCGGATCTTTAGGGGTTGTGGTTGCGGTAGCGGCTGAGTCTACTAGCAATGGTTCGTTATTAGGAGAGAACGTATCAATATTGGAGAATCTTGTGTCCTTGGAAATGATTTTGGTATCGACAGCTTGTGTGGTAGGCTCGGCATTAACATCCTTAATAGAAGGACTGGCAGCTCTCCTTAGAAAAGAGAATTGTTGCGAAGAATGCATAGTGATATTATTCTCGATAAATGTAAGACTAGGTGGGTGTAACAATGGCGCTGCGAATGATGCAGGATGTTAAGAGGAGAGGAGGAGTTCGAATGTCGGTTTAGTGAAAGAAGAAGGTGGAGATGGAACTGCATTTTATATCCAATCCTTCCCTCTTGGCGAAGTGCCTTCAGTTAATTAATTAGGCCCTTGCGTCGGCCGAATAATGATCGCTTGTAGCCGCTAATTGGGCTGTAATACCATGTTTGGAGGTTAGGCCAACCTCTTGTAGACAGTTCGACCTTGAGGGACTTTCGGTGATCATGGAATCATTCAGCGCATGGATCGCTGCAGTGGAGTTTTCTGGTTCCTGAGAGAAGCGGCCATTTACGTGGCTCGATGGCAGCTGACCACATCCAGCATTCACAGCGCCAATAGTGCAACCAAATCGCTCGTCCGATTGTGCAATGGTATCTGGCCAATCCTCCATGTCTTTGAGGAACAGCTCTACCTCCAAGTCGCGTGCATCCAGAACGCCATCTTCATTTCCTTCAGGGGGTACCATACTAGGGTCGACTATCCTCTTCAGTGGTAGGTTGTTTAGGTGTAAGAGTATGAGTGATCTCTAATTTTAAGTAACAACTGTAGAAAGGCGCGTTTTTTGGTAGTTCTTTTGTTTTTTGTATATAACACTAGACACAAAAAAAATAGTATGAACGGCAAGGGTTGCTATCCCTTCTTATATGGCTCAAGAAAACTGTGGAAGCACTCTCCATACTACGGCTGTTGTCTGCGATTCTGAGCAGACACGTACAATTTGCGGATGGGATCCGTACCGGAACAGCGTCGCAATGGACGCTAAGTGGAGGTTCGAGAGTGAAGCAGCTGTGGAGGCAGTGGTACCGCTCGGTACATGACGGAACCCTGACCAAAAGGCCCACACTAATAGCTGGGCTAGACTCCACTCTCTGGAACGGACCGCAGGGGAAGTATATACTGTAGCCATTTGGTATGCGGCAAAAGAATCTTCTGGATCAATGTTTACAAACCACAGTAGATTGAATACCTTTAGAACGTGCGACTCTACCGGCGGGAGGCGAAGTATTCATTTCTTTTCATAGAATTTCTCTCCTTCCTTATTCAAGAATGGCGAAGTCAACCTCTTCAGCGCACAGCTCTTCCTAGTGCTTTCGACTAATCAAGACATTGTCTCAAATGCTTGCTTATTCTATTTTAGATCAGGACCCTGACCAATGTCGGCTGTTGGTGCTCTAATTTCCGCTTTTTTGTTTATTGCATTCCATGATCTGCCCTCGCCTGTGCAATCTTGAGCTCTTTTCGGCTATTACAGGAGCGTCTATCGACCTTGACATCTGAGTACTGATAGGGCTCGGCGAAGAGATACTTAGGAGGGGACGGTAAAGACCGCGGGGTCTCTGAGGTACTTGATGGCCTTAGATGGAAGTAAGTCGCAGCTGAAAGGATGTAAGATGGCGAGGGAGTATTTTTCCTCGTGTTCGTCCCCACGACTCTACTCGACTCGCCTGGGCTATAGACCGGTATGGGCATTGTCGTAAGCGCATTCGTTGTCGAACCTAGATCAATGACCATGTAATGGTCTGTGCGATTGGGCGAGGAACGGCAGGGACGGCCACGGCCACGCTTAAGAGCTATAATTGTATTTGGTACTTCGCTCTGACAAGATGACACGGATGATCCCGCCTGTTGGAATTCCGAAGACTTGACGGCTATGAATGAAAACTCTTTGCCCACACTATTGCTTTCTTCGTTATTATCGCCATCATTCTTGGGGTCCTTCATCCGCGAATCCTCAGAGCTTTTAGATGGATGCGGTGTCGCTGGCAGATCCATTAGTGGTGTCGTTCCCCTCGTCGGTGTCGTTGCAGCTGAGACAGCCGTTACTGTTGCTGCTGCTGCTTCAGCCTGAGCGTCGCCAATGAACTCCCATTCAATGCTAGTGGTGCTCGTTGTGCGTGTGGTGGTTGGAATGTTTGTGTAGTATATTTGCGTTGCAGCGGCGGTAGTTATATAATCAGGTTGTCCATACTGTGGACATGGAATTGCAGACTTTGTCGAGGAGTGGAGAAGGGTTGCAGGTGTAAATATCGCACTTGCTTGTGAGATATCTCCAAGAGACAGTGGGGACAACACATCCATGTAACAGCTGTCGGTTGTCGAGGATGACAAGGGCGGGGATTCTGGCCAGTCAAAATGTGTGGCCAAGTCATGGTGGTCCTGCATGCCAGCAAGATACTGCTGTTCCGATGGCAAAGGTCGCAGAGGTATAGGTTGTGGTCTTGTAGGGCCCGCTTGGTGTTTGAGTGGCTCGAGGCTGACTTTACTGAGCGTTGGAGGCCAGGTGGGACTCTTGTGCGATGTGGTCAGTTACACCGGCCTAACGTGCAACGAGGTTGCTTGCGGGAGGGTGAAGTAACGGAAGCTCAGTGGCAACAAGAAAATCTGCAGATCTGATCGCGAATCTGAGGTATTACAAGAGATTTTTCTAGGCACTGGCTGCAATTGCCCTGATATATCGACCCTATTGCTGTAGTTATTAACGCCGCGACGACTCTGTTGTTACCGTTCTGTCGCTATTTTAAAGCTTTTTGCTGATGTTATTGCTGAGTCTAAGGCAGTTGTTGCTGTTCGTGTTGGTGCTCAGAAGGGTATGGTATTCGGCCGCCTTCGCGTCTACGCTGGGTCTGATCTCAATGGTCTGGAAGTATGAAATTGTATAAGCAGGTGCGTATTGAGCTGGAGTTGGTAATGTACGTGCTCTATTGACGTGAAAAGGGTACAGTTGATGATACTGTAGCTGTCTTTGAGGGTCGATGAGTGGAAGCGAAGCGCGAAGTGGCCCTTCATTTATTCGTTTTCTGGGCTCTGGTCCTTTTTCTCGCCATACATGCCCACCTATAGCTCAGTTGACTAAAGAGAGCTATGTTGACTCGTTTAAACCCCGCAGGTGCGTGCAATGACCACTTCCATAAATATCAATTGAACACACAGATGAGCTACAGCTGAAGAACAAAAATAAGCGGCAGCAGCTTACAGGAACCGTCGTCAGAATGGGTCATTGCGCGCGTGCGTGCATGTTTGTTATACTAATGCTTACTCTCTGGCGTTCCTGGGATGACTAAAAATATGGGCGGAAGCAGGGAATGCTTCCATGATCCATGCACCGTTGAACCGCCTTCAATTCATCACAAGCTCATCACTTCTCAGGTCGCATTGTCTCCGTTGCATCAAGTTTTTCCATTATTTCTCGACGAAGCGTCCTTTTCATCCGATCAAGCATTGCGGGAATGTCAAGCATGAAAATGAAAGAGAGAAGCATGTCAACTGCTCCACATTTTCGGCTTTTATCGATTTTCCCGCCAAAATAAATAAATAATAAACTGTTTATCTATATGAGTGGCCCAGAGACGATCTTATTGAACGTTGCCTATTGAATCCAGAAAAAGAAGAAGAGGGAGGAGATACGCAGGTTAAACGACAACGATAAGAATAGACAAAGAATGATACCGAAGCCCAGTATGATTCTGCTTATGCGCGGGAAAAAAATCCCGGCGAATGGTTGTGAATAAGGTTGAAGAACAATCGCCCAAAAAAAACATTAAAATCAAAAAAAGATATCAACGGAAACGGCCGCAGCAGCCTAAGCACTTACCAATATCTCGCTGTCAATAAATTTTCCTAACATGCTAACGCGCTGTTTGTGGTCCATGGACATGAGCTCCTTGAGTGAACACAGAGATAAGATCAGCTGGATTGAAAACGGGTTGAACAGGCCGAAGGACGCCAAAAAACGCTCGTGCTAGGAAGGAAAGTATATACAAATTGAGAGTCAGCCGTTGGTCCTTGAATAATACTCTGCGCGCATACGACGATGACACTACACCATACAGCGAGACAACAGTTACTTACAGTGCTGTCCTGTTCATTTAGCCAGTCTCGCCAGAGCCATTCTTCACGGCTTCGCCATCCATCTTCGTCTCTCCGTAATCCAGACTGAGCAGCAATATCGATCTGCACGGCAATTCTTTCTCCAATCGCACGGGTCATCCATGCGGCACAACGCTCATCTGAAGCAAAGAGCACCCGCGTCTCAAAGACCAGTTCGCTAGCTTCATTATATCCATTTGGGAATGAATCTTGCACAGATTTGAGCTGTCTCGAATGAGTTGGACTCTGATGGCTGGACAAATTGAGAGCACTGCAATAGCTTAATCTTGACAGCCATCCTGATCGAGTATGTGTTGAAGGTACCCAGGCTGTCAGCTTGTTAAGTTGGGGCATCACTGGTCCGGCAAAGGGGTCGAGTCGAGAAACTGTGGCTGAGTGATCGTCAGACCGGTGCGATGGCGACGACATGGGTTGTTTGAGTGCTGGGTGGAAGGCCGAATGCGTCTGAGTTGGTGTTGATTCTATCCCCCTCGCTGAAAGTTGTTTAGGTTTCGAGAGTGCTGGGCCACTCCAATTATACTCCTCAAGGATTAGCCAGACCGACTTGTATCGTGGTCCTATCCTGGCCAACGTCACAAGGAGTTCGTTCAGTCCCGCATCTGGATCTTGGATGATGGCCTGGCCAATCTCGCGAAGAGGATAGAGTAGCACAGCGTTTCCCTCGTCCAGAATAATGTCTGCCTCCACGCGGGCCGCTGCTCGATTGCGTGTACACTCTGGTAGTAAAGCCTGTAAAAATGAAAAGAGCAAATGTTGATTACAGTGGCTGTGCTGGATTTTTATCGACAGCTGGCCTTTGCCTATTTATAAAATTACCCGCAGATACTCCATGTCCCTTTCCACCAACTGAACTCTGCCGCAGTCTGGATCAAGTAGCGCGCGGACGATAGCGGTGTTCTGGAGTATCCGATTAGAGACGATATACCGGTGGGTCACAAAACTTGGTGGCAACAAGGAATCGTATGGCCGAGGTTTTATGTTTGTCGATAGATGATCTGACACCCTTGTGCAGTTTCGATCCTGGCTTTGACTCGGATTTAATGCCTTTAATGGCGCCTTTCTCGCCAATGAATTCGGTTTTGACTGGATTATACTACTGGGCGCTGGAGGGCGTTTTGCGTGGTCAAGAGTGGGAGGTTCATGCTTTAGTCTCTTTATCAGCGGCAAGTGGGTTGAACTCGATGGTGGCGCTTGCTGGGTCCTGCTCAGTCTCCGTAGGGCCATGAACTTGCTGACCTGGGATGACGGCGAGAATTGAGAAGGGGACGCCGATGAGGTTAAGGAAGGATAATGACGATCTGAAGACGATGATTTATTTGCGATAGGATGCATGGGAAACGAATGTCTGAAAGGAAAGAGAAGGACGAAAAGAATAACCAGCGGGGCGCCATAATATTTCCGCATGCGAATTTATTAATAAAAATTAGGCCGCGCTATAACGTGTTGCAACAGATTTCGACCCTGACAGATATCATCCCTGGGAGCCTCCCGGCCCTGTATAACCACGCGTCCTGGGCGCACGTACATCCTCCGCTAGCAGAGGCTCCGTTTCGGTAGTGTCAAAGTCGTCATGACCATGGCTCTTGGCTTGGAAATGGTAATAGATACACATCACCAACAACGTGCCCTGAAGACATCCTGTTACTGCATATACAATCCAGGTCGTCCAATTGGCACCGGGTCTAAGTGCCAAGGATAATGTCAAGAGTGCTGCCCCTGGTGTTTGCATCATCATCATCGGAATGCTGAGTGCTCCGACAGACTAGTGGGAACCAAAACCATACATTAGCGCGCCAAGCTTGGAGCCCTATCCTATGGTCCTAACTGTAACTATCGACCAAACATACCTTGCGCTTAAATGTCCTATGGATCTGCGGGACATACTGAATGGTTGCAAGGACGACGCTCGTGATACCCAAGAAAGTAGCCCACGCTGAGGTCCAGTGGTTCTCAGGGCCGCCAACAAAGGCCAGAAGGACTATCGTCACGACAATGCAGATAACGAGATGCATTGCCACCACATGGGCGATCAACAATGACAATGCCCATTCTTCTGTCTGGGCGGGTAAAAAGGAGAATAAGTGTCGAATATGCTGTTGAGATCGCTCAGCGACTATCTTGTGCACCGGGTAGTAAATGAGATACAAGACGAGACTATTATTACAACGCCAGCAAAGAGACGACAAATATGTCAGTACGGCTCCAGTTTCAAAAATTCTCCCTATCGACACCTTCATCTAGCTCATTTCTCGAATACATACACCAGGCCAAACATGACAAACTGGACACCAAGTTGGGCGATTCCAAGTATACTCTCCAGACATGGTCCAAGGCTCTATTCAATTAGAAACTGTTAATACAGCGGCAACTGACAGTTCTTTGTATCAAGAGGCCCATCTATTCACCGCTGTACTTACTAGGACACCGCAGCACAATATCACCTTCCACTGAAGAACGACAATATTAAGAAATGTGGAGCTGGCGGAAATAGTTCCGAGTAGTAAAAACCAGGGACTAATGCCTTCGCTGGTTCCCTTGTGAATGATACGGAAGTGCTGTACATACAAAGAGAGTTCTCATAAATACAAAAAAAAAAAAAAAACTACGCAAATGCATCAATATGTCCATGCAGCAAGCATAGGCGTACCTGAGGCAAGTATGAGACGACCATGCCGACCAAAATAAAGAGAGAAAGTGCCAGTTCGAAGTCACTATGCCGGTCTATACACTCACCTGGCTGGGGCTGACCAGGCGCCGGTGGCTCGGGACCAAGCTGAAAGGGAGTAATCCACATGGCAAATAACGCGGTCAAGGAGGTGAAGCGAGCGGTGTGGTCAAGAGAAAACGAAAGAGAAGAGGGGAGGAGAGGGAAAAAGAGAAGGATGCTGGGAGTCAGAATGAGGAGTGCGATGCCAAGCAGGAGCACCCGAAAGGGGCCTTGAACCACGCGGTCTTGCGCCTATTCAGGGGGGGTCTTCACGTGATGTAGACTAAGCGACGTCACGGGGTTTTAGCGGTAGTCTGAACTTTTCCGCACTAACTCGCTGATTGGCTCGAAATAGCGTTGGGTTTTATTGTTTTCTCGCGTGCGGAAATAATGAATGTGCACTAAGAGAATTTACTGGCAGCGAGAACCAGCATTAACTTCATCTATTCCTTTTATCTCGCGTACTGCTTTCTGAAGGAGTGCCGCCGCAGAAACAAAGTAAGTCTCCGTGCACTTCCTGGTCTTGCCATTGTGAACCACTCGACCAAGCTCCATCCAAGCCTGGCGAATTGTCTCCTCACACTCCCACATCACTTGAGCCCTTTCCTCCTCCTGCCGTCTTCTTTTTTCCTGCATCTCCTGTTGTCGCACGGCTTGGAGTCGCTGCTCCTCCTCCTCTCGTGCTGCTTGTAGTTGTTGAAGTAGATTCGGAGAGAGAAACTCCTCTAATGGAGGGCCATAATCCTCTTCCAGGACGGTTTCCTCATTCTCGTCAATTGACTGTCCCGTTAAGCTCAGTTGCATTGTTGTCAAAGCACACTTGGAACCCTGGATAGATCCTCGATACCAAGAACATGTGCTTACACGGTAGACCGTGTTTTTCGTTGTCAGGGCAAGAACAGGAGCGGAGCCGTTTGTCCGACAATATATCGATAGCATATTGCGCCTCAGGCGGGGTCTGAAACGACAACACAGAGATCAAGCCTTCCACAGACTTAGTAATGTTGATCAATGTTCTCGCCCGAGCCGAATCAACTTGGATGGCCTTTTTACGCCGTGCCTCCTCGTGGAATGTTAGGCGACGGGGTTGAAGGCCGCTTGTGATCTTGAAGTATGTGGTGCGGTACTGGCTTTCCACCACACCTAGCAGGATGTAGATGAGTTCGTCGGCTCGCAGGTTGCGCTTTCCCGCCAGAAAGTTTCGCTTGAGGTTTCGATGCCATCGCTCCACAAGGTTATTTGTGTTAATATGTTGATGGTGCTATTTCAAATGAATAAAGTGCTTCAACGTTAACAAATTGACTAGAATAAGACCAGTTACATATCGTAGACCAGGCCATTTAATGTTAATGACTTTGATTTGTAGATATAGTATATGTGTATATGTATATGTATTTGTGTATAGTAATTATTATTAAAGTTAGTTCTCTTTTTCACTTCCTTCGTCTTGTTACACACAGCTATTTAAGAGCACCGTTGCCAAATGATAGAATCTCAGTCTTTGTCTACTCAATCACATACCCAGACCCAAACCTATTGCGCAAGGCGATCAGAAAGA